ATTAGATTAATCGCCTCCTGAGCAGCTCGAGTATCAGCAAAATATATTAAACACTGAGCTGCCTGAGTTTTATGACTATTTCGATTATCAATATAGATATCCAAGACTTGTTCCGTTGCTAGACTGGTTTGTCGAATAATAAAACTTCGTATAGTCGATTCAGTAACGTTCAACGGTATATCATCTAGCCATAAAACATTCGTCGGTTGACTTTTACCGAATCCCAACTAGAAAATAGAAGCGAATATCAATTGAATCGAATCGATTCACTCGGAGAAATTTACTTTGATTGAATGATCTCGATTCATTTTCGAATCAAAAGATCGCATTGCTTTCACCACACTTTTTATATCTGCATATTGAACGAACGCAAATGGTAACTGATGTGGTGTTTGAGTTTGTCGCTTTATTTCCAATTCCTAACGAATGAAAATAAAAGATCATTTCCTATTCCGACAACTGTAAAATGTCCACGTACGATTATATCACCATAAGCTGAATAAGTTTCACGTAATTCGTTATAAGAGATTTCAGACTGAAGATTTCCGATGTATAACGTTCGTGTCGCTCGCACAGAATACTCATCCAAATCTAAGTCTGAACAGAGTGAACGTTTCATGATATCACATTCTTCGTTTTCTAGACAAAATAGGTAGAGAATATATTTCAAACATTGAATATTTTCCCATTGAACTGCTTTTTACCATTAGTTATTCCATCATAGGGCTCAGCTTTCAATCTCGCACCATTGAGAGGCTTTGCTGTGACGAATGCTAATGCTCTTTCAACGTCCTCACATTTACTAAATGTTAACAAAGCATAGCGCGCTTCATGTTCACCATCGATCTTCACAGTTAATAAACGGCGAGTTTTTTTGAAATCGACAAATAAATTCCATATAGCTTCGCGTAGAGCGTCTCCTACAAATGCATAAGGACGACATTGGCTTTTGTCCGCGAGAAAGAATGAAAAAATAACAAGTCCTACTTTGCATTTTGGGCGGTAAATGATAGAGTTTTAAGATTTTTGTTTTTCCCATTGATGACTCATTCAATAACGAATGACTCTTCGTTGGATTTCGACGACTATTTTTTACCGATACACTAAATCGAATAAAATGACTTGACGTCCTACGATTATAGACTATGAAACTTACCTGTCATCACTCGATCTTTCTGATTCAGACGATGATGACGACGAAGACGACGATGATGAATTATCATGCTTCCGTCGTGGTGGTTTTTGTATCGTTGAATGTGAACTATTCGCGACTCTGAATGGAAAAGTTCGCAATAACTAACATCGATTCGATTACAATCTTACTTTGATACACTCGTCGACGATGACTTTCGTTTACTTCCGGAAGAGTCGGAATCGCGTTTAACTGGTACTACTTGATGTCTTAATAAAGCAAAAAACAAATTAATCAGGGTATATTTTTCACTCTTCGAAACACGAAGAAAAACTTTCTTTTTCCTTCTGTTTTTCTTTTCATTGTTGACTTATTATTGTATTTTTTCGTTTGTTCTGACTTTTATCTTTCATCCCTCTTGCACAACCAAAAGCATCAATTACTTTCGAGCAGACAAAACAAGTTAACAAATATCTACACACATGGACTCGTCTCAAACAGGTTCAAGGTGGTTTCTACATCTGTTCTGTTCGCTAAACAATACCACGAAAGTAACAGAACAGAACGTTGAAATGATTTGGAATTCGAACCATCCATAGTTGAGGTCGAAAAATTTGGCTAAAGCGATTCGCTTACCGAACGTTTTCATCAGGACTACCGAGTGTACGGGATGGACGTTTCTCCCGATCTCCGTTGACTATTTTCGATGGTAATGGGTTTGTCACTGTTGTTATATTCGACGTGTTCGAAGATGACGAAGATGGTGCGTCAATAACTGTCGAAGAAGTCAATGGTGAAGGTTGTTCGGGTAATACAATAGATGAAGATGATGATTGAGTCGGTAGTGTAGGAGGTCCTAGAAGTGCTTTAGGCACTGAATTTGAACCATCATGAAACGCTGTTCGTAAATGTTGTTGATCGAGGATATTTTCAGCATTATGTGCTTTCGATGCGGCACGTACGTCCGTAAAAGCGACGAAAGCGAAACGTTGTTCATCGACTTTAACTGATAGAATACGGCCATGTCTAGATATAATCATAAGAAAATTTTTAATTTGCAAAAAAAATCTTTCGTCAGACGAAAGTCACAAAAAAAGAAAGACATGTACCGTTTGAAGCAGTCTTTAATTGTCTCTTCGGTTGCTGTTTCAGGTAGATTAGCTATTGCTAACCATCTGGACTCTGTTGATTTGGTAGATAATGATACTTTGCTAGTCGAGGTTTCACTGGGCATGACAAAAATTCATTCGATAGACAATAATGAAAGTATGTACAAGTTGAAAAGCGTTAATCATATACAGACACACACAATAAATTTGTCAAACAAGAAACAAAAAATATTTCGAAAATTTTTTAAGGTCAGAACAATGGCGATAGTCTTCGCCGTTGACGTGGGATGATGATGAACATTGTTGTTGTTGCCAGCATCTACATTGAAAAGAAGAACGAACGGGCGAGAGAAAGAAGAAAAAGGAAAAGGAGAAAAAAAACGAGCCACCTTACATTACATTTTCTCTTCTTTATAACATTCTTTCCCTTCTTTCTCTCGCTTTTTCCTCTCGATTCATTTTGCACGACAGAGAGTACGTCAGTATGTGTATGTATGCGCGCTCGCTCGCTCGCTCTATCCTAACGAACGTCGTCGTCGTCGTCGACGGCTATGCCGGTCGGAGCGACGATCGTATGCTGTATTGTCGGGCAGTGATGATGGTGATGGTGGGAGAGCAAATCGATGTATACAGCTTTACATATGGTTAGATTAATGAACGTACACTACATGGTACAGATATGAAACAACATAGCTAGATTTTGCCATTCGTGAATCTTTCGTTCCATTATTCGCTTGCCGTTTACATTTATATTCTTCGAAAACAACTTTTGAGCCTTTATTTACGCCCAAATACTCATCTATTCATTTCTTCTTTCATCTTTTGATTACGAAATGATGATACATAACAACATCAATGATAATATCAACAGAAAAACCATGAAAATGATAATGGTTTCTAAATGATCATCTGATTATGATAAGGGAACATAGAAGACAGAGTATTCGAGCAATAGCGATAGCAGAGTAGACAAAAGAGAGAGAAAAAGAAAAAAAAGGTGAACGCATTCGACGCCGTCCGCCAGTTCGATATGCCGCCGCCGACAAAGAAGACGACTAGTTGGTATTTTTCTCTTGCTCTTCCTGTCAACATAGGGCGTCAGCAACAGCTCGAGTCTAGTGCATTTTTTAGAGGGTATATCGACTCGTCTACGTATACGCTCGGTCGATAGTTTGCATTCATAGCAATTACCAAGGGAGTACTGCATCGTCTTTTTTTCTCTTTCTCTCTCTCTCTCCCGCTCTTATTGCGCAGCACATTTGTTCCTTTTTATTCTAACCTATTTTGCACTATCGCTGTCGAACATTCTCGAATGTGTGATTAGATTACAAGCAAGCAAACGACGAGAGGGAGAAAAAGAAAAAGAAAACGTATTTTTCTTGCTCTTTCTCTCTACTTGTCTCTCAGTTTCTTTCTCATTTTCTGCAAACACGTCATACGAAGCGGGCATATATCATTTGCTCCTTCTCATTCGCTCGCACATATATTCAAGCATCAACGACGACGACCATCGAGTCTGATGTCTTTTCTGTTTCTCTTTTCTTCTTGTTCGCTTGGTCGTCATCGAGTAATATGAGGTTCATTTACTATCATCGTTCATATAGTTGATGCTGCTATACTACTACTCAACAAACAACGTCACATATCTTTCTATATATATATAGATATACATGTATATGTCTCATAATACACGCTTGCATACATTATTCTCGCATTTCGATTTTCTCATCGTTTCAAATCGTCGATATAAATATATATGTGCATATATCTAAGTTGGACTTGTGTTGTTTTTTCTGTTTATAATACCGCCATCTCGTCCGGTTACAACTACCTTTCTCTACAAGTCCTGTCCGTCCTCTGATTCCTTGCTTATAAGTATCACATATGTTTCGCATTGGATCTTCTACGTTTCTGTCGACGACATTTAATCAGTGGAAAAAGATCTTTCGTCGTATGAGTTGATCAACGACGATTTTCTTTTCATCCTTTGTTTGTGCAGCATTTCCATATGCAATTATTAGCTTGGAAGCCTAGCAGTTTCCATCATATATCTATACATCGATGTATATCTACTTCAAAGGAGATTGAAAAAAGGACGTGAAGCAAAAAGCAATGAATTGTGAGACAAAAAAAGGGGGAAGAGAACAATGGAGGCAAAAAAAGACGCATGCAATTCTTATTTGTGTTTTGATGAATAAAAAATTCTATACATTGAGTAGGTGGAAAAGGAATCTGTTCGGTAGAGAAATAAACGAAGAGAAAGAGGAACTAAGGGCAAAAAAGGGGAGGAAGATTGATTATAATTTTTTTTCGTTCTTCCTCTCTGTTGATTGTAGGGCGAGACTACTGAATGTAGCAAGCAGCCCTTTGGCATTGTGCCATCAATGCTGCTGATGTCTTTTACGACGATATTTTCTCGCTCTATACGTCAACCTGTGTCCTTGTAAATGTCTCAGCGATCGTATATACTGGTTTTTTGTTGCTTTCTACTTGCCTGTATCTTTGCTGGAGGGTAAAAGCTATATGCACGACAAAAAAACACAGTGAGACACATGAATGGGTCGTTTTTTTCTCGCGATCAAGATAAAAATAATAAAAAAAAGTGACAAGAAAAACGGACACAATTGATATTTCAATGCATATTTATATTTTCTGGTTTGAGTTTAAATAACAATAGTATCACATTAGTTGGCATAAACAAATGAAAATGAAAACAATAAAACGAGGGACATCGAAGATTAAAATAGAAATTATACATTTCACCAAATATTTAAATAAGAACTCCACGAAGAGGAATTTGCACTATTAGTCATCTGTTGAGAAGATGATTCATTTGTCGGAAGATTTTCATTCATAATTGTCAGAGACAAGTTTGCAACGCGAACAAGTTGATTTTGTTCGTCTGGACTGAGTTTTAACATGGTTACAAGCACAGGAATGAGTTGTAAACGTTCGGGAATTGATTTTAATACGAAAAATTTCATGATGATGTTTTTCAAATATTCTAAATTTGAAATCGACTCATTACGTTCCATGTTGCGTTCAATACGTCGAATTTCATCTTTCAGAAATGTGATTTGTTCAGTTAAATGGCTGTTGGTTACTTCTGATTCAGTGAGAAGTTCATTAGTTTCAGTAAAGCGTATCTTCATTTGGTTGCATTCTTCTTGCAATTGATGCCAGTCATTTTGCTCGTTGGGTTTCAGCGAGATTTCTTGAGATTCGTGCGCATTATTCAGTAATTCAACTTTCTAAAACAAGAGAAAATGATATTTGTTTAAATGTATAGTTTCTCTTGTGAAAAAGATGGGGGATAAGCGAATCTTTACTTCGGCGGGTTGATCAATAGGATCACTCCATGCAAGGGTAGAATCGTTTATACCGATATGTTTCGTTTGATATTGATTTTCATCGATGATTTGTTGCAATGAACTGATATGAAGTTTGAATTGTTGGATTTCCAGTTCCGACGCTTCGATTTGGTTTTGTAATGTGGAAATTAAATGTTTGTGATCGATTTCGATCGTTGCGATTTGTTCCTGGAAGAAAGTTTTTCATAGTTTTCAGACAAGACTACAAATTGTTCGTACTTTATAAGCGATGGACATGGTTTCAGTTTGAAGAGTTAAAGTTTTAATTGTATCTTCTTGATTATTGATTTGTTTCGTCAAGCCGCTCGCGTTCTTTTCGATCTCTATTTGACACTAGAAGGAAACGCCGACGAAATTGAGTTTGGGTTCTACAACTGATTATTACTTGTTTGCGAAGTTCTTGCTCTCGTTTTTTCGAATCAGTTATAAGTTTTGCTTGAATTTCGATCAGCCGAGTTCGTTCCTTTTCTAATGCCGCATTTTCCGAGATTAGTGATTCAATCTTTTCGCTTAAACACAAACAATTCTTATAAGTTAAAGATCGTCTCAAATGTCATATCTACTTGGCTTGTTGAAGATTGTCTCGAAGTTTCTCGATTGTGCTTTCCAGCTCAGCCTGTTTATCTACTAACGGTGGTGTTCGTTCCTGTTGATTTGCCTGCTGTTGCTTCAGTACACTCTGCGCACGAATCTACGCCATTGACAAGTGAATATGCGCCTTCCTTTGTCATAATATTCATCCTACTTTATAGTTATTGAAATCATCTTGAAGTGTATCGCTGCAACAAGACTTGTAATACTCAAACTCGTTCATTGATAATCAGCTACTTACTAATGTTTCTTAGTAACGTCTAAATCGTGTTTAACAATACGTAAATCTTGTTCTAATCCATGCATTGTTCGTTGATGAACTTCATTTTGATTCGTTAGTTTGTCTGAGGTCAACATCGACAATCTTCGAGATATTCTTTTCATTGTAAATCTTACCGTTCAATTGTTGTTTTTCATTGATTAATTGATGAATCAATATCTTCTGTTGATCGAATTCCTGCTGATATTTCGTTGTCGATTCTCGCGCATAATCCTCGCTTTGGTGCCATTTTAATTCGTTGATTTTCGCTTGTTGTAACTCCTTCTTTGCAGTATCTAGCAGAGCCTTGAATTTGTTCGCGCGATGATCCGTTTGATTCTTTTGTTGCTCTAAATTTTCGATTTCGAGTTTCAAACACGCATATTTCTCCGTCGAAGTTAATAGTTCATCGCGTAGATCTTGAATATCTTTCTCTTTACTGATCAGTTCGTTCTTCAAAGTTTCAATCGTCTTCTCGTAATCGGCTAGTTCAAGATCGATGAGATTCTGTTTGGTGTGATGAGTTTTATCTTGTAGTTCCTTTTTCAAACGTGTTAGCAAAACTTTCATTTTCTGGTATTTCTCTTTCAAATCCTACGGAATGAATCAAATGAGAACAGATGTATCAATGAAGTCCTTGAAATCGTTTACTTGATCGGCGCCTTGCTTTAGTTCATTGATGGTTTGCTGTAGCTTGATGTTTTCCTCTCGAATCTTATCGAATTCTTCATTCTAAATCAAATAAATTTCGAATTATTCAATCTGAAGAGTATTCCTCAAGCGATTGGTTATCATCATCAGGTTGCTTTTGCTTTGTTGATCAAATTCGTATGCAGAAGTTAATCGAAAAACTTCTCGTTAGCATTCCATGCGATGCATTACAGGGTTAGCAATCGAAAAGCATATCATGCAGAAACCAAATCGAACGTATTTTCATCAAGAGAGTTAGATTAGTATTTTCTAAGTGTTTTTATTAGCTAACGGCAAAGCAAAACTAGACACACACTTGTCGTAACTGAATTGTTCCTTGTTCCATTGTTGCATTGGCTTTTTCCATTGTATTTTCGAAACGGTGGGTGCTCGATTGCAGTTGTTGTTTCAATTCATTGTTGTTCTAGGTAACAAATAACAAAATTTTTCTCCGATTGACGGAAAGATGCCTACTTGAATGCATTCGAGTTTTTCCTTTTCTAGATTTGTGATTTTCTCCATTAGGAATTGCATTTCGTTATTGAGTTTCTTCCGTTCAATTTTGATTTGATCATTTAGGATTTGTATTTCGTTCATTAGTTTGTCTTTGTCCAATAGAAATGTCTTTCGATCGGTTTCTAATTGACAAATTCGTTCCGTGAGAAGTTGATTTTCATTTGCTTTCGTTCCAATTAACTGCTCGAACTCTTCGCGTTGTTGTCTGCTGACTGATAACGAACATTGGTCGTGATTTTGAGTAACACTTAATAAGATTTGTTTCTGTTGTTCGATGTCTTTTTGGAATTTTTCGATAAGATTTTCTTTGAACTGTTCGTGTTCATTGATTTCTAATTCAAGGTAACGAATCTTTTCATCTCGTTCGAGTAAACACGCATGTTGACGTTCGTAATCACGTTTGAGTTTATCGAAAAGCTCGTGTTGTCGTTTGAATTGCAGTTCTTTCTCGTGAAACTTCTCGTTCAACTCTTTTAACTGTTCTTCAAGTTTCTCCGCCACGTGAAATTTTGTTTGGAGTTCATGGTAGGAGACTTCGATCTGTTTCAAATATTCAAGTCGGTATTTGTCTAATTGATAGAAGAGAAAACAAAGGTGAAAATTTCGATAGTAAACATCGTTCACAAACCGAGATTTTCTTCTTTGAAGAAGTTTTCTAATTGGAGAGTCTTTTCACATTGCTGAAGCAGCTGTTGTTCTAGTTGTCCTTGCTGTTCTTTTAACTGTTTGATTATATCATTGGAGAAAAGGCGTTTTTTCAGATCAGATAATTCCCGACGTTGTTCTTCGTTTTGCTTTATTAATTGCTCGATTTGATGACGTTGCTCACGGAGATCCTGTTCGATTTCGGTCGATACGAATTTGAAATGATCGAATTCCAATCGGAGATACGGAGATGTTCCCTTCGGAAAAAAAGAAAGAAAAATATTGATTTGATCTATCCGGAAAGAAGCTCCTTCTAAGATAAGCAATCGATTTGAAAGCGTATTCCCTTTCAATTAATCAGTTTCTATTCCTGCTGTGAGAGAAAGTAAATGTCAATGACAAGGCAACACTCAGTAGGTGCGAAGGGAATGTGCAATCGACGCAGATATGACAGACATTCGTATCTTCTTTCATACTTGATCATGGGACTTTTCAATGATAATTTGCCAGTCATTTGATTGAATAGTTTGATTCATTCCGGAATAGATTTGTTCGAAAAGTGTGTCTAGGATAAGGTGATCTTGTTTGCGAAGACATATTCGACATTGGTCAATTTGATTATTCTGTAGAAAAGTTATGCATTGATTGTGATAGACTTGCTCAACTTCTGGTGTATCATCCTTTTTCAACAGGATGTATTGTAAAACCCGGCAGCGTTCGATTAATAATGTACATAAGCGAAGGACGCTTTCAAAAGTCAATGGCGTTGAAAATTCATCATCGGTACTATTGGTGATACCGACTGAATGTAGTAAAGCTGGAATATCGGAGGAGAGAAGAAGGGATGAGGTCGAGGAAGATTTGCAAATTTTCGGATGATTGTGTTCGTCGTCGATTTGATGAAGAATATAATTCATACATTGAAGAATAATCTCATCAGTGTTCTCACATGCTTGCTGAGATTGATCGTATTGACTTTCACGTTGTAATTCGAGAAATTGCTCTTCGAAATCTTCGATCTGTCGTCGATAATTATCGATTTCTTGTTCTTGGAGCTGTTTTTCCTGTTGATATTTGGCTTTTTTCGATCTTAAATCATCATTTTCTAATTTGATTTCCTCGCTGAAAAATTCCAAATCTTCCAGACGTTCTTGTAACCGTAGTTTGTCTTGTTCGATTAGTTCACATGTCCGCCGGTAGGACTCTTGCTTCTGTTCGAGTTCAGTTTTATAAATTCGCAAAAATTCACTATCAATCAGCTCAGGCAGAGAAATAGGTAATTGAAAGAGATCAGTTGTTACGGAAATAAGATTGGTTAAAAGTTCCAAATGAGACGAAGATTTTTGAGATTCATCGCTCAGAGACGAACGGACCACAGAAAGTTCATTTCGCAGATTCTAAACAAAGATTTCATGAGATTGTCAATCGAAGAGAGGTAATGAATTTACATCTAATTCTTCCTGAAGTTTGACTTGTTGAAGTTTACTCTGTTCGAGATCATCTGTTAATTTCGAGTATTTAACTTGTTCACAATCGATTTGATTACGCAATTGCTAGAAGAAGAAAAAGCAACATCGAAACGAGCTTTCTGCATTATCCACATACCTCTTCTGTTCGATTGAAACTTGCCGATGCAGTTGTTAATTCCACAAGTTTATTTTCTAATTTCTTCCGAAATAAAATTTGATTTTTCACTAACTTGACCAAATCATCTTTTGACATGGAATCCAACTAGAACAACGCGCGTCATCTATCCGACCATTTCCTTACATTTTCAACGAACCTTTCCTGTTACCGCTGACCTTTCTTCATTGTCAGCCTTCCCATTCGACATCATATCTTCACTCATCTTGCCGTTGTCTGTTAATTCATCTAAAATACAATGCACAACTAATCATTAATATTACATGACTCTGCTTAGTATAGTAAAATAACACCTGGGCGCACATACATATGGAAATTGATTTCTGATTATATAAAGCAGTATTGTCTGACATATGGGAATAGAACGAGAGCGCACACTGTTTTTCTCGAAGGCTAATAGCAGTTACATCGAGAAATTCTCTTTTTCTCCTCGGGAATATAAACGAAACTTAATACGTTTGGGTCTGTTAAGGCTCTTGCCTTGTACGTATCGTTGAAGAATATTGACTGTTTGGTGATGAAAGCTGATAGAGCGATGAGAGAAGCGTACCATCACAACAAATTATTATTATTCTTTCTTTGCTATTCATGAGAACACTTTCTCAGCTGTGCATTCGAGCAATTGTCTGTTATCATTGCTAAACCTTGGATGGCTCATGGCATTCTTTCTAGTCAATGAAGATATAACGAGAATACGTTAAGAAAACAAAGGCAAGTTACGCATCAATGCATCAATCATGAAAAGTAGATAAATACCGAAGAATTTCAATCGTTCGATTTTCTAACATCGGTAACACGACAATTTGTCGTCGTGTTTATCGAAATCTAAATAAACAAATGTCTTCTAACATACCCGAAAAGTAAATAAATCATTGAATGGACTCTTGTCGACATTTCATTGTAGAAAATCGATCTAGAAAGAGAGATTCGATATTTACTAGAGCAAATAAGTAACTTATCGACAATTGACCTTTCTAAATATCATCTGCGCGACAATCTTCTCTTTCTTTCGATCATCAATCAATGTATTTTTTTCTCATTACTTCTCGTGTCAACTAAATTTCTTTCACTGATGAGTTTAATCATATGACATGTTAACCTCGCGCAAGAGAAAAGGAAAAAACTGGGCAAGTTATGTTCTAAACGAAGGCAAAACGTGGTGCGGATGCGATGTTTATTCTAGTTAACCGGAAAAATCAAGAAGAAACAAACTAAAGGCAAAACAAAACATAAGTAACGTGACATTCTCTTTCCCACAGCAAATATCTGACATTATTTCACTTTTTTATCTATTTTCTTTGCATTCGGTTCCATAGTTAACGATGTTAGTAATTTGAACAAGATATATCCATGACAAACATGTAGAATCAAGCTACTCATCACTGTTGATGGATACGTGTTCCAAGAGAATTCAATCAAACCAACGATTAAAAGACTAGAAAAAAAGCAGTTCGGCATGTTCTTTGACGGACGAGAAATGTTCTTACTTAAACATTGCCTTCGAGTTTGTGCTCCAGAGTAAATGATAAAGCATATGATAATACCAGACATAAAATTGATAGTGTAACGAACGACAAAAACAAATACCTATGAAATTGGCGTAGAACATCAGTGTGATAATTGCATCGTCCGATAGATAGTAATTTTTATGATAATTTAATAAATCATTAAACGTTTTGATGCTTCTATGAAAAGAAAAAGACGAGCAGGTAAGTCATGTTTACTATAAAAGTTACTTTAACCATTGATAACGACAAACGTATAATAAGATTAATATGTGAAACGCCAATAAACTGAGATGAAAATACCGATTAAGAAAGATATGTTCGGGAATCAAACGCCAATTCACTGTCCATATGTAGAAGAACTGACGGCCAAGATCGAATGAACGCATCAGATAAGCAGTTGGATTTGATAAGAGAAATGGCAGAGCAAAGGCAAACTAGAGGTAACTATTTTGATAGAAAAATATCTTTTGTTCTCAACTAACCTGCAACAAAGCACAATAGAGAATATTCTTGACTGTTGCACGAAATCCAATTGAAAGTAATAGAATAATGAATAATGCCGGCGCCATCAATAGAATATTCATTTTAATCGACACTGCCACACTAAATCATACAATTTAGATATGAAACACAGGAAGGAAATGACGTCCTTTTCAAACCTATAGAGAATACAGCCTAAAGTCCATTGACGTCGGAGAAGTAAAACAATTGAAATATATAAAAAGGTCATCGCGATCGGATCATTAAAGAGTCGAAGGACAAAAATTGAATGAATACGGTATGCTAATAAACACATGAAGATATACGCATACGGTGGAATCTAAATGAGACAAAGTTTTTGTGTTGCTGCAGTGTAATAAGTTCACAGGAAACAAACCTTTGCATTTCTGTTGTAAATATAAAAAACAGCTGAAATCATCATCAAATAAAGACCAGCAAATACATATTGAGCAAGCCGGATATTTTGACCGAAGTTTGTTATATAATAAAAGATTAAATAGACATAAACAAAGCCTGCTGGGTAACTAATCAAATAAAATTTTTCCACGAATAATTTCTTGTAAACGTTCACTTACACGAGGGGACCGGTATCGCCTTTGAGTTTGTAATAATCATAAGTGCCATTGACAACACCTTCTACTTCCTGCATATACGCTATCCAATCGATTTCTGTGTAGTTGATTTTGTTAATAATGAATATATTGAGGAAAATTTCCAGAAGAAATAGAGTAGACATGACATAAATGGATTTGGTCGGATTGATTAAAATATCTTTGTAAAAGGATAGATGAAAAAGTTGTTTGAAGAGTAACTTGAGTTGAGTCGAGAAGTTCGACGGCTTTTTCTTCGATGTTCGAGAGTGTGGCGGAGGCATTTCGCTTCGTTTTCGAGTTCAAGCGCAGAATAAATCAATATCGAAGGTTTTGAAAATGAAACGTCGATACGAGACAACGATAAGCGAATGAATGATATTTCAAGACACTTTATATTGGATTTTGTCATCATCAAATGATATTATATACGCGTGTTACAGATGGCGGCACACATAATCGAATTTTCTTCGTTTTTTCATTCGAAATCTCAGTTGAGATACCATCGATGAAGTCAGAACAATTAACCTAATCAGATATCTTCATCTCATCCTTATCTTTGTTTACATACCATAAACTTCAGGATAAAAAACAATCATTTTCAGAATATGCATAGAATTCGAGCTGTTTTCATCCAATCTATCGAAAATACCTCCTATCCGATGATCATATAAGTAAAAATAAATAAAATACTTCGAAATGACATTCATCAACTGAAATGTTGCATTTTACCACGTGTAGTAATCTTCTCTCGGCATAGAGGTATGCCCTATGATTAATCATAAAACCTTGTCGCTAAATCTAACAATTTACAGCTACTTTTCTAAGGTCAACGCTGTCTTAAGCTTACAATAATACAAAGAATTTTACATCATTAAGCAGGCAGTATTGCCTAAACAAATATCGTCTACGATGACTATCGAATCTACTTACATCAATTCACGTGATTTAAACAAACCCGACGCGAAACGTTCTCTGTACCACATACTTCTCTCACAATGCACAAATCTCTCGACGAGATCTTTGAAACATGAGGAAAGAAAGAACGAGATGTTTTAACCATGACAAACAGAACAGTGACTGTGAAGAATAAAACCAAACGCTCGTCAACTATTAAAACAATACAATGCAATCAAGCCGAAGCACGCAAAAAGAAAAGCAATTTCAACACAATCGGAACATTTGTTGACACATCTCCATGTACTTCCTTCACCATTAGTTCTACCGTATACAATGACATGCATGTTACAACACACAATGATAATTGAACGAATGAATACTCATGTACCAACACGAAAAACAAGTTGGAGTTAATCAATCAATTGCCATTGTGAACTAAATAACCTTTTCCAATAGCATATCTACTCTTTATCGGACAATGATCCCTAAGTGACCCACCATATAATTCGATCACGTTACATCATGAAATCTTGAGAATGAGAAATTACTTTGCATTAGTTTTATTAATAAATAACAATAAATTATAGCTAAAAAAAGAGTTAAGCACTTGTAGATGATTGAATTTCACGTCGTTTTTGTTTATCGCTATGACGTCGATTTTTGAACCATTGCTAAAAAGATAGAAGAATACTTAAAGTAGGCCGCATAAAACATACAAATGACTTACGCGAACTTTATCAATGGAAACATTCAATTGTTCAGCGAGTTGTCGAAGCACATCAGACGCTGGATGAGAATCTCGAAGATAAACTTGATGAAGGATTTGTATGTCGTTCTTCTTGAAGCATTGATGTCGACGAAGAGGCGTTCGATCAATTGGACCTAGAGAAATAAACAAACCATTGAGAAAAACAAACAAAGAAATGATGTCGAAAGCCTACGTGTTTGAGGTGGAGGTGAATACACTTGTATTGTTGAGGGCGGTGTTTGTTGATATGTGAACGGCATTGGTGATATATTCATTGATGGTATTGCTGGATTTGAATAGTACATCTGTGGTGAATGGTATGGACAAGTGGTCGGTACGAATGATGAAGTATAATACGTTGCTGGAGATGGTGATACATAGTCGAACGAATAATTGTACGATGGAAAAAATTCATTCGATGGTGATAATGATGACGATGGAAAGTATCGATTGTTCATTGTTATCAAGGACAAATGAGCGTAAGATTTGATGTAGAAGTGTTCGGAACATAGGCAAGTTATATATGAAGTTATTCATATAAATGACGAATAGTTAAACGTTTAATGAGTAACAACGCTTTTCCCAGAACAGAATATGACACAATGTTCTTAATTGATACTCGTCATTAAACGATATCGTAATCATTATCATTCAATTAGCATGCATTGTCGATGATCGTCACCACCGTTCTGTTGCTCTTTTTCTCTGAGCGGCAAGAAAGGAAGAGATGACTGACAGTTCTGTTTTATTTGAAATCAACAAAGAAAATTATTGTAGTATACAAAGCTGTCGAAAAGATAATCGTGTAGATTTTATCGGTTCTGGAAGGTTTCTTTGTGGTACATTGTAGGCTGATGAAGATTCAGGAAAATAACTGTCGGATGATGACGATGACGAAGTTGAATCGATATCACCTTGGTCAGATAGTTCGCTCAGACTGTTGACACATGATCGGAAACTACTGTTGCTTTGAATTGAATCAGTATCATCATCATCATCATCATCATCGAACGTAGTCAGTGATGAAGTGTAAAATTGATTGAATTGCTTCTGATGTGGATGAACAAGCACGGGTGTTGATGGATATCGAATTTTTGATGTAGAAGATAGAAGATTAGGTGACATGTCATAATTAGAAGTAGAATGCGATAGGAAAGTTCGTCGTTGATATAATGGATTCGACATACGTGGAATTCTCTGATGATCGAGAGTTTGCAAAGAAGGACGTTGTTGTAATGGAGATTCGATTATGGCAGGAAGATTCGATTGAAAATAATCATCCATCTAGATTATAAGACATTGTTATCAATTTTTTAAAGGCGAGCACGTCAACTTACACGTCGTGGTATTCTTATATTGGATTCTTTTCGCTGGTTCGATAATGAGCTCGGATTGCTTGATCTCCATGACCATGAACCTGATTTTTCCCATGAATTTGAAACAGATGATAATGGGACAGCATCACGGATAGAGTTTTGTTCTGTGAGGCAATGAATTTCTGGTAGTGAAGTGAATGGTGCCATTCGAGAATTTGATCGGAATGACGATCTTGTTTTCCATGATGCGTTACGCGAAACGAATTTCGGTAGTGGTCGATGATCTTCACAAAATAGATCACAAAGTTTTGATTAAAAACTCATAGTAGACTTACAATTGAATGAAAACCGATGTTTTCGTTCGATTAGTCTATCGATTGTTTGCAATGAGGACTGATGAAGTTTTGTTAATTGCCGGTGGCGGCGAAGTCGAACAAGAGAATCATTCAGTGAAGTAGCGGTTATCATTGAAGTTGATGTACGAAAATTTTCTTTAAGAACCTGTGGCCATTCTTGCGGTTGATCGGGTGAAACGAAGCTCATCAATGGTTTCGATGGTAGAAAACGAGCCCATGTTTCATCACTCGTTTGATTCGATATTTCTGAAATGAGATCAACACTACCTGCGATGACCCTATGATGCTCGTTTCGAGTGAACGAAGATGATGTTTCTCGAATACCGAAAGAATTATCCAATGGAATGTTCAAGCAGGTCAGTGAAGGAGTTTTCAACTTGATATTCAATGTTGACTGAGATCGTGCTTGAACTGTTGACGGCATACGATCGTAGAAGATTGTCATGATTGTCTTTGTGTCTGAATGTATGTTAACAATGAATAAAGATGCTACTCATTTGTTTTGATTCAAATGAACAAGTGAGTTGTAAGCAATGAGTCGATGAGAAGAGAAACGAGGAGGTCTCTTTTGCTCTTTTTCGCATGTCTAGGACAAACAAAATGTGAAGATACTAAACAGATGGTTGTTGAGCAAATGACCGTTTTATATCCATAACACTTCAAATGGTTTTATGTAAATTAAGATTGTATGTTACTAATCAGTTGATCGAAAAGGAATATTAGCGTATCGAACATTGTTGTACACGTTGATATGAGATCAAAATACAACTATAGGATGATGCCCAACTTAAATATTGAAAGAACAATTATCGTGTAACAATGTCGATTGATAAGAAGAACATTCTAGTCATTTTAATTCAACATTTCAAATACAATCAACTGTTCAACAAACGAAGTGCTCTCATTTACATCGTTTCTAGCTTTGTAGACAGTTTAGTTTTTGGTTCGCTTGACTCTCTCAACCAGTTGTATTGTCAAAAGCAACAAGAAGAACGTGTCGAATCTGGGGTAGATTGAAATGAACTCTGGCGGTCAGTGACGAGAACACCGGTCATCATTCGCGTAGACAGCTCCAGTAAAAATGTTCGTTCAAGAGCATGTAAAACTTTTATTTTCAAATAAAGAAATGAACGTCATCAAGCAAACGAAAAAAGAAAAAAAATCAGATACATTGCTTTACATGCTAAGAATTTAAGAGACAACATCTATTAGTACATCAAGATGTACACAATTTTTTTTCCATAACAAATACAATTATTAGTCAAGCAAAATAAAAGAAATATGAATATTGAGAGAGAGAGAGAGAGAGAGAAAGGGAAGATTATAGACAATGCACATACAAGGAATTTGACAACGAAATGCTCATTTGCGTGATCGTAACGGTTTCTTTGTTCGAGATTTTTTCTAGAAAAAAAAGATGTATTCGCTTATCGAACAGCTTTTTTCTTCTTACTTCATCTTCATCTTTATCATCATAAGTGGGATGAGCAAAAAGGCGTGTACGAAGATTATATTTGCCTTTGGGCGATGGATTCTTCTTAATCATCGATGCACCCGGAGTGGGCGGTGCGGTAGGTGCCGGTGTTGTAACAGCGGTTTTCAGAATAGTCGGAGGTATGCGTTGTGTTGGAGTTGATGATCCAAATGCAACGACAGTCGATTTAGCTTGTAGAACTCGATTGATTCGTGCGGAACTTGTCAAAGCTAAAATGAAGAACAAACTAGAAACGAAAATTGTCCAGCTGATCATATACTTGGACTTGGCCGAAATAGCGATTGAATACGTTTAAATGTTGATTGTTTAGGTGTATGGTTGCCTAGTTCAGTTGCCGGTGCATTTTGTGTCATTGTTGTTGAATTAACAGCAACTGTAGCAAATGATGCTCTGTCCAGTGAAGTTTCACGCTCGATAGTTGCATATGTATGTGTAGGTGATTGATGTTGGATAGGTATGGATTCCAATCCTTTAGTTTGATTCTTCGGGCGGCCACGAATGGTCGCGGTTTTAGGTTTGCTTTTCACATCTGTCGCTGATTCGACATAAATATTCTAAAATGAAAGTCAACTTGGATATCATTAGTACTGACTAAAATGTTTGTTCCTTACATTTGACGAAGTCTTTTTGGTTTGTTTAACAGGTATTTGCACTGCATTCGTTGTGCTTGCCGAAGAACGGCTTCGTGTCATTCGTCTAGGTTTCTTCGTAGTATCTTCTTCGTGCATGTTTAAGGAACTATTGTTTGAACTTGCTATTGATCGATTACGTGTCGTGCGTTTCGGCTTTTTGCTCTCACGTTCATGTTGATCGTCGTCATTCGTTCGCCGTTTTGTTCGTACAATTCGTTGTTCTTGTGTGACGCTAATCGTCGATATCTTTGATTGAAGAGAATTCAAAGTAATTTGTGAGTTACTCTTCGAGTTTTTATGCATATCGATTAGTTCCAGTTGCAAACCATCGTATTTGACTTGTAAAGTTTTCAAGTCGTGTTTGGTTCTTGTCAAATCATATTGGACTTTTTTCAGTTCGGTTTGTTCCGTACGAAATTTGTCTTCGAATGATCGCGCTTTCTTTTCAGCATCTTGCTTACGATATAATTCTAGACCAAGATCACGTCTTAGACGTTGAATTTCTTCTTGCAAATGTTGTTCGTTGTCACTGGTTTGATCTTTCCTTTGGTTGATCTGTTCCATGACTTTCGAATGTTCGTTCGTTAGCTGATCGAATTGTTTTTGCAGGGTTTTGATTTGTGAGTGCAATTGATCGACTTCATTTTGTGATTGAAGCGACTTTTCTTTCAGTTCGCGTTCTAATTTCGAAGCTTTTTGACGATATTGCTTTTCAGTGAGAACTAAATCGTTGTACAATTGTTGAGTACGAAGATGATTATCCTGCTCAACACGAAGATTTGTCGACAGATTTTCGCATTCTTCAGATAACTAGAGAAAAAAAAAGAAAGAGAGAGATGGAAGATAACGTGATTGAATGATGATTACCATTTGCTTTTCTTTGTTCAATTGATCGGTTTGTTGACGTTGAAAAAAAAGATATTGAACAGTTTTAATTCGATCTTGACTGAAATAGAAGAAGATGATTGGTGTTGCAAATCATGAATGTTCTCAATCTTACTGAGATTCAAGCATGAAATTTCGTCGATTTGATGCTTGTTTTTGTAATAAATCTAATGCCTTCTTTGTGCAATATTTCCAATAATTTATCTAAATAATCATTGTTAAAATATGTATATCAAAGGTAGAAAGGAATTGGCATACTGATTTAACACTGCTGGGAATAGAAAATGATGTTCCATCAATCGGTTGCAATGCAGTTTCTAAATGAATAGTTCGAAAAGTGAAAGCTGTTAACTTTCAGATATATTTTCTGTTACCATCAATCTCTTCGTCTTCGTTGATAATTCCCTTCTTGTTTTTAACTTTCAAAGGTCCATCTTTGACTAGTCGTTTCGGTCCTTTGTGTTTCGACTTTCTCGGATGCCTTACGACACCACTTGCACCAACTTTTGGTTCGCTTGGTACAATAATTGTCTAAAGAAAACGAGTAAATTCAAGGGAAAACACGAATTTCAATCAACGAACTTTCTGTGCCAAGGCGCAAAACTTTAATAGATCATTGGTTTGATTAACAAATGTTGCACATGGATTAACGTTGCAGCAAATGATCGTTCGTCCACGGCCGACAAAAAACGGACGAAAGATACTCGTCAAAACACTATTCCGATATGGAACAAGCATCTGCTTTCTAAAAAGTATTCATCGTACAAAGAAAATGTCGACATATCTCCTAATATTCATCTTACTTGGCTGTTTGATTTTCGTTCAATGTGCGAATACAATCTTTGAATGTCATCAGCGATGTGTTGATGTTACATGTTTCAGCCAACTGTTTTCCAGTACCAGTCGATGGTTCGTTACCAGCCAAATCACAAATATCTACCAAGGAATCCAAATAGAAAACAGATTTGTCAGTGATATTTTCTTACACATGTGACTCAAAGTTGGTTCTTCGTTGAACTCATTGATTGTGATCAATGTAATACATAGCACAGCATGTGATCGTGATGATGCTTCGTTTAAGTTGGTTTTGGATGTTGCACGATTCGCATAGCCGAACTTGATGATGTCTTCTGCTTCTTTTATGTCAAATACTGGTATTTGAATGAGGTTTTTGATCATGGTTGATTCATCATTCTGCATCAGACGGAGATTTTTCCGTGTTTTCATATCTTTCGGTTGAACGAGTAAATCAAGAATATTTTCATTATATAGTTCAAAAAACGATATCCAGACAGAATAATGCTCATCTATGGGAAAAGAAATGTCTATCTGATTTCGAATTGATTCGTTTTATTACCTTCGACAGATAAATCTTGAAAGCTACTTTGCTGTTGAGTGATTTTCGGTAATCGGATTCGACGCTGAAACAAAAGATAATTATGGTTCTGGAAGAGAGAAAAGCGAATTCTATGTACTGTATCGTTCTTATCATCTTTGAAAATATAATTTCTTGCATTAATTTCGATGTCGAGTGTGGAATCACTCGTAGGTATCAAGTTTTCAAGACCATCAGGTTTGAAGAACACTTTGTCATCAATATTTTGACCAACATTTACGAATATTCTTTGCAAGCATTGAGGAATTAAACCAGGCTTTTCTGGTGTGCCGAACATTGTATGAGTTTTACCTATAATAATTCATCGATAAATCTTATCCAATGATAGGTTTCCGGTGGGTGGGTCCGTTACCGCTATTCGTCAAACCCAAAGTGCACAAGAGCCAATTTGAACCTGTGAACACTTCATTGGTTGGTTGCTCCAAAATTTGCTCAAACAATTGTTGCTGCGTACAGCTTTCATCGAATATACGAGAAACCTTAAAATACAGATCGAAATCGAGCAGATGAACGCAGCAGAAAGGACATTGACCAACCTCATACTCATTATACGATGCTTGGATATTTCGAATAGTATTGTTAATTGTTGGATACACTTTGACAGCGATATGTGCATCGTTAATAATATCCAAGAGTTTCTGATTTTCCCCACGTTCAAGTTCATCGCTGATAAATGGACGGATACGCACATAAACATTCAGTGGAGGAATGGGATCGCGACGTTTAGTCGTTGTCGTATCGATTGTTGTTGATGCAATTCCGACTTCTGTTGTATCCATATCTTCTCAAACAAAAATGTATCTGACGAAAACAATCTTGCAGTAGAGAAATCACGTTGAACTCGAAGCGTGATTTTATTCAAACGGATACAACTCAAGTTTGTTTGAGGAGACAAAGATTATTCTAATCATGCAATAGAACGTTCCGACTTTAGCTAGTTTTATATTGGCTATCTCGTTTAGTCGCGAACAAAGGGTTGTCTGTTCGAAAGATTTCATTCAAATTTGAAAATATATATCAGTGAGAGCGATTTGTTATATATCAAGACCGAATTCTGAAACTATTTCATCAGTAGATTTTAAATGGAATTTACAGATGTCAGTAGTCTACATGAGTAATGGTCGCATTAGTTGTTTGTTACTCAAACCAATAATCGAGCTGATTTTCATCTCAGTCAATGCTTATATCGAATATTTTCTTTTATCTTTTAGATTATTTGAAAATACGATGTATCCAGCAAAAAATTAACTCTTGAACAGACTCTAATTGGTGTAAAAGGCACATAAAAGATTCCAATAATTGGTGAATTCTACATACAAATCAGTGAATTCCTTAATAATCGAGAAAAGACTTAATTGGAAATTTCCAACATTGCTCTTCCTACTTTTTTTTCAACAAAATAAGCTGTCATTCGTAGAATTCTTTTGCGGTTGAAGTGAGGTCGTCCACGATGAGTACGAGTCCGCCTGTTATTGCATGCTGGGTTGATCCTAGTATTGGTGAAGCTGGTGCACATTTAGCATTAAAGAAACGTTTCGAGGGGGTTTCAAATCGTATCACCCAATGGCATTATTTCGATAACGGTGATCCACTTCGAGGCTTATTCGACGCTAACCCTAACGCGGCGCTTGTTGTAATCATGTCCGGTCAACTTGCTCACCAACATGTTTCAACAATATCTCATTTGTCGAATCTGCATAGCGTTTACGTCTTCTGTGGTAACAAACAAAAATACCAATCATTACCTCAAGAGGAACCGAAAGTGAGAGGTATATTTACATCCGAGGACGATCTATTCCAACAAATGAGCACGCATTTACAGAGAGATTTTCCATAAATCGACAACTTAAACGCCTTGCTTTATAGTCTTTCGCAATGCTATATCTTTTTTAAATAAAGCCATCTTCTTATTGCATTCACGAAATTGTTCTCTTCTCAATCAAAAATAAATCACCATCAAATATAGTTTTCAAAGATGAAACTGTTTTTGCAAGTCAACACGTGAAATTTTCAAAACATCATCCAAGAGTGAGAAATTAAAACCAAAGAGAAAGTCTTGATGTACTATTAACATTTCGAAAAAAATTTAAGAAAAAAAAAACATCATTCTACTATCACTCATCAACATTTCCTTCAAACAGAAAGCTGTTTTTCAGTTTAACATTCGGATTTTCCTCCAAATCAGCCCAAAATTTCCTGACTGGAAACCAATCGGTATGCTTCGATAGCGTGACGACACCCAGAATTGCTGGATTGTGAGAAAGAGTAACTTTTTCAAGAAAAAGCAAATCGACTGTCACATCACTAATGGCTGTCTTTTCTGGAATTTGAAAGAGGAATTCTTCATTAAATATCGGATTCAATGATCGTTCAGCAAATTTCGTTCGTTTGATGTCAAATATATCAAATGGACCTTGAAAAATCACTTCAACATACGTTTCTACATGTATATACATAAATAGAGATAAAACAAATGAAAAGATAAGAATCTACGAACCAGGCTCGCGTAACAATTTTTCCGCTTGTGAATGGCTAACTCTGATGATATGGATAGTTAATTGATGTTTATCAGGCGAATAAACGGCTTCGATTTCTACTTGACCTACATTGATTCCACGTGACAACTAGAATCAAGAAGAAAAGATCAGAGATGTATTAACTATGTCCTTGCACGCTGACTTACGATTTTATGCGGTCGAGAAACTGGTATAATCTCTCGTAAAAAGATTCTCGATGCCCCGTGCGGAACATTCTTCACGTGTAGATGTGCCATATCCCAAAATTTCGCGCCTATATATTTATTCATAGATAACGTTTCGATTTTCATCACAATGTACAGTTCAACTTCTTGTTGGGCGATCCAATCGGCCGCCCAAAGAACCAATTGGGCCGAATAATCCGTTTTGAGGTCCGAATCATGTACATGCTTTTCGATAACTAGCTCATTTTCGATCGGTTTTCGTACATGTATCTCACAACGTAAACGAAAATCATAGAGATGAAACTTGAAGATAATATCATGGAGTAATATTCGTAAACAACTTTCATTTTCATCGCGCTGGATTTCTAACATGAGACAAAATTTCAAGTAGAGCATATCGGATGGTCGATGTGCTTCCTTGGTTAAAAGATCTTTACGATGTTGGACAAGTGCTTCGTTGAATTCAATGAAATCATGTACTTCTTGAAAGTTAGTGATTGGATCGATTTTTTCCGATTGACGTAGAAGATTATCGACAGATGAATGTTCTTCCGAGAGACGTCGAGCAGCAATCGGTAGAGTTTCATCAACGCTAAGTACTTCTCGAAAGGAGACTTTTTGAATGGCGTTAGCAGCTGCTGCTAATGCTCGTAAACCAAATGATGTGTCTTCATGACGCTGTCGTTTGGCTTCATCGTGATCTTCAGGTGAGACGAGATATTCATCCATTCGACGAATGAGTAATCTTGCTCGCTCAAAATCTGGCGATGGCTCTTGATTGCACTCATTTAATTGCCTTGGAATAACAAATGGAATATCATCGATACACATAATTTCGTTTTTATTAGTAATTATCTTGTTACCAAACACTGCTCCATCCTGGTAATGATAAACAAAAAAAAAGAATTTTGCTCTTCGTCCTCTTTGACACGCTCAAGAACAATCATATGTCAGTATCTGCTAACCCTCGATGTCATGCGTAAGAATGGCTAATAGACTGTGACATAACTATATGTACATACAGTGCGATCCAAGGGAAAATCTCGGTTAACATACTTCTCCTTCAGAGTTCTGCTTCCATCGTTTGACGGCGTGTAACCATTGTGTGAGTCGACGTAGAATGGAACTCTCACTCTTCTTCTCGTCTATTTCGACTCGATGAAGATTTGATAGTTGTGAATGTGATAAGTTCTTTTGAATCAGACTATTCATCTCTGTTTCGAACGATGTTCTTCCATGAGAGAAAAGAAACTCTTTCAAAAGAGTGATTGTTGAATTTAGAATCGAGTGATGTTATACGCTTTTTTGTATAGAATTTGTAAGAGAACAGATGAGACATCGGTTAAATACATCAACGAGTAAACGAGCAAATGATTGGTACGAAAAGGAATCAAGTTGTGTTTTTTTTTCTCTCTTTTATTTATGCAAAACTAGTGAAAAAGAACGACATAGAGTTCTTTCGGTGACTGTACACATCAATAAATGCAAAATATCGACATACAGAGAAAGAAAGAAGAAAAAAAGCTCGCGCGCAATAAAGAACCTCGAAGGTCAGCTAGATTATCGTTACTTTCAATCCAATAACAGACAATTGATGTTTGATACACAAATCAATTAGAACAGAAAGTCTACAACACTATCGAGATACTATGCACTCATTCCGGACAGATCTTACTAAGTCGAGTAGACATGCGAGATGGTGCAACATCTGTTTGTCATGTCTTAATTAATATCTTAACTATGCGAAGACAAGTAAAAGCTCGAATTATCCATCGTACATATCGTTTAGCATTCTCTGAGTTGCATAAAGTGCAAAATAAGGTGACACGTGAACGGAAAAACTTTCAGTTCTATTTACTACCAATAAATCTGTCTTAGTTTAATTTTCTGCTTGCTCGATCCGCATAATATTTGTTGACATGCACCTGTATGGAATCTCTGAAACCCTTCTTTCAATAATCGTTATTGGGATTGATTTATTTTCAACACAAATCGTTATGAAACTTGGCCTTGCACGATAGCAATCGATTATTTCGAGTCGAGGAGATGCGACAAAAGGAAGCAGATATTTGAACTTTTATTTTTAATATTGTGACTCATTCTCGGAGAAATTCTCTGGTTTATTTTGTATAAACACATTATATCATTGTTAACAAAGAAAAGAAAACAATCAATAGGAAATTTTTAAAAAACAACAAGCCATTCCATTTAGAAACCGTAATAACATGTATTAATGAGAAATTTGTACACAAATACGGCGGAGAAAAGAAAGAAGTGCTCTCATTGACATATGTAAAGGAAAATTGAGATTAATAAATAAGTAAACAGACAGCAAAAGCACCAAAATAGAAATAATTATTTGAGAAAAAGAACAAGAATAATGAGATCAATTCACAATTCAGTCGTGTGTTCAACATTGGAAGTTTGTCGTTGCTTTTGTTGATCTTGTAATTGAGTATTAACATAATTCACAATGAACTCAGCATCCAAGTTTGCTATTTCATCACCGAGAAATTCCTATCGAGAAGAATTATCATCAATCACCTTCTACACTAATCTTACCTGTCGTTTCGAATCTTCTGAACCTTTGTAGTATTTAATGGTAGGAAAGGCACGAATCGATGCTCGTTCACAAATATTTCGATGGTTGTCGCAATTAACTTTGCCTAGATTTACATGTCCGTCTAGTCTCTAAAAAAAGAACCAATCATTTGCTTGACATTCGAATTCGTAAATATGGTTGTACTTACGCGTGCAATGCCTTCGAAGATTGGGGCAAAATGATGGCAATGTCCACACCAAGGTGCTGAAAAATATCGTATATATCAGTCTTCTATTAACATAGAAAATATAAATATACCATAGAAATCAACGACCCAAGGTTTGGAATCGCGTAAGACAGTAGTTGAAAAATTCTTTCCATCAAGTTCAAGAACTTTACTTGGTAAAAACTGAAACGCCCATGTTCGTAAAGAATTTGCATCGCGCCATCCATTGTCATATGATCTACAAATTTTATATGTATGGAATCAAAAAAAAAACTATTGCCTTACACGTGAGCTTTTCCATCGGTGTTCGGAGGATAAATACGAATAGTCGGATACGAGTGCACACCTTGTCGTTGACATAAATGTGTTTGTACTGTACAATCAACTTGTGCAACATTCGCAATGCCTTTTAGGAACTATACAGAATAATTAGCATGAATTATGAAACCAAGAAACTTTACTTTTGCTAATGTTCTCCATTCTCCACTCAATTGTTGACACGGAAAACACCATGGCATAAAGAAATCGACTAACCACATTTCACTGACGTTTTTGTTTTCTACTAACTTCGTGTAGAGATCATTATCCAATGTAATAACAGTCGGATGAAGGATATCGTCGATAAAATTAAGTATCGCTTGTTCTTGATGTTGTCCATGAAAATAATATTGAGTTGACTGGTTATACATGATCGTTGTTGGATAGGAATTAACGCCGGACTGTTGACATAAATGCATATGGATTGTGCAATCTACTGTACCGAAGTTCACTTGTTCACCAACACGTTTCGATGCTTTACGAAATTCCGGTAGTAAGTGCATACACGGTGGGCAAAACTAGAGGAGAAAATCGATTAGATATGACGATGTTCTTCCAGTATAGTACATACTGGTGAGAAGAAATCGATGATGTATGGCTTCGCGTCGGTTTTGACAGCTGGAAAATCTGCTGGAGTCAATGCGCGTAATGGCGAAAAAGCATTTTCACGAACGAAACCAGCTATATCGCTCGATGTGTGGCGACCTTTGAAGAGAAATGCTTTCCATCAGCATTAGTTTTCTTTATTAAAAATATCACTTACCATAATAGAATTCATAGTGACCGCCACGCTTAAATAAGACGAAAGCCGGCTTTTTAAATATGTATAAATCATTGCAAACATTGGGTGATGTTGAGCAATCGAAACGACCGACATTGAAATCTAAAGGAAGTTTCTATTAAACATATTCATGATTGGAAAGTTACCAATTAACATCGATGGCAATTTTCTCAAATCAAGATCTTTTTCGTTATTGGTTTGATCATGGAAATGAATTAGCCATGGTTTAGCCACCGAACTGTCTTTCAAATGATTTCTTAATCGCTAAATCAAAACATAAAGTTACTCCTCACACGTTGAAATCAACCTTCTCTTACTTGAAGATGATCTTCGGTGACCAATGATAAGTCAGGCAGCAATGCTAAAATTTGTGTGACGATTTCTTTGATATTTTTTGTGGTAATTGAGTAACTTTCGCCGATTGGGAACTGCTCAGCTTTATAGAAGAGAATCGTACTGTATGGTTTCAGTTGTTGACAAACAATCGGATCCGCTTGACAATTCACACTACCAACTTGCACAAGATTATTCTAACGACAGAAAACAAACGGTCATTTGTTCATATATTCAAATCGATCAAACCTACCAACATGACAGCCAGTTTATAGACTTGATCATCGTCGAGACAGTCGCCTTCGTCAACTTCTCGACAGAACGATATTAACCACGGTTTCTTATTTTCAAATTGAAATGTTCGAAACATTCGATCATCGAATTTCACTACGTTCGCTTTAACAAAACTCATCGCATAACGTATTAAGATATCTTTATCACGTGGTCCTCCGTAAGTATCACGCTGAAAAACGGAAAAACCAATTGTCCAGCTCAATTCAATTCGAATATCAATTCTTTTACTTTTGGATAAATACGCAAAGCCGGATACCCTTGAATACCTTGTTCGTTACACATCATCCATTCGTCTTGACAGTTTACTGCACCAATGCGAATAACACCTTCGAGAATTTTCGATATTTCACGCCACTGAAACACAATGACAATGCAATGCAGATTGGACTTTTCGAGCGAAAACATACCACTGGTGCAAGATCGTGACAATGTGAACACTGAGGAGAATAGAAGTTAATGAACCATACATCTTGTGAGCCCTCAACCGATTGCACTAGAATAAGTAAGACTAGATTTGTATTTCATTCGAATCACCTCTTACGAAAGTCAGATCGACTGAGTGTGATGATTTCTGGATCTTCGTCATAAATTCCTAAAATCGAAACAAACATGAAGATGAAATTTGCAAAGAAAGATCAAACCGAAATTCTGTTGATAGAAATTCCACGATTGATACTGATTTCCTCGATTGAAATCATCTTTGAGACCTTCTTCGCCATAGGTATCATACTTTTTTCTCAATTCATCATCACGTAAGATCTCATAAGCACGATTGATTCGAACGAAATCTGCATGGGCATTCGGATCGCCCTAAAATTAAAGTAATCGCCATGAAGTCAACGAAATCAAAACAAAATTCTCATACCGTTCGTTTATCCGGATGTTTCTCAAGTGCCAAACGTTTAAATGCACGGCGTATGTCACGTTGCGTTGCTGATTTTGTTATTCCCAGTAATTCATAAAAGTCTTCGCCAGCTGCAACACAAATTAGCGATAAGAATATGTAATAAACGATCGATAGATGATGAACTTGCATAGTTTATCGATCTAAAGCGATTGACATTCGGTTAAACAAAAGTTGAGAACGAAACAAACAGACTACGAAACAACAAGCGAATGAATGAGATTGGTCTGTTCGCTGTTCTCTTCTTCTTCTTTTCCTTGCCATCAGATGTGCATTCGTTGACAAACAAAATCAATTCAAATAGGATTGTTACACGTATGTGCTACGTCGAAAGAATAGAAGAAAGGACAGAGAACATTCACGTACGAGAAAGAGAAAAAATGTGTTGGCGTCAGAATAAGATAGAAGAACGAATGAAGATCATTGAAATGGGTGGTTAAAACAAGCAACCTTGCCCGGACAGTTTATGTACATAAATTCACCATCACCTACCTGCATTCACACTCGTGGTGTTTTGCACATTATTCAAAAAGACATTAGTACAAGAAAAAACAATAACAGAGAAGATCATTAGCTTCTCGGAACGACTTGCATGTTATAAGACTAAAAAAATTACCTTTTAATTGAGAAAGAAACGCAAAATACAATATACGGAATGAATAAAGGATTTCTAATCGAAAAAAGTATAGCTGATCACTCTATACACGAAAGACTATTCTTGTCAATATTTTAAAAATCGTCTCTTTGGCCTTTCTCATGTCGAATGTCTAAAAAACAGATTGCACTAGAATAAATCATATTTCATGCTTTGATAATATTTGCCAAGTCTTTGTAACTTTCCATTGCTGCTTGCATGTACTCATTTAATTCCTTTTGCATATACGATGTAACTAATAAGCCGCATTGTTCATCGTCGATTAAATATCCAATTCCGAACCCATCGTTAACGACTGGACCAAAGCCTCCAGCTTCGATATGTTTCGACGCAACTGTCGATGTTGAAAGAATCGTATGGTTCATCAATTGATAAGACTTATCCGTGTAAATCGGATGTAATTGTGGTTCTTGATTTTCAGTTTGTTGTAGATATTTCAATGCGAATAAATGCCGATCAAACCCTTGTCCTGTCGCTGCTTCTTTGATCAGTTGTTGATGTTTCTCAGAAGCTTTCTTCAATAAATCTTTCAAAAGTTGTTTATCACTCGATTTTGCTAATGCTTCGATGAATGCTTTGGTCTCATTGGTAACAGGTCGGATAGTTTCTGTTCGACCATGTTTGTAAACTGCTGTCGAACATGACTCATACGTTGAAACAAATCGTTGACGCATTTTGTAATAAGCCATTTGAATCCCAAGCTGCATGATTGCATCAGGACTGAGCGCAGATTTCTTTAAGAGATTTTTTCCTAAGACTTCTCTTTGGTAAGTGATAATGTTGAGTTTCGAGACGAAATCATCGTAATTTTGCTTTGATGTTTGTACTTCGTGTTTCAATGTATCGTCGAGTTGGAATTCGAGCTTGTTGATTTGATCTTGTGTTGACGATTGGATCGATTGATAGTTTGATGAATTAATCTTGAGATGTTTGTTTACATCTTGATCAATGTCATTACAAAATCGAAGGAGAGCAACACCGTCACCCCAAGAGTGTTCGCAATGGAGACCTAATGTGCCGTCGGATAACATGATCATGTTGAATGATTTGTCGTACCAGCGGTTTGATGCATTGTAACATAAGTATTTTCCAGAGATATATGTTGCGCGTTGTTCTTTTGTTAGACTTTTATCTAATTTCGATGGATCATCTTCATCTAGTAAAGAGAGAAAATGAAATATAAAATAACCACTCGAAAATCTCTACCTAAGCATATAACCATGATTGAACTATCGATTTCTTTGAAAACTTGTTTATTATGTTGTGAAAGTGTTTCAAATTGTTCCCGTATCTTTCCCCAGCGATCCCGTTTATCAGCTGTAAAATATCCCAACGGATGTTTATTCTCTTCTTCATTTAAATCTTCACATAAATACTTCATCATTGCTGCTATTTGTTCCGCAGGTAACAACTGTCCGTTCTTATCCAAGATATTCACCTTATAATAGTGACCACGTTTGATAACAATAATATGTCGAACATCTTGTGCGTTCGTTTCCAGTACATCGCAGTCGACTTTAGGAATGCGTGTTGAATTAAACAAGCGATTGTATTGAGACATATCTAATGGGTAAGCTTTTTGTAGAACAGCACCGTAGAATGAAAGGCGTTTTGGTACATAACGAAGAATTTTACGAAATTGATCAGTGTTACTTTTCTTCGGATTCAAATGATAGACTTCAGGATCGAGAGTATTTGCTCGGAGCGAGTTCATAAAACGAACGGATGAAATAATGTAGTTCGTAAGACGTGCTGCTGGCTTTAAATGTTGTTTGTCTTCGGCAAAGACGAGAAAGAAGTTAAAGTTTAAGATCACTGGCAAACGCGATTTTAAATACATTTCAAACCATGGCTTTGATATATAGGAAGTATTGCGATTCGCTGTATTCTTCTTTCGTAGTTGTTCGTCGAGCCGTTTGCCATCACCGGAACGAAAATCATCAACATATTGTCGCGTTTGTTCGAATGCCTTGTTATCATCGTTTAAAATAGGTTTCACGGCTGATAAATAACGTTCACATGTTAGTTCTAGTTTTGGAATGGGTAAACGTGGTAAACTATATTGGAAATGATCAGTTGGAAGGATGCTTGCCTTGAGATAATTATAGTCTCTATTGGATTCCGATGCGAGATGACGATGGAGAACAATAGCAAATCTCTGCGATTTGCCAAATGTAAGATGACTTTTAGTCAACATCAGATTAAAAAGTAATCAAGTGACGTGAATGGATACGATCCGATATAAAACAAAATAAAAAGTAGTACAGTGAATCATACGAAACAACTCTCCCTGTGCTGATTAGTTATCGATATGTATACTCATAAATAAGGATGGATGTCGCTCGTATCAGTACATGATTAACAAGTCAGACTAATGAAAAAGCTTTTCCTGTTTGAATTAAGATAAACATAATGGCAGCGTTTGATTAATTATCTATTCAAATGACCTTGAATCGAAGGTCAATCGTCTTCTTTTAATTAAACTGAAATTCGATCAAAGTATAGTTTCTTCCTCTATCATTGCTGTTAAAATCTGTAGAACAAGCCGGTAAAGCCATCGATCAAGAAACCATAAATCGAGGGGATTTGTTTATGATTTAGTGCTTCTTTCTATCTGATATCAGCTAGTGAGAAAGATAAAACATGTCTTATACCTTGTTAACTTTCCTTGATATTTTAGTTTTTTATCATATCAGTCGACGGTTATTTTATCATTATACAATTTTTCTTCACACGAAAGGCAACTTATTTTCGCTAGAGTGTTTTAGATGCGATTAGTAATTTTGAAAGATTATGCCGAAGTGGCAGAATGGGGTGCACGGTATATAAAAAAGAGAATTCATGATTTCAATCCAGGTCCCGGACGACTTTTTGTGCTTGGTCTTCCAACGGGTAAAATCTTTCGTTTTTTATTGCTCTTATAAGATTCGTGTATAGATAGGCAGTACACCGATTGGTGTTTATAAAAAATTAGTTGAATTTGTCAAAGCAAAAGAATTATCATTTAAATACGTCGTGACTTTCAATATGGATGAATACGTTGGATTACCACAAGTAAGTACGAGTAACTTCAATTCGTATTCAGATGCATATTTGTTGTAAATAGAATCATCCGGAAAGTTACCATTCGTTTATGTGGAATCTACTTTTTAAGCATATTGATATCGATCCGAACAATGTGCATATACTCAACGGCAATGCACCTGATCTTAATCTCGAATGTGCACAGTATGAACAAGCAATTCGAGATGCTGGCGGAATTGAATTGTTTGTGGGAGGAATCGGCCCTGATGGACATATTGCTTTCAATGAGCCCGGTTAGTGTTCTCGTTGTCTTCGCATGACAATTCTGAACATGCTCTTTTGTGTAGGTTCCAGTTTAACATCTCGAACCCGTGTGAAAACACTTGCTCAAGATACGATTGCTGCTAATGCACGTTTTTTCAATAATGATATCAATCAAGTACCGAAATCTGCATTGACTGTTGGTGTTGGAACAGTCATGGATGCACGAGAGGTTAGTCATACTTAAACCGCACTGAAAGGCGCAACGAAAAAGTAAAACCTATAACCTTCTCTGTAAGATAAACATTTATCAAGTATCGTTATAATTGCCCATTAACTATTTTGAGACAGTTTATTTAACTACTACGGAGAAAAAACACATTACTAATGCAGAACACTTCAATTGACACCTACTCCCTTAACAAATCGTTCATTTTTTTATTTCAGTCAAGTGATCGATGTTTTTTCTCTTGTTTAGGTCATGATTCTGATCTCCGGTCAATCGAAAGCTCATGCTCTTTATATGGCTATCGAAGCAGGTGTGAACCACATGTGCACAGTATCTGCATTTCAAAACCATCAGAGATTTCTCTGTGTCTGTGATGACGATGCCACGATGGAGTTAAAGGTGAAAACAGTTCGATATTTCAAAGGTTTGATGCCTGTACATAATCAACTAGTTGAAGAAAACGGTCATCCATCGTTGCTTCATACCGAAAATTAGACTAATAGGCGATTCTTTTTCTTCGAATTTATTTTATAATGATAATTATGAATGTTCTGCAAGTAATTTTAATTAGTAGTGATAACCATTAGTTGTCTATGGAAAGACAATTAGCAGAAATGTTTTGGAAGAGAAAATACATGTAGTCTTTTGCTTTGTTTCGATATTTCGAATAAAAATCTACAAACGATTTAAGCATGTATATATTTCGTTGCAGCCCACTTATGATTCGAGCGTCCACGGCGTTGACGAAGAAGTTGACAATCGACTTCTAATGCTGTCTCTTTGTCAGTTAGATTTGCTTGTAAACGTTGGCCAACTACTTTCAATGTTTTCAATTGTTTTTCGGTTTCATTCGCTGATTGCTGAAGATCTGTCGTAGTCTGAAAAGAAAAGAGAGAGAGAGAAGCATAGGAGGTAGCAAAATATCTCATACTTTCATCGCCATTTGAACTTCAGATAGCTGGTTTCCTGGATGTCGTTGAAATGTTTGAATGATTGGCCGGTCGAATCGCTCGCATGTTTTCAAATTCGATGAACTTTGCGGACCTGCATTCGTTCGTTGGGCACTCATAGTTATATCATGCCAGCGTTGCGCACGATTTTGAGCAAGCATATTGTCACCGAGTGAGACTGTTAAATGTTGCTGAAGAAAAAAAGATGAAATACATTTGAATGATCAAAATCAATAAGACACGGAAGAATTATTTACTGCTAATGTAATAATATCCGCAAGTTTTTGTGCAATGCTTTGATTTACAGTTAAGGAATAAGCTTTGGCGTCGTTGAATGCATCTTTGATTTGGTTCATTGTTTGTTTTTTAATTTCCCCGGACTCGTCAATAGATTTCGCGGCTTCATCGAATATTTGAATGACATCAGGTGTAAATGGTTGTAAATGACCAACGAGAGGAAAACCGTTCTCGTCCAGTAAGTTCGATTCAGCTGAATTCAGAAGATTCGCTTTCTGACGTCGTGATCGATACGTCTGTGCAGATGGTGATCGTCGATGGTACATATTACTTAATCTATGCATATCAAATATTCTCGAATCATTTGCAGAAGAAAAAGTGATGTTTACTTTTCAGTTCGTACTGCTTCAAATGTTCGTGACGCGCTTGTTAAACATTGGCATATAAGTTCAGTAACCGTTGAACGTTCTTTGTTGATTTTTGCTACTCGGTGTCGAATTTCGTCAAGTTTCTATCGAACGAAAGGAAACCTACTGTTAGAACATCTTTTAATAAATCGCGTTTTACCTGCATTTGGTTAATAACATTTCTACAATTGATTTCCAACACTCTTTTTATTTTCAACAAATGATATTTTTCAGCGGAAAGAATATCATCAACACCATCAGGTTCCTAATAACATTATAGGTGTTTTCTTAAAATGCTTACAATGTAGTATGATTACCGATTCTCGTTTGGGCTTTTTTCGCATAGTATGACTGTCCTTGTTGATAACAAGATCTTTTCGCATATGGTCAATAGCAGCGTCAGTGTATTCTTTCACTTTCGCTAAAGATTTAATTTCTTCGTTTACATCATTCCAGCATAAACGTAATTTAGAAACCACAAGGCGACATTGACGAGCATAGAATAAGGCTTCTGCGTTACTCAATTCGCTGAGTAACTCACGCGTATGAGGAACAGGGTCGATGCCTTTAAAAACAAAGATCATACACAATTCTTTAGACAATGTAATGGTTTCTTACCTTTGCCATAGAGAATGTTTCGATCACTCTGTTCTATCGCTTTCGCATTAAGCCGAATATCAACCATCGTGGCTTGTCGCCAATTATCATTACTCAGTAGACTGCGGCCTAAACGTGCATCACGCTGTCCAGCATAAGCTGTAGCTGGCCGAGTGGGTAGTGCTTTCACTGTTTGTTGTTGCTGTTTAGCTGGTTGAAGCTCACTTTGTTGTCCAGCATAGGCGGTCGCTGGTCGTGGGGGCAACGGCGCTCCTGTTTGTTGATGTCGTTGTTGGCATGGTTGTAATTCATCATAAGTATAACTTTTCATGACATAATATTTCTCCGCATGAACTGCTTGATTACCAGTATCTGTTAATGATGGTCTGTGCAGTTGACATGCTGTACTTGGTCGTTGAAGATTTATCATGCTGTCAGAGTTTTAATCCTATTGAATTTCTTCCATGAGAGAAAAAAAACTTCTTTTTTCCTTGTATGATGTTTGTGTATATACGATAAGTAAATAAAGTCACTAGAAACTCTCCTCTCTTTCAAAATCGCTGTCATAGAATCAAGCATCATTGCTTTCTTTTTCTTTTTCACTCTTTTCCTTCGTTTCTTCGACATGAGACATTTTTTAATTTCTGGCCAGAAGACATGTAACAACCATAACTTATTTGCTTGTTCGAGTAGCAAACATCACTAACATTTCATTACAGCCGCCCGTGGCAACCAAACTATCAAACAATATGTTGATGAGAGGGAAGGGTGCACTTGTTGCTGTAATCTGAGTAGTAACTCAGATATTTGTGCTTTTTTTTCTTTATTAAATTCGTCTATCGCTTCGAGTTCTTGTTTCACTCGTACTGACATTTGCATTCCTGAGTCAGAGTTCATAGCAGAGGTGAATAGCGTGAAGAGATTATCAGATAGCGGATGAATGATGAAACATCATGGTAATTTATTCTTATATGGACGTCACAAAAAAATATATGGAGAGAAAAAGAAAATTTACAGCCTGAAGTCAAAAGTCAAGAAGGATTGCCTCTTATCTTGTTACGATGAAGATTTCGGATAATACGGAAACTGTGCACGTTGTTGTTGTTGTTGAATGAAACGTGATGAATGTTGAGGAACTACAATGGGTAAGCTTTCGACCGGATTTGGTATGATCATTTGATTATCATCAAGATCACTTGGCGCATCTTCAATATCACCAGTTATTGGATGTCGTCCGGAGGGAGGTGATGTTGATGACAAATGATAGTGGTAGTTAGCTGACGAAGGTTCGATTAGAGTCGATGCAGGATAAGATGGGCGACTCCGTTTGAAAAATCCACACTACATTAAGAAAAGAAATTGTCTATATATTGTTGCACATCTATATCGTTTGTGGGAGTCAAAAATCTAATCAGGATGTCGATGATTTGCTCAAATGTGAACAATCAGAAGATTTTGTTTTGACTGAAATCAGCTGAGAACCGGTTCGCCAAGAGAAATAAACTATCGGATCGAGTTATTAGGTCAATAGCTGGAGAGATTTATTAATATTTGAGTAAACATTATTAGCAGAGCATAAAGGAAATAGGAAAGTCTCTTTTGAAATCAAATTGTATGAATAAATTCTTTTCCGAGTGTCGAAGAGTCCGCCGATCGATTTCAAAAACACTTACGTGCCTCTCTCTGTCTGCCTTTCTTCTAATCAAATTCATCTTCAATTATTCACTCAGTCAAAAACTGTAAACTCCTTCCACTTCAGATATATACGTCAAGTTCAAAAATAAAAGTTTTCCGCTTGACGAATATTCCTTTCTCAAGCCGCCAACATTAATCGCATTTGTCGTTCAACTCCGTACTCTGTATGTATCTCTTTCCCAATATATATTTTCCGTATAGAATAGCATTGATTGAACTGCTCACAAAAGAGAAGTCATCGCATAGTCTGTCATTTTTCTTGATCAACACACATCAACTAACTGTCGTGTGCTTCGCTAGTTTTTCTATTCTGACAAATCTCTTTTTTTTCCTAGAGCGACTATTTTATCGAGTCTTATTCTGCTATAAATATTAATATGTCGACAACTAGCAAAGAACCGGATTGTGATGGCACGTCCATCTGCTAGATAGAGAGCCTGATTATCCAACATCGCATTTACTCAACTAACAACTGTTCCTCTTTGTCGCTGTTAGTATTTGCGACATTACCATAACATATATCAGCACGATTAGTGTCAACTATACCAAGTACGTGCTCGATGATTGTTTCTATACGTCAATTAGCTTATCGTCATTAATGAGAGGTAAATAGTAGATTACTTTTCGTCTTTGTCCGAAAGACGAGATACTTACACACCAGAGGACACCAACAAGTATAATTAAGAGGGTAACACCAGCGGTGATACTAAACGCAATGAGCCAAATCCAATTTTGCGACGAGCGTTCGACAATAGGCGGTATTTGTGTTTCAAGCTAGAATAACAATAGGAATGGTTTTCAAAAATAATGAAGAAGCAGAAAATTCGATTTTCATGTTTACGAAGTTCAATAGAGAACATCAATAATCAAGTCAAAGTTCGTTTCCTTTCCGTGTACTATCAATTGCCAATCACGTTCTATAGCGACGCACCACCCGATGTTTTATTACTTCTTGTTTATCAATAGACATGAACATCTCAGCACATCGATAATACAATCGAGTTAAATTAGTAAATGTCGTCTCAAGTAAATTGTCTACAACATTACTCATTTCATTAGAATATCCCTCTCTCTTACAACAGTCATTGGACTTTTCATATTCGAAAAACTCAGGAAATCTTAGTTGAGTCGACTCAAGAAGTATATCATTACTCAACAATGGTTAACTAGACTTTCAGACATACAAAATACCGAACATAGACAATGTTAACATGTAGATTCCTAAAAAAAGCTTGATGACGTTAAAGATTAAATATACAATCAAGCACTTGACGTTCTTCTTTGTTCCTGTATTAATCATCATTCTTTTCATTGTTCTCGTTCCATTTCTGTCATCGACGTTCTTTCGCTTATCGTTTCAGTTAGAATTCTTCCTTATTTTGATCATTACGTTATCATGGGAGTAATTATCATCTTGAAATTGTACATCTTCAATTACGAGATATGATCAATAGGATTTCATTTTACAGCAGCTTTGCCATCAATCAAAGTATTTATAAGACTGAAAAATTTCCTCCCTTTATTCTTTTTCTTTACTCGCTGAAACGACATCGATGTATTTACATATTAAACAATATATTTGCTAACAATTAATCGCTTTTTTCTGTGTCTTTGTCCTTTCTTCTTCACTATTCATTAGAAATTCTTTACATTCTCTGAGCGATGAATTTCTGTGTCTTATTCGATATATGCTATATATATAACCTATCTTCGTTTGTCGTTATATAAATAATTTTCTATAGATAAATATAAAAGTAGTTTCGTTAGCATTGATATTGAACAAACGACTCTCTTTTTTTTTTATCAAGACAGAACTTAGTATCTTCTTGGTTGTCTTCGTCGATCGAAGATCAAAATGTAGAATTACAATTACTTCGTCTTTTTTCTTCTTTATTTGCGAACTACTACTGTCATGATCATCCAGTAATAACAAAAGAACGACCATTATTATTGTTCTGATAATTTTAGTATATTATTCGGAGTTTTTCTGTTGACACACCACATCTGCACACACACACAAAAGCTTATTCAAAGCATTTCTCTAGCGATTCGCTCTTCGATCTTTCTCTCTCCTATCATCTTCGCTGTCTATTTTTACTGACTAATACCAGAAACGTCATCACTATCGTCATCATCTTTCATTATTTACGACATAAACGCCAATACCGATAGTCATCGGTGATCGTCTTTCGAAACGATGATTAGCCCATCTGACTCATGCAGGTAAAGCAATCCTTGAGTACGTTATCTTCATTCATGTTCTCTCGAACGTAATCCGGTTAGGAAAATGATAAATCAGCACAGAAAATATTATAAATATAACTATCAACTACATTTCAATATACCACGCTCCGGTGATCTGAAAGAAGGCTTATCAAGTTGTTGCTCAACATCACTTCTTTCTATCGTTAAATATTCCTTTCAAGTCTTATCTTAATAGTAATCCTATAAGAAAGACTCGAGGAAAAAGGCTTTCGAATTTCCTTTTCTTTTTCCTCTTCTCCTTGCACAGTTGTTATTTGTCTGCGTCTGTGCTCATGTATGCGAAAAAAAAACAAGTAGACAAGACAGGGGGAGAGAGAGAACTTTCATATATTCCCAATTCGTTTTGCTGTGTTTTCTTTTCTCATGTATTTTTCTATGTATGTATAGTAGTGTTTGGGGAATAGAAAGACTTATTACGTTGATTACGGATGCGTTCATCTAACTAGAGAGCAAGAATAGCTATGTCGCCTACTAGTTTAATGAATATTTCAACTATGTGCAAATCAAATAATAAGAATAATAGATCGATACGACGAGATCTTGCAAACATGACCATTAAAGGAACAATAATAAAACGTCTGTCTTTAATGTTGTTGTCACTCCCATTAACAATGTTAATTATCCGAAGTTTGGACGTTTTTTTTCTGTTTTCCTTTATTCGTATCTTCTCGCTTAAATAACAAACATAGTATATGTGCAGTTGAACGTGTCATCAAAAGAACTCCATTTAAAAATCAGCATAGGTGAAGTGAGAGAAAAAGAACTACTTAAGTTGAGGTTATCGTCGTGTAAATAAATAAGACTATATGAAAATAGAATCAGTTTTCCTTATAGATTAGCAATCCTGCTCAGAAACAAAAGGCGGAAAATTTTTTTCGCAGATCGAGAGTCATTTGAAGTGTTTGACCGGGTACTTTGTGAAGTAGAACAAAAAAGATCGAATGAGAATTATGCGAAGGATTCACATTCTTATCAATGTGAGATACGAGTTGCAGACAGATAATTACCGATACCCTGTCAATTTCCGGTTTTATTCTATTGTGTTTCTAGTTGTTCACTTCCGTTTCTCATTCATCTCGGTATAATATCCTTCCGAAGAATGAACATGTCTAGAAGTGCTTGGAAACACGAAAAACGAAGTAGAAATGTGGTGATGGTGTTTTCTTTTTCTTTCTCTCTGTCTCTCGTATTTTTTTCCTTCTCCCACGGCCTATGTTAATAATTGAGAGTCTGATTTCTCTTTTCTCATTTTTCTTCTCCATTCGTATTCACTCGGAAACAACTTGAACAAACCGGACTTTCCACCGTTGTTACACACATATTTGATATTTCTACTTCATCATAGATAATATATATTTTTTCACTGATCTATTTGCTCTTACATGAAGTCGAATGGCAATGCTTTGCAATGAATCAAACCTGGTTTGGCTTATCGAATGCCGATAAAACTGGCACACGTTATGACTATAACAATTTTCTCTTAACTGCAGATCTTTTTCTTAATAATACATTACAGGAAATTTCAAATGATCTTCATATTGGCTACCAGGCGTTCTTCTCGACGTCAACATCAACTTTCAAACGCATACAAAATACTTCGCATGTCAATCAAAGCTTACTCGCAAACTCATTGTATATAAATGGTATCGCATCCCCGATTGAAAGATTCATCCTCACTTTTCTCATGTCAACTATGGCATTCTTAACTGTATCGGGCAACTCATTAGTGATTATTGCGTTTATATGTGAACCAACGATACGAACGTATTCGAACTATTTCATCCTTAATCTTTCTATCGCGGATCTGCTTATTGGACTTATTTGGTAAGCGATTTGTTGCGAAAACTAGCAGTGATTGGTAGTACTTCAGACGATTGATTATGATGATTGAATAAGTTATTTCGACATGTCGATTTGTTTCTACGGAGGCTCGACGGAAGATTTTGAGAATCGAGTGTCAAAAATAATTTGAGCAACATCGTCTGTGTTAAGATAAACAAATCCTAATGAATGTTTCTATCTTCTAGTATTCCACTGTATGCTCATAAAATAATCTTCGGTGAATGGTATTTGGGTTATATTCTTTGTAAATTATGGCTAGTTTTTGATTATGTCGTTGGATCGGCATCTACGTTATGTATTGTTGTTATTTCTTATGATCGTTATCAAATGGTTTCGAAAGGTTTAAATTATATATCTAAGACAACGATACGACGAGCATTGAAGTTTATGTTAGGTACATGGACGATCGCAATGCTCAATTATGGTATGTTATTCTACAATGAATAAAAAAGATAATTGACTTCGATGTTTCTTTTTCATCTTAGGTCCTGCAATATTGTTATGGGATTGGTTACCTGGTAGTGATCCGTTTCAGAATCGATCCTGTGATCCTCCATTTGCTAATAATTTTCCGTACTTGGTGACAACGGCATTTGTAGAATTTTTCGTACCTTTTTTTAGTATAACGACGCTTAATCTCCTAGTCTATATGAACATTCGTCAACGTTCTCGAGGATTAATACGCACAAACAAGGATAACAGTGGTAATAACCATCATCTCGCGCCAAACGAAGCGAAACTACGGCATTCTATAGATAATTGTAATGGTAAACACGATCCTCATGACGCTCAAGAACTTATTCAATTTCAACCCTCGGCAAATTCTCCTCTACCCGTCTCAACAACTTATTCCAAATCGTCATCATCGTTAGCCTTAGCACGTGATCGTAAAGCAGCGAAAAATCTGTTCATTCTCGTTTTCGTGTTCGTTCTCTGCTGGTGTCCATACACGTTCTTAACATTAATTCGAGCTTTATGTAAAAATCCTGATAAGTGTATTTCAGCATTTATCTACGAAATTACATTTTGGTTGTTATGGTTAAATTCAACGATCAACCCGTTATTATATTCATTTCTTCATGTCAAATTCCGTGAAGCATTTTATCGTATTTTATGTTTTTATAACGTAAGACATCGTCGTCGATTATGAAAGTATTAAATCTAATGACTAGAAAGAAAAAGGAACATACACATTTCAATCTCTCACGTTCTCTCTCTCTCTTTCTCCCTATTCTTCTAATCAGAGCAATTAGTAAATAAAAAAAAAACAAAGGAAAATGAATCGATTGCTATAATCAAACATTTGTGTGCATAGAGTTTGAACGGGAAAATGAGAATTATAAGAAGAAGAAAACGTAGCGATATGCATTATTTATGTATGTAAGGAAGTAATTGCTTTCGTGCGCATAAGACATGAAAGACATACCTTTAAATAAACGATTGCTTGCCTCGATGATTTATTGGATGAAAATCTTAAAGGAATTTCTCGAACTTGTGCACTTGCATTGGAGATAATGGCAAATGTTTTAGAACGATCGATTTTCTACAAAACAAAAAGACAATAGATTAACAACATGTTTACATCTTCCATCGTTTTCATGGTTAGTCTATCGGGAAGGGAAAAAAGCATTCATTGGTTCAGTTTCTGCACTAAAGCAATTTGCTTGAAGATTAGACAGTACACGATGTAATCTGGTTTAGTGAAAGAAACATTGCTTTGACATTTAAATTCTGCAAGACTAATGGTGATTTTAGCACCAGTAGAAGACATGACAAGAATGATTTATGTGAAACATAGTCAACGTTTTGCAGTATCGAATACATTTGATATACATGGCAAATGTAATTTAAGCAGAGCAAACTCTTTTGGATGACTATTGTTTTTCTTCTCGTTGATTGACATGCTGGTCAAATTGGATTTCCGAATACTTAATTAAGATCGAGAGAATCAGCGAGCGAATAGCGAGACATAAGTAGTTTCACACATATCAGTTTTCAATTAGTTTTCTAAATGAACTTCTTTTGTTCGCACATTGCCACCGATAGAGTTTTATTACAAACTAGACCTGAAGAATTCTTTTGAAAATATAATCTTTTTCATATATATATATATATGTTCTTTGAGTTTTTCATATTAATCTTATTTAGTTGAGCTTCCTGATAGGCTATAGTAGTTAGTGTAGTAAGTAGGTTCATCAAGTAAGAGCTATAGTGGACTGCGAAGTGAGCTGACATTGTATAAACGAGAGACTAATAATTACATCATATGAAAAGTCCATTTTATCTACGAATGTACTACGAGAAAGACAGAGAAGAATAACTTACTGATTGAAATTGATTTAGACGGAGAATTGCTTTTAATTGGATCAAAACGCTGTGACCAATTGGTAGTGTATCAATATAACAAATAAAACTTTTGCATAATGGTCCATGACAGAACGTGGGTACGGAAGAATCTTGAAAATGTTGGATCGATGAAGAATCAGAACGAATCAGATTATCCGAAAATGTGGAATGAGCTCTATTGATAACTGGATGATACATATCTGTACTAGGCACATGATTCGTTGTCTAAATTAAGAACAATACGATCGTTTTTCGATGTGTATATACTCACAGGTTGGTAGATATGGCATCGATCAACCTTGGCTTTTGGATCTGATACACGAATAACTGATGGGAGATCATTTGCTTGTAATAATGGTTGATGTTCATTAAATCCTGACAATGGCATCATTGGCCACATTAATTTAACTTCGGTACGTTTTGCATCACTTGGCCCTTTGTTATGCAACGTATAAGTATGAACGATTTCCAGATCACTTGCATGCTTAATAAGATTATTATCAGATGTATCCAGGGCGATTTGTTCCGGTTTAGCAACACTGGAATGAAAACAGTCAGTAGACTTTCACTCGCTCTGCATCAGTTCATACCCAATGAAAACTAATTCAGGCGAACTTGAAACTGGAACAACGATTTCTGAGACTAATGTTTTGAAATCAGGATTGTCACTGATGATGGTGGAAAACAAAGAAAATAATTTTCATTTCACATATTACGAGAATTGCTTACCTGGTTATATTTATTGAGAATACAAGTGGATCTGTTTCTATAGCTGAATAATTATTTACAGCTGTATGAATTTGAATTGAAATCTTCAAATTTCAAGAAAACTTTTCAATCCACAATTCCTTACGGCGCTCTGTTACTTACATTTCCATTCGCGAGAAAAGGATTACCAATATGACATACAACAAGTCGATCAGATTGTTTTTGTAGATTGCAATAAAGATTAACCTTCGAAGAAATGAAATCGAGGAAAAATCATGAGGTATATTCAACCATGAATTCATACTGTGGAGCTCGTATTAGAACGGACGTATTCAACACCAACGGGTAACTGTATCAAACATTGTGTATCATAGGCATTTTCTCCTGTATTGGTGACATTCATATTGAGTAATATCTTTTTGGTCAAACCAACTTTGTAGACATCAGGCCAACTAAGACAAGAAGAGAACTGAATGTTAATATGTACGTTTTTCTCCTCATTACTGTGATGTTGTTAGATGAAGGTCTGACACACAGATATCGTCGTAGCCACAGTCTTTCTGAATCGGAATCTGAGAAATACATCGATAGAAGCGCCGGTAAGATATGAAAATGTTCACTAATTGTATTTACGTCATAGTCGAATGTCGAATTTTCAGGATTGAGAATAGGTGGAACGAAGTTCGCTTCTACTTTCGATGAAAGTACATAGTTTATTTGCAGACGAATTGGATGTAGTTTATCACTGATATCATCCTAGAATGAATAGTTATCCAGGAAACAGATCTCGAGCATTTTCTTCTCATTACCTTCATATACAATGAATAGTCATGGCAGATGCGGTCGGATGTTTTGAAGTGTCTTTTTTTGATGGATTTGAACGATTCGCGAAAAAAGAGACGCTGATCGGCTGGATCTTTATCTTTATCTAATTGGATTTCATATGTTAAAGCTATGCGAATAAGAATAAAACATGTGGTTTCTGTTCTCTCCGAGGAATCTCACTATCGCGTCTTGAATGTTGATAGTTTTGGTCATTTATATAAATACATATTGTCAATATAAAACTATAAGAAGGAAAATTACAAAAGCTACGATGATGAACGGTGTTCTTACCATGTACTTTCACTTTGTATCGTACAATTGAGCGGCATTGTTGGCGAATTGTGTTGTAACTTCGTTTGTACATGAAGAATTGGTCTCGACCTTGGAATCAAAAGAGTTCAACTAGGACATGATTAATGAACGTATTCAATGACATACAAAATAACAGCCACTGTTTCCGTTTGGATACTGCTTACGGCTAAATCTATAATTCATGAATAATAAACAATTGATAATGAACATTAGGCTAAAACAATATGTCTAGCAAACCTAAATAGCCGTTATTATCGTAGTCAAATTGACCTTGTAATGCCCAGCCGAAGCCATTCATGGATAGCGTTTGTAAAACCTGAAAAGAAGTTCGACAAATCTATCATTTGATGCGGATAATTCTCGAATCTACTTGAGAAGGTGTTAGAATTAATCCATCTTTTGAGCCACGATAGATATGTACCATACTCGATGAACCCGAGTTTACAAATGGAATCGAAATTGCAACATCTATGAAGAAAAGGTGAGTTTAAGTGAGAGGATTTGGGTGATTTGATTACCATTGTAACCATCTTTGTCAATATCACCTAGGTTGGCTATCGCATGTCCTAGACGTCCTCCGTCGCGTGTTCCTTCGATTGTTTGTTTACGTATAAGATTATGCTATTGAATATGAAATATAAACAAATTAGATATGAGAAAAGAAGACCAAAATAATAAACCTCGGGTGTTTGGTAGTATATATCGACTCGCCCGGCGTCGGCTAGAATTCGACCGTCTTTTTTAACCGTGTATAAAGGTGCACCAATTAATAAATCATCCAATCTACGAAAAAAAGACATATTCAGAGATGAAACGATACACAATTCCTTCTCACCCATCGTTGTCGATGTCTATCACACAGAGTGATGCACCGAAATATTCCCCAATTTGCGTTCCGTTTATTGTTCGAATGGAAGATTCATCAAGATTACTGTTCATGATTTCAACTGCTCCACGATAATTATGTAATTTCGGTATACTGACAATAATTTCTTCAATAATAAAGGAAAGATTAGTTATTTGTTTGTGTTTTTACATCACTGACTTTACCTTGATTATCATCGCCATTAAAATTTCCTACAGCAACAGCATAACCTTGAAAAAGAAATTGCGCCTTCGTTTTCTTTTCGATTCACTTCTTTTTTCGTACCTCGGTAACACCAATCGTCATATTCGTTCGAGGAATAATTCGATGGATATCGAAGCCAGCCGAGTTCACGCCATGGATAATGTGGTGCAATAAATGGATGCCGTGAATCAATCCAATTATGCTCGAGAATCGGAAGTGAATGAACTTCACCTATTAGTTCATTCGAAGATGTCCTGTCTGCTCGAAGAATAGGTTGGTTTTATCTTACCTCGGAAGTAAAACGATCCGGGTGCGGATATAATGATACGTTCGGGTTTTTTACTCAAGATAACTTGAAAACCGAAAAGGCCATAGCCTTCTTGATTGTAGTTACGAGAATCTAAGAAAATAACAATTTTGTTAGTGCGCAATTCGAATGTTCAGTCATATTTATCACGTACGCCAATTGAGAAACGATGGAGAATAGATCTGTGTGCTATTCGTCATTGATAACGATCGTTCATATTTCCCAATAGATGCGCCACCTGGAATTTCATACTCGACAGCTTGTCCATCGTTGACACGATGTTTAAGAAACGGTGAGCCGGCCTAAGAAGAAAGCAATGTATTTTCATTTGTAACTATTGAAATTTTTATCATCTACAATAATATTATCATTATTCGCAGCAATGGAAGCACCCAGCCATTGATCCGTCTTATTATCGAACGAAGTTCCAACACGTACATTAACATCACCTTAAAACAAATAAGAACATGCCGTCGGGAGGTTTGACTATCGAAGTCTAGCTTCTCCTTACCATCACGACGAAATGGCAATCGTTGACATTGACCATCCGAGTAAAACTCGCACTTCCACACAGTTCCACGTCGAGTGACAACATCATAGTACGAATGATCGCGAGGTGCACCAATTAATAGACTAATCAACAGAAAATCCGCAAAGAACATGTAATCAATTAGAATTCCAGTGCATTTACCTTGACCGATGAACTGCTAGGGAATAGCCAAAATAAGATGGCGTTTTTGACAATAGAAAAGGTGATTGTTCTTGCTTCAGATATCTCCAATGTTCTACAGTTTGATAATTGAAGGAATAGAGCGAACAGACGAATGATGAAAATAGAATAATAAATAAGAACATGTTGATTGTCTTCGTGCTATCTACTGTTATGATATCGATCGAAAGATCAACCATAGCGTCATTTTTTGATTCATATCGATCTAAATTAGTGATCTGAAAGAAAGTACAAGTAAAACATTCAGTTCAAAACTGATCCTTCTCATTGACTACTATTTTGTTTTCTTTAGCATATTGAAAGAGAAGTGACAATGAGAGAATAAGCAGCCAAAAAGAAAGAAAGAAATGTTGAATTTAGTTCAATTTACCACACAGTATAAAAATCAGAGAGAGAGAGAACGAATGACAGAATTGCTATAAGCTATTTTCTTAACGTACTACTATATATAAACAAACGGTTAATCTTATATAGACAAATAACGAAATTTGATCTTTAGTATGTATACGTATACCGAAATTTTTCATTGAATATTAAATCTAATCAAAATAAGTCTGACAAGTACTGCGAATATCGTATAAAAAATCAAGTTAACATTGATTATCTCTGAACGATACTCGTATCTGTCAGAAAGATGTGTTGTGACACCTATGTATATCAGTCTGTTATATATATAAGAGTAATACCATACAGCTTCTCTTCTATCCTTCGCACCTCATTTGTCAAGCGCATCATTTTTAGTTCTGCGATTTCTCTTTGTGTTTGAATCGACGGATGACGCATGCTTGTGTTGACAGGTATATGTAATGCCATGAAATAATAGCAATATATAACTATAACGATACGAGTACAATAAACGAGATGCCATGAACTATACACACAAAGAAGCAATGAAAGAATTGTTTGGGACTAATGTAGAAGACGTGCAGAGATAATGCGTAGGAAATCGAAAGAAAAATAAATATCCGTTAATACGTTATGATCTATTAAGTTAACTATTCGATTGCCAATGAAGAAACATCCATGTAGTCCATATTCACAGGAAAAATGTTAAAGAAGATAAATGATGTAATCAAGTTTATGTCATCTCGTATCGCTTGTGAGATATGAACATTTTGTTTCAGTGTAAAGAATAACAAAACTTTTCTGTAGGGTACAAGTTTCAGACGAGACGAAAGACGACACAGCGGCAGCGAAGATGATCTGCTCCAATGAAATTTGAGTGACAGGATTTCAATGTTTGTTTTGTTTTGTTAGAAATTCGCTGTACACTCTTTCTCGCGTGCATGAAAGAAACGAGTTATTCTCTATCAAATGATAGTGACAATATTCAATTCTCTTTTTGTTCGTTCAAGTGATTTTGCAGGTCAGTCTGCATATACATATGAATGTGAATAACAAACTTCGATTGTTGTCTTACCTTCTTTGATGTGAATAAATTGAAGTCGGATTATAAGAATACAAGAATTTACAATATCATTGTGAGAAGCGAAGCCTTTGAAATGAATAAGTAACTAATCACAATACGACGTGCTTGTGCATTCCAACGACAAGTGACAACAGAGATCGATGACCTTCTCGTCTAATGAATGAACTGACCAAATAACGTTTGTGTGCATACTAAGAAGTGTTAATGGAATAAGTAATAAGCGATGAAGAGTGAGAGCGAAAGAGAGAGAGAGGGAAAAAAGAGATAAACGTTAGCGACGATTGCACTCGACTACTGTTACAGGTGAGTATGATTCAAAATACTCGATAATATATACAAAATTAAAATGACTTCGATTCGTTCTTTCAATGATACTGTAATCTAATTCAAGTGAAACTTTGGTATATCTCTACACATAATCTAATCGATGTTAGGTAATAACACACGCCGATCTGCTCACATACTGCGCATGGAGTACAAGTGCTTCCAAGTAATGTTACAATCATGTCTGGTAAGCACAGCAGGACGAACGTTGAAGATAGTCATGCTGAATTGAACATACAATTCTCTAATGGCAGACATTGGCATTTAAGTCTCGTTATACATATGTCTGAGAAAATATGAGATGAATTTCCCTCAGGAATGATCCATTTCTTTGAACATCTTTTCTGCATCGTCGTCGTTGTCTTCTCCTTCTCCTCGTGTCCTTTCTCTCCAGATGTGTATTTCTTAACAAAACAGTAGAACGTGATCTGCATGTCTCATGTGCGACATCAACCGGATATGTAAGCTCGATATATCTATATACATTTATTGAGAATATTACGGTTGATGTAGCTAACGAGTCCAATATTAACGCCAGATGCTCTCTTCACTCTTCCGCACTTATATCTATGGATGGGTTATGCAAGTTACTCGATCTTCTATCTTATAATCATCTAAATGACCTTTTTTTCTTATCAATCACAAGGAAAAAAAGTACGATTGAGGAAGGACATTCGCTTTCCAAATATTCCATCTATTCTTTACTTTTTCCTACTTACTTAATTGTGACCACAGTCAATATGTTTGCTTACGCTAAGCCAATAGATACGGTCTGTGTGTATGTTCATGAACATAATTTGTCCATTATGCGGTAACCCAAAAAAAAGGGAGAGATCGATCATGGTACAATATTTGTTGAAGGAGAATATACACAAAGATATAGGCGCGTCTTCGTTTTCTCATTGACGATACCAACAATGTTCAATGTATATACACGAGACGATTTCTTGACAAAAAGAACAACAGAGAAATAGATAGAGAGAGAGAGAGAAAGAAGAAGGAGGAAAGAGTAAAGAGATGTGCTCTACATTCACAAGTATAGTTAGAGTAACTCGAAGTGTTCATAAGTAAGAACCATGATGACTACAATCACGATCGATGATGCGACGATGAAGACGATAATAACGATGCATGGCGCAGAAAAAAAGAGCATTTCTCTTCTGATGGAAAAATAGCATGGCATCTCGTCGAAAGAAATCAGTTGCCACCGTTTCGCCTTCTTATCTGACACAGTTAACACTATTGTAACGATAAGGTTGCATGCAAGTTCTCGTTACAATCGGAGAGTTGATCATCATTGACGTGTACTTAGAAGCAAGAAAACAATATTGATGTGTCATATTGAATATACTCTCGTTAATATTTATAATTATCAATGCGTCAGAAAAACAAGGAGGAGAAAGTCAATGATTAATTGCTACTCATTTGTATTCAACTAAAAAGAAAACTTTGATGATGTTTTCTTTCGAGCAAAGTTACTCATTGTTTCGTCTGAGTAGGGGAATTTTCTATTACATTCATTTCGGTGTAATGCGCGTCTGTTAATGATGATTGCCGATGTTAAAAAGAAACATGGAAATGCAGATCAAACAAGGAAAAGGAAAAACAGAACAGCGAGAGTATTCAATCACTCTTCTTCTCAAGTACCTTAACATCTGTCATAATGTCAAACGAATGGACTCGAATGACCAACACATGCCATGTCAATATAACTAAATCTCTTCAATCATGAAGAACAATAACAAAAATACACATCCGGTAGATTTAGTTGAGAATGATACGAACTGCTATTAGCAATCGTCGATTTCATTCGATGTAACATGCCATATCCACTAAACTCAGAAGTAATCTTTTAACATATATATACAAAAAAAAGCGGCGATTGAACGCGAGAGAGAAAGATAAAGTGCACAAAAATAATCCGCCTATCATCACATCCCGTCGTGATGTCAATCTATGTCTAAATATACAAACCTACAGTAGTCAATTTGTTTGGAAGTGACTTACCGAATTGACTTTAGTATATTTTCTTTTTTTCGAATCAGACAATCAATGAGGTCATTAATATAGACAAATGGAAGTGAACACATAGACGATCAAGTGTATTTACCAATCAATTCAAGCTCAACAACAACGAGAACAGTTGAAGGTGGTGTTCGGACGAGCGTGATAATGATGTGGTGCATGGAGTAAGCACGCGAGATACAAATTTTGCTATGTCTTGTGCATTCGACAAGAAACATGTAGATCAATAAGATCGTGGGTTTTGTTCATATGTAAATCGGTATCGAACGCGACCAAGCAGCTAAAAATGAATTATTCATCATTAATATACAGAATTCCTCATGCATGTAGATAAACAATAATATCGAGATTTGGTCAGCTGATTCGACATAAATTCCTCTTTTCTCTTTCTCTCTTATCGATAAATATTTTGTCAGTTTTCGACTATATCGCTTAGAAATCAATTAATAAGTCTTTGTTCTCTTACACATCTCGATCTCATGCCTGTTTTTGACAACAAAACGCTAATTAACAGATTGGGATAATTAACTTTGGCAATTATTTTTTGTCGTCTAACCTTTGAATGATGTATATCATTGCATTTGTGAGGATAATTGAATCATTCTTATGATAATAATTCTGATAGCTGATTTTGACCTACCCCGAGCGATAATCAGCGTGCATTAGCGACTAGATGAGAAAAGTACGGCCTTGACACTCGAATATCTTACTTCATTTAGGGAAATATATATGACATTTCTGACATCACGACAGCAATTTGTACATACATGTCATAGCCTGAGAATTTCCAACTACTGCAGATTCAACCATGAGCTTAGCATTTATTGCCATTCTGAAAAAAGATGTATTTTACTTGTAACAGCCATTTCAATAACGATGGCATTGTTAATCCACTTTGAACTTATTAAAAAAATCCCTCCTTGTGCTGAACTTACTTTGGATTAATGAAAAGTATAAGTACAAGTGAGCCAATAACTCGAAACACACGTCTCAATCAAAGAACTACGGCCGAAAAAGATTACATACGGAGAAGTACCGTAATATGCGGAACAAAAAAAAAACGTACGTTTACGGACAATTGACAAGAAGGTCGTTTATGTTCTCTCCTGCTCATTCTGGATGAAGGAACTACTGCATATGAAGGACGACGAAACAAAGACTTTGTTTGATTATTTCCAATTGTATTTCCATTGAAATTCACATGAACCGTAAAAAAATCGCCATTGTTGAAAACAGTTTCTCGTACACTACGAAACAAGTTTGTTAAACATGTGGTAAAGGTTTACCAACACAAAAATCGTGCTTTGAATTGATGCATTAGATTCTGATATGGATTTTTAGGTGCTTATTTTAGTAATATAAAGTAAAAGATATGATACAGATGGAAGAACAAATAAATAGATATTTTTTTTATAAATAAAGAATCATCAGTGATCACATCACAGCTTTTTGGAAAGAAAATCAATTATAAATCAATAGGTGACAAAGCATTGATTACGATAATTCACTTGAGTTATTATCATTTGCTTCAATTGGACTTTCTTTCGATTTATAATTAAGAAGTGTTTGAAGAGAATCACCGTCAAAGGTTAGTTTACCATCTAAAATATTAGCGATCTGAACAAACAAAAGATACGAGTGTGAATGATTTTAAAAACCGGCACATACTTGTTTTAATCCGGATATTTGAATTAATAGTTCATCTTCATTGGGTAATTTCAGTTCGCACACTTGATCTTGTAAACGTTCTAAGATGTGAGAAAGCAATGCGAACTCGATTAGACGAATGGTGAATGAAAGTTTACCAATAAATTTGTTCATATATTGAGCACAAGATTTCTGTATTCGACTATTATCCTCATACTTTTGACGAATCGTTTTGCCGGCCCATAACTAAGAGATGATCATCACAGTACGATCGTGAAAAACGAATAGGCAACATACGTCTGGTTCGAGATCTGTGATTGCATTCGAGTCAGTTGATTTGGATACTTCTGGTTGTGGTGAAATTGGATATGTGTTGTTACTGGAAGTACTGCGTTTGATTGTATTCATCAGATGATTGGTTTCAGGAGGTGACATTGATTTTCGTACGTCGGTTATATGAGGGCGTGTCAAGCGAGGATTCGGTGCCGGTGCAATGAATACACGTTGAAGTTCGCTTGTTCTAGGAGCACTATCTATTCGATCAGTTAAATGAATACGAGCTGTTAATAAATGGTTAAATCAAACCTCGATCATTCTTCTCGGTGGAATGTATCTGGGTTCCATCAGTGTTCTTCATAGGCGATGTGATTGATTCTTCGGCTGGAATGTGTAACTGGAATACAACGAATTGAGTACTTTGTATGGAAAGTGATTTTTGTCTTACCTGTCTTCCCGTTAAGTTAAGAGCTTTGCGAATCACTAACTCATCATTGTTGATCACATTCTGTTTCATGAATGATTGTAAATAACTACTATGACAGACATCTCCTTGTTTTTCAACTAGAATCAGTTGAATTATAGTTGAGAAATGATGAAAAAAGGTTGACATACTGATGTGCACAACTTCCATCAGAAGAGCAAGAAAGAAATGATCAACAAATCCAAAGTGTTCATCAAAACAGAAAATCACCGTCCAGAGATCTATGAACAAAAGCACCCGATAAATATCGTTCGAGAATGTAAGAATTGTATACTTGGAATAGATTCGAATGGGATTTCTCTTCCGAATAAAACTCGAAGCCAACGTCTACGGAATATTCACAATCAAAGACAACTATTCATCATAATCAGATCAAGTTGTCGTACATGCCGTAGAAAGTTGGTTCAATATTGAGTTCTGTTAGTTTACTGTGCACTGCTCGATCACACTGTCTCAAACGTTCAAAAATGGAGTTGATTCGTGCGACCGTGTCGTTTGTGGACACTTGTAGATCATTGAGTCGTTGAAACGGAATCTGTTTCGTATTGTTGACACTGGCACTCTAAAAGAAACTAAGGTGACCTACTTCGACACGGTAAATTTAACCTTTACTTTGTGTATCACTGAATTATTTTTTGTTAGCGCATAGAATTGCCGGAGATGATCCATAATTTTTTCGAATATCGCACTGCAAAAAATCGCACATGAGATATTGATCGATAGTGTTCGAAATCATACTGAGCATCATGTTCAAGATATTGTGAATCGTATAGTTTCTTCATTAACTCATTCGTTTCTGGGCATTGATTAATTTTCAAAATTTCCGAATGGATAACATATACAATAATACCAAGTATTTCGTGCATACCCTAGAAGTTCAAATACAACAGGACATTCGATGGAAGTTGTTCCTACCTGGCGGTATGGCATTATTTTATGATGATGTCGACTGTGAATGAAGAGTATTCGTAATTGAAGATCTATCATACGAGGATCGCGGAAAAATGCAATATCAGGCCAGCTAGAGAAACAAAAAAAAACCTTTGAAAATTGCAAAAGTGAACAATTTCTCTTTACGTTCGTCGCACATCTATTGTAATAGTTGCTTTGAGTTCTTCATCAGCAAAATACTGTGCCCATAAGCTCTAGAAGACATCCGATACAGAACAATTCACTGAAGTTTTATAATGTACTACGTTTTCGTCGCGAGATAGAGGATGATTGATGGTTTTCGTACCACAATTCTCATCACTCATTTTATATGGATCGATTTTGTATTTATCTACAAGTTTTTCATAATCACGGCGAGATGTCTCAAGCATATCATTCCATTGCGTTGAATCACGTGGTAAACAATGAAGAAAAACACGCCACAGAACAGTAGTGAAATGGCATCGTGTCATTTGACGACTGAGAATGGCTTCACGAACTGATTCGTAATCGAACGGATCGAACAGACGTCGAAATTCCGATCTGACGAAAACCAAGCGTAATCACAGTAATCTAGATGTTTTATAAACTTACAAAAGCGATGGTTCTACTGATGGTGTATGCGTCTCAACTAAACGAAAAGACGGTTCTGTGTGGATAAAACAAATGCAGTTACAAACAGACGTTCAGGACATTTGATCATTTGCTCATTGGAAGTTTGCAATTGTGCTGAATGTGATGGCGGAGGAGGAGGCGGTCTTTGCGGTTTTGGCACAGTGCGCTCCACATTTGAGTCTGATTTATGATTTGACGCCATTAGAGATACTTCAATGGACGACATACTCGTGATATGAAATCTGTTGCTCTCCAATTTGTCTCTTCGTGCATGCAATATCTAAGTAAGAAATGTCTGAAAAACTAAAAAGAGAAGTGTCAATTGGTATACCGCAACGAAGTTATCAATGAATACAAACTAAGAAAACATCTGGTGAACACGTTCGTTCCCCTTCGTATGTTTTATATTCACTCGATGTTTTTCTTCGTGAAAACAAATCTGTTATCAGTAAATATTTGCTGTGCGTTCTTTTCGCTTTTCTTCTTGCGTGATTATCATTCAAGCAAAGTAAACACAGATATTCTTCAGAAGGTCATTGGAAAAGAAGAAGAAAAAGAAAACAAACGATCTGCAAAAACATATCTCCTAACGAAACATACGAAAGTGCTTTTGTTCAGATTAAATATGCTTACATATATTTCTCAAAAGAAATATAGCCGAACATCAGACAATTACAATCACCGAGTTACATTCAAATTAAGCACAAGCTGCCATACACCAAATTAAAAAGAAACTTTGCTCGTCATCTGACACAACCATACGAAGGAAAAAAACAATGGACTGAGACATTTACACAACAAGCATTGTTCAATATTTAAAGCCAATAAGATCCAGGGGCTCGATGGACTTGTAGAATCTCGTTGTAAGTTAAATTTAATGGAATATTAATTCGAGCACCAATCACATGATTGTTTTCAATAGAATTCAAAATCAAATGTCTAGAAGAAGCAGAAAATGAAAAGCAACTTTTTCTTCTTCAATTCGATTTCTTACCCATCTCGATATTGCAAAAACATTGCTGGAATTTGCACATTCCGTTGCGTTGAATCATCGATCATATCAACAAAACGATCGTCTGCTGTTCGATCATTATCCATGACAATCACACCAAGAGCACCAGTATCTTGTGCATTGATAATTTTAGTTACAAATGAACATTCACTGGAAATGTATATCATACATATTAGAAGGCAAATCAAATCCGTCGGAAAACATACCCGCGTTCGATCAGAGCGATATTTCCTTGTAATTCAAAACGGTTTTGTAAGCGACTACAGGCTCCCAATGGTTGAGTTGGTATAAGATAGATGTTTTTCAACACAGTTTTCTAAGAATATACAGAACACGAATAATTTACACACAAATGCCGGAAGAATATGCTAAAATTCAACTTACAAAGCTCGTTCCAATGTTTTCGGCTAAACGACATCGAAATGTGTAATTGATTTCAGCTATAAAAATGAATTTATACATAAGATAAGATAGTTAAAGCACAATCTAACACGTACATGGCTCTATGACCTCGAAATAAACGTCATTATCACGATCTGTAACAGTAAGATTAACGAATGGGAAAAGCAAAAGAAGGATAAAATAGATATGAATGAAAGACATGAATTATAAAATTTATCTGAAAACAAGGTACATATTAGATCAATGAAGAAGTGTACACCCCATCTCAGCATCAACGTTCTGTTACCAACTACTCCTGCATCACTATCATATATTCATGGATAAAATGAAAATACTTCGCTAATTTTTATATTTGACTCACGTTTTGATACATCATGTGCAAGCCAATAAACAAAGACGAAATGATGTATGAGTCATTCTCACCCATAGAAACATCAAATAAATATCAAAATTTTTTTTTGAAAAAAACTCTGTCGGCAAAATAAAAGTTCGAATGCTTTCCATCAGTTTTTCTCCGAGAAAATTCTCTCCGATTCACAATCAAAGTGCATTGCTATGCACATATGGTCATAGTGTAGAAGTAAACAATATGGCCGTCATCACTGTCTAAGCAACTTTTTTCCTTCTCTTCTCCGTCTTAATCAATCAAATTATTAAATATGTCGACAAATGATTCGAAACTATTTGCATCAATTAAATACTATACTACTGGCTTTCGCGATTCGTCGATTGAAACTGAGTTCAAACGCAATGGTGCTACAAGGTTGTTCTATCTAACAGAAAAAACAACACATGTCATCTGTGATGATTTCGCTAGTAATAAAGATGAACTCGAACAAGCGATTGAAATCTATCAAATTCCGATCGTTACATCCGATTGGATCACTGCTTGTTTGAAATCCAAAGAATTACTACCAGTCGACTCCTATCGTAGTGCAGATGCTGTAAATACAACGACATTAACTTCTTCCAACGATGAAGATAACCTTAAACGTCTTTTCAAATCGTTCACATTCGCAAATGCCAATCTACTCAACAATGACCATAATAAAATCTATGCATTAGTGACATATTACGGTGGTCGATGGATAGCAAGTTTAGATAGTTTCATTTGTACACATATCATTTGTGCGTCAGGATTGTCATCCAAAGAGAAGATTGGTGATGCAAATAATAATCATGAACATGGTCATGAACGCTTGCAAGATGCTTATGATATACAGTCGGAGAAAGTACGTTTAGTCACACCAGATTGGATTCTTGATTGTATAAAAGAACAGAAAACGCTGGATGAAACGAATTATCATCCGGATTTACTTCGAAAGTCAGATGATTCAATGGATGTTGATCACGATGGTGATAATGTTATGGATGTAGAAACAACGAATGAACGGACATCGGCAAAGGTATTTCGTTTAGAGCTAGTAGAAATACACATCGACTTTTATTTAGGATGCGGAACAAACGAAATCTTTTCAATCAAAACGATCATTAACATCAACAGGACCTCAACGAACGTCGAAATTTAGTTCAACTTTAAATCAAAATGGTCATTTGTCAAATAAAGATCAGACTAATTCTCTCTCGTCCTTCGAAGAAAAGTTAATTCGTCCGTCCGTTTTAGCGAATCTTGATAATCACAAATCACATTTACAACTATCTCGTCATGCTCGACCTGAAACACTTTCCTACGAATTGAATTATTCCATTCAAGACAAACATGAACAGATACCATCATCTCAATGCTTATTAGGATGCGTTTTATACATTGATGAATGTGAATATTTGTCAACGGTATCGAAAGACGATTTAGCAACTTGGTCACAAATGTTAACAAAACATGGCGCAATTGTTGCGACCGATGTGATGAATGCGAATTTAACACATTTTGTTTGTGCCTATTCGACAAGTGATCTTTTTCGACAAGTTTCCAAACGTGGAACCGTTCGAATGGTTACTGTACATTGGTTGAATGACGTTTTGCTAAAGAAAAAACTATTGGTGCCGAATTTAGCCATACATTATCCAACGAAATACAATCCAAATGAACCGGATAAGTTACCTTTAACTAACTGCACGATTACAATCACAGGATTTGAAGGTATTAAATCTATTTGCATCGACTACAAATCATATTCTTTCTCTCCAGGTCTCGAACGTGCTCGTCTTCGTTATATGATTCGTTCCTTAGGCGGTAAATACACTGGTCATCTAGGCCGATGGCATACGCACGTCATTGCACGTGAGAGTGGCACGAGTGACAAGTATTTGAAAGCTTTACAATGGTCAATACCAGTTGTTAACGGCTTATGGTTATCCGAACTATTCTTGGGTAATACGAATGCATTGAAAGATCCGTTAGATGATCGTTTTCGACGTCTCAGTGGTACACCAGCTATCGATCATTTTTCATTCGATCAAAGCTTTGTCCATGAATTACTTCTACCATGGTCTGCACCCATTCGTATAACAGCCGATGCTCTGCTAGCAGCAATACAACATCATAATGAACAACAATCATCTTCATACGATACTGATTATATGAAAAGTTCATATGATTCAACGCATCCATTAATTGATTCTGTTATCGCATCCAATGGCCCATTATTAATCATGCTCAGTGGGTTCAATGCTAAACAACTAAATCATTATGAAGGAATAATTAAATCTCTTGGCGGAAAGATTTCAACATTACCTAATTACACGACACATTTAGTTATGAACAAATTCTTGCGAACAGAGAAGTTGTACGAATGTATGGGTTATGTATCTTACATATTGAATAAAAAATGGTTAGACAAGTGCTCTGAGGCCAAAGAGTTTCTTTCTGTTCAAGAATCCGACTGGTGTCTTGACGATGAATTGAGTCCACCGCGAAATTTATTGAAAGAGTCACTTGACAAACGTACCAATCGAAAAAACAGACCATTATTCAATGGATATACATTTTTCTTAACACCATCGGTTCAACCATCGCAAATAACATTAAAATCGATTATCTTTTCCCATGGTGGAAACGTCCGCCGAGATTTTCCAACGATTAAACAATTGACAACGTATGACGAACAAACGAAAATACCAAATTGTCTAATCCTTACATGTGACATTGACAAATTGTTACTAAAAGATTTACACAAACATAATAACACTGATTTCGAGATCAAAATTTTATCCATCGATTTCGTTCTCGAAAGTATTGTCCAACAAGAAGTACTCAAAATCGATTCATATGTTGTGAAAGTCTAAGTTCTGCTCAATCTGCAAACTCATGTCAATTTCAGATAGCTCTTTTTCTCGTCATTGAGTTACATTTGTCTGATATTTGTATTCATTTTCTCTTCCTTTTCGTCATATAGAATAATTTGTATGAATGTTGTTTGATAAAAAAAATACATGCAATGAAACAATGAATGTTTTTCTTTCCTTTTTTTTTCAGATGTTCGGCTTTCCTACAGATCTGTTCGGTATGCATGGCGGAGGTAACCGAAGTTCGAACAACAGCTCATTGATACCTCATCAGCCGTCATTGTTTGGAAATTCGTTCATGATACCATCGCCATTCGGTGGTATGAATGGATTATTTGATGAATTTGGTATTAACTCATCACCATTTGCCATGATGGATCGTATGATGCGAGCAACAAGTAATGGATTGTTCCTTGGCGGTGGCAGTAATACAAATGGACCTGTACATTCATTTACGTCGACAACAGTGATGTCTTATAACGGATCAGATGGACGACCGACAGTTTATCAAGAGTCGACGTCGCGTACGAGAGGGCCTGGTGGATTGGAAGAAACACGACAGGCCATTCGGGATAGTGAGCGTGGAATCAATAAAGTAAGTCAGAAGAAAAGAGAAATCTGATGGGTATGAAGATATTTTCTAGGTTCAAATTGGCCATCGGATCGGTGATCGTAAACATGTCATTGAACGGGAGATGAATGTTGAAACAGGTCAGATATCCGAAAATGTCGAACTTGAAAATCTTGACGAAGAACAAACGGACGAATTTAAACGCGAATGGCGTCAACGTTCAGTTCGAGCTGGTATTCCTCGCCATTCTCACCATCCATATCATCATCAGATCGCTTCCAGTCGTCATCATCCGGTGTCAGAGTCACATCAGCCACAATTAGCACTTGAATATAGCTCTTCATCTGCATCGAATCGACATCATAAAAGACCTGTTAGACAAGTGCAACATTCTTCCCAACGGCCAACACTTCATCATTCGGATACGATCGATTTGACACGTGATTCACCTATTATCGAAGAAGTTGACGATGATGATGACGATGACGACGAACAGTTACCATTGCCACAACCGCTGCCAGTTAAACGCAAAGCATCATCATCGTCATCAACTGGTGCTGATATGCATAGAAAACATCGACAAAAACGATTTTAACCATATAAAATCGTATGCATCCTTCATTAATTACTTCTCATTTGTACCATTACTTCATCCTTATTCTTAAATTAAGCGTAATACAATCGTTCAAGTTGTTTTTCTCCTTTCTCTCTCTCTCTCGTATTTTGTTCTGACATTTTTCTCTTCATGTATCTTCTAAGCGCATTTTCTTTCTCTGTCGTTCTTTTTGTACTATCAAACTTGATAGAATATCATCAGATCAGATTTGAAAGCAAAATATTAAGCAGCAATAGACAGAGAACAAATGTATAGGTCACGCGTGTATACACGCTATTTATTTATTTTCCTCTGCTCGTATGTATGTGAGAAAAAGAAAAACTAAAAAGACTGAATTTGTTGTTCTCTTACTCTTATTTGTGAATACATTTTTTTTCTTCACAGATTTCAAACTCTAATAAACACATTGACTACTTACGTAAAACTTTTCTATTTGCTTGATTTTATATGTATACATTCAATTTTAGTATTATGGGTTCTGTCTACCTCAATGGCCTAGTTCACCTCAATGGTATTATTATTTGTCTACTAGAATAGAAGCATCAGGTATGTTGGACTCTTAGATCATACGCTATCGAAATCCTATGATCTATTTGACATCTATTACATCTGTCGACATCATTCATCCTTGATATAATTCGAGAACTTTGCCTTCTCTTTTTTTTACTCTGTACAATATTTGGCGAAAAATGAAAGAACAAAGATGACGAGGAGACTCATTTGTTTATGCATGTAATGATCGTGCTGCTCAAGGCAATCGTATCGCATACGAATTGGCGAGATCCCTGTGAGAATAGGAATAGCTCTTTTAGTCATTATAGCTGAAGTATGTTCTCATATTCATCTTGGTAAAGGCTTTCTTTTTCTCTCCCACTCACCTACGATGTCAGTGATGATTCATCCAAATTCTTTTTTCTATATTAGGAAGAATCATCGGAGAAAAGCAAAATGTTTTTTTCATATATTAATAATTGTAACATGATTTCATCCTGACAGAACGCATAAAGTATAGACAGAAATAAATAGAATGAAGTTTTATTCGTGACTCGACTGAAAATCATAAATTACCATGTCATTACGATCATCTCCATTCGAAGTAGATGTTGAGCGAACAAACTGGTTAGTTTTTGCAGGTGAAAAGAGAGAGAAAATTTACTCTTATGTTTAGTGTTAACATGAGTTTGGGATTCTTTCGGGGTTTGTTATCGAAGAAAAACCAACCACAAATATCCGAAATTTCCACGCCAATTAGCGTGACAAAGAACTATCATGTTTCGTACGATACGACCACGAAGACATTTCATGGACTGCCGCCTGAGTGGGAAGAACAAGTGAAAAGTTTATTTGCGTAAGTGATATCGACGTTTGTTACTTCTCTTATCGCACACTTCTTATGGTCTCATCCGTTTAGTCATTCGAAACCTGAAGATAAAGCTCGAGTCATGACTTGTGCACTTAAAGTTATTCAACAAACCATGCGAGAAAATCGTACGTACTTTAAATTTGAAGTAAACTTTGTATTTAAAGAATCCTGCTGTGTTGGCCTTGTAGGTAATCCAACGAAACATATGCGTATTCAAGACAATGCTCATCCCGATGGTATATCATATGAATCAGGTGATGAATTTAGTGAAGCGGAAAGTGATTTGAGATTATCACAAGAAAAGTTGGATGATAGTGGAGTTCATTCGTCACCTGCAAAAGATTTAAGTGGTATGAAGAAAAGCGACAGAATCCCTCTTGAATACATCTTTTTCTTCTTGAAGCTACTCCGTCGGGGCCTAAGAAATATTCTACTACTGGTCCGCCTCAACAGATCAATATGAACGTACGTCAATATCTTTTCAATCACATCGGTACTATAATTCTCGAATTTGATTTATTTAGCTATCACAAGATTTTATGAAAGAATTAAAACGTGCTACGATAGGTCGTAAAAAGAGTCTTGATGTAAGTGTCAATACCAATAGGTGACGAATATTCTGAAATATTTCATCAGGTGTCCAATGGAAAATCTGACGATGAAAGTCACGCATCAGAATCATCAACACCAAGTAATTCTCGTCCAACTACACCTGTTGCTAGTCGGACTCGGGAAGCCGGTGTCAACAATCTTGTCTACTCAATCGATCGCGATACTTTGGTTAATGAACCTATCGAACAACCTCCAGTTAGAGAACCTCAGACACCGTCATCTTCAAACAAACGTTTACCACCTCCTCCGATACCGGTTCGTAATCCTATCAATAATAATACCACAGCAATGAACAGTAATCATGAGAAAAGTCCGAAAACACCCGATCAACCACCTGAATTACCACCGAAAACGAGTCGAGCTGTAGTCGCAGCTGGTAAATTCGCTGCTACAACTCACAATGCCACACTTAACAATAAACCGAACCCAACTATTAATAAAGAAAATCATCAAGCAGGAACATCACCGGTAGGATCAACGTCGACAAATCAAGATGTAAAATTAGTACCAAGACAAAAACCAAAATCTAATCGAAGGAAAATGACAGAAGAAGAGGCAATCAATGAACTTGGTCAGTACTAAACTATTACAACTACCGGTACACTAGCATTTTCGTTCGATTGTATTTAGAACCTGTTGCGGGCAAGGATGATCCCACAACAAGATTTCTTATCAAGAAGAAACTTGGCTCCGGGTATGACCATGTTCTAGTTTTGTTCTTCACATATGGCTCTTCGTCTTGAATAGAGCTGCAGGTGATGTCGATTTAGCTCTAGACACGAAAACAAACACAAAAATTGCTATTAAACGAATGCTTTGGTCGAAACAACCTCGTAAAGAATTGATTGTCAGTGAAATTCATGTTATGAAAAACTGTCGGTTTCGTTCGATTGTCAATTTTCTTGATTGTTATCTAAGACCCAATGAATTGTGGAGTAGGTGTCCGGTTTTGACAGGAGGACATTCAACGCATTGTTTGTATTTTGATTTAGTCGTCATGGAATATATGAATGGTGGACAGTTAACACAAATCGTCGAACAAACAGTACTTGACGAAGGACAAATGGCTGCGGTAACAAAAGAATGTTTAGAAGCATTGCAATTCCTACATAGCAAAAACATTATTCACCGTGATGTAAAATCTGATAACGTGCTTGTTGGATTTGACGGTTCAGGTAGAGAGTAATTGCTATGAATATACGGCAAATTTATCGTTTTCTTTCGATAGTCAAACTAACCGATTTCGGTTTTTGTGCTCAATTAGCAAATACCGAAAGTCTACGAACAACAATGGTAGGAACTCCTTATTGGATGTCGCCAGAAGTGATAAAAAAGTAAGATTTTTATTGTTAATCCTTCTTCTCACCACGTACATTCTGTTCGTAGACTTAAATATGATCGAAAAGTTGACATATGGGTAAGATCTTCTTGTCAGTTATTCTTTCATTTCTCTAAATCAATTTAGTCACTGGGTATTTTACTGATTGAAATGATCGATGGTTCTCCTCCATACATAAACGAACAACCGTTTCGTGCGATGTGTAAAATCGCCATGCAAGAAGAGCCACCTACAATTACTGCTGAATCTCAAGCACGTGTATCCTCCGACACTATGAATTTTCTTAAACGTTGCCTAACAATCGATCCTCAACAACGTGCTGACACTTATGAACTTCTGGAACATTCGTTCATCAAACGTGCGAAACCTCTCACTTCACTTTGTCCAAATATCAAAGCTGTTTGCAAGGGTGATACCGATTAGAAAAGAGATTCTATTGTGTTGTACATTTTTTCTCTCGTTCGATTCAGAAGAATATCGTTATTAAAAAAGAAAACATCAGTTTTATAGATATTCACTAGCGTCCATCGGATAGTTTCTTATCACATATTTTCATTTGTTATTTATTCTATCTGCAACAGAATCTATTAAAATCTTTCTTATTGATCTTGTTCATTCTGTGATTTTTATATCGTTTTTTCTTTGTTCCACTCCTCTCGTTATTTCATATCGAATTCTCATCATTATGGAAAAGGCATTGCACTTGTTTGATTTGAAATGGTAATCTTTTCCAATGAAACAGACAAACGATTACATGTGAAATTCATCGCAACTTTTCCTTGCTTCTCTTTTTTTTGTACGTTTTCTACGGTATTCCATCTGATGTCAAATAACGCGGATCTTGTCTATCTTCTCGCAAACAAACAAATAAACTAAACAGATAGCAGAATTTCCCTTTTGAAAAACGAATCGCTGTTTTAGATGTGGAGTTTTAACTGGAATACTGTTGATGATTCAACGTAAGTCAACTCGAGTTTACTCAAATTCCAATCTCTCCGTGTCCCATTTCTAGATTTCAAGGACATCTACATAAATATACCAATGCATTCAAAGGATATCAAAGTCGATATTTTGTACTGGATACTGCGACGAAAATTTTACTTTATTTTATGGTAAGAGGGGCAATATACGATGTGTTTTCAGTGATAAAATCATTTGTTTTCAGCCGTATGAAGTTCGCAAGAAAGGTCCGAGAGGTGTGATTGAGTTAACCGATTGTTGGATATCGCCATCGAATGAAGATGATGTGACATTTACAGTGCAAACCGGAGGCGGAGACACTTTTCGGTTTCGTGGTCAGTTGACAACAGCCATGTTAGACAATCCATGTTTTTCCTCTTCATTTTAGCTATCGATGCGAAAGAGAGACAAAAATGGATCGACAAATTGCGAACATGCTCAGGATCCAATGCTGCAGAAGTTGTAAGTAGATACCATTTGATAGAGAATAACTATTTCCAATCTGTTTGTTCTCCCAGTTTGTATCGTCACTACCGTCTCAGAGAAATAGTTTGATTAACACGTCGTCATCTTCAAATGAATCTCAAACTCGTTCATCCAATCGACGAGATTCCAAGTATGATTAAATGTTTTCTATAACATGAAAATTGACAAATTTTTTATCATGAAGGATCTATCATCATCAGCAAACTTTGAAAGAAATGAGAGAAGTTATACGTTGCGTGGAGGTCAATCAACGTGACTTTGTCGAAACGATCGAAGTACGCATTGATTATTCCGTACTTCTCGCCGTTTCTATCCATAAAACTCTCGTGTTTTTTTTTTCTAGTCACTATCCGACACTAATCGTTTGCACGCTTTATCCAAAGTATTCGTGAAAATCTTTTCTCGTCATTCACATGTTATGGATCATTTTAGGATATGTTGCTACTCCGTTCGATATCTCGTTCGTGTATCAATTCCTTACAAGACAGTTTGGTCATCTTGACTAAAAGAAGGTTTCAAATTAGTATCGTATAAATAGAAGTTGTAATTTTGATTGATGTAGAGTTCCAGATATTGAAGTTCGCTCTTCGCCAATCCCACCAAGCTCGTCGCCTCAATCATCAACCGCAATGCCAAATCTATCCGGCAAACAATTGAGTCAATCATTTAACAGCGGTTCAACTAGCAAATCGAGCTTAACAGTTGGTTTATCTTCGCCATCGAATTCCTATTCGTCTTTGAATTAAATCTCAAGATCTGATGATTTCAATCAGTAGTTCGAATGATCTTAGTCAACAATCAGCAGTGATGTTGATACTCTCACATTCTATGCACCTGATCGATTATTCCAACTGAAACGTGTCCAGCGACAACGTGTTCTGTCCATTGTTTTGTGTCTGTACAACGAATGTATTATTATTATGTATACATATATCTCATGCGCAATAAAACATCATTTAGTGTGTTTTAAGTTTTGATAATGTGTCGATTCTTGATGTATTTTTAGATGCCAGGAACCATGACTGAAAGCGAACATCCAATGAGTCTTCTTTCCATCGAAGTACTCATTAGTGATGTTCAGATAAACTTAGGCATCGAATGTCATTTGCCATGTATGGTCTTCCGTTTGCTTGATTATCCAGCAGTGTCCATACCTTATTTTGATCAATGGCAGTTGGAAGAGTTCCATAATTTGAAACGTGAACACCCGCATGTTCCTTGGCGGCACTTGTTATCCGATCAGTTCTATGAACTTCGTTCAGCGAATGGAAAATTTCACTTCAAACGTGGTAAATCTTGTTTATTCAAAACTTATCTGAAAACATTGTACGCACATTTGTTGAATGTTCCATTGTTTCTTCTGTTGATCGATCAAATCAATGACAAAGGTTCGCATGAGGACACAAGCCAGTTTATCGGAAGTTGTAATATTAAACTAAACGAATTGATCGAAATGCTGAATCAATCGATTTTACGGAATGGTAGTGACATACCACTTGTTGAACAACAAACATTCCACTCAACGCTATTCAATCTCATGGGCACACCTATTGGAACTTGTAATGCTGCAGTTCGATTTTGTCATTATGGAACAACGATTTTAACACAATTACCCATGCTCGATGAACAGACCACGTCTAAAGGCGAGAAAAAGTAAGAATTTATTAGAGATAAGAGTGTGGTCTCGGAATTTGCTCTCTCTTTTCACGCTATCACATGTATATATTTATCTACCAGACGTACAAAGAAACGGTGAATAGATATTACAGAAACAAAGGAAAGTATCACTAAATACAAAAGACCTAGGCGGAGAGAAGAGAGAGATGTTGCCTATAACAGAATTCAATAGTCAGTCTGTTCGCATCTATATTTCTCCTACTAGATCTCCAAATGAGATAAAAGAACAAGTTCACGAACAACCGCCGCCGCCGCCATCATCAACGTCGCCATCAAAACCAACTCCACCAGCTGCAGATACAGTGATAAAACATATTCATTTTGTTAACGAAAAGAAAGATGTCGGTCTCCAGATATCTCGCAGTGAAATTCCAACATCCGTGTCAAATCACGACAAATCAGCACAAACGCGTTGGACAAGCACAAAGACTCATTCAGTCCGTCCCCAGCATTCCAAAAGTCGATCGGTGCGTCCTATCGAAGATATTTTACACGAAGATCTTCTCATCTCTGCCTATCAACCACCACCGCTTTATTTTAATTCGAACTCTGATTTTCTTCAAATGGTAACACCAGTCAACGCAAAACAATTCTATGACGCCAAAGAAAACCGACTATCCTATCTAGCTTCGATTCCCATTGCCAGCTTTAATGACAATGACATAGATTCCGATGATGAAGATGGAAAGCCACAACGACCGAAAGAGAAAACTGGACACAATGTACGTTTCAATTTATTATCTTCGCCACCGATAACTCCTCGAACACAACTGCCATCGAAACCAAATATATTGACAGACGATTTTCTACACAATTTTCCTCTTCTTCGCGCATTAGTCGAAGAAGCATTTGCCTTGCAACAACACCAGCCACATAACATACCAATACCACTTCAACGTCCGATAGTTGCCGAACGTCCACATTCCGCAAATCAAGCAAATGCGCGAAAATTCAAACAAAGCCTTACAAGAACAAAATCTGCAGCTATGGTTCGTTCAACTGGGACGAGGTCTGTAATTATGCCAAGGAACACCAATAATAATCGTCGATTGTATCCACCTGCGCCATCCAAGACAAATCAAATGGTAGTAACGAAAGCCGAAGTACGAAGCCTAGTTGATCGGCTGTCCAAACCCAAATTTGACAAACGTTTTGAACGAGAAATCGCGCGCGTTGAACAGATGACACCACGAGAAGAACCCTCTGTAAGTCCACGTCCTGCGCCAAAACCGGCTTCTGCACCAACAAGTGAAAAGAGACCAGTATCACAAAAACCTCCTCTCCATTATGGTACGACACGTGCTCACCGACTGTACGCGGAGTACGCTCGAGCTCGTCGTGCGACGAATGAAGCACAAACAGGTGCTTCACCTAAAGCTCCAGTTACTTCGCCAAAAGAACCGGCGGTGAACGGTCGAATTCCACCTGCATCACCTCAATTAATCAACACAGGCACATTATCGCATCTCTCACTTTTGAACAAAGTTGACATCGATACGGTAACTATAGAAAGAAACAGTATTCCACAAGGAACATCCGAACAAATACAACAAGACACTATCCCAGGTACAAAATCTTCATCAACAACAAGTCAAGATGTATCCTTCGAGCTGAGTCAAACAACCGAATCGTCCACAACTACATCATCGTCAACATCACCAACACCAACAACAACGCCAACACCCAAGCCAAGATCACCAGTACGTCACAGCCAACAAAATGATGAAAAAAACGATCTAGGCTTCTCCATTACTGATGTTACCGATTAGTATGTCTTATTCGATCGATACTTTTCTATCATCTGTAAACATTCGTTTTTTTCCCTTCATTTCAGCTTTACTGACGGTGGTAATAATTCAAGCGCTCGTCAATCACTACAATAGTTCACATGATTCTGTCCAGTACATTCCAAAATGAGAATGAATGTCAGATGCACATATTAAGTTTTTGATCCAATACATCCGTCCACAGGTGTACTATTTTCTTCGAATATCAGTATTTCAGGCATTCTAAATACATAGTTTTTTCGTAGTTCTCAGGTTTTTATTGTAATGATTGGGACAAGTTTTTTCTTCTTTACTTAATAAATAAATAATATTAAAATTGAATACATGATGATCATCTAGTAAACTCCTAGAACTCAACTTCACTGGAATATCAAAGTCATTATCTATAATGCATCACTCGAAAAATTACGTTCATCAGATTTACTCTCTCTGAACGATAGTCGTTTCACTACCTGGAAACGAATTATAGAAGATATTCGTGTCTACGAGTGACCTCTCATTTGCATGCGAGAACACGAATGTTCTAAATTCGATTGGCCAATCAAATGATTACATTGTCTCGGAAAAGAAAGAATCATCGTTCACTTGTTTAGATTCAACGAACTTCTTTAATAGGTCATCATTATCGTCTTTACTATCGTTCTATCTTGCTTCACAAAATAAAATATCGAGTAGTCATTTTCCAAGAACATGAATCAAGAGAATGATCCTCCATCGACTGACTTTGATCAAGAGCGTTTATCTCTCGTAACAGTTCGAAAAAAGGTTTGTCTAATTCGATAATTTTCTCTTCATATCAACGTATGCGTATAACATATCATTCACCTTATAGTGGGAAACAAATGATGAAGAAGGATCATCAGTTACACCTAAACGTCCATTACTTTTTCGTGATCGTAGTGCAGGCACATCTATTGATGTTTCTCCATTATCCGATCGTAACTCTCGTCCTGAACCAGCCACCAGACTAGCATCACCCTTGACAACAACCAAAAACGAGCCGTCGCCCACTCCGGTGGTTGAAAGTTGCATGTTTGTCATAAGTCCACCTCAGGCTCATCGAACAACACCGCTTGACGATGACGATAACGATCATTCCTATGTACCAGCTTACATACATAGAAAAGCCAAACCGGCACCGTCAACAACGTGGAAGAGATCATATCCGACGCACAAATTATCATCAACATTGAAGACTAATACGGAAGCATCAATTCTCGTTCCGGAAGTTCGTCAAAGTTAGTTGTCCTCATTATTTTACAATACAATACAATAGAGAGTCTCATTTCGTTTCAGCTCCAGCGGTGTCATTTCAACCGGCAATTCGACCACGTATTCCATTCAATTTAACATCAACAAATACTGTGGATAAACAAGCACAAGCTTATACAATTTGGCTCAATAGTCTCTTTACTCCTGTAGAATTCATGTGTAATCAAACAAGTCAATCCACTTCGACAGAGACCTCAACCAAAACACTAAAAGCTGTTGCCGAATCAAATCGTTGGTATATTCTTCGAGATCGTGCTCGGGAAGTATTCACTCGCGATATTCAGTCAATAGCTGCGAAAATCAGTGCTGACATCGACATTGATCATTGTCGCATCAATCCAAAAGCTGATTTGACGTTTTCCGCGCGTACAGTTAGTCGACAAGCTTTACTGAACTTTATTTCTTCATACAACCGAATATGGTTTCGTCTAGCCTTGGAAGTTCTCTTTCCGATAAATATCGAAAATTATCATCAAATGAAGTTATCTATCGAACAATATCTTATCCAATCAACTAGCCATTCGTCAGCACAATCGAATGAAACGAGTGCAAAGAAAACAACGACAAATACTAAAGGTGCATCAGCGCAAATACGTTTGACCATAAAAAATCTTATTCTGATCATTATCTTTCTTGAACGAGCGAAAATGTTACGTTTAATCGATAACGATCCGTGCTTGTACACACGAGAATCAAAATTCAAATCCACAAAAGAATCTTTCGACGTTCTGTCACGTGATTTTATCAGCTCTGATACAAATCTCATCCGTCGTCTTAAATTAGCTGGTTACGAACCGATCTACCGGCAAACGTCGTTAGACGAATACAATTATTCGATCACAACAACTGAAAATAAACTATTTGACGAACTGAAAGACGGCATACGTTTAACACGTTGTGCACAGGTATTACTTTCATCTGTAAATGAACAAGTAGCACGATTTGATATATCAGCTAAACTTAAATGCCCAGTCGTTAATCTTGTACATAAACTATTAAATATTGATCAAGCATTTGAATTACTTCAAACATATGGACACGTCAATTTAAGTGGAATGTAAGTTAGATAACAATCGATCGGTTCTTTGATAACAACGGCTTTTCAATTCTAGTTCGAATAAAGATGTTATGAATGGTAATAAACAACGTACACTTGAATTACTCTGGCGCGTATTCATCACTTGTTATCTACCGAAACATTTGTCGCCAATGGAGAAACTTCAAGAAGAAATTACATTACTCAGTGAAAACCTTTTGGAATACAACTGTCGGACGAGTGAAAAACAACTTCTAGCAAATGATCTGATTCCACTACAGAAACAACAAGTCGAGTTCACACCATTGATCCATTTAGTGATCAAATGGGCGCAATTGATCTGTGCACATTATAAATTTTGGTTATATGATCTTCAAGAATCGTTTATCGATGGTCGAGCATTTCTCTACATAATTTCGTATTACTTACCAACCTTGTGTGATTATTCACGTGATATAAAACACTTGACAACACTAGCAACATGTCAAACACGGGATGAACATATACAATTCAACTTGGAACTTGGTCAACAACAGCAGCAAATGAGTACATATGAACGGAATGTCAAAGGGAATTTTCGCTTCTTAGAAGAATGCATTAAACAATTCGGAACGTTTTCAAACGATTTAGTTAAATATGATACCTATGCAAAGGACACACCAGATGAGCGTTGTACGATCATTATTTTAGCAATGCTGGCACACGATCTTCTTTTCTCGAATACTCTCGACGATACCGACAATAACTTTCGTCATCAAACGATTTTCGAAGAATTAAAAGAGAAATATTCTAAAGATGATGAACCGATAGTTGAAGCAAAGAAAGAAGACATAAAAAGATCTCCACCAATTAAAGAAATCATTCACGACGAATTAATAAATTCATCAATCAAGTCCGATGATTTCCCTCAATTAACAAATACCATTCATCATAGTCTCGATGAAGTCGTCACGAGAAAGAGTGAAACACTTAAACCTTCAATATCTTCAACGACTGTCAATCTTCTCATAGAAGATTTGGCAACGAAAGCTCATTCACTTCCAATTATACAATCTGAACCTGTTTTATTAACCGTTGAAAGCGATCATGACGAGCACGAAGAAACGGAAACGACTGATGACGATACAACGAAAGTAACAATTTTCTCATCTGAATCACCAGTCAAACAAGATTGGTCATTTGTCGAACCACCTGCTGTTGTCTATGATCAGACATTGTCCGATTCACTATATGCTTCTCTAGAAACAATGTTTACATGCCAAACACCACCACGACCAACACAAATTCTACTTTCTCAATCCGTCCTTCATACAATGAATCATGACATTCTTGACCACCTTGAACCATTACCTGAATTAAATGGTGATAGCGAAGTTGAAGAAGAAGAACAAGAACAAGAGGACGACGAGGAGGAAGATGGTGACGACGATGATGATGATAATGATAATACGAATGATGATTCGTTTAATTCGGCTCGATCAGGTTTGACAACAATGATGGATCCACGTCGAGCATCGATTGTTACACAAACGACGGCTATGTCATTTCATGATCTCGCTGAATTAGAAAAAACCATGGAAACGGAAGAAGCAAAACCGAATGGAGATAACACATCATTGTTTCTCGTTGATGAAACAACTCCATCCGAAGCGGATAGTGTCGAACTAAGCAAAATTGATGATGTAAGTTGAAATTATGAACATTGTTTCAAGCAGCATATTTTGTCCTCTCTAGACTACTTTTGCTGATCCAATCAACACAAAAATGATCAAAGAAACATTAACACTCTTCTTAGCACATCAACAACAAACGCTGGAACATGAAGAATCGGTGACACGTAATAACGAATCACTTGGTCAAACTCATAATGAACATTCATTGGAAATTGCTGCAAAATCCGAAGCAGAACGTGAATCACACGCTGCTCAAATCGTTCAGGTATAATCCATCCTTCGATCGCACTTTTCACTAATTGTAAAATTTTCTGATCTGCTTAGGCTCATTGGCGTGGTCACCAAGTTCGTGTTGAAAATCAACGAATTAACCATCCGATTGTTCCCATTCTCAAACGAATTCGCGCCTATGATTCAACAAATACTTCGTCATTAACATTACGAGAACGTATGATGCAAATCGTACAGGAATATTCCGAAGCATCCTCATCATCCCTAACTGCTTATCTACATTTCTTACGTGATGTCGAACCAATTGTTGCTTGCTGTCTCGAAATACGCTATTTAATTGCTCAGCAAGGTTTATTACGATTATTTTTTATCTTAATGAGATGTTGCAATCGAAGTGGACCATCAGCTGTTTTACTTACTAAAGTCTTAAGTATTCTACAACTCTTTACTGTTAAACGTGGTTTAATCATACCATTGATTGATAAACAAGAACAGATCAAAGATTTCATTATGCTTCTATTGAAATATTACCAACAGAATCGTCATGAACTATTCGAACAAATCTGTTCCTTACTTGAATCGATTGTCAGTGACGATTACGCTCGAAAGACTCTGCGTACGAACAAAATGTTTACAGATGCGATCGAATATGTTTACAAACGTGTCTTCAATAAAGCATCAGTTGAAGATGAAAAATATCGTCAACAAGTTCGATCAACACCTAAACAATCAACTGGCCCTCAAACACGACGAGCCACATTGTTGAATCAATCATCTATACTTTATCCCACTCCGAAAATGATGCGTCCACCGATTGTTCAAAATGAGAATGTCTTTAAAAAGAATCTTCTTTCCATGGAAAAATTCATGAAAGTTTTCTATCGTGATTAACACTTTCCATCTGCCTGTGCGTGTGTGTGTGTGTGTGTATATATATATATGTATTGAATAGGCGATGATCTTATTTGTATCTGAGTAGAGAAAAAGATAAGCGTATCAGATATTTTCAATATTCAATAAAACAATATTATTTTTTCTTTTTTCTATTGACAATTAAATCTCTTTCGGTGTCGAAAAAGTTATAATTATCGAACAATTTTGAGCTGGGAAATTTACTTCTGTTGCTATTAGAACTGCACCTAGTGATTTACTATGCTCTAGAGAACATTTCTTACAAAAGAAAAGACAATGTCCGCCTCTTCATCATCTCATGTCTATCACGCGCCGCGACGAAAGATACTTCCAACTGTACTGAATTTCATGGATGGTTCGCGTCCGACGCCAACAAATTCTAGCAGAAAGAATAAACCGACGATGGATATCTATGATCTGCTACGACGAGCTGTGAATGAACGACGACGGATCGAAGTGCTGACACGTGATTGCCGAGGAATATATGGTATTCTCATTGGTTGGTTGATTGTTTTCGATAAACACATGAATTTAATTATGTCCGATGTGGATGAAGTCTTTCGGCGCTTAACTGACGGACACGATTATCTCGAATTGGGGACCAAAAAAGAAAACCTGCCAGTAACAAAACGTATGTCAATTCACAAGGTTAATCTTTATCAAACTAATAAAGATCCTTTTTTTTCAGCGACTACTTCGAATCCAAAAGCTCCAGAAGTCCCAGATGATTTTCAAACGTTTCGAGCTCAGCTAGCGAATTTCTTACGAAATAAGAAGAAGCCACCGACTGCTGCTGCTGCTAAAGCACCACGGCAAGCATTACCCGTCAATGACGATGAAGAAAATGAAAACGAATGTTATCAACCACCGTGCGAATGTCATCCTGAACAATTTCTATCGATGGAATTGTTAACTGTCAATAATTTGATTGTACAACGTCTTAGTGGTAAATCGCCACACGTTGATTCATCGTCTGTTCAACTGTCAACGCCTTTGATAACATCGAATCGTGCAAAAGTTCGTTTCTTCTCGCGGCATATTCCGAAATTGTACGTGAAAGGCGATCAGATTTGTCTAATACGTCTCTTATCTTCTTGAGAAGTCGTTTGCGATTAAAAAGAACAGTTTTATTGGAAATTATCTTTGATTTTTCTCTTCGTATAACGATATCGATGAAAACTAATGTCCTTTTTTGTTTCATCACATTAACAGTCCGATACTAATTCATAAATAATTTGAATATATGCCGTTAATCATACTCAAGGTCTACAAAATAGTCGAAGATCTTCTCCATCTTCGACAGATGTTCAATTCGAATAACATAACTTGAAGTAGATAGTAAGTTAGAGAATGCATTTCTTGTTTATCTTGATGGATGATAAAAGCTTTATTTTCTTAATCGTTCTAAATTACAGATCATTAAGAATGTTGAACGAACCATTGCTTATTTGTGTGACTAACTACGATGAGATGATTGTTAGGAAAGCAATCATCTCGATGAAGATAAGCACAGAAAGCAAAACCTATGAAGGACGTACTAAAAAAAGCAATCATGGAGAAGAATGTGTTAGTTATCTCTGTGCTGACCTCGTTTCGTTTCGCATTCAATGGTCAATTTCTTTTATGAATACCAGATTCTCACTGATATCGGTGTTGTTTATATTTGACTTCTTGTCAGTTTGATGTCTATTTGCTATCTCATCTAAGTAGGAAAATTACGACAACATTTTCCCTTTTTTCCGCTCAATATACATGTGACTATGTAATCATATCTATGTAAGCCATCCAAACAAACTCCCCTTCTCTCATATCCATGCAGATATGATAAAACGAAGAAAAAGTGAAAGCTTGTTATTTGAATCATCATCATTACGAACAAATGTTTTTTAGCCTGCTGGTCATTATCTTCGTTAGTGATCAGTGTATAGAACGAAGAGTCCTAGCAAGAAAAGGCAATCAGAACCACAAACTGATGCAATCGATTCAGAGAGACAGAGAGAAGAAGAAGAGAGAATGATAAACAATAACGATGGATAGAGATGTATTAGCCGTATGCTTTCTGTCGTTTCCCTATGCCATATCTATCGATATAGCATATACAAAGAAGTAATGAAAGACTTCTTCTTCATCCTTTTGCTTCTTGTCGTCTCACACATCAATGTTGAACATATTGACCGACTGGCATGATGTGATTTTTTCTATCTATCTCAAGCTAACGACAAGCAATTAGAATGTTCGTCTGCATTCTCCTGTCAGTCACCCGACAAGTTCAGAGAGCTATCAATTGTTTTCTTTTGCTTCTGGATAGAAGAATTAGTCAACTGCATTAAATTTAATTTCTCAGTACGTGAGTAACACGCCTTTTCCCCTTCTCTTTCTCAGCCAGAGTTCATAGCTCTTTAATAACTTTCTCTAATGGTCGAGCTTCATTTTTAATTCTGCCAGTCGAAAGAGAAGAGTCATCGTCCATCGTCTTAATGTTGTAATTCTCAATCGTTCATCAGCACAAGTGTGAAGATGGACACTCATCTTCTTTTCTTTTCTCCCTTGTCGTGCATTTTTTATCGCTCTCTATGGTCCTAAGTAAATGCATCATAAATGATACTTCGTGGTTTTGGTAAATGAGAGTGTCATCGGTTTTTCCTTATCTTACACACACCTTTGCTTTCTCACACATACACACGCACGGTTTTCACCATCTTATCGTACAAAACAGAAAAATGTATACTCCACTTTAAAAAATAGGTCTAATCTTGCATTTTTTTTGTTACTTATAAACAAGCAACAAGGCTGAAAATCTTCATTTCAAGGTTTCTTTCAACAAATTCAAACTGGCAACGACAACAACTATCGTTAAGACAATCTTCTTGGTATATAATTGATTACATCTTATCATTTCTTCTCTCCAGTGATTTGTCGATATCGTCTGTTATATCAATTGATATTCTCAATGAAACAATATCGGAATTGTATATATCCCTAGAGCAAAATAGACATCAACATATCTATTCTGATTTCCGTTCAAATGTGAAGATGATAGAAAGAAGAATGATTAGAGAGACGAGGAAACTATTTCATCTGATATATCGATTGATTTTCGAGGCGAACAATACCCATCGTTGCTCTCGTTGTCCTTGCGAATAGCCTATCCTCCTCGTTCCGATCAATCCCTTTCCTTTTTTTCTCATTTCGCTTCATTGATCAGTTATTTTCAACACAAGGTTTCGTCAAAAAACCATTGTGACAGTCTATCTCGCTGATGTGCAATGGTTATTGAGGTAACTCATCTCTCGCTTCAAAGTTTCTCGTTTATTTCAGATGTCAGAACGTGATAAATCATCTTAATTTGATTTGATTTTCATGCATAATGTTTATAATCTATGTCGATCTTATTATTGATCATTAGCATTCTCTTGCGTTTTTCTCATACAGGTAAATACGATTCTTTTATTTCGAATCTGAATCCTCTCATTATGTTGATATATAAATTTACCTTCTCCTTCGTGTTGTCTATTTGTCAGTTTCGTCAAAACAAATAATCGATAGCGAAATCGGCGAGAATCGAGTTCTTCATTGTCCTCCTGTCGATCGAAATCGATGGCCGCTCCCATTAATTATTCAATGGTATCGAGCGGTAAACAATTATTCGACACCAGTCGCTAGTCAATTTGATACCTATCCTGTTCATATTGATGATTTATATATCAAACGGTACAGTCTATTAACGAATGGTTCCTTAAAAATCGATCGTATTCAATTGAATGATAATGATACGTTTGAATGTCGATTAATTCTGATCGATCGCGGTTTATTGGATATTAAGGAACAATATTTTCTTACACTTCGTGTTAACGGTTGGTTTATTCTTTTCTTCGTCGAAGTGAGAACATGTTTGTCCTTTTCGTAGAGAAACCGCGATTCATCTACCGATCAAATCCGCTTCAAGTCGCTCTACTTTACTCAACAATCAGCTTGAAATGTCACGTTTACGGCGTGCCGCCTCCCATAGTTTCGTGGTATAGAATTCTTCGCGAAGATAAACAAACGCATAATAAGGAAGCCGTTGAGTTACTTTTAGCCAATAGTCAAGAGTAAGTATCTTGTACAAGTTCATTTTCTTTTCTTCGTGGATTTCTGTTGACTTAAGACATTTTTTCTCCTCGATATAGATTGATTGTTGACAATGCTGATGATCGGTCGGCAGGTAAATATCGGTGTGTTGGTGCAAACTCTCTTGGTTCAGTAGAAAATGACTTTCAACTATTTATTCATGGTAAATGTTTTTTTCACCTTGAATTCGATTTCATAAACTTCTGATTGGTTTTGTGTAAACAAGGATCGATTTATTGGCGACATTTCCCGCAAAATCAAACTGTTCGAATTAATGGAAGTTTAACGTTGAAATGCGAAGGAGAGAGTAGTGAACTACTACAGTATCAATGGTATCGGATCGACTGAATTCCGCGAAAACCAAACTGAAAACTTTGATTCTAGGCTAAAAAACGATCTTCCTATCTCAGACATCGTTTCATCATCAGAACGAATACGAACATTCAGTGATGGTGTTCTAACCATTAACAACATCGAACCATCAGATCACGGGTCATACACATGTATTATTAGTATCATAAATTCGACAACAATCCGTAGTAAACCGGCGGTGATTACTGTTAAATGTAAGTTTAGTATTTGCCGAAGAAAACAAAACATTACATATGTGTCACTTGATTAGATCCACCTATTCCGAAGCATCAACATCAAGCAAACAATATAACATTGATTCAAGGCTCTTTGGGCATCTGTCCATGTTTACTTGATGCTTATCCACCGATACAATCCGTGTCATGGTACAGAAACGGACGATCAATTCGAATAGCACCAAAAGGTAAACGACGCCGAAAAAGACGTGCCAGGCAAATGTTTACTGAGTTTTCAATTAAAGGCGGAGCGTATACAATCAATTCAGAATATGCGTTAGTGATCAGATTCGTGGACAATGATGATCAAGGAAAATATTTTTGTCGTGCGCAAAACTCCGAAGGATTTGGACTGGATAGCACACCGTTTTTTGTTGAAGTTAAAGGTACGGTTTTTCGTTGTTAATTCCAAACTCGATGTCACTTTTGTTTTTATATAGAACCTATCAAGTTCCTTTCGAAACCGAAATCAATCTACCATGTACAAGAGAATGATCGATTGGTTTTACCTTGCTTAGCGTATGGTGATCCAAAACCGCGAATAAAATGGTTTAAAGTATGTCAACTCATTTTCTGTTATTTTCGTTCGTTCTATTGACAATGTTTCATTAGAATTCTGATGTACTACATACTCCCAATGAAAATCTCACTTTGGAGTATATAAAAAAAACTGACCATGGCCTCTACATTTGTCAAGCATTGAACGAACATACGACGACTAATATCAGTACTCTGATCATCGTTGAAAGTAAGACATTGGGAGACAACTGTTATACGTAAGAGTCATTTGTGCGACTTCGCTGCTTATAATATGCACTTTTGCCGGATCCTTGAATGTATCGTAATCAATGCACAATGCTTCGATGACTATTTTACAGTCCTTTCGAAAAAGCTTTCAGCGCAATCCCTACGGGATTAAAATGTGAAACACGACGCAACTATCATTCCGAAATACTGAGTTTGGTCTATAGCGTACGTAATGTGTAAGTTGTTTGATTAGGTTCTTCATAGAAGCGCAAGGGGCGTCTGATACCAAACACACGTATGGCCACGTCAGGTATTTGAGATGCTACTGATTCATCCCCAGCAAACTAGATAGACAAAGTTCATTTATATAAATACACCAGCGCTTTTCTTTGTCTGGAATTAAACAACTATAGATCCTTTACTTTGGTCGATTACAATATCGGATGCTACCAGCCACTCAGTGATATAATTGCACTGTTGATCGGTCACTCTTTATGTCAATAAGGAAACCTGTCGATCATGGTTCGTGACAATCGGAATAAATATCTGTCACATGTCTGTGATGCCTTTTTTACTGGTCTGTCACAGTCTGTGATACTTTTTTTACTAGTCTGTCACATCTCTGTGATGCCTTTTTTATTAGTCTGTCACATGCCTGTGGGGGGGGGGGGGGGCAAATTTCTACCCCAAAACCTTCAACACTCCCTTTCAGGTCGTGTTTCACAAAATTGGTATGATCGAGTTTATTAGAGGTGCAGTATTATTTTAAGCAAGTGCGTTTGAATAAGAAAGACAAATAGTTTACGAGTCCTTTGGAAAGATTTACGATAATTTGCTCACTACAATCGTAAGTTGATTAAGTTATTAGAAGTTCGATCGATACATTTGCATTGCAGAATGGAGTAACAAAATTGTCCTATGTTTAATTAGATACAACACCACAAGCGCCTTTGAATATTCAGTATGAACAAATCTCTTCGAATGTGTTGCTTTCGTGGGAACCCGGCTACGATGGTGGTCGAGTTCAGCATTTTATTATTTGGTACCGATTGATACAGAATAAAAAGCAGAATTGGCATCAGATACGAGTTTTACCTGATAATGCGACTGAATTCTTACTATTCGATTTGCAACTACAGCAAACCTATGAAGTAACAATTGTTGCGGAGAATGATTTGGGTTTAGGAAGTTTCAGTCCAATTCTATCAATTTATGTTAACAATCAACAAGATCTAGCCATCGGACACCTTTATCACTCTAATGAAACAAACCTGCTAAGACCATCACCACCCACTGATCTTCATCTATCATATTCAGGTTCGAACTTGCACATCACATGGAATCAAGGCGATCTGCTCGAGTCACCTGTGAATATTCTTTCTTATGTTATTCAATGGCGTTCAACGATTGTTTTTAATAATCAACAATCTCAACACTCAATTGTTGTGCCACATTCAAGTCGATCGTATATATTAAAAGATGTCAAACAATCGAAGTATGTTATTCAAATAATATCATACTCGGAACAAGGAATTTACAGTAGTCCAGTGGAAGCCGATATTAATATTCGTATGTATTGATTTGATGAGGAGAGAAGAGCAATAAGACGGCTAGTTCTTTATTTGCAGAGTTTCATTCGATTCTGGCTTATTATGGTTCAAATCGTTCATTGATATCGACATTCTGTTTTTTGACTGTGGTGACAGTTGCATCTTTATGCATCTGTTTATTTTGTGCTCTGAAACATTACTACCATCGACAATCATATTGTACAAGCCGCAAATCTCGTAAGAATTATCTGTTTGAATTAACTTGAATCTTCTTTTTCCGCATATGCTTAGATTCCCATTGGTTATGTTGCTGTTTTCCATCAATTCAATATCGGTATTGAACGAAGCGTTCTTTAGAAAAAGAAATCTTCATGTTGAGACGTTTGTTTTAGTTTGGATAGCTGCTCTCCGCTGGAAAAAGATCGCTATAGTGCAAGTCTTCTTAAAACTAAAGAACTTCAACCATCACCCATGTATTCCGCTCGTCACCAAATAACATCACAAACAATTGCCAATCCTCTTCGATCACTGTCTTCACTGGACAGTTGCAATGAATCATCTATTTCCTTAGCTAAAGTCACATCGATTCCAAGTTGTCGAAATTCGATCATATCGAACACAAGTGACCTACCACAAACAACTTGTGTCACAATGCCCAACGAAGTTTCACACGTGATACCATCGTCTGCTCTTACTCTAGTCCTAGTTCCTAATGCAAATGATGAGACGAAAATGACTTCATTCTTCCAATCAATTCCTCTTAATAATGCATCATATGTCGATCATGAAGTTCGCAAAAATAGTTCTCGTCTACCACTTGAAGCCGTACCAGAATTAAGCGAACTAACTGTCGATAATAGTCGACACAGTTACGCTCCGTCTATCTCATCTACTATCCAAACTTCTCAACAAACGCAATCAGTACAACCTAGTCCGATTCTTGTCACATTCGATTCAAATTCATTAAAACGTCGAACTTAAATCTGTGTATCATTTGTCAGATGCGATATTTCATATCTAATCTCATGTCATTGTCTTGTTTACGTTATTCTTGTACAACTTTTCATTCGTTTCGTCTCCGTACAAATTATTTACAATGAATATATTTCATATCTGCTTTCTCTTTCTGTTCTAGATTATATTTTTTGACTCACAAATCGAAATATGTCGAAATCACGGTATGATATGCATTTCTTTGACTACAAGTTCTTACAAAGAGTCTCCTTGTTCACTCAGAAGTGACTTGCAATTAGAATTGATTCTGCAAAACCTCGCTCATTCGAACCTCCTTAGTCCACTGTGGTTTGACTGATAGAGGAAAACATATTTCTATAGGAATGTCATTATTCTGTTGACTAGTCGAGAGTATGAATAGCATAACCTTGATTTCTTCTTTTATCGCCTTATCCATTAAAACAGCATTACTTGGTATAAGTGTAGGTGTAGTATTGCTGAAAAGATTGATATTTTCATTCGTTCTTCTCTAATCTAGTTCTTGTTTTGTATAGTTTTTCACGCAACTTGCCTTATCAACAACATATATACACTAGTCTTTATCAACTAGAACGATAAATCACGATGATATGTCTCTTTCTATATCATGTTAATCTAATGAAATAACAGAAAATACTTGCTCGCACAAATATAGGAAAGATTACGTTGAAAAATGACGTATTTCTCTTCCACATATATGCATTTATGTCCCGTTTACATATCGAGACGTGAAACCATTTCTCTCTTTCATTTATACATTTCTTGTGTCTTACATACAGCACTTGTTGGCATCTTGACGTAGAACTGATTGTGGTTTTGCAGTAAACCGATAAGAATGTACGTTTCTTTTTGTTCACTATCATTTCCACATACGGCATTTAGAATAAACGTTCAAACTTTTGTATCATGTAAATTCTCTACATAGGGTTGACGAAACAGAATTGGTGACAACGACGACAACAGCTAAATTAGTTCCAGTCTTATATGAAAAACCTGCCAAGAATCCGATCTTCTTTCCGGCGATATTAGTTGGTCTTCAAGCAATCTTTATTATCCTTTTGGGTTTACACGCTGACTACGGACATGAACCTCAACCAGTCAGCGCACATTTTTCTTTGCCACCCAACTCGGTTATATATTTTCCAAATGGAACCCAGATTCGTATTGGAGCATATGAATCAACCGGAACACCACACCGAGGCATTGCAGACTTTTATTCCATGTTTCAAGATATACACGTCATGATCTTCATTGGTTTCGGATTTCTAATGACATTTCTTCGACGATATGGGTAATGTGTTTATCATATTTACGAAACGAACTTGTTCGAAATTTTTCCTATGAAAATATTTTAGCTTCAGTGCTGTTGGCTATAACTTCCTCGTTGCTGCATTTGTACTTGAATGGGCTATTATTGTTCGTGGCTATATGTTTGACTTTGATGCCGATACGAAAACATTCCCTATCGATGTTGAACGAATCATTGTAGCTGATTTCGTTGCGGCAGCTATACTCATTTCATTCGGTGCAGTGTTAGGCAAAGTTAATCCAACCCAATTGATAATCATGGCTTTTATTGAAGTTTTACTTCAATCAGCAAATGAATTCATTGGTCTTCGACGCTATTGTGCTTATGATATCGGTGAATCTATGTTCGTTCACGTATTTGGTGCGTTTCAATACACAAAGATAAACTATTTTCGAAACTCTTCTTTCTCTTCATAGGTGCTTACTTTGGTTTAGCGGTATCCTACATGCTCTACGACGAAAAATTGAACAGTCAAGAAGCTGAACAACGCGAAAAGTCCGTTTATAACTCGGATCTTTTCTCAATGATCGGTACAATCTTTCTCTTCTGTTTCTGGCCATCATTCAACGCTGGTGTCGCTGCAGCTGGTGATTCCCGTCTTCGAGCTATTGTTAATACTTACATAAGCATTGCATCTAGTGTCCTACTTACATACATATGTTCATGTATATTTAACAAAGAAAAGAAATTCGATATGGTTCACATTCAAAATGCCACATTAGCTGGTGGTGTTGGTATGTTCGACAAAGACAATGCTAATTAGAGAAATCTCATTCACTCATTTCTTTTCAGCTGTTGGTACTGTTGCTGATAAGATTGTTCGTCCATTCGGTGCTATGATTATCGGTTCAGCCGCAGGTGCTTTATCAACTGGTGGTTTTCAATTTGTCAAGAAGATTCTTCAAAAATTCCGTGCTCACGATACATGTGGTGTTAATAATCTTCATGGTATGCCCGGTTTACTTGCTGGTATTATTGGTATTATATTAGCTCTATTTCCTGCTCATTCATTGTACACTGATAACTTACTTCCTATTTGTTGGCACGGAGCTTATCGAACATATATAGGTCAACTTGCTTATCAAGCTGCTGCCTTAGGAACTACAATTGCTATTGCTGTTATTGGAGGTGTCATTACAGGTATTATCTTACGTTTACCACTTCTTAATGATGACCGTCCATCATCATACTATAACGATCGTACACATTGGGAAACACCCGATGATTTTCATCAAGATGCCATTACTGCTATACATCCAGTTGAAGTAGAACATCACCATGTGTAAACATATTCGTCACTTTACTTTGAACATTACTGTCATGTTTTCGTTTCAATACGAATATGTTATTTTACTTAGTGATTAGACAACAATAATCTAGAAAAAAAACACACATATAGTTTAGTTCCAATAACTTTTTCTTACTGTTTTGTTTCGCATGGAAAGAAAAGGTTTGATTTAAGATGCTTTCGTAGCTATAGATTGTGATATAAACTGATTGGAACAGTTTGTTTTCTTTTGATCTATGAATTTCTATTTCTTTCTCTTTTTCGAATAAAATAATTGCTCGTGATAGTCGAAATTATCGTTCTAGCCTCTCACATCCTTAACAGATATTGATAAAACACAGACACAAACTAATCAAGTAGATGATATCTCAAACACACACACACGCACATCATAATTGATGGTAATAACACAAACAATTGTTGCTTCATGATATACTAAATAGAGTTATTCTTCTGTTTCTATTCCTGACATATTGCTATGCGTGTATATGTAAACAAATGAAACTCTTGAGGCGAAGAGGTTGAGAGTAATGACATCGTTAGTTGAGACAATTCTGAAATTATATTCGAATAATGAACTCGAAGAGTGGTCACGAAATGATGAGTCGAAGAATGCTGTAAACAATTCTTCTTGACGAATTCCTTTCTAATTAAATCAGAAAATGTGTAACACCCATTTACGATCAAGAGATCTCTCCACATGTCAATAAGTACATCCTCTTAGCACTAATTGACAGCAGTTCGTCGGAGATATTGGATAATACGTCTCTCTTTGTTTCTCTGTCTAGAGAACGTCGATAATTAATGTTTTTATAGAAAATTATCATCGATTGTTTATTTGGATTCGATTTATATTTATTCTGCGATGTCTTGGACACCTGTATCCATATATCTGTGACACTCATTCACGTCATAGTCTGAAAATTATGAAGAGGGAGTAATAGTCGAAACGATAATGTTCTTCGTCTGCTTCTCTTTTTCTCGTAGCTATTTTTTCCTGCAAACAATTTGAGAACGAGGAAAAAAGAAAAAGAGATGCATAGCTATTCTTTGTTCGCCTCGTTTGTAATGTTCTTCACTGGTTAGATGGTGAGATGTGAAAATGAAGCTCTCTGCTTAGTTCACATAGCAAGACCGATTGTCTCGCTTACTTCCTTCTTTTTTTCTTTCTCATGACACACAACAAACATACACATCGACGAGAAGAGAACGACTAATCGCTCTCTTTTCTTCTCCTATTTTTTTACTAGACGTTGGAATGCACAAACGGTTACAATGGCGATGACTTTTTTCAAGAGACAGACGCTTGTTACCAATGTGCCGTGATCGATTAGGACACAGCTAGTTATTCCACTGACATTCTCATAAACAAGATATTTCTCAGGTAATCGCTATCGATTCGATATGCTTTTCATTATTTTGTTCATCGTAGATCCAGCCATGGATATTCATTCGTTGATGGGCAGAGCCTCGACAATGATGTCAGGCAAACGAAATGATGACAGTATGTCTGATAGACTTAATTATCGTTATACAGTCGCAATTTTGGTGATATTCGCCATCATCAATATGAATCGTTTATATACAGATCAAATCAAATGTTGGGTAAGAAAGAAAAAGGATTATCTCTATGTTTTGTTTTCATTTTCATCTGTCATCAGGTACCGGCGTTCTTTACACCAAATTACGATGAGTATGTTCGATCTGTATGTTTTGTACAAAATACTTACTATTTGAAGCATGCTGATAAAATTCCGAAATCACTCAATGCGAAAAAACAAAGCGAAATCCTGTATTATCAATGGATACCGTTTCTGTTACTTATTAAAGCATTTCTATTCTATATTCCACGTATGTCATGGAATGCTTTTGGGCTGAAGAGCGGAGTACAACTGTCTGATCTCGTCGAATCCTCATTTGATTATAAACTGCCCACAACTGATGCAGCACATCGACAAATGTGTCTCGATTATGTTATTAGTACCATTGATGAATATTGCAATGATCATCGGCGACAAGCTGAAGCGCGCAAGCATCTCAACGTGCTTCAACACAAATTTTCCATAAGCTGTTGTTTATCAGGACGATATCTCGGCAATTATCTAGTCGTACTTTACATGACGACAAAATTATTGTATATTGGCATTTCGTTATTTCAAATCTTCATATTGAGTATTCTGCTAGGCTCGAATTTCGCCTTCTATGGTATAGAAGTAATCGATCGTTTGTTTCGAGGTGAGATTTGACTTTGACAAGAAGAGTTATGTTCTTTGAATGTTTGTTTTGAAAAGGTATGAATTGGGATTCGGAAACGCGGTTATTCCCTAAAACAACATTATGTGATTTTACTGTTCGAGAATTTGGTCATCCTAAACTCTCTCACGAATATACCGTTCCATGTGTTCTACCATTGAATCTATTCAATCAACAGATGTTTACCTTTCTTTATTTTTGGTATCTGATTGTTATCCTATTAAATATCGGCGACTTTTTCCTTTGGTTGTACATTATCTCGCCGGGAAATCGTCGTGCTTTCATTCGTACGCGTCTTCATACGAAAAAGTATCCGTTGACGAATGCAACGAGAGATGTGGAAAAGATTCGTATGTTTGCCGATGAGTATCTGGAAGCTGACGGGTTCTTCATGTTGATTCTAATCAAAGAAAATAGCTCCGATTTTGTCGCATCGGAAATTATTCATCATTTGTACACGGACAAATTTCTCGCCAGATATTTTCGACACACAACGGCGACGATCTATGATGCAATCGATACCAAACACGAAGACGATGATTTGGAAGGAAACGGCAAACGCCGACGTCAATTTTGTTCGTTAGTATGTTAGTTTAATCGACTCCTTTTTTTTCTACATGTAAAAAACTGTTTTTTTCGTAAACAACAAAAGCAAAATATTGATTAGAAGAAGAAATTTTCACTTGATATAATACTCGTTTGGAAGAGAACAATAAGTACAAGAAGAGTGGCAATACCTAGGAAAATGATTTTTCCCGGACGAACGGTTAGACCGAATAATTTCGCGCGCAATTCAGCTTTGGAGAGAAAAAGTAAAAATCCATCGAGTTCATTCGCATTGGTATTAGGATATCCATACACACGCATAGAAAGACTAATTCGATAGAATTTGTCACATTTCGAGGTTACGCGAGCAGCCTAAAAAAGTTTTGATTAGGAACAAATTCGATTACGCTTATCATTCAACAAATCTTACTTGTGTCAAACAGAACGCGAGAATAGAAAACCAAACAACTGTATAGAATGAGCGATAAACCCACATATCAGCACGAAAGATTCGATTCATTATCAAGAGAATAACACCTGAAGAAAAGAATACTTTCATGGAAAAGATTTCATCCTGAATAAATTCATACCGAGAATCGTACGTTCCAGAAAGAAAATGATTAATATAGACATCATTCTCGATGCTGCACTATTCAATTGACTGATTGAGACGCCGAGATCAAGGATGCGTTTCATCGCTTCCAAAAGTTGAACAGATTTCTCTTCCAGACGTATTCGAATTGCTTTACAATAAAAAAGAATCATCTCACAATGACACGCGTAGTTCATTGCAATAGCCATATGAATACAATTAGATATTAGTAAGCAGAGAATATCAATGGTAAAAAGTATATATCGTTCTGGTTTGCTGAGAAAAGAAAACCAAACGAATTTTCGATGCAATGTTATTGAAATGAACTTACTTTTTAACAATATGGTATTGAGAATCATGGAAGAAAAGTGTGTGAGCGAAATCATTCATGGCATTCGACAGAGCGTGAGTAGCGACAGAGATCAGTACCCATACGCATCCGATAAGCATGAATAATCTAATTAAATAGAGCAATAATAATCATTCGAGTTCATTTGCTTTGAAATTGGCTACTTTAATCGTCGAATTGCTCGATTAACACCAAACTGACGAATATTTTGATCGGCGTGAATAAAAACCTTTTTATACAAAAGTTGAATGATTATTGTGCTAATCAGATTCAAGTGTTCCTTACTTTTTCCATCAGAGAATACATTGGTTCACCTTCGGTGACACGAAAATAAATAAAACCAATAATAAAAGCAACGAAATGAAAAATATCAGGGAGAATATAAGTTGTAAAGACATGTCCACATTCGGCATGTTTAGCCATCAATGTGAAACTTGCATTCGTTGTATGCGGTCTCGTCAGGCCAGGTTGAAGTGTAGCCCAAGTTCCTGCTGATTGATTTCTTGGACTACTTGTGGTGACAAAGTTCGTCGTTGTTGTTGTCGTTTGAACTGTTGTTGTTGTCTACGACGAAACAAATCAAGCAAATGAATAATTCGTATAAATCTTCCACATACCTGTGTATCGGTTACAACGTTGAGTTTTCCTTGACAAATTATGATTTCATATGTATAATTGAAGAGAAGTAAGATCAAGATTAGAATAGGATAGAAAATGTTGATTATGCGTAAGAAGATAGACGAACGTTTGAGACTATCAGCACCAAACGGTCTCCATCCAATCTGGAATGAAAACATTCGTTGTGATAGATTCGAAAGAAGAACGCTTTGCTTACTAGACAGAGCAGTTTTCGGAATGGATGAAGAATTTCTTTCTTGCATTTCATCAAACTAATCGTGGTTGGATTCGGACAAGAATTGTCGAGATCAGAAATCTACATGAAATCTTTCAAATACGAATATTTCTCACTCATTAACTTACTTCAACTTTCACACAGTCAAATTCATCATCTGTATTTATTGATTTATTTGTGTTATTATGTGGATAATTGCTTATCGATACAACTAATGCCTATTAATATAGTAAAGAACATTTTCGAATCGATTGACTATTCGGTAAACTCACCGAGTTAGTAGTCATAACTGTTTTTGACAAGTAGCTGTATAATAAGTTTAGAAATGAAATTCTAACCCTATTTTTCTCTCCTTATACCTTGGACTATATAGTTGTCTTATCACGAAAACAAAAGAACGAACAAAAAGAGGAGAGAATTTAGTTGGGTAAGAAACACTATGCAATTCGCACACACGTCACAGATAACGCATTTTCATTTTCACCTCGAAATGTGCCCTTCTGTGTAATATACACATTTGATTCTTATCACAACAATCGAACTTATACAAATAGATAATAGTCATCAGATGTTGAAATTTCGACGCTATTCGAATTTATATCGAGAAAATTTTATACTCATTACATGTTCTTCTAAAGATAACATATGGCAATAAGTACACGAAGGCAGATAGATTATTGAAGAATTCCAGAAGGAGAATCTATTCGTATTCTCTGGTATTATATTCAGATTAATAATCGGTTCTTAAGGTTAAAGATGCCATCAAGTCTACCTCATGCGTTAATCCATTTTGCAGCAAAGGCCGTGTGTGTATACATAGATGTATATTTATTCTCTATACATCTTGCATCGATGTACAAATGAATATGTAAGTATTTTGTTTTCTTTCAAACATCAGTCGACAATCGAAGTGAAACACTAGAAAAAGTTATTTGGGTTGGCAAGAGAGATTTCGTATGATCAACAGAAGGATAACCATCCATATAAATAAGAAATAACAACAATAATGGCAATGAAAACATTGGAAAACATGCTTCTTGAGTTGTCGTATTGCTACTGTTTGACGTCATCTATGTAATCAACACTTCGCGCTGCCTTTTTGTCTCAAAGTAGTATCGCTCAACATCAATTAGTTATGAAATCCAGCGACTCTATCTTCGTATCATATCAATGTCAAATAAACTTTTTCTTGCTTCTATTAACAATCATGCGATGTTTCGAACAAGACTAAAGTCCATTAGATTGATATGACCCAACCTTCAGTTGTCGATGAGCAGAAAATCGAATCATTTGTTAAATCCACTAAGACAGATGTTGTTCGGACCAGGGTCGTGTGCATCTATGCATAGAGGCATACACATAAACAAAAAAAAGTACAAAGGCCGACAAGCGAGCGCGAGTTATCGGCAGACGTAAAGAATAATCAGTAATAAATCTATTGATGGCGAATAGAGAAAGAAATAGATGGAAAAGAAGGAAATATTTTTCTCAATTATATTACTATCATCTTCCCATTTGCGCTATTTATTTGACGTCTCCGCTTTTCTTTTTTGACAGACTGGTATATTATTGAAACGAGTACTGGATATTGACTGGTACATTTCGAAATGGCTAATGATGACTCGCAAAGCATCAGCTGTGCTCTTCTCGGTGACGACTCTCAACATCTCGGCAGTGAGACAAGTAGTCAACTGACTCGATCATCATCGATTAAGCCCCCACCTGCTAGTTCGAAATGGACATTACGAAATAGTCTTTCCACTGCGAGTTTACGTCGATATCGATCACCATTTCGTCGCAGTGTATTGAAAAATGGTTCGGTTAAATCCAATGGACAATATTCACCCGCAACATCGTTTCCACTGTTTCGTCGATTCTACCTTATGCGTAGTTCGTTCGCACGAAAGCGTCAAAATGGTTTACCGCACGACAACAAAGATCCAGAAGCTTTAACATCTGCTGACAAAATCCCTTCATCATTGCAGATTCACACTAGGCATTTACTCACTTCAATCTTTATTATTCTTATCAGTGGAAGTCTCTTGATTATCATGATTGCTCTTGACATGCTCTACTTGGACGATGCTTTACCAGGTCAACTCAAGCCATCACGTGTGACATCGAATAAGAGCAGTCAAACTCCGCTATGTTTTCGTCATGCGAAAGTTTGCACTATGAAAGGTTTAATTATCATTGTCTTTTCTGGCATTACAATTGTCTTATGTTATATCGTCTTGACCTTATATACACGTGCAAGAAGTCATACACGGATACTGGAGCGGAAGACAGATGAATTGGAAAAAGAGAAGTGTTTAACAGAAAAATTACTTCATGAAATTTTACCACCTTGCGTGGCAAAAGATTTAATCAACGGACGAAAAGCACCCGCGGAACATTATGAATCTGTTACAGTCTATTTCTCTGATATTGTTGGTTTCACGGTCATAGCAAGGTAAATAAACTTGCTGCGAATTCATTCTACTCGAAACTACTGTCATTTAGTACATGTACACCCAATGAAACGTGTGATATGTTGAATAGACTTTACTCGATCTTTGACTCTCTGTTGGAAAATTTCGATGTTTATAAAGTTGAAACTATTGGTGATGCGTATATGGTTGTGTCCGGAGCACCGAAAAAGAATGGAGACAAAGTAATTTGACAAGAAGAACTGTTTATTTTCTTAACAAATCGAATGTTTACTTATTGTCTCGTAGCATCCGAACGAAATTGCTAATATGTCACTGGCTTTACTTCACTGTAAACAACAAGTTTACGTTCCTCGTAGTTCAGCTCAACTGAAACTACGTATTGGTATCCATACAGGTAGGTAGAAGTTTAAATAAATAAGAATGTTTCGATTACTGGCATGTACGTTATCTTATAAATATCATCAGACTTCAGAAGAATGAGATGTCCACGAGAAAAAAATAACATCACCGATATTTCTGTATGATATCAAAGGCACAAGAGACAACAAAAGAATAATAATTTACCACGAGAGATTTATCATCGTTTTCTTGACGACAACATTGTCCTGATATCTATTTTTATCTCACGGAACTATCATCTTATATCAACACTATACACAGACTTCTATTTTGTTGACCAATATCTGTATTTAAAAAACTTATCTGAGTCCAATGGATCTTTACTTCGATAAAAATAGACTCTTAATTGAAGAAAGAAATTAGTTCTCGTTATTTATTCAGATAACGCCTATCAAAGAGAAACCGATTGAATTGCATAAAAAATTCAGCGTATGAAAATGTGTCTTGGTATTTTCTAGGACCGGTATGTGCAGCTGTGATCGGCTCGAAGATGCCACGATATTGTATGTTTGGTGATACGGTTAATGTCGCCAGTCGAATGGAATCCACTGGCTTACCAGATAAAATTCACATGAGTAACGACACATATAAACGACTGATTAATCGCGAACAGTACATCTTCGAAGAACGTGGCGAAATACCCGTCAAAGGAAAGGGTCAAATGCATACATATTTTCTTTTAGATCGAAAGCCGATTCAGACTGGAGCGAAATCACGTTCGAATACGATCTTGAAAGGCGAACGAGATTGTATATAGATTGCGTGTTGTGATAGAAAAATCGTTTTTTTTTTCTTATTTTATTATACTTTTCACTTGTGTCTTTCCATTTCATTTAGCTTATTGCTATATATTCTCTTCGCAATAGAATAACAATTATGACCTACACTGAGTTCGGTGAAAAAAGTTCGAGAAGCTAATAGGATTAATACAAAATTTTCTGGGCAGAGGAAATTGATCTTGATAAATATATTCTTTCTCCATTGTCGCTGGCATACTATGTGACAGTGGAAGATTTGCAGATAAGAAAAGATCGATTAGGACAGAATCAAGGCGAAATGTCATCATGTTTTCTTGAATCCAATGTACTTTGCGCAGAAAGAAAGATTTGTGTAAGTAAATGAATAATTAACTCTGAATTTCATTTATCCATCGGAAGTGCTTTTAATAATGATAATCTCATGATCGATTGCTGTTCCATATCCTACTGATTTATGCAAACAAATCTAGGCAAAGATAGGCTCTGACAGTTGATAAACTCATTCCGAATAATAATCGGAACTAAGAATATTCATGGTCATGTTAGACATTCAGACACCCAAATTGACGTTTAGGAATCTGCTGTACTATAATTCGAAAAAAAACATTGCACAATTCATTGCTTAGATAAGATATTGATCCTCAGCGACCTGAGAGAAGTTGTTCAACATCAGTTTTTTTTTTCGTTAGTTGTTCTGCATTGCAACTAGCCGAAATGAAGATCGATGAATAAACAATACGTAATTATCATATCGATTACGCACAGCAGTCTATAAAAAAATATCATCATCAACTCGTTATTCAGATACAAAACAAATCTACAAAACCAGAAATCGCAAGTTTCTATCAATCACGTCCACATTTGTCCTCATACATGTTGTTCAACTATATTAAATGAATAAGGATGTCAGTTATAAATCTCGTCAATACAATCGAACTGTCGACAATCACAGGATATTATATTAAGATTTCAAATGATTTCTTCTGCATTCATTCATTAGTACATCTATTCATCGAGTCCAATCGTGTGTCTTCATTTATCTTTCTCTGATGTTTTAACGATGGATAACTTCAGTGCATGTCGCTTTTGACAGTATGAATCTATTCATCAATGAACGCTGAAAATTTCCTTTGAACGTCGATAAAGAATCATCTGACAATCGACGTAGCACGGCTTAGCATCGTTTGCCTATGTTAACGATGTACATATCAATAATTAGTGCCAAAATGTCTACTATAGGAAAACAGTTTTATATTTATGTAATAAACTCAAAACATACTTTTGCCATGATTATCTCATCAAGAGGACATTCCTACGATCAAGAATAACATGATAAGTATTTAGCTAAGTTAGATACTTGAAAGTAATAGATGGATAGGCAGGCCTGGTTGTCAGGTAGGAGAAGAATGATATCAACATCTTCTCCATGCGTTAACCTTAGTGTTATTTTTATTAGATGCAAAGGAAAGCTGTCGAGCAATTCATCGTCGCGTTCGTTTGCTTCTTTTTTTCTCTTTCTTCTCTAGTTAGGTTTCTCAGCAGCCAATACATTTTAGTTCTTCCCCCATCGCCTGTTCCTCTGCTAATATCCGCCAACAGTCTGAAAAACACGCGAAATAAACGAGAGTGCGGTACTTCATCTGTATATTTATATGAATTCTGTATCATCGTGGTAAATGATATTTTTATAGTAGACAAGAAAAACGTTGTCGATTATCAAAAGAAAGGATAAGTATACGCGATCTACAGACCGGTTTCAATTATTGACAAAAGTTCATGAAACGAATATCAATTGATTATGTTTGTTTATTCAAGATCGTATTTGCTCTTTATACTACGACGTCTAACTCAACATACACACAGATATATAAAGTGTGTACAAATGATTGTGCACAGTTATATTAACTTGCATTGCGCAAAATAAGTCGTATCTCAATTCTCCCCGTTTACTAGTTCTTCGATGTACAGCGAATAGAATCTCGCTCGTAGGAAGTCAACCATTCGATCCTATAATTATCTGTGTCATTAGGTGTAATTGAAAAAAGACAATATTATCAATATGCGACCACGACCGACTCCATCGTCAACGGCAGCAGCAACCATCGAACAAAAAACGAAGATCTTGAGAATAACTCTGGCTGCAACTGTTGTCTCATTTGTGGCTTTTCTGATAACATTAACATCAACACAATGGGTGTTTGTTACCTATCCAGCTGATTTCTTTTCTAAACGACAGAATATGGTCATCGTTCGCTCTCGTTATGGTATCGTTTGGGAATGTTTTTTTGGTCGATTGCCAAACGTTTCCACATCCAGTAAGTACAAATATTCTCAAAGATTTTCAAAAATAATATTTGTTGTCAATGTAGGTAGTAAATGTGATTATCATCAATCTCACATACAAAATAATTCAACACCAGCTGAACAAACACTTGTGGGTCTGTTCTCGAGATATTTGTTGTTGAATATAAGCGTTCTACTCTGAAATTTTCTCTAGGAATGACCCGTACGATGCTTTCATTTAGTATTATTCATATCCTTCTTGCAATTGCAACATTTATTTGCGGATTATATAGTATTCGTGACTATCGCTACACTTATAAACGATTAACAGGCATGATTTACATTCTATCCGGTAATAGCGATTGTGATTTGAAATGGGGAAAACATTTAAACGAGTTTTGTTTCTCCTTCTAGCTGCCGCATTACTTGTTTGTATTGAAGTTTTAAGCACGATATTTCGGCATTCGAATGAGCAATTGCCCGAGATTTATCCACCAGGCACAGAGCATACCTATGGTGTCTGCTATATAATCGCGTGGATTATATTTATTCAATTACTTGGATCATCATTTACATTCTTTATTTGTAGTAAGAAACGGAAAGGAACGTTCGATGAAGCTACAGAAGAAGAAGCATTGGCAAATCGACCAGTAGATCTTGGTCGATCATTTCGACGTTGATGCTAGTTTACTATTCATATCTTATGCAAGCAAATGAACATTCAACTGCGTTTTGTTCTTCTCCTTCTGTTCAGTTTCGTGTTTGTTTGTGAATTCTATTACATGAAAGAGTCAAATGAGACTCTCTGACTCAGATGTGTAAATCTTACTACGAAGGTTTTTGTTGATAAATTAATTATTATCATCAGAGATATATTCTGATATTCGACTATGAAGGAAAAACAAGTGAGTATGATTCGCTATGCAATGCACGTGAATTTCTTGACGGTTGAAGACTCAACAATCGATTCAGTCATACACTTACTAAGTTCGAATTATCATGCCTTGATGAATTTAGTTGATTTGAAACCTACGCAATGATTCATTTCGTCTGACTCAGCAAATCATTTGAGACAGATCTAATAGAGACTGTTAAGCTTGTTTTCATGATAACACAGTCGTGTTGGTCTCATTGATATGTATTCAAAACATTGGCCTTCTGAATGTTGAACTAAGATTGCCAATACCGTAGACGCATGTCATTGTCTAGTCGACTATGATAATCATGAGGACATGTCTCCACCAACAGACAGTGTGATCAATGTCTCGAGCAATTCATTCGACTGAAAATCTCTCAGCTTTATTTTCCCTCAACAACTTGACATAGCTAATACGAAAAGATCGATAATGATAAATACATGTTTATTCAGCCAAATAATGCTTCTTGGAACTGTAGAGAGAAACAACATAAATGACAAATCGATTCTGTCTGAGACCATAAGATGGTATTAATCGAAAAAAAAAGAGTAGGTGTTATATCATAGAATACATCTTTTTGCAGCATGGCTTAGTCATCTTTCTTGTTTTCATACGAGATTTAGTTGTAGAAAAAAAAAGGAGAGCAATGACATTTTGAGTTTGAGCTAATAATCTTCTTTGCTTCGTACTTAAATAAATCTCATAGATCATGTAGGAGAGAAAAAACTCTCTTCGTAACGTTTGCCATAATGAACTTGGTTTAAAATTCACAGAACTAACACATCGGGATTCTCTCTTAGATGAAGCCAGGATAAATAAAATGAAAAATTAATGGATGATTTTTTGATGAGAAACATATGTATGAATACCCATCGCACTCGTTATGTAGACGAGTATTTGATTAATTCATCGACATGGTCATGAATTGAATAAATTGTTCATTGATAAAAGAAATCTCTCTCTTGATGTGTATTTGCACAGATGATACAATTAAGATTGATAAATAATGAACAGATTCAGATGATTATTATCATACTTCGATGTAATTTATTTCAATTGCACAGATCCTTGTGAGATAGATGTTGAAATATGACATTTACGAATGCATATGGAAGATATTTCTCATTTATACATACTCTCCTCTTTGTTTACTTATAAAGTCCTTTGAAAATTTGACTGTTACCATCTTCTGGCAGAAATCAGTATGTCCTTCGGCTTGATCTTTACTCGATGAGATCAGTCTTATTGTTCATCGATTTTCAACCTATCTCTCTATTAGTAAAACTAATCCTTTGGTTGAAATCGACGATAAAATTCCAGTAAATTTGATAAATAGAGAGAGAAAGTCGCAAGACAATTACGCTGCTTAAGGTCAATGCTTCAATGATGCACATGTGATTGTCAAAGGTTAACTCTGAACGAGTGCTAATTGCATTGTTATCGGAATCGATCCGATCAACTTGACTTAGTTATTCAATTGACTATTACCACACTTTCAATCGCCTATGTTCTTACGCATACGCGCGTGTGTGTGTGTGTGTGTGGACGTTCATTCTGGTAACATCTTTGTTTCTAATGATAATAAAGATTACGCGTTTTCTTTTATTTTCCGCTTTGATTAGATTTTGACTTATCAGGGTAACAGTTTCTTCTTATCTTTCTACATTGTCCATGAAAACACACACGACTAAGCACAAGAGAATGTAAACATTGTTCGAGATTATCATTATAATTATCTACTAATGATAAAAGAAGAACTGAGAAGATTGAACAACAGTCGCTGTAACTATCCGATGAACGACAACATGATGTTTTTAGAGAAAGCATAAGACATCTATCTACACTATGGAATGTTTGTACAATGCTTCGTAGAATAAACCTTTTCCTCTTTCACATCCGTCATCATTCTTTCTTTCTTCTCTCATATGGTGCTATCAATAGGCACACGAGACTTTTCTTCTTCTTCTTCTTCTTCTTTTGGTCTCACTCTCTCACTTTGCATATTTTGTCCATGTAGATGACCTCTCTTACAGTTTCTCTTTTTTTTTTTACTATGATACATTCTTTTTTCTGTTGATAGATATTGAACAGTAAACGGAATTTAATTACACCAAAGTGTTCTACTTATTCGTTTGAATTACGTAAATCTTTTTCATTGGTAAGTAAACGACATTATGGTCTGCAGACTTGTTCATGCTTGATAATTATTACAGCTATTTGAGTATACTAATTATACAGGTGAGTACAATGAGAAAAACGGTGATGATGGAAGCCAGACAGGCGATATATATGCCCTTCGCCAACATCAACGACAGTAAACATATGAATACGAATAGAAAAAGCAGAATCTATGTAGTCGGTTTGTATATACAAATCCAAATGGATAAATCTTAGAAGTCTTCGCAGACTACATGAGTATGAGCAGAAAATGAGATTAAATGTCAATAGATTGATTGCTCAATGACATCCAAGAAAGAGACGTCATATCATGAAGTATGACACAGTTGGGACATCAAGGTCAGCCACAATGAGTCGAGAGCGATTGGACTAATTTATTCCCTTTTCTATCTGTAAAATTACATCATTGATTTCGGTGAATGACAACGGAATCTTTACACAAAATAGCAATGCTCATTTTGTTCCTATCCAGCTGAGCACTTACAAAGTATCGGTAATGTTCATGCTCAGTTACCTCATCATAATCAATGTGTATTCGATCTGGATCATTTGTTGTCTTTAGCAGTAGATGGACTGCTGCGTCCGTTTGCTTCTTCTTACTTTTGACCGATGAAGTTAATGTTGAGCGGTGAGAATACCTTTTTCCTTCTTTGCTACAATTCACTCGGATAGAAATAAATTGAATCATTCAAAGAAAAACGAATGAATTACAACGATGACCAAGCGCAAGAAAAGAAAATATTAAAAAGCTTAGATATCCTGTTGTAATTTGATTGAATGCACAGGAACCGAAAATTTTCTGTTTCCCTCAGTTTGTCGCCAAGAAAAATGACAGATAGAATTAGAAGAAGAAGAAAATGGAAAACGAGACTGCTGACATCATCATTTGCATTAAGTACTTATACAACCTATTTCTAAGCAATGGATTGTACGTCTGTCCGAACTCAAGGGAAAAAATACAATAGTCCTACTAGTGTTAAATAGTCCGTGCATGACCAGTTTCTCCCACCCTCACCCTGAACAAAAAAAAACGCTTATCGGATCTGTCACGTTGATGAAAATTAATTCGTTTTTTTTCTTTCCTTCGACGACATGTACATTGAACCTATACAATGTATTGTATGCCGTTCGTGATCCTAGTATTATAAACATCTTTTGCGTCTAATGACATGTTACATATGTGCGCTTCTCCAAAGAAAAGAACAACAATGCTTACTTTTTGTCTAATCTATTTTTCACATACACACATATACAGATCGACTACTGTAAAAGATGTAGTCTTACAGACGCTTTTTCTTCGCATTCTGAGAAAGTATTTGTTACAATATAGAACCAAATTTCTTCCTAACATGTTAGAAAGACGAAGTCATTCGATTATCTTAATGTATGCATTGTACTCCTATATCTAATGTTCACTTTTTTCTTTTCTATTATAGCTAATTTATACGTACGTTGAACGCTCTCACGAGAACTACTATTCACTATCACAATGAATTGAATACAAGCGACGAGCAGGTGAACAATGTATGATAATTCTCGCGTGTCTTCGTATACGAATGTGGCACCTCGTCCATGTCGTATACAATACAGTCGTTGGTCATTAGACACACCAGCAACGGAAACATCTATTGACCAGTCGTTGTCACACCCATCGGCAACACTTTCTTCTTCTCTCTATTATCCTCACACACGACCGAACAATCAAGTACTCACACCACACTATGTCAATTATTATCCATCATCATCATCGTCATTATCATCTTATTCACCCATTCAACAATGTCCTAGAAGTACTATAGTAAATGATTTCATATCAACTGATCAAGAACAATTTCATATGAATGATTTCCGTCAACGTTATGATTCGAAACCTGTTATAGGTATTGTTAAACCAATGATTCATCAGCGATCCTATACCCAATTGAATAACAGTTATAACAATGAACAGAAAATTCCTAAGAAAAAAATTAATTCCTATCATTATAATTCAACACATTCACTACAACCTCGATCTGCTTCACCACCATTACCCCCGCCACCGCAAGCTGCACCCGTCGTCTATCGATCTCGTCTTAATCCAACGAATAGCGGTGTCGATGCGCAACCACCACTGGCACCGCGACGACACTCGTCTATTAGTACTAGCAAGTATTTGTCGTCGTATCGTTCGTCACGAACAGCGTCGACAACATCGTCATTAATTAATGCCGTGAACGAACTGCCATCAACGAATGTGCCCCGCGAAAACGAGCCACAACAGGCAACTCACGAAAAGATCGATGTTAAACGTCTTGAGATGTTTTATGGAAGCGTGGGAACATTGGTTAAATCGGCTTGTTCCATCGCTCATCTTTATGCCACAACAACACGACAACTGGCTAATTTCGAAGATTGGTCATGTCAACAACGCGGCGTACCAGTATGGATATACAATACTGTTCGTAGTTTACAATTGTTCATATGTTGACTTCAATGAAATTTTGTTCTAGGGAGCGAATTTAAAACGATCTCGTCAAGTGAGATTATTGCTTGCACAGCATGACAGTTGCTTTGCCATATGGTCCGATCTGGTATCAGATAAAGCGGAATTACGTTTGCCAAAGGAGAATTATATAACGTGTTGGTTGCCGGAATCCAATTTACTTATCGTGTTCAAATTTGAACGTAATGATGCTTGTCGATTATTCTTTCAACAGTATTATGAAATCTTAGAATACGATCGTCGTATAAATTCAATTGATTTACTCTTAACACCTTCGGAAAAGCTAGTTGAACAACAACAAACCAAAAACAAAAATGTTCCGCGTCGTTATTCACGTTTGAAAACCATTTCCAATAAACAAGATAAAGAACAACATGAACAACAGTTTGAATTACGTCGTTGTCGTAGTTTATCTCGTATTCGAACAGTGAAAAAGTCGGCCATCTCCGGCCCAATCAATTTCGAGCATGTCAATCATGTTGGTATGAACTGTAATCAAGATCAGTCATTATTAGGCACATCGACATTACGTCCTTTACATGCATCGATGTCACATATACCGTCTAATGGAACATTAACCGATCGATTTTCAAAACAAAGTAAAAGACGTGCTTCGATCGTATTTGAACCTCGAACAACAGCTGTTTGAATCAGTTTTTTTCTTTTGCCTTTTTTCGATATTGTCTAGTATTGTTTCCTTCTTTGAATTATTTTTCTTGCCATCGAAATACATCATTTTCACTATTACATGAGGATCACGAGAAACATATTTGCTAATTCGATGTTAATGTACGCCATCTATTACCGATGCGCGTATGTGGATAAACATCCTGATTCAATCATCTGAGACGATGTAATAGCCGACATGACAGTTTACCTAAGATATACGTATTTACTTTTTCTAAATAATTATTCACATTTGTAACCTCACTTCAACGTACTTTGAAGGCGATTGTATAGATAGGTACATTGATTTCCATCTCATATCCTTGGTATGCTGATTGATCATTCGTCTAAAGTGTTCGGTGTCTCATTAGGAGACGAGAAATGAAAATATTCAAATAAAATTAAACTTTTCTAGGTCAATGACACTGTTCAATACTCGGACGAACGTAGTGCATTCGTTCGGTTCATATATGAAACGCAATTTCATTCCTTTTCAGATTGACCAATTAATGATAGACTTGAATTATTGGTTCTAATTACGATGCAACTTGTCAAGTCATCTTGGTAACTCAATTGTTGAGGTAATCTTGACCATTTTTTATCAGAAGAAAACGATTACGTTTCATTGTTTCCTTTGCGCTTTAAAATGCCGTTCATTTACTCTCCGACAAGTCGATCTACTGGACAATGTCTCTGTTAGATCATAGATTTGTCAAATAAACCAACACGCATACACTCTATTTGATTGTCTGTAGTACATGCAATGATTTCAAATGATGACAACGGTGACGGTCAAGAGTACAGCGAGCTAGAGGAAGAAGTCTATTATGAAAATGATTGTGTCCTTGACTCTATCTACATATGAGCACATGATGTCGACATTTGTTCATTCTCATTTTCTCTTTCATATTGATGAGTAATCGACACCAACAAGCTGCTGTTCTATTTCTTTCTTTCAACTTGTGAAAGGCTATTATCGTTCAGTGCAATACTTCATCACGAGTGCATTCACATAGATTACACGATTTACTTCACTCGTGTCTCTTTTTTCAATATGTCTTATGTGTGTGTGTTCGAAGAGTTGGCCTTCGCATCTGTGTGTCAACGTCGGACGGATTGATCAGTGCAAAAAACAGAAAGAAAACTGAGAAGAGAAAAAACTTCCATACGTCCGCTACCGCTTAAATTCTCTCGTCGTTCAAGATACTGGGCGACTAGTGTCTTATATATTTGTGTGAGTGTTGTCGTTCGACATCGAAGACCGACAGGCACTAGATTAAGTAAAGAAAAGGAAGGAGAGAAAACCGAGACAGACATGCAAAGCAAGGCTATGGAAGGTGTCCCCGTCGTGCACACCCATACTGCTCTCGTTTGATCTTTCTCTCAATCTTTCTTCGCTGGTGTTGGTCGAGACCCTTCGTTTTTCTCCTCCTCCTCCTCTCTCTCTCTCTCCTTCAGCTCATGTTGATTTAATCTACGCGGATTACTTCACCATTACCAACGACCATCCGCATGTTGGAAGAAGAAAAAGAGAAAACGAGTTAGAAGAAAAAGAGCACGAGTCGCACATTCAAAAGGCCAACTAGATCGGGCAACAAGGACGATCGAAGAGTGAGTAAAACAAGAACATGATTTCTCCTTCACCATCGTCATTATGGTCGTTGAAGCGTCTATCGCTTTTTTTTTCGCCGACAATCATTAGGTGTTTTTTTATCGATCAATATTCAGACAGATTATTATTATTATTATTATGTTGTATTCCAATAGGTCACTTTCGACCTTGAGATCTTCTCGTTCTCTGAATATTCATAGAACACAATGGCGCATTCTTATACGTATCTCTAGTCAGTACGATACCAATAGAGATGTTATTGACGCGTAAAAAAAGTTTTATTATCGATAAAAGAAAATAGACCGTTCTTCTATCATTTATTATGGCTTTTTTCGATAGAGAAAAAAATAAGGAACAACAGAGAGAAATTCTCGCAGAATCAAGACGAGTAGGCAGTGTAGCATGGCTGGACAACCAGATGTTGAATGCCGCGTGATGAAAAAAAGAAGGGTGTGCGAACGAGAAAATGTAATGCGAGAGGAAAAGAAGAAAAAAAGAGCGTCGTCACCATCATCAACCAACGCTTCAACGACGACCAACGGTAAAGCGTCAAATAATCGTCCGTTTCACTGCATTGCATTTTTGCGTTCTTTTTATCCTTGTGCTGTCCTGTCCCTTTTGCTCTTGTTCCCTCTCTCTCTTATATGCACGTTTGCTTGCCCCTCACTTCGCCTTCGATATTCTCGGTTTGCGCGGCGTCTCTCTCTCTCGCTCTCGTTTTCCACACATGCACATACACATGTACATGATCAGTGCACAAGGACATAACAAGAAGGAAGAGGAGGACAGGAGAGAGAGAGAAGAGTGTTGTCATTAACGGTCACTTCATCCACTAACGTATACACACATATACATTGCGTTGACGACGAAGACAACGATTACATTACTCGAATACATGTGCTTCGAGTACGTAACGCACATAAATGTATATGTGTGTCTCAGTAAGTCGCATCATTATTTGACTCTTCGATTATTAGATACAAATTTGCACGTATGATAAAAAAGAACATTTACTCTTCAAAATCTCTCTCAGTCCATTCGACTTCGTTTTGTTAGCGTTTGTTGACATGAAGCTCTTCGAGTTTTCTCGATTAGATCTAATATAACCCATTGAAAGACCATCATTAGTGCTATGTTGTTTTCCAGAACAACAACAACAATAAAGAATGAGTATGTAGAGAAGAGAAAAGAAAGATTGAATGACTGCAAGACGATTCAGACCGGATGGGTAGCTCGCCTGCGGACTCTCGTTTCATCAACGAATAGCTATTACAACGGATGACGATGACGGTGATGATGTTAGTGGTGGGTTGAATACCAACGCCCGAGCGATTTCTTTCTCTCTCACACTCGTTCCCTCGCGTTCTTTTTTGTTCCTTTCTTCATCGTCCTCTTTCTTCTTTTTCTTCTTCTTTTTTATTTCCATATGGCGGACACACAAGTCCGAGACGAAAGACGACAATGTCGATGTCGACGACGGGCGGGTAAGAAAGGAGTGAGAGAACGCAAGTAAAAGATGATTGCATGTCTAATTTACGTCATGGCGACTGCGACTATATAACATTCGTTCTCGTCCTTTCTCCCTTCTTTCTTCGCACAACCAACATCTAATCCAGTGCGAAGGACAAGGCTATTTCTTCTATGTGTGCGCGCATAGTAGATGAGTGTGAAAGACAGAATACTTATTCCCTTGCCATTATCTAATGTATTGAGCTTGTGCAGCTTTTCTCATTTTGTCTTTAGTCTACTTATCGAGTGTTCTATTTTGCTAATGTAAAATCCTATTGTGCGCGATGCAGGACAATTCGATCCACTTTATTTTGCTCCAAAATCAAAACATCTCTGTCTCCTATACCCTGGTTTCATTCCTTCTCATTTGCAATTAATCTCTAGAACGTTGTTGTTTTTGTTGGTGATGTTGTTGTTATTATTGATGATGATGGTATGGTTCTGCTATATTTAATATTCGAGGAAGATATGTGTGCGTGTATGTTCTCTGGATATCATCCACATTTCCTCTTTTTATTTTTCTCATCCTTATTAGCATACATACTAGACTTATACAACTAGACTATGGCTTATTTTTAGAGTGAATGCTCAGCAGTATTGTTGAGCCACTGCTGCCCATGAACAGTAGCACCAATAAATTAATGTCATTGATGGTGACCAATGGCGATAGCAACAGTAACAGTAGTAAAACATCGTCGAAGCGATCGACTATGAAAAATTCATCACTATCCGATATGACACCTTCAACTAATCATAATAACAATCATTCACCAATGGACAACGACAATCGTATTAAGTTTATCGATATGCTCGTTTGTGGTTCATGCCAACAAGACTTTCAATTATCAGATATTATCAAATTCATTGAGCATAAAGCAGTTTGCGGAAACAAGGAAAATAAACAGAAGATACCGTATCATTATCCACGGCGACATCGTCGAAGAGGAGAAGACGACAATGATGATGAATATGACGAGGATGAAGATGAGGACGAGAAAAGTCATCCCAGTGGTCATTCAAGTGAGAGTGAAAGTGAAAATAACAACCACTCATATCGACATCATCATCAACGAGCATCACAAAAGCAAACTAAATTCTCCAAAGTTCTGGTCGATGCGAGTGCGAATACACTGAACAATACAGGTAAATATCGTGTGCTTTTGATTTGAGTATGTCTATTTTTGATATTCTAGCCGAACCATACAATTTCGAATGTAGCCAATGTGGCGATGTGTATAGCACAGGTAATGTTCATCGAGACAAATCGGTCAATTATTGAATGTGTCTATTGAATATTTAGCTTGGTTTCTCATTCAGCATCATCAATATGCGCACGGAGTCAAGATGTATAATAATTGTCTGAATGAAAATTCTTCGTCAAATACAAATTTGAATTCATCATCCACTGCAGCTACGACAGCAGCGTCAATGTTGAATATCGATTTATCTCTACTCGAAGCTGCATTCAAAGAGGCTATGCCATCGAATCGATCGCCAGCATCGTCTACTACATTTGCTTCGAATCAATTGATCGCAGCCGCTAATGCTGCTCGATCCGCACAACAACAACAACAACAAACACTATCGATAAGAACGACTACCGATAGTGACAGTAACTCACGAAGCGGCTTCTCAGCAGGTGCCAATTCAAAGACTAATGTGCCATTTTCTTCTCCCGCTACTACATCAGCTTCCCATCCTTCGCCTGCGAGTTTATTACAAGATGCGATTCGATCAAATTCTATTGTTCAATTACTGAAAGACGTTGCCAAACAACAGTCGTGTAAAACTTCTAACAAAGATAAATCAAATACGAATGATGCGTCGTTTCTCACGCCAAAATCTTTCGATGTCGCTAGATCTCATGTAAGTTTGTTTTTCTCAGTAGAATCGGTATGCATATTTGTTTCTATTTTTAGTTCGGAACCAATTCGCCTACCAGTGTACATAATCAGGATGGTATGTTCTTTGTTTTCTAGTCGATTGTACATTGCTTTTCTCGGTTTTCTTGAAGAATCAAGTCACAATTCACGACGTCCAAAACGGCGACGGCCACTCGATTCAAACACCGACGATGATTATGAGCAGAAGCAAAGATTCTCTTCGTTATCCAATCGACTAGCGGCCACATCAACTCCTTCATCTGGTTGTCTTTCAGCATCGTTGACTCCGTCAGTAACTGTTTCATCATTCGAAGATGGACCAAGCTATCGTGGCGGTACGAATGGCAATAAAACACTTAGCACTGATGCAGTTAGCCAATCATTGATACCTATCGATCAACCTCAACAACAGAAACGTCATCGGCGAAAACCACCACGACAAAAGCCGTTACATTTATCCAATGGTATTACAACACTACATCAAACGACGGCATCGGTCAAAGATGAGCCATGTGATACAGATGATAATAGTGTTACGTATAGTGGTAGTAATGACGATGAAAAACAATCTAATATAAAGAAAAAATCCAGTTTGCTAGTACCAACCGATGGAAATTCTTCTAATGAACTACCAAATGATAATACAGCATCATTAAGCAATTCCTCCACTTACAAATGGTTACATCAAGCATTTCGTTCATTAGTGCCGCCACACTTACAAATAAACGACGCCGATTTAACAACACATACCAATTCCACTTCTCCACAATCAAGTAAATATTCCAAAGCTAATCGAAATCCATTGAAACTTCTTTCTCTCTTTATTGTTTCTCTAGTTTCTCAAATGGATAATAATGGTAACAATGGTCTAACATCAACACGTTCATCTCCGTCACTATCATCAACACCACCATGCTCAACATCTGTACTTAATCTCTCGACAACAAGTGGACATACCTCCAGTGATCGACACTCACCATCGTTGTCCAGTATGATTGATCAGCCTTTGACATCGCCTGGTGACAATCGTCAAAATCAAAGCAGACGGTTAAATCAAGGAAATCGCAATGAAAACAATTCGTTAGCATCATCATCGGCATTGTATGCTAACAATAGTATTAATCTAAGTAATATTTCCAGCCCTAATTCTCAACGCTTAATCAAACGAGACAGACGAAATGACACATGTGAATATTGTGGAAAAGTCTTCAAAAATTGTTCAAATCTGACTGTGCATCGACGTAGTCATACAGGTATGGATTTATCTCTAGCAATCATCCTTTGCCATGATGAAATATCTGATTTTTCTCTAGGTGAAAAACCATACAAATGTGAACTGTGTGCATATGCATGTGCTCAATCTTCGAAACTAACACGTCATATGAAAACTCATGGTCGCGGTGGAAATGAAGCATTTCATTGTCGATATTGTTCCATGCCATTTTCAGTTGCGAGTACTCTAGAAAAACATATGCGACGTTGTGATCGAAATCCGCAGATTCTTGCCGTGTTCAAACAGCACCAGCAACAACAACAACAAACAGGCTCATCATCCATGACTAATAGTCGAAGGCCAACCACCGATGGGAAAAATGAGTTTTATATCGAGACCATCGAAGATAACGATGACGTGATGACGGATGAATTGGCGTCATTTGCTGAAATCGTTGACGAACAAAATGATGCGAGTTTAGATGACGATGTCGATGATGTCGATCGCACCGAAGAAAATGAATAACTTCGATTTTCGTTTTCCTTTATCAGATACTCTCGTGTCTTTATTTGTTGTGTGTATTTTCTTTCTTTTTCGTTTAATTTATGATTTCGATATGTAAACTATTCTGTTTATTTTTCATCATTCAACGTTCGAATCCCACCTGTTTGTTTCCTTATCGATTTCTACAGTTCGGGTTACTTCTATATATTTTTTCACTGTCTCTTGTGCGTTCCCGGTTGGTTGATCTTCTTTTCTTCTTTTATTCAACCGAACAAACACAGAACAGTTATTTCTCTACATTTCATGTCTATGTTGTTATACGATGAATCTGTTGAACAGTCTCTTCTATCGATGATCTCTATCTTCATATATATATATATCTGCCTGTAATTCTCTGTTCGTTCTATCGATTCCCTATTTTTCAGAAAAGCGAAAACGAAAGGCGTCTTCTAGTTCCTACTCCCAATGTGTGTATGTGTATATTTAGCAAAGACAAGAACAACTAGATGTATTTGCTTCGTAACTCTTGTTTGTTTGTTTTTCGTATAAATGACGAAATGACCGAATGATTTTGTTTGTTTCTTTGGATTTGTTCGATTCTATTCTTCTCATATCGGGTTGTTCAGTATCTTCTTTCTTTCTTTCTTGTTGTTCCCTTCTGCGTGTTTGTAACTAGAGCGAGGTAAACGAACAGTAGCTGAAAACAATCTCTATATGAACAGGGATTCATATAAAGACGTGTTTTTCATTTCTTCATGTTATTTGTATCTGTGTTACTTGTTGTTTTGTTCATTTATATTGCACGTTTCTCTTCTTCATTTCCTTTGTTCTCTTTTTTCTATAATTGATAATTAAGAATTAAAAAAAAGAAAACCACACACACACACCTATCTATTGACTTTGTATCGTCGATGAAAGAGGAAATATCGTGGAGGGGGTGGTGAAGAGAATGATTTCGTGTAAAGGATTTCTGTCTTTCTTCAGATATGGCGACGAATTCAACGTTGACACCGATAAAGCCATACCAACAGATCATTGCTTCGGGTTCCGGTGCTGTGTTGACAGCTCTTTTTATGACGTGAGATATATTCATCAAACATACAATCGATCAAATAAATGATTCGTTCATATTCATGTGACCGAATGAATCATTTTTCGATCGATTGCATTTTGTTTTCTTTGTCGAGAAGAATTCTTCTAAGTCTTGTTATCTTTTCATTCTAGGCCATTCGACGTTGTCAGTAAGTATGCTGGTTTTACCAGAAATCTCTTTTCCTTCTTCTTCTTCTTCTTCTTTGTCTATCGCTATCCTTTTCTATTCAATTAGAAGTCCGATTGCAATCACAGATCTCGAATGCCGTTCGACATAATGCAACTCGAACTCCACACTTACCGACCAAATCAATCTCGGCATCTGTTCTGTCATCAGCCACAACTTGCCGACACTATATGACACATCAACAAGTACATTATTATACCGGTACATTAGATACATTATCAAAAATAATTCGAGCTGAAGGTTTCGGCGTCCTATGGTCTGGCTTAACGCCTGCTCTCTGTGTGTCTATACCAACCGTTGTTATCTATTTTACATCGTATATGAAAGCTAAACAACTGCTTGGATACAATGAGAAAAGTCCAAATCCAATATTACCGGTGATCGCTGGTTCGTACGATGAGTTGATTCTTCGGAAAAATATCTTCTTTTATTCACAATTTCTCTAGGTGCTTGCTCACGTATTGTTGCTGTGACGACTGTTTCACCGTTTGAATTAGTGCGAACAAAAATGCAATCGGAAAAAGTTCCCTATAGTAAACTATTTGATATTGTACGTTCATCTTTATCCGAAGAGGGACCACGTGTTCTATGGAGAGGTTTACTGCCTACTATATGGCGTGATATACCATTTTCAATGATCTATTGGTTCAATTACGAGACATTCCGAGGTAAGAATGGTTTCGAATCAAAATATCAACAATTCTCTTTTGTCATTCATCTCAGCTTACCTTGTTCGCTCAAATATTCCCGTTGATGCCTATGCAACATTCGCTTGCGGTGCATTGGCTGGTAGTATTGCTGCAACATTAACAACACCTGCCGATGTTGCTAAGACTTTTCGCCAAATTGAATTAGGACGTAGTAAATACTCACCGACGAACGGATGTCTTTCATGTTCATCAACATCTGTTAATCCACCGCTTCAATCCACAAAAACTCTGTCTATTCTAGCACACATCCTTCGAATCGAAGGTCCACAGGGCTTATTTACAGGTAAATACCCACACTTATCTTTTGTTCTATGAAAAGACTTCTTTTCTGTACGTCTAGGTCTAGTGCCTCGATTGCTGAAAGTAGCTCCAGGTAAAAACATTTGACTTGAATTATCTCTTTTGATTTCCAGTATGTTTTTCTTGTTTCCTAGCTTGTGCAATTATGATCACAAGTTTCGAAACATTAAAGTCATTCTTTCAAACAATGAATGCTTCCAATTAATTATTAAATGTTATTGTTTATCTACGTCGTTGATTCTGTTGAATAAATGATTGGAAAAAGAAGAACAAGATGTCTACTAATCCGTTTTGATAACGACAACATCCATAGACGAAGCATTTGCCTTTCATCAAAAGAGCAAGCGAGAGAGAAATATGACATAAAACAAGAAGACGAACGAAATCTGTTTTCGAGAAGAGTAAATGTCGAAGAACTGCTTACAGATATTTTTCCGACGATTGAAATTGCGAGCAAAAGCTTTCGTATTCGATAAAACTAGATCGAAACTATGAAATAACGATCATCTTGACACAAACATGATTTCTTACCCATCTTCATCAACTGGCAAATCTTTCATCATTTCATTCATTTCTTTTTCTAATAATGGCTCGCCCAAGGTCATCATAGCTGTTTTGAATGCTTCAATATTAATTAAGCCTGTCAGAGAAACGTCTCTTTTCATCATTTCTTTCATAGCAACTAACCATAACGATTCTTGTCAAACGTAAAGAACGCATTTTCAATTTGTTCGTACGTATATTTCGTACATGAAAGCTTCGATAGAATCTCAGTAAACCAGAAATAATCAATTCGCTTGTTCCAAGCGAACTCTTGATCAAGCTTCGCTAGATCTTGTTCGGTTGGTGTGTAACCTAATGCACGAATTAAGAAATGTACATCATCGACAGTGATAACGCCCGTATTTCCTTCATCGAGGACGAGAAATGCTTCACGGTATCGAATGTTATCCATCTTAATTAGAGAAAATGAAAGCAGAAGTATAGACATCGACAGTGATGTACGACATCTATCGATGAAGAAGAACGAAGGAAAAGGCAAAGAACAATGAAACAAAATGGCGACGTATTCAAAAGACATTAGTCAGCTGTACAACGGGCGGGCACGTAAGGAAAAAAGAGAGAAGAAAGACGAACTGAATCATTTTTTTTCTTCTTGCTTGTTGTTTTATTATTCCCGAACGAACGAACAAATAAGACAAACGTTGAAAGAGAAAAAATGTCTAGGTCTCTTTCATTTGTTTTTCTTATTGCCTAAAAGAATAATTGTATTTTTTCTCATTACACATATGAGGATATACACATCTCGTTACTTTGTTTGTTTCAGATAGGTCCGATGGCTTTGATATGACATCAAACAATACTGGAGAAAATGGAACATTAGTAACTTTCAGTCCAAACAGTATTTTTATCTCTTCGACTTCACTTACACGTCCTCCGACAATATCTACGAATACAAACAACGCATACGAATCAATAATAGCCAATATGCTCGACGCAGAACTCGATTCAGATCCTCAAATGTCCGATAGTGAACTGTCCTGGCAATCGGTCACTGATGTTGATAGTTTAACAGCTACAAATCATTGGCGTGGGTGGAAACAGCAACCTACAACATCATCGATAACAATAATAAACAGTCAGAATTCCTTGCCATTGACCAATACAGTTTCGATATGTAATTTACCTTTAGCAAGTTCAAATGAAGGTTTGACTGAAAACAAACTGAGAATTTATGTTCAAGGCGTTTTTTCTTCTTCTAGAACGCATCCCTACATTGGTCGATTTAGCAGCGAAAACAATTGCTCGACATATACCATTCGAATTGGTCGAACGGTATAATCAACCCGAACAACCTGTGCCTGAAAATTTACAATTAAAAATAGCTTTTTGGAGTTTTCCTGATGGCATTGAAGATATCCGGTATATCTAACGAATTCTATTTTTTGTGGAAAGCCTTCTTTGTGTTCTGTAGATTATATACATGTGTAGCTAATGGCAGTACGGATGAATTTATCAAAGCCGAAGCACTCCAACAAGCCAAAGCTGTGCAAAACATGTTACAAATCGGTTTTCATTTAAGTGCGCAAGTTTATGAACTCAATTCCATGAACAATCCCTCGAAAATGACCACACAATATTACCATGTATCAATCATATTCGACCGTAAAAAGATCACTTCTTGTCACTGTACATGCTCGAATCCGAGTTCATGGTGTTCACATATTGTTGCTGTTTGTCTCTGTCGAATAGCACAAGTAAGAACATTGATTATTTCGACTTGAGTAGAAATTCATGTGCACGTTCTAGCCACAACATTGCTGCCTTCGAGCACCGGTATCAGAATCATTATCGCGCTTGAAAATTGATCAGTTACGGTATGTTATTAAAAAGAATTTTTCATGTGAATATGCATTTCTTGTTCTTTCAGAAAATTCGCTCAGTACCTCATATGGGAAATACCTCAGCAGGTAAATTTGATGGCTTTATAAACTAAATTCTTCTTTTTCTCTTTAGTTTTTACCAAAAGCTCAAAGTTTATTAGACGAATTACTAAGCGATAAACCAACTAATGTAAATATGTTGCAAGGAGCACCGGTAAGCAATCAAAATGATTATCTTTCAGTGAATATGTTCGTTTTTCTCTCTATTAGGATCCAACAGCTGGTGGTTTATCTTCTGATATATCCGTTTGGTTTCTGGATGAAACCAGTTTACAAGAAAATATAAACAAAACTCTTCATCGGTTTTGTCAACCTACACCACAAGTTGTCGGGTACGGAAGACTTGAAAAGATTCCTATGGATTGATAAAAACATAATTTCATTGTTTAGGGATGTGACCTATCTCACCAGCCCGCCTATCTTAGCTACAACTGAGTATTCTAATCTTCTGCGTCCATTACGTGGTCGCGAACCAGAGGGTATGTGGAATTTGCTACAAATCGTCCGTGAAATGCTTGCTCGACATGATCTTAATGGTACTCAACTGCTCGATATTCTCACTCGACAATGTCTTGCTCAGGAACAAGTAACGCCCCTCATATCTAAATTTCTCATCTTCATCGTTTTGCTTTCCATTAGATTATTCAATGGTGGTTCACAACAAAAGTTTCCAATGTTTACAACGAACGTGGCACCAACGGTTTGAAACCTCATAACACATCTTTAGTTCAACAAGCAAGTTCAGCACTGTGCGATGAAATTGTTCAAATCTGGCGATTAATTGCGCTGAATCCTCGTTTGAATCACGAAGAACGCAATGCTATTTATATGAAATTGTGTACATGGCATTTGTCAATCATTGAACGCATATGTAAACAAAAAACAACGACAACAAATATATCTACGACGACCAACGGTGTCTATACATCACCAACGATCAATTCGACGAATGATCGCACATTGAATCAGAAACGACGTGATATCGATATATTCCCGGGATTTCTACCTGCAATCGAAATTTGTCAAATCAATTGGAAAGATTGTCCATATTATTCGAATGCAATAGAAGAAAATGAGGGTGAACGCTCATGGTTTGAATATATCCGTTCGTATGATGAAATACTCACAGATGGTTATTCGAAGTTAAACAATAATTCCACGGTGAATTTCAATACTCAGCAACGATTTGTAACTCCAACAATTTCAACAGTGAATGAAGAGGTTTTGTCCACTGTCCAAGACGAAGAAATAGTGAATAATAACGAAGAGAAATGTCAAGATGTTGATAGCGGAGAAGAATCTGGTGGTGGCGGAAATGGAGATCAGCAATCATCGTCGAACAGCAGTGATGAATGTAAAATTTACTTCACTGACCGAGAACCTCCACCAAAAGCTCGACAAACGACAAAGACAACAGCAGCAGCAGCAGCAGTTGTAATGAATCCCGAGCCGTATGTTTTTAAGACATTAAAGATAATCAATGATCCATTACAGGTACGAGAGAACTATTCTGTGACGGACAAAGAAAAAAACTGTATTCTTTTGATTCAGATCGCATTTGTTCGTTGTGAAGCATTGAGAATACATGGATATCATGAAGAAATGTTCAAACTTGCTAAACATTTAGCTGATCATATGCTCGACAATGAAGAAAACTCAATCTCTTCTCAAGGTTTGTCTACCTTCTGCTTGAAAATCTTCTAATCATGTTCTTGTTTGATTTCAGTTTATTTAGATGTTCATATCTCCGATTATGCAACATCTCCCACAGTTCGTTGTGCATTTCTCTGTACTATTCTCAATGAATCGTCTGAATATCAACAACTTGCGTTTCGTATTGGCTTACTCGGTTTGGAAATCTGTCGTATGCCAGCGACTACGAAAGCTCTCGAAGTTCGTTTACTCAATTGTGAACAGGAAATTTGTCAGGAACTAAAGAAAATCACTTTGGGACAAAATGAAATTGACATTTTACGACAACGTGCCGAACATTTATGTGCACGACTGTTAAACACACGCGATGATGGCATTTTGTTGCCACTTAGTTTAGCAACGTATATCTTCGAAACATTACGATCGCTTAGTTTATATCGCATGAATTCGACTCCGACTGTGACTTTGTCACAAAATTTCTCTATTTCGCCGTCAACGGAAAACGATAATCAACAAAACGGATCAGATGAATTATTAGCTTTTGACACAGCCATTTGCGCACTTGGAGCGAAATGTTATATTTCTGAAGGTAAATGTCTTTTTCATTGATTTTATATTTTATATGACTCCTCCTTTCAGCACAAAATCCGATCCTATGCGAAGGAATTCGTCGACAACGTAGTGACTTAACACTTAACTTATTGACATTATATAAAGATGATCAAGGACGTTTGATACAAATACTTGATAAGTTACTTGATCGCGATATACATGTCCTATTTAAAAATCCAAATGTAAATCCTTTCAATGTTGGAACGAAGAAAGCAAATCAAAATTCGGCAACGCTACAGCAGGCAAATGCAAATTCTCCAACATTGTCGAGTCGTTCACAACATAAGAAATCAGCAATGGCAGCAGCCGCAGCTGCAGCATCGAACGCAAGTGGCGAACCACTAACAGAAATTGATAGTTCTGGCCTCGATGAAAGCGAAGGCGAGAATTTCGATCAAAAAGCGTGGGAAGCCAAATTTCGTTGTTTGAACTTGAAAAACAGTTCCAAGCGAATATCAAATGGTAAAAAAAGAGATCAAATTCAATTGATTGTCATAAAGGAAAGTCATTTACGATTGTTTAGGGTTTACGAGTATTGATAGTAGTGCACCGGAAACAAATTCAAGCGATAATTCGCCAACGGTATCACGTCGGAATATTCGTATCTCATCATCGAAAGCTAATGCTGATTCAGAAAGTGATAGTGAACGGGATACTGTACAGCGAAATGGTAAATTTCTACACGAAAAGTGTATGAAACCAGAAAGTTCATCTCTATTTCAATTTTTAGCTCGTGGCGAATCACCATTACGTATGGATATGAATTTATCATCGCCAGATATTCTTCCATCCCCATCGCCGCATTTGACCACGGCAAGGAATACATCGACAATACCGAAATCGATTTCATTACAGCCGCAATCATCACCAAGCTCTCATACTTTAAAACCTCCGAAAGGTCATATGAATTCATCCAACGGCAAAAATCGGTCGCCATGTGTGCCAAATCAACCATCCGAAGCATTATGTCATTTTATGTTCGAATTAGCCAAAACCCTCGTACAGCGTGCTGGTGGAACAACATCAACATCATTATTTGTTGGTCCAACACATAATTATCCACCTCCACATAGAAACTTACATTTATGTGCAATTACAATCGCACTTTATGCATTAGGTGTCAATAATCACGTACAAACAAATTGGATGATTCGAACTTATTCAAGTTTAGTTTCTTGGATAACATCCACGGCTATTGATATCGGTTTACAGTCCATACTGATCTTAATCGAATGCTGGGAAGGACAATTAACCCCACCGGAGTGTGCGGCGATTGCTGATCGTGCTTCTCGTTCACGTGATAATGCTGTTGTGCGCACTGCTGCTGAACTGGCTCTTTCGACATTAAAATATGCTCATGCTCTCAATGCTGCAGAAATACGTCAAGCACTAGCTCAATGTAAAGAACAAAGCGCTGAAATGCTTGAACGTGCTTTGACAACCATTGAGAATGCTACACGTGATGGAAATCTTGTTTTCATTGATATCCTCTTCGAAGTTGCTAAACGTTGGTATGAAATGTATTACGAACGAACAGGAGATTCATTGAATAGCGACGAGGATGCAGCTGTGGTCGACATACGCCAACCATTTGATGGCAATTTAACGGCAAGTAATCCAATCGAATTGCATTGGACACATGCCAATTCTGGAAATTCATCATCAACAACGCCATCGCCATCTCCAATGATGTATCCGACAAATAATCAAAATACAAATTTTCAAACACCATTTTCACCGCACCCATCTGCCCATTTCAATACTCATGCCTATATGATTCAAGCACAACACGGGCCACCTCCTCAACCACCCTCCATGCATCATCATCAACTAGGAAATTTTCATCAACAAGTACAATATCAACAAATCATACCCATTCAATACTCTTCACAGCCTCAACAGCAGCAGCAGCAGCAACAACAGCAACAGCAACCTCATTTTGCTTTTCATACAGGCCCAACAGGCAACTTTCATCCGCATCCTCACCATCCTCGTCATGCACCGCCGCCGCCACAAATGCCGAACGCTATACTTGTCAGTCCTGGAAATTTTCCTGCCGCTTATGCTGTTCATCATCCTGTACCAACTACAAATCAACAAATTTATTCTCCAAGTCAAAATCCGCAACAATCGTTCTATCCTGTCAGACAAATACCATTAATTGTTTCACCACCGACCGAACCAAATATTTCACCATCATCATCGACAACCACAGCAACAGCAGCAGGACAACAACCGCAGCAGCAGCAGCAACAGCAACAGCAACAACAATCGCAACAACCCACTGTTGTTAGTCCTAGTACGACACCATTAGCAGAGGTAAGCCCTATCTAGTCTTTTGTTTTACGTAAAATCTGCATTGTGACAATGGTTTCATTGTTGCAGCAACAACAACAACAACAACAACAACAGCAACAGACGGATTCAAGCCATCGTCAGTATCTCCTCAATGCTTTTCGTGTTGGCATGCTAGCAATGAATACACTCGCACTAGAACGCGCTCGTCAGAACCATGCACATATAGAACGACGTGGTGAACAAAATCATCCAACGCCACGTTATGGAGAAGATGTGAAATGGCTTCTGAAAATTGCTTTGAAATTAGGTAAAACTCGCCTCGTTTTTCTCTTCATTTCGTTCCCAGAATCTTCATGTAAAACTGTTCTTTTGTTTAGGTAATGCTGAACTACAAGAATTTGTCACAACAGCCACAGCCGTTATTGTCAATCCATATCTATTACATAGTTTGGCATTTAATATCTACAATGTTTCACAAAATAATCCCAATGGTTCATCATCAAATCAAATGCTTCGTTTGCCATTTGTTCAATCCTTGATGCAAAAGTGTCTCCATGCTTATACTCGTTGTGTACACAATAAAATGGGACATATGACAACAAACAATGACATCGAAGAACTAACATCACTGATGAAACACGCACGTTCGGCATTTCTGTTCATGGGTAACACAAGTGATTACCAAGGTTTGATGAATTTTGTTAAAACATCAAAGAAATGTAAGAAAGATGTTTATCCACGACTTTGGCAAGCTATTCAAAACTAGAGCAAACTAGAACTCTCATATATTTTTGACGATTGATGGCCATAAACTAGAAACGTTGATTTATGTGCGCGTGAGGGTGTGATTTTTTTTAGGCATATGCATCTTGTTATTTGTTTCTCGTTTTGTTTTTCTTCTTTGTTTTTATACATCAATAACATCTTATGGGCAGATTTTCCATCATACACCAGATATAATGTATAGCGGCTAAACAATACGTTCATTTTGCTCTATTTCTCTTTTTTCTTCTCTCTTTTTTGTTGTGTGTTCTTGTTGTTTTGTATGATCTATGCGATTTTTTCTCTTCTTCTTCTTCTAGTGTTAGTTTACATTCGAGAAAAACACAAAAAAATGCTACGACTAATTCGCGTTTTCTTTTGTTCGATTGCTGTATCGTATATACTATTCTAATTATAATTTGAATCAAAGAAAGGAAAATAAATAAATAAATAAATAAGCATTGTTGATGATGATGATGATGATAATAACCAGTTGGTATCTTTCTAGAAGCAAAGATAAAGAAAAGTATAATGCGTTCACGTTTAGCATCGATGAATTCATCGGTACTCCGACGGACTATTGTCACAAAAACTAGAAATGTTGTCAATAGTGAAAACAGTCAATCTTCACAGCAGGATAAAGTAGTCGAAGAACATTTTATATCGACTGTATCTCATCAGCCTCCTCGTCGTCCATTGGTACAACAGTTCACTCATCAAGTCACAAATCAAGTTCCACCGCTGGAGCGCATCGATTTGTATGAGTCGGACTTAGCACTACGTGAATTTGTTACTGATGATAAATGTGGACAAATTAAAGAGATGGGTGCGGAATTAGGTACGTACCATTGGTTTGAACAAGGACATCGAGCGAATCGACAGGTGCCAACATTGCATCAATTCGATCGTTATGGACAACGAATCGATGAAGTACACTTTCATCCAGCTTATCACGAACTTATGCGCATAGGCATGAAATATGGCGTATGTTGCGTTTCCTCAATGAGGATTTATCTTACTTTGTATCGATTCAGGTTCATTCTGTTGCTTGGGAGTCATTATCTGCAGGCGATGATAAAAAAGCTAACTCACATGGACATCTACAACATGCAGTAGGTGATTATTTGCCATTGAAAAGTTGTACTGTTGATTGTTGTACAGGCAGCACTGTATATACTTGGTCATATTGAAGCCGGCGTCTGTTGTCCATTATCAATGACCTATGCCGGTTATCCTGTGCTTCATCGATATCTATCAAAAACTGGTCCAGAACTGACAAATAGCTTTCCATTAGATAAGGTTCTATCGCGTAGATATGATCGGCGATTTTTACCAGCCACTTTTAAGTCTGGATTAACGATTGGTATGTTGCACCTCAACTGTTCTTCAGAAAACGAATACAAAGTTCAAATTGAATTCTTTATTTCTAATAGGAATGGCAATGACAGAAAAACAAGGCGGCAGTGACGTTCGTGCAAACACGACGAAAGCATACTGTGATAACGCCGATGAAAAACGCTACATTCTCATTGGGCACAAGTAAATGAAAATAATTGCATTTCATTTCGTATCTTTATTTGGATTATTACCTAGATGGTTTTGCTCTGCTCCAATGTGCGACGGCTTTTTGGTTCTTGCACAAATTCATAATGATGATACATCAAATAAATCATTGAATAATACACCATCATGCTTTTTCGTTCCACGATGGTTACCTAATGGCGAACGAAATCCATTCTACATTCAACGTTTGAAAGATAAACTTGGTAATCGTTCGAATGCATCGAGTGAAGTGGAATTTAACAATACACAAGGCGTATGCAATCTTCATATTGTAAAGGAAACTTTCATCCGGAAATTTGTTTTCTAGTGGCTATTGGGCAACGAGCATGAGGGCGTGAAAACTATTATTGAAATGGTTCATGGAACACGGTTGGATAGTGCGGTGGGTAGCGCAGCATTGATTCGACAAGGACTCATACAAGTACGAGCAACACTTTTAGAAGAAATTTATTTTGATTACTTTTGTCAATCATAGGCTACTTGGCATGCTCGGCATCGAAAAGCATTTGGTCGATTATTGATTGATCAGTCACTGATGAAACAGGTCTTGTCTGATTTGCTTCTGGAGTCAGAGGCTGCTACAACACTCGTTATGTACGTTGCAAGTCTCTTCGACTCAATATCGCATACAAGCGAAATGAAATCATTCGCTCGAATTGCTACAGCCATAGCTAAATTTTGGGTTTGTAAACGCACGCCTGAAGCAACAGTGGAGGCATTGGAATGTCTTGGCGGCGCTGGCTTTGTTGAAGAATCGAATATGCCTCGAGTTTATCGTGAAGCACCATTGAACAGCATATGGTAATTTGACTCCGAAACTATCGATTGAATGTTTTACGAATCGATTTTCTAGGGAGGGTAGTGGTAATGTTATGTGTCTTGATATTTTACGCGCAATGAAAAAGTCACCTGAGTCGCTTCAAGCGTACATGTCATTTATGAAGGATACCAAAGGTGCTAATAAACACCTGGATGCAACCTTGGCACATATCCAAAAGAGTCTGTTGACAAATGATCTTTCAAATGAAATACTTGAACGTCATGCTCGAACTTTAACATCGCAATTAGCTTTGTGTCTACAAGCGAGTTTGCTTATTCGTCGTTTTCCGCAAGCAGTTAGCGATGCATTCTGCGCATCACGTCTCGGACCTGATCGTGGCTCAATCTTCGGTGATTTGCCAATGGGTATTGATGCAAATGTGCTTGCGAAAAGATTGCCTTTTGCCTGAGCAGGAGAGATGGCGAGAGAGAGAGGAAGGACTTTTTTCTACGAATAACGAAACACTGATTCAGTAGCTTCGATTTTATCTATATGATTTCAATAAAGTACAAGTCTTCTGACACTGTTCGAATTACGCATTTACACACTATCGATCGTGCGCCATCGCGATTGATAGTACTCGAAAAAATGAAGTACATTACTATAATATAATATAATATCACTCGAAAATCAATTACAGAATGTAGGGCTTTGGCTGAATCTAAATGTACTATTTAGTATTGAGCTGGACAGAATGTCTTGGTCGATTGTTTTTCCAAAAAAAGTTATGTATGAGTTTATTCGTGTACTACATTATCTATCATTTCTGTGTAGAACACGTAGATTGAGCAATGGAGATAGTACTTAAAACTATAGATAATGTTCTTACAAAGCTACGGAAAACATACATCAGGTTCTTGTTCGATAGCTACGAAAAGCTTATTTATTTATCGATGGATACTATTAAAACTAAGGCAATTATTTAAAGGGACAATGTTTCAATTATTTTCAAAATAGTGCCTCGTATATCGTTCCTCTAACTCAATCAATGCTGGCATTCTCATCTTTTAACTCAATCATTCGCATCATATTGTACTTAGATACAAGGAGAAAGTCATTGTGATCTCAATCATATTGGTTTCATATTTATTTACATAAAAATTCTTCTCTTCCATCGTGATAATATTAGTGCGTAACAGAAATCTCAAAAGAATATAACATCATTGACATTTCGTCATCAATAGACGTAAAGTCTTCGCATGTTTTCCATTTGAGTTATCTATTATTAATATCAAGACAGAAAAGTGACTAAAAAAGCCAAAAAACACTCTCATGTCGTTGTCTTATCTAATATTTTATTCTGTCATTTTGTGTTGTTTTTTTTTTAATTATACATCGTGTTCGGCATATGTTTGTCGTTGGGCATGACTATTACTATGATGAACGAGGACTTCTTCATCAGTATCTTCGTCAATATACGGAATAATACCTCGGCCTTCGTACGGCCCAGTACTGGTAGTTGTCGTTGAATGAGTTTGTAGATGAAGGAGGCGTCGAACAAGAGCAGAAAATTCGGCATAGTCTACTTGTCGATTTCCATCTAAATCCGCTTCACGTATCATGTCATTGAGTTCGTCATCCGTTATTTTCTCGCCTGTATATGAAAAAACGTCATCAAATATGTAAAACAAGCGCGAAAACCAATACCGAGATCATTCATTACTAAACGAATTTCCATTTCACTAATCAAACCGTCTCCATTTTTATCAAATATACGAAATGCTTCATTGAGCAGGTCATCATTGAACGTCTCCAGTCCGCTGGTACCCTTGCGATTCATCATGATCTTGAATTCATCGAAATCGATCAAACCATTGCCTAAAACAAAGGTTAAGATGCCATCGGTATCGAATTGATTTAACAAACCATCTTGATCGACTTCACGAATCATACATTCCAATTCCGATGGCGTCGTTTGATAGCCAATAGAATGCATAACAAACGCCAAGTCTTTCGTGCTAATCAATCCGCCGCCCAATCGATCGAATAGTGAAAAGGCTTCTTTGAGTTCTGTTTGAAAGAGAAAACATATTTAGGTTTAATTTTTTGAAGGAAAATAAATGATTGTATTCATCAAGGAGACCTACTATTCTCGTGTTCAACAGCGAAAGAATTTGTTCGCATTGTCATCCGTAATATCGACAATAATAGTAGACAATAACGATGTTGAACATGAATGAATAAGTAAGAGGGAAGAAGAGAAAGAACACTACGAAGAAATTAGATTTGTCACACGATCGTTGATATAGTGATAGAGTCAAAACAGAGAGAGAGAGAGAGAGAGTAAATAAGTGACGAATACCGAATATGTGGCAAAGTCCTGGATATTCTTGTTCGTAGAATATTTGTGTATCTTCCAGATCTCTCGTCGAGGCTGGTGTGAGAAACTTGGTATGATATGCCTCGCTATCGATTATATCCACTTGGGCCTTGTAAGTTTCAATCGTTGTCGAAGACAAACTATTAGTCAAGAACGGAAATTTCTTGAATGCATGCGCATCGACGCATCAGCCGATGATTATCATTGTATCTCTTCAATGACGAACACTAGTCTATTCGCATCATTCCAAAAGACGACAGCAACAACATAACAATTCTTTTTTTTTCTAGTATACTTCTTTATAGAATACTTTGTACTCTGCTTTACATATTGTCATTGCATCAGTTACATACACTGAGTGGCTGTTAGAGTAATAACGTTGATTTGCTCTTTTCAGTGTCAGTATTGCCATTTCAATGAGTATGTGTATACATGTCTATTGAGATTATAATTAGAACGACAAAGCATTGACGGATGTTATGCTCCAGGTGGAGTGTCTTATGTTGTTGATCGTATAAATGAAACAATGTCAAATCTCGTTTGTCTTCTGAATACAAATTATCTAGTTGAAACATTTTGTTCTGTTCATTGAAGAGCCAATTCCAGAACCTGACTTTTCCGATCAGTTATAGCTGTCATTAACATGGGCATTATTGATACAGATATATGCTTATCGACACCGAGGACATCGACGCAAAAGTGTCACTCTCTTCTTTCTCTTCCTATTTGCGCATTTTCATGAAAGAAACATTGTGTGTTCTTCTGCTTTTCGACTAGCATTCTATTGTTGAAATATAAATATACTATTCCGCTCTTGTCTTCTGTCTTCTCTTCCACCATATCCGTTTTCGTATATATTGATCGGTGCATGAATGTTGTTTGGAAAATCTTTTCTTTCTCTTCGGCTGATACGATTACTGTACAATTGGTCACTTGCGTGTATATCGATTTACTCGTTTGATCTTCTAACATACACACGATCGGTATCATGAGCGAGATGTTTGGAAAGAAGATTCTTAAATCGAAAGAAAATAAACAAAACGAGTATGGCCAGTCTGTTCTCATCGAGGAAAAGGGAATCATATTGAGAAAGTGCGGATAAATATCTGTCCAAAAGAGAATAGCGTTCTATCATTCTAACCAAATAAAATACATATCAGAATGGTGAGTTAGGAAGATTTGTGCGAGAAAAAGCAATTGACATGATCTGCTAGGCGGAAGAAGAGCAAGAATTTCAATTAACTGATGAACAAGTCACAGAAATTCGTGATGCGTTCAATATCTACGATCGAGATCAGAAGGGTGAAATTCCAACATCACTTCTTGGTACTGTGATGAAAAATCTCGGACATAATTTAAAGCCTGATCAATTGCAAGAATGTATCGATGCGGTCGATGGTGATGGTAAGTTCATCTCTTGCATACGAAGTTGTTAGTTTCCTGTTTCATTGTTCAAAGGTAGTGGTACAGTCGATTTTGTAAGTAAATAGTTACTCACGATTGTTTTAGATGAACTTCTGATTTGATCAGGATGAATTTCTCGCTTTAATGGTCAAAAAAGCTAAAGAAGCGGAAGATGAACGAGAATTACGTGAAGTATTTCGCGTATTTGACAAAAACGGCCGTGGTGTTATCGATGTAAGTTAATACTTACGCATCTGGTGCTTTATTTGGCTTACTATTCGATCTGTTTCATAGGTTGCTGATCTGAAAATGATCTTCGAAGCACTTGATCCTGATATGCCCGAGGATGAAATCGAACAGATCATTTCCGAAGTCGATGAAGACGGTTCCGGAACAGTCGATTACGAAGGTATGTCTGACATAGCATTTCTTCTCGAATGTCTTTCTTCGCATTTGTTTTTGTTTTCGTTCATAGAATTCTACAAATTGATGACTGGCTAGATGCAATCGAGATTCGTCATACTTCGCATGTGTATTATCGAATAAGATTGTATTTTTTTTGTTTTCGTTCTTCGACAAATAGTGTGCACCTATCACAACAGTTTGTTTCCCTATGAGTTTTTAAAATAAAACAATTATCTCTCAGCACTCGAAGCAATAACAGAAAAATACATCGTTGAGAAAAGGAGAAGAAAAAGATGGGTTGTCTTTGCACTCCAGTCAAGTTGCTCAACGATGAAAACATCTATTTGTCCAGCACGTGAATGCTTTCCTATTCTCAGTTCGATAGTGTGAAACTATGAAACAGGCAAAACAGAGCGAACGGAAAAGAAGAAAAAAAGTACTGCTTGCTCGTGTTTTTTCTTCGTTTTTTTTCTACTAACACTTGACATCGGCACAAATGAAACACTAGCAAACAGTTCGCAGATTGCTTCAATTGCCGGAAAACGTTGAAGTGAATTGAAAATGAATTTTTATCGCTTGCATTGAGTATATCCATTAGAGAGACAAAACAAACAATGACAGTCCTGCCGTTTCTTGACGTGAAAGCTACGCCAATATCTTGTGTCGAATCTCCTCGATTAGCACGTACACGATCGATAGCGCGTTCATTAGAGTCGAAAGACCTACCAAGTTCACCATTGAAACCCTCGTCGTCATCATCAAATCTATCCGGTTCATTGTCATCCACACGCACGCCGAGAATTAAGATCGTTCCTCGTACTGATGATCTATTAAAGAAATTACCTCACGCCAAAACAGCCAGAGCACAAGCACACAATCCCATATGGAAACCTTTTGTTCGAGATTTACCTGATTATGATTATTTATGGGAACCAGTACGTCGAGAGGATATTCGACATCAATATGATTCATACGTTGCTCCACAACGTATTACTGCTGGCCGTCCAGACGAGCCGTATCAAATGTCGTCAACCTTCGAAAGTCAAGATAGACATTTTCATAATTACAAGCGGGTACAAGCTATGCAACAACGGCAGTGGAATCGAGAACATATGCAATACACTATCTTTCCGTATTCAAATGCAGAAGAACGTGAAATGTACAAGTAAATGATGAACAAATTTTGTTTTTGGTTTTTGTTTTGTTGATGTTCTGTTTAGGAAGAAGATTCGTACAACATTGAAAGACCAAATGGAAGAAAGAGCTCAAACGGAGAAACATGAGATGGACCTGAAGAAGCGCTCGGCTAGTTTAGTATTAGAACAAGATCGTCAATTTCATGAAGAGGAAAAGCAACGGAATGACGCACGAACTAAATTATTAGCGAAAGTTTCCTTAAAGAACAAAGAGGTTAGTTTTTAGACTCAATTATAAGCACGCACACAACTCCATGTATTCTAGCTCATGGAAAACAAGCGGGAATATGATCAATGGAATCGCGTACATCAATGGCATGTTGAACGAGCCATGCTAGCTGATAGTCCCATCAATTGGAGTAAAACATTGACTTAAATTTGTGATCAAACTTGTACTTTTCCCTCCTCAATAGTATTCACTGACTTAACATTTTTGTTTGTTCTGTTGACTGTTACTATAGAAAGAAAAGTATTCAGTCGCCAAAACAAATTGACATCACTTTTCACATATGTTCCAGGAGAAAAATTTTACATAACGATACTTCCTGGTTGGTAAAGTATCCGATAGTGTTAACGACTGATGACACATGTTAGACCTAGTAAGAAGGTCAATCTATAGTGAACTCAAAATCATCTGTTGCTTCTGGTATTGAGTTTCCATCTGGCATATTTTTTTTACAAATGTTGCGTCTTGTTTTACTATTAGTTTGTGGCTGATTTACATCGATTTTCAGTGGAAGAGATAGTCGTCGATGTATATATGTGCCTCGATATTGATGTATGTAACAAAAGAATGTTTGAAAATGCATATGATTTTAGAATATCTCGTATATATTCTTGACAATACGCAATAACTAGAAAACCAGCTCGATTGATTATTGGGATGTATCAAACTGTTTGATTGTCACTATAGAAAAAGATTTGGACAAATTTCGATATGAGAAATATTGTCCTGCTCAATATCAGATGACTCGATTGTTGCATTTGGTTCATCTAATCAATCAGGATGTTCTGTTATAAAAGCACATTTTTTCCATCTGTTCGAACATTTGTTAAGTCTCCGTCTATGACATAAAAATACTTGGAAACGCTATTGATTATCGGCCATTCTCTTTCTGATTACATCAATAAATGCAAACAATCCTTTATCTCATCGTCCTTTCGTCACTCCTCATAGTATTACATTATTCGATGATAGAAAAGTTAAGAGGATAGGATGTAAACACAACATAAACACAATCGTCTGTATTGATAACCAACTTTTAATTGATACATAGTCAACTAAGACTTGAAATCATGCGATTACGTCGAGGTACATTGTTACAATCAATTCCACCTATTGAACAACATTTACTTCGGTACAAACAACACAATTTATCAGTAAGTATATATACCCATCCGACTTTCGCGAATGGACTCATCTCTCGATTAACAATGTTATTCATATTAATATAGATGAGAGCAGTCAATCATAATTGTGGAGAACAACATTGACTAATTTCATTGGGATAGTTCGCGTTTTTGTCTCTGACAAGCAAATTTCTCGGCAAAGACAAAGGATACAAAAACAAGAACGAGAGACCCATCTACTATCCAATCTGAGCATGCTTGATTGAAATCAAACGAGTGTAAATGAGCTGAAGCAGATGATAATCTACGATAGGAAACCGACGATGTAAGTTAGTTTAGTCAATGAGGTGAGAGAATCAAGATGATACGACGAACGTATTCTCTGCCAGAATATCTGAATGATCGAATAGAACAACAATCGAAACGAACTCTAATTCTATCGATACGAAAATGTGTGAAGGTAAGAACGAGTTCTCTGTTATTTCTTTCCATTGTCAAGGGAAAGACAAAAGAAATCTTAGATATTAGACATATTTTTAACGTGATAGCCTCGACAGATACATTTGGATTTGTCTGTTAATATAAGCAAAAACAATAATCGTTGATAACATCAGTTCGTCGACCTGCTACATGTGCATATTTCATTGATATCAGCCGTTTTCTCCATCGAACGATTGCCGAGCAGATTTTCGAATGGATTTACGATTAGAAGTAAATCAGCATTTTGTTCGATTCCGTAGCATTGTCAAAGTAAGACATTTGTCTTCGCCTTTGTTCAGATGATGTAATTGATTCTCATCATCAACACCTCCTTGTTTAGACAACATACATACCGCTAACTTGTCTTCTTTTTCTTTGTTTTGTTTCGATATTGACATTGCTTCTGATACTGATCGATCCGTTGTGAAAGAATTTCGTTTCTAGTTGGTTACTTTTTCTGTTTCTATCTAGTGGATTATGTCCGAATTTGTTGCTATTACAGCAGCTGCGGCAGCGCGAATCATATTCGCTATCCATGGCATTGCCGCGATATGGCGCGTTGCCTTAGTCTATAAACAAAACAAATATTGGTTCCAAGCTATCACGTAGGACATATAAAAATAAATTCTTCTCTTAAGCTAACCTTCTCCTTGGATTTTTCAAGACTATTCGGCATCCCAGCTGAATTCTTTGTTACACTCTATGTCAATAACGGTCATGAATGGAAATGGTAATTTGCCAATAACGGAAAAATGACCAAACATTTTAGAGGATATTCTAGGTTTTGTCCATCCGTGTTCTTCTATTTATGTACGGTTATACCAAGCGTTTGGTTTCTTGAACTTGACCTTGCTGAACGACGTTCGAAGTTCAACGTAACACAAGCACTTGGCTTAGTTCCTGTGGCTCAAGGAAACCTTCATGCTGATACTGACGATACATTGCCAGTAAGAAAGAAACGAATACTTTTATGTTTTTTGATGCAACTTTCTTTTTCTTCTCATCAGCTTGTTCCATGGAAAATTCCGGCGGAAATGTGGACTCAAATTGTCGAACAAACTCTCCTTCTTGTCCTTATTATCGGCCGTTGGCTCTTACCTGTAGGCAAAACAATGACGCGTGATCAACTTTCTCAATTACTACTAGTGTATATTGGTACAGCTGGTAAGAGTAATCATCGCCCACGTCATGATTATCAACTGTTTTGTAATTCTAGCGGATATCATTGAACTATTCGAAGCTTTTAAAGAACATGACGTGCAGAAAAACTTAACTATAATACATCTGATCTTATCTGCTTGGTCGATTAGTTTAATGCAATTCACACTTGTTGTGACATCAACGAAAACACGTAAAGTTCGAAAAGGCAGCACGGAAAATAGCGATGTTGGTGACTCAGGAAAATACTTGACATGTCGATTGTTTTGGGAAACTGAACTGTGGGTAAGCTATGATAATGTTTTTTCTTTTGAATTCATTCAAGTGCAATCCACTCTCTTCTAGGCACTTTCAACAACTATTCTTCTTCAAGACGGTCCATTTCTTTGTCTCCGCTTGGGTCTAATCATCCATTACAAAATTATCTCTCAGTCGAATGTATTTTTCACAACCAAAAATTTCCTCGTCGTTCTTTTACAATTGTACCGTGTTTGTGTGATCATTATCGAACATCGCAAACGTTATCTGTCAGTTCATGCACACAATGCCAATCGTCAAACGGCAAATCATTTAGCGATTTCACCACGCAAATCATCTTCAAACCGCCGAAAACGAACGGAGACAACGTCAACAACAGTCACCAATCGAAGTCTACCATTGCAAACGGCTTCAATGACGAATCTTCGTCCTATTCGATTCCTTGAGAATCATATCGAATTAGAAGGAAATTCAGATCCACTTCCACGACGAAAACGCGTCACACCAGCTATGGTTGGCTCACCGCGTTTACCACCTGGTCGACCGACAATTTCGCATTCCAGTTCATTGACAGTTGTACCACCAGCAAATCTTAATGTGACTACGCATAAAATCTGTACAGAAGTGTGAAAATAATATCTCAACATGTGTTTTGTTCTCTTGCTCTAACCTTCAACTAGAAAAATCTCATTCTGTTTTACTACCTCTATTTTTCAAGTATAAGACGTACAAGAAGATTATGTCGAATAGCATAACATATAGAAATGAATAGATCCAGTCAAGTAAGTGCTAATCTTCAATGAGTAGTTACGCAGTGATTTACATATACATTGAACAAGAGTATGAAAAATTTCTTCATTCTCTCGCAAAAGGATAGAAGAGAAGGAAAGAGAGAGGCAGGGAGGGAGGGAGAGAAAGAAAGTATACAATCGATTAAATGGAGAGAATGTCACGTATAATCGTGTATACGATGCGTGCATAAATGTTGTAGTCAATATCAATTTTCAAAATTTCTTTACCCCCGAACTATTTATTCTTTCTACCGATTAAGCGATTTTTGCACGGTAAAATAGCATTTCTGATTCAAGAAAGCAACTGGGCCTTATTTTTTGTTTTCGTTTCTCGTAGAACATTCTACTTCATCGTCACGTGGGAATACGCAGAAAAAGTTCGCCAAAGTAAATATCATATCAAGGTTTTGTTCTTTTACTCGATTTCGTTTTTAGTTTGATCATATTCCTGTTGATTATGTATCAAATCTCCCACATCAATGTCGACTTTCACGAATAATAATGGACTCTTCAATGGGCAATTCGATGCTCGACTATTTGTAGTAATATTTGTTCCCGCGATGTTCTTATTCATCATAATTCTGACTATGCTCGTCTTTTTGTTATACCGACAACCGTCGCACTACAACAGCTACACTGTTGATGACGAAAACGATCAATCAAACATGTGGGACTGCAAATTCGAAATTATATCTCGAGTACCGAGCCACTATGTCTAGAACAGTTGTCGATTTTTCTTATGTTACTTCCGTGTTTCGATTGAATTCGAATAGAAGAGAAATGAAATATATGGCACATGCCCGGCCTTGTTGCTATTTCAATTGCCTCACACGTTCTCATTCATTGTACCATTTCTAAAGCGTACATTGCGTTGTCTGACAAGTTCGTACCGCAACACACGCCAATCAATCAATTCAAAGGTGATTGAATATGAACAAGATGGAAGAGTGTATAAATGGATAAAAGGATCTTGAAAATATACTTTACTTGAAAAAGTATATCAGAAGCACTTGAAATAATTCAAGTAGATTTGATTTTCGAAATAATGACACATCGCACGAATGAACTTTTTCGAATCTGTTTACTGTTTTTTTCCTCAGGTGGCAAATAGGTTGTTATTTAATCAACGAGAGACGCAAAAAATTTTGTAGAGAAAACAAACTGCGAAATGTCGTTTTATTTACATTTCAGTCACATGTATGTCGAAGAATTGGACTAAGACAGATTACTACTTCGACGCACATTCATCTGAGAAGAATTAATCTTTCTCAACTTTATTCAGCGTTACACACAACTACAGAGATTATCTTACATATATAATCATTCGATTTTGATTGGCAATACAGTACGAAAGATTTGTTTTCGGCTGAAATAAATATGACCTGGCAACCACGTCCGTATTCGATGTTTTTCATCTCATTAATGAAAGATTTGTTGCTATTGTTTAGACCAATGCGATGCTAATCATAGGACATCGAAAAAGCCAGTTCGATCTTCGTCAGCTCGTCGTCAATCAGAATTTCCTTCAGGAACGCACAAGAATGAATTGGAAATCGACGGATCTAGGGATAAATTGCTTCAAGAATATTTTAAGCAATTAGGAGGGTTCTCTCCACGGACTAGAGTTGGTTTGCAACACTATCAACTGAATGAACCAGCGAGCTCGATATTGAGAAACAGTGGAATTTATCGTCATCCAGATTTGACAACCGGTCAAAAGTTGTGTTTGCTTGAAAAGTGTCGTGTAAATGAAAGATGAAACGAATGATGTTATACAGATTTGTTTTTCTATGAAAATTCAAGGTCTATGACAACGAAGATATGAAAAACCATCGCGCAAATTCATGTTTACAATTGTTAGACAAACGATTCAGTCAAGGTACATGCATTTGAATAATCTCTGCACTCTCTTATGCTGGTCGTTGTTGTAGATCTGCGTTGCAAAAAAGACTTTCGTTAGTCAAAGAATCAACACGTGTGATTTGTAGCTTAGCACTTTACTTTTTCTTGAAATTTAGGTTTGAATGATCCACGAGATTATTTTAGCTATGTTGAATTTGTACGAACACCGCGTCCAACTGCACGCGCTGTGAATACGGGTTATCACACACCTCGAAGTCCTCGTTCACAAAATCGACGCAAACAAACATATGTCAACACTCGGTAATACAAACCATTTCAACAAGACAAATACCATATACTGCTTTTCGTTTTAGAACACCTAACTACTTGGATAGAAAAGGTTTTGCTGATTCTTTGAACTCACCATATTGTCATTAATCATACCGGTTTTAACATTTCCTTTCGTTGTCAGACACTATCATAAACGAAAGTATACTACAATAAATTCCCTCGTTCCGGTGGTGAATATGAATCAACTTTCACACAAGGATGTCATTTCAGCATCGACATCCACCCGCATCGTCTATAACAGAAGATGAGAGCATTTCTTTTGTTTACAACTCGCTAACTTATGATAGTGGGTGAAGATTACGAGAAACATTGATCGTCTCACTGATCAAAATGGCACATATAGATCAATTATATCATAGTAGAGAAAAATTAAAAACAAATTGTGTTGCTATGTATTTTGTCTTAGTCAAATATCGAAGTGATAACTATTATCAAAAAGAATATCATCTGTACCTAGAGAAATACAGAAAGCAAAAGAGCAAAATAAAGTCAGTGTTACAGATATATACGCTTGTCATATGAAAAAGCATACCAAAACTATGGTAAAAACAAGAGTGTTAGATATGTAATGATAAAAGTCAAAGTGAAAAATACAAAGTTTTGATCATGATACTTTTGTCGCACCTAAATGAATCAATAATGGAATGAAATAATGAAAAACAGAAGAAGAAGAAGAAGAAAATTTTCTTTCTATGAGCATTTGTTCAATAAGATATGTTGATCATAAGTCGATTATTGTTAATCATCTTTAACTTCAGAGACAGTAATAGTAGGAGTAAGTCGCATGTGTTTAAAACGTTGCTGAACATCATAGAGAATAAAACATGGACAAAGGAGAAATATAGCACCAAAGATATACGTTGTTTGTTCGCCAATGGACCAATATGCTATAAATGATTCAAAAATAGAGTAAATGATCGAAATCAAATAATGACTCGTACCGAATGAAGCAATTAAAGGACCGGTTGCTCGCGCGAGTGCTTGTAAACTTCGAAATATACCCAAAATAGTACCCTTTTCACTTTCGAGACCATATTTCGATGCAAAACTATTAATAACATTGATAACAATACTTGACGCTAAACGATACGAAACTGTCAGAAAAAATCATCGGATAAAAGGCAATCTACCGATGGAGAAAAGCGTTAAACCGATCCATAGAATTGTTTTTGATTGTGCAAAGCCCAGTAGAATAAACGATGGAATCAAAATTAAAATTCCCTAGATAAATATGAAAAACAGGAAAAATGTATTCATGTGATCGAGGTCGTAAACTATTCCACACCGATAGAAAGAGATAAACAACCGCGTCATCGACATACGATCGCATATTTCAAATACAAATGTTCCAGAGTCATCAAAAGTGTAAACAGTGAGAGAGAAGAACAATCTAGCAGGTGACCTGTTACCTCGTTTCTTTTCTTATCATGTGTATTCTGCGGAAAACAATACAGGAGGAAAAAACGCGAGGCAAGAGAACAGAAAAAGACAGACAAAATGATTCGTTATTCTCTTTTTTTTCCTCTCTCACACATTCGGTCGTCTTCTTTAACTCAGCAACGCTATTCATATAAATAAGAGGAACGATACAAAGTCCTCCTGTCATTTTTTTTTCAATTTTATTCTGTTCGTTATTATGAACGTAAATCTTTACGTATTTCTCTTTGCGATCTCTTTCATCACCATCAATTGTTTTCCCTGTCCGCCCGAATGTATATGCAAGCCAAGTGATACGACTGCAGATGATTTCACACGAATGATTTATACGATCAATTGTACACGTATTCAACTGCAGAATAATCAATTAATTTTTCGTGCGCAATCATGGTCGATCGTGGAAGATAAAATCGAAGACGACGATACGATCAGCGATTATACAATCTCAATTGATCTCTCGAATTCTCTATCGTTAAATTACTTCGATAATACAACAATTCAATTAACTGGTTTTTCCTTTTCCATGCAAAGTCTTTCGCTGACAAATCAATCGAAACAATTCGAATTGAAACCTGACGCTTTCAATTCGCCACAATATCAAAACTTGCGAATGCTCAATTTATCATCATGTTGTCAACGTATACCACCGAACTGTCCGCAGCTCTTTCGTACTCTTAACAAACTTGAAGTACTTGACTTAAGTGGAACAGATATGTATAAAACATGCCTTGACACACCAGGTATCCTATCATTTGTGTAATCATTCACATTCTCATATATCACCGAAACGAACTGATAAGCAATGATTGTTTTCTTCTCTAGGCGGAATCTCTTCGTCGTTGCGCGACTTAATTTTACGTAATAATCATTACGATGCAACGACTTTCTCGCATACAAGTCCGTATTTTGCCGGTGTACGAAATCTCATCGGTAAACTTGATTTACAAGGCTCTCGTTTCAATATGAGCACACAGTTAAAGGGAAATTGTTTATTTGATCTCTTTCCAAACGTAACTAAATTGGATTTATCTTCTACAGAATTCGTTTCGACATCGAATGACATTGATATTCATTTAAAACATTTACTTTATTGTAAAATGAACGTTGACAAAGATTTTAACGGCAAACAACTGAGAGAATTGGAATTACGGCAGTTGAATTTGGAGCATCTTCCTGATTGGTTTACTAACGATCGATTTCCAGTATTAACTCGGCTCGATTTATCGAACAATCGAATATTAACTGTTGATTTACGAAGTTTATCGCAACTAGTACATGTGTCCTTAGCTTTCAACCCAATTGAGTTCGAGAAAATCAACTGGCGATCGAATCCCACCTATGAATCGATTAATTTACGTTCAACAAAACGGAATCTTACGAATGATCTGTCAACGGATCTAGAAAATTTGTTTCAACTATCAACCAACGTTGATTACAGTGATAATGCGGCAAACGTTCCTTGCAATCTGACGAAATTTTCTATCGGCATCGATTTTTCTGCTGATGTCTCGTTGAATTTATCTCGAATGAATCTTTATTCGTTTGACATTCAAGATATATCAAGATTCGATGATTTGAATCGTTTCGACATTAGTTCGAATTACTTAGTTGAACTCAATTTAGGAAAACAATCGAAATTGACTTATCTGGACTGTTCGAATCAATATCTACGAATCTTGAACTTAAACAGCGAAAACACGAACTTACTGGAGTTAAAATGTTCGAACAATTCGTTGCAAACTCTCGAGAATATTCTCTTCATCCAAAGTGAAAATCTTCGCCTAATCGATTTATCCTTTAATCAAATTCAAATCATCTCGCCGGTATTCACAAGTCGATATTTACATACAATCAATCTTCAATCAAATCTCATCGAGAGACTACCGAGAAAACTCTTCCATGAAAAATTGCTGAATCTCTATTCAATTAATCTATCATGGAACAAGATCAACGTCATCGAAAGTCAAGCATTTCAATCGCCGAATCTGCAAATCTTAGATTTAACTGGAAATCCACTGAAAACGATCGAAACTAATTTCTTGTTCACATCGTCATTGCGTTTGTTCTTCATTACGAATGATACACAAGGTTTTATTCATCGTTGTGCACAAACGCAAGCGAACGATCTTCTTCTATCGAGTTATTTAACATGGATCGAACAAAATGGCACTTATATGCAAAATCTACAGCGAATTCCAATTGAAAAATGCCTTCGTCCTTACATGTCACGAAGTAAAACCAAGTGGATGAAGTTCAAAGATGATTATCATATTAAACACTTCTCCTTCTACGTAACCTTATTTGCTATAAGCATTGGTCTCGTTCTTGGAGCAGTTTATCTCTATCGAAAGAAGCGATTGCCATTCTTTCGACCTTTCAAACAATATCGATTATTAGATCGACGTAATACCAACGATTTCGAGCAATATCAACGTGAAGACGAGGAGATCATCATGAATCTTGATGAATCACCATTTCATGTATCGAACCGAGTTGTTACTTAATGTGTATTGTTTTTTAGAATAAATACTATGTACGTTTTCTTTTCTCAATCCCAATCTGAAACTATACTTACAGTCATAGATCCAATGATCTCTTTACCATGTGGAATTCGTCGAACGTATCCGCCTTGTACTAATGCCATGCATAGACCCATAATGAAAAACATTTTTCCTTGTTGCATGCTATAAATTCACGATGTGTTTTCCATTCAGACTGAAAATGTTCGATTTACCTATTCCAATTGAATCGATTGTAGACAAGAAACGTAATGGTGAATTCCAGGCCGGAGAAAACGATCATGTAGAGAAAACTTGCTAAACCTAATCGACGTAGAATTGCTAGATCTAAAGATACAAATGTATTCGAAGAGATGAACATGACTGATGAACGAAGGAGATTACCATCGAGAGATTTACAATTGTGAATCGCGGTGAAGCGAAATAGATGCCATGGTAAGACTGCATTGTAGACATCGTCCACCGTAGTTTCTTTCGCATCCTTTTGGACAAATGTGAATGAAGAATTTCGAAGAAAAGAAAGACATTCGTACTCGTTTCGACATTGGTAATGTTTCGGGACAGAATTGACTGATAAAAGCGATATTTATCAATGATAATACTAACGACACGATGGCAGGAAAAATAAAAAACATCACGGTTGACTGTGGCCAGTAGACCGCACCCAAGTGACTGCACAGAGCACCAAGTAAAGGTCCGAAGATGAAGCCAAGCGAAAAAGCAGCACCAATCCACGCCTTTTCGAAACAAAAAAAAAATAAACATTCATTCGATCCGACGAAGTAAATAAGCGACTCAATCAAAAAGATAGATGTCAACGAGGATAGATACATGTCAACACAAAATTATTTCTTAATATATATAAATGAGATCTTGTTTCTTCGACATCTAAATATTTACCATTGCACGATTTCGTTCATTTTCTGTTGTCGAGTCCGACACGATTGCCAATATGATCGCGACATTCGCCTTGGATAATCCGCCGATGATCCGCGCGATCATAAACACAGTTAAATTCAATGAAACACACCATATTGCATATGAAAGTGATATTCCTATCTAAAATAAACAGTGATATTTCATAGATAGATTACACGGCTAATCGTTGCCGAGTTGAGTACCATTGAAAGAAGAAGCATTGGCTTTCGACCGTATCGATCCGATGCAGCACCACATAATGTTGAAGAAAAGAATTGTAATAAAGAAAACAGAGAGCCAAATATTCCTATGTGAAAACGAAATTGTCACACAAGCCCAGTAAAACATTGCGAACTTACCTCCGAATAAAACAGAATTCCATTTTGCATCATTTGGCGCTCCGGTTAAGTCTTGAATAAACCGAACGAACGACATCGTTTGAACATAAAGTGAATCCTAAATATAATGTTCCAACCGGTCACAAACGAAGGCAAATTTCCAGCTTGCAAATATCTTACATGACTTACACCTGTTCCACTTCCATAATATGTCAAGATTTTCGGTAGTAAAGGCAAAATAATTGTAAATTCCAAGAAATCAATAAGAATCGAAATGAACAATATGGTAATAATATTCGAAGTAAATTTCATTGTGGTGACTACTTGACCTTGATTTGCTTGTAAATACGTGAGATCAAATTGACATAAGTCCAAGAAATCAAGATGTCATTCTATCTAACACAAAGAAAGAATTTTTTGAATTCACTCGAGATAGTTGGGTTCTGCGTGCTTGCCAAAAGTATCAACAGCTACCATCTGTACATTGTCATCAACATACGAGTCTTTTCTAACTACTGAAGCCCGCAAAAGAAAGAAAAAGAGCAAATCTAGTGGATAAAGAACGCAAAAGAAAAGAATGATATAACCCACAGTCATCAGAAGTGATAAGAACACTAATGTATAGAATGTTCGATTGAGAGGAAAACAGACATTATCGACAAATCTATAAACAAAAGAAAATAATGATGTTTGTGTCCATGAATAGTTGTTTTGTANCAAACGAAAGTATTGCGCCATTTCAAAAGGATAAGAAATCAAATTGGCGTCTTCCTTTGTTCGATCATTCAAACCGATGAAAACATATACGATGAAACAACAATAATCAGCAGATAGAGAAGACAATTTCGTATGAAACATTTACAATCATTAGGTACGAAAACAGGTGTTAAGATATTTGTTATGCGATGAAGCTCATGACAACAGCAAACGAAAATAAATGTTGTTATGATTAAATTTAATGTTGGCATACGTGGAATAATCGTTAACGTTCCGTGACCATTGGCGACCAGCCAGATGTGATATTGAGTAACAAACAATTCCAAGGATATGTTTCCAAACCAAGAAAAGAATGGCGAATAATGTTGACGAAAAAATGTTGGAATATTTCGTATGAGAATGTAACTTACGACCTAAACGTACAAAACAATGGTTGCGTAGCATGTTAGATTGATGTGAAGAGAAGATACTTACGGGTAGGATGATGATGTAAGGATGTATTTCATCACATATTGCTTTATTTGAACATAAAAATAAAACAATAAAATAAATAATCAATCCCAAGAGACTTAATAGACAAAAAATTGTCTTGAATTTTGACGTTAATTGTTGATATTGTTTACGTTTGATTCCCAAAGTTTTATACGTATCATAGTTTTCAATAAATAATATCAAAAATGCAAAACACATGCCATATAAAACGGTATAACGATCAAGATTCCATCGATGATACCAATCATTAATTGTTCCATTTCGATCATAATACAAATGAACTGACGAATTCATATTATATCGATGAAGATTCGAATACAAATATTGTTTATCATTTAATGATATGCCATTCATGGAAACCGGACCGACGATACCTTGACCACTACCAGATATGTAATCTAATAGAGTATTGTATTCGTTATAATATAAAGAACTTTTATCGTGGATCAATAATGAATGTAATTGATGAAGACCGTTGTAGGATAAATCTGATTGATCTAGTTGTTGAACGTAAGCAGCGAGTGACGATGTGATTGTTGAAGTGGTGAACAAGTTATTCCAAAAGCGAAAAGTAAAGATTTTCTCGAACAGATATGCTGACATACTTAAGATTGTCACAGAAATACCTGAAAGAAAAGATCGAACTGAAAAATTCTTTGTTACGGTATTTTACTTACCCATGAGTAGAAATTTTGCTAACAGATACACGAAATGTATCGGTTTTTCTTTGACCGATGCTGCTGATATGCGCGGTGGTATACAAGCCAAGATGAAATACATTAACGAAAAGTAGAACGATATCAATGGTGGGTAATAGTACGATTGGTAATGACGATTCATTAACAAACATAATGTTATGGTTAAGAAATTGTATTTGAATAGCATTTGTATGAATGGTAGAAATTGATAGTTTCCCGTGGTCCAGTAAAAATGAAAATGACTGTAGGCTGACAGAAATAGGTAAGCGCTAATCAATAATTGAATTAACATGGATAGAACAAGACTTTTGCCTGATGCGTCGGTCATTTGATAGGCTAAAAGTATGACCATCATCCAGCCTCGCATTTCATTGATCTGTTCTTTGTTTAGGAAGCTGTCATTATTGTTATGAATTCCATTCGTTGAAATCGAACCGTTCTCATCGTTGGAATCCGAATGTGATTGAATTTGTTCGTAGTCGGTGTTGTTTGTTGACGAAAACATCGATGCTGCTGCTGAGTTTGGACTCGTTGGTATTGATTGTTGATTTGGGGACGAACGATTTGATGTTGGTTTTTGAAAGTACTTATCGTGGAAAAAGATACCGAGGATACCAATATATGTCAATGGTAAGAAAAAAGCAATACGTGAAAAATGAGAATTTTCTTTCATTAAAAAATCTGTACGATCAGCCAAATAGAAATAAAGAAGAATAAATGCATATTTCACACTAAAATATGAAAGAGACAGCGGTTGGCTTTTCTTTTTCAAGTTTAGATTAGTTCTGTCTTACCTTGTACGAAGAATATTCAAATCCGAGAAAGGAAAGTAAAAAAGCGAGTTTTTCTTTTTGTAGAATCTCGATGGATAGGAAGAATTTGTGTTATGATTTCCATTTGATGACGACGATGACGACGATGACTGCGTCGCGATGGATGTTGTCAATAACAATGGAGGTAGCAAATGTTTGCGATATTTTTTGCCAAGATTGTGTAGAAACTTCGGTATCAAAAATCGATGACGACCGAGCCCGTTCGGTAGTTGATTCTGATTTGAATTGTTACTATGTGAATCACTAAAACTTAGAAATGAAAGGTTCAACAACGAATGTAAACACTCACTTTGACGGACAACCTCCATTCATTGTCGGTGTCAATAACTGCTGGTCAGCTTCATCGCCTTCTTCAGTAAATGCTCCGTTCATATGACAATGGCCATTGGACATGGAATTGTTCTCATGATGTTGCGTATGTTGATTATCATGATGGATTAATTTACCGTATTTTGATTTAACATGACTTTTACGTTTCAAAATGAAGACAGATCGAATACGATAAACAATGTAGATTATGAAGAATGTTATCGAACATCCTAAGATGAGGCTGAGGAGAAATTGTAGACGTGTTAACGGTGGTACTTGAGCACAACATGTACCGTCGTCGGGCAACAACAACGGATTGCACAGTGCATTTAAGAGAATTTGAACACACGTATGTCGAGTGAACGAGGATAGTTTGTAAAATTCGTAGATTTTGCCACTATTGATTAACGCTGTAGACAAAATCGTATGATTTTTTCGTAATGGCATGTAAGAATAATAAACCGTTTCTGTTTGGTTTGTTGATGAATCATCGAAGTCAAGATAGAGCAACGATGTAAGATTTTGAATAAATGCTGTCGTCGTGGTCGATGATGAAGATTGGGTTGAATCATCATGTTCAGTATCATGTGCGGATTCGGTATCATCATCGTCGTAATCATCTTGATCGTATGTAACGAAGTATTGATCATTATTATCATCGTAGAGAAAAGTATTCTCGCTCGATAGAGATGAATACTCTTCTAACAATGTGGATGAATGCCAATAGATGTTCGTACGATAGAAGACATGTTTGGCAATGGAATTCATTCGATCGATGTAGGAGTTTAGTTTCGAGATAAGTTCATTGATATATTCAATTTGTTGTTGTTGAAAGGCATGATGAGAAAAATGAAATAAATGTTCATTTAAAGCTAAATGTGGTTGTCCGAACCAGAAGATCGTGGTTGTTAAACTAATATTCGTCAACAAGTTTTGTTTGATACGCGTTAGATTACCTTCGAAGTATTTCATTGTGTCTAAACTTGCATTATCACGTAAACCGTCGTACAAGCCAAGACCGAGAACTAGAACATGCGGTCGTATCGAACTGTTTGTTGTCCACGAGTACAAAAGATTGTAAAGATAATCATTGAATGTTTGAACCGAATAGTATTGTAGAATGAAATTCTCATTTGTGTACGTTAGATTCTTTTCGTGCTTGTAAACAATTGGATATTGTTTATGTTGTTTATGATCTTTTTCTTTTTGCCGCGCAGATGGCTTTTTTCTAGACAGATTCGAATGATATTTGATGGTATTGATAAACGTTCGATAGATCATGTAAAGACGTTCATCACCGACGAACGTATACGAGAAATTGATCTTGGTTTTGTCTTGTTTTTCTTGTTTTAACCGTTGCTGTTCTTGTTTGCGTGTTCGCAGCCATTCGCCTGGATCAATACGATTGTTAAATGCTTTCCGTGTGGCGAGAAGACTTTTGTCCACTGTGGAGGATGATTGCGTGATTAGACGTGTACATTGGTTGAAATCAAGAAGATCATACCAATGTATCATGCAACCGGTCGGCTGCCAGACATGATAACGTTCAATACGGCCTTCGTTCAACAGACGATGACATGATGTAGCACCTTTGATATAACGTAGTGATCCATGATAGAAAAGTAATGCAAAGAAGAGTAATAAAGCAATTAATTTAGCGTTGTGAACATTGAAATGATTGAGAATTGCCGAAGAATTGGATGACGAACACGAGGATCTGCAATTCGTATGGGATAATGACGACGGAAAGGAGTTCGGTGGTACAGCCGTCGTTGTTGTCGATGGTATAGATATTGGTGAAACAGGATTCTTTAATGAAACTGACGTAAATGTTGCTGAGTCGGTATCGGAATCTAGGAGGTTGGAAAGAAAAGCAACAAAGTTATAAACGCGGTGACAGTTATTAATAATAATAATAGGAAGATATGTATTTGATTCTATTAACAATTATTCGAAGAGTTTGTTGTTATTTAATAAAATATTTACTTAAGCTTAGTGCTACACTTCTTTATTTTACTTTTGCTCCTCTTCCCCGTTTTTTTCGAAAACTAGTTTTTCTTTCATCAACTTACGTCGTAGATTTTCTTGTGATGCTGAATAGTTATGTTGATGATAATGATTACTATTTAAATCGGCAAGAGTTGATCGATCAAGAGCGTACGAAGATGTATGTCGATGGGATCCACGTGTTGGTAGAATTTTCGAATGGAAACTTTCTTTTCGATTGGATCGAGACTGTGGAAAGATCTGGGCGGCAAGTGTATTCGATGTTGTATCATACGAATGATGTCGAACATGATGTGAAGATGAGCTTAGTCGATTACCAGCTGCACACGACGCCAAATTTCGATTAGAATTGTCACTACTATTGTCGGTTGAAGTTGTAGACTTTGAACTCATATTCCATCTGAAATTGACAAGAAAATGAACAGTTAGATGTGGCAATCACGAATAGAAAACAAGAATCAAACAACACGAAAGGCGACTGATGTCAGTGTTAGTATTTCATTCGACTTGCTCGCTCACCGTCCGAGTAGTTTGCTATTCAGTTCAGGATCGCCGCTAATCAAGTGTTGCCTTTCATTCCACATGGTCTTCTTCTACGAGAGATAAATGCACAACTTGCTCTTTCGTTTGTTTCTGGTGTTACTATGATCGGCGCTGTCTTTTAAAGCGTACTCGAATATACTTTTCCGACGCAAACCAGTCAAAGTGCGTCGCCTTTTACAACGTCGTCAAATTTGATTGTATTTTACATCACCATCACCACCAGTTTTCAATCGGAATCAAGAGAAATAAAGGGAGCGAAGGTAACAGAGACAGACACAGAGAGAGAGAGAGGGGGGGAGGGAGGGAGAATGCGCAAAGAACGAACTATGCAAACGGCGATAAAATCGCTGTTTTAATATAATTTTCTATGTGTATTTGTGTGTACGTATAGTGGGCAATACGTGCAAATAGACATAGTATCATTACATCTAGGCAGATATGAAAACTTTAAAATGACAATACATTAACAATGAATTATCATTTGGAGAAAGCATATCAACATCATCTTTTTTCATCGTATTCGCGTTTCTTTTTTCTTCGTATTATTATTATTTCTAGCAAACAGTGTGTGTGCTGTTAAAAAAAAAGAATAACATGACGCAATGAAAATGGCAAAGAATAACAAAAAAAACGCTCGTCGAACGTTGTAGCAGTAGTGAGAAAGGAAAAAATTCTCGATAGTCAACACAGAAGCAAGATCTTACAGCGTTTGTTACTACTAAAGCCAGAGAACTTCAATGTCACTCGCTCCTCCATTCCTGTCATCGTCGTGCTTTGGCCTTGTTCTCTGTGTTGTTTTTCTTCTCTCTTCATTCTATTCCTTTTTTAACACACTAGACAACCATAACTGGTGAATCGATCAACATTGGAACCCCTCTTTAACAACTGTTTTCTATATGAGGACTGTCGCTATCGATGAACATGAAAGAAAAATAGTGAATGTTTTCATTTTGACAGAGACACTCACAGGACAGATACGTTCTTTCTTCTGTAAATAAAGTATTAGTAATACATACACAAACAATCGCCGTGAATTACTAAGAAGAGCAAATAATTTACACATTCCTTGACAAAAGGTTATTATCAGCAAAAGGTACTTATCTGTACGGAACAATTGAAACGAACTGAAGTTCGTTTGTTTCTTCTCATTCTCAGCGAGGACTCGGTAGTGAAGTATAAAATTTTCTATACAAGGTCATTACTTTTTTGGTCCGAAGATTGATATTCTTATCGGAATAGTTATAAAAGAGAAAGACCAAGATCCTTTCTTCGTTATTGTCAATCACGATGCAATTCGACAAATTTCCTACCTAATCTACCAAAGATCTCATCACGCGTAATATGTCTATCATTAATCATTATTAAAACGTCTTAGAAGTCATCTGACAAGAAGAGAGTGTTCGGTGACGACCAAGCGTCGACTTGAAAGACTTAACTGATAAAAAAGGCACAAGTGTATGTCAAACATCTTTTCATGATTGCGTTTCGCCGTACTGACTAATCAAACATACGTATCTTCCGTACTTACAGGTAGCTCATGTCTACTAGTTTTGTTAACGAATATAATTCTTCTTTTCAAAACTACTGATGAGCTTCGTCAAACAAATGCGTCGTCGACTTTTTGCAACTATAGAAGAAGGAAAGAAGATCTTATCTAAGTATACTTCGCATTTCCGAGACTTTATTTAATATTCGTGTGTGAAACTAGTTCTTCTTTGTGGCCTACATATCGACAAACAATTTTCATTATGTTACAATGTATAATGTCTTTGTGTAATCTAAAATAAACCTACTAAATGACTTGTGAACCTTAGAATTTCGTCAGAATGGAACTGTCTCACGAGAAAAGTAGTCTTCCTATTAGTGTTCACTCCTCTGAATATAATTTATTAATGAATAATGGAAATAGGCTCTCGCTCGAAGCAAAATTCATCGAAGTTGCAAACGATATTACATTTTTCGGATGCCGATATCGTCCCACTTTGGAATTCTGAATGAATGTAAGTCTATACTCACTCCATCATAGTCATGGCGACTTGATTAAATATATTCGATTACCAAATAGAAAACTTGCCGTTTCGGTGTCTCTCTTTTCGTTTTCGTACATCTAAAAGTAGAGAAAAAAAACACGCTATATCATCATGATTATCCCATTCAAACTGTCCAGATAAATAAAGCATAAAAAGACAAATAAAATTATACAAGATTCATTGAAAACAACCGGGACAGATTATGATACAAAATAGGATTCACGTATAATCATTCGATTGACTCGACGTGATCTATAGGAAAGATGAGAGAGAAAAAGAGAGCAAATGCACACTGTACGGGTGATTTAACACATGTATATATATATACAAAACTGTAGGAAAACAATGTTTTAGCAAATACATCCTTGACCAGATCCATTGGAATTATCATCATCGATTGGATTAATTGTATTCTCTTTAGCTTTCTGTTCACTTTGCCATAATGCGGGCGTTTGAATGATCTAAATCACATTGCAAGCGATTCAGTTCGATGGTGATAGTCAACATACCTTCTGAACAAGTTCCTCAAATGCTATTTGTACACCTTCACGCGTTCGAGCTGATGCTTCAATGAATAACATTGAATGTTTACGTGCAAATCTAGCACCTTCATCTCGTGTCACTTCGCGGTCATCTTCTCGATCGATTTTGTTTCCAACTAGCATTTTAATAATATTCATCTTGGTAGAAAATGTATCCAATTCAGCAATCCATCTAAATGAGAGCTATTCAATACGAACAGAAGCAGAAAAATGGATGTCACCGATCCAATTGTCGAAATGAATCACGACTACACACATCGTAAACAAGAATAGCACCTTGTGCACCACTAGTAAAGTAGAAAAATGTCACGAGAAAACGCAACAGGCGATTTTACCGATAATCTAAATAGATACAAAATAAATGTCCATTTTCAATACGAAGAAAAAGCACAGTACATACAGCCAGGTGTTAATGTTCGAAAACGTTCTTGCCCTGCCGTGTCCTAAAGCAAAAAATATCTACTAATTTTCAAGGATACAGGTATCAGATAGACGCTAACAGAAACACATGTGACACTCATGACTCATTACTGTACTAATCTTCGGTGAATCAAGTAAAATTTCGATATCTATTAGAATGATCACGCATTCTCAATTACTCGAAAAACGATCATATCTCTTTATATTCGAGGAGATGTCTGGACAAAAAACAGCGCATATCACTAATTAAGATCTTTATCGATATATTTCTCGTTTTCAAAGGAAATTTTTGGCATTAGTCTAATTTCAGACTTACCCATATCGCTAGTTTAACACGATTACCGTCAACTGTTAACTGCTTGACTAGAATACATCGATATAATCAAAATCAGAACATATTTTTCGATCGATTTCTACCTTTGAAATCAACGCCAATCGTTGCAGCCATTTCCACATCGAAGCGATCATCGGTGAATCGTAGAAGAAGACTACTTTTTCCGACACCCGATTCTCCAATAATAAGAATTTTCAATGTCGCCAAGATATAATCATCGTTACTACTCATAATCACTAGTTGTAAAAAGGTTCCGTTTAAAAATACAAATGAAATGATCTGGAAGCGAATTTCCGAATTAAAACTTCTTTCTTTCGACTGATCAATGAACAATTGTCAATTCGATATGCTGTAGTTCAAATATCGATAGTGAAAAGCCGAGTTTTTTGTCTTAAATTATGAAAAAACAAGTCTAAGGTGTATACACAAAGAACATCCATAGAATACTTTATTTATCATTCCAATAAAAATTTTTTTCATTTTATCTATGAAAATTTATTCGAATATTAACGAATATTCCATAAAAAATTCTACTCAGCCATTTGTATTTGTCGTCCATTATAGATGTCGATAACGACAAGTTTCCGTTCGTTATGATCCAACAACGTATGAGTCATCATTTGCTACAAGTATCAAAATGCAAACTTCAAAAGCAACTTCTTCTTCGCCAACTCGACGAACGATTCTTCATTATCTTGTTGATATTGCGATTGTTGTTATTCTTCTCATTATCATCTTTAGTGTCCTTCCAAAGGCCGGATAACGATAACAATACTGATGATTCAGTCATATTGGTCCTAATCAAATATTTGGATCAAGCAGCGCAAACACAAAAAATTAATCGTTTTATTTTGTGTATGTATTCTTAACGTATATGAAAAATAAAATCTAGGTAAACAGTAATTACTTATTGCATGAGTATGATGCAATGTTGAAACATAATAGTGCACCCGGTTGCGTGTTCGGTCTTTCAGAATACTACAATGACGTCTCAAACTATTCCCACTGAATGGCTCAACCCACGAAAGCTTTCCAATGAATGGATTTTCAGCTGTGCTACTAGTTTAGATGACCTTGTTCAAACCAATCGCGCTGCATCCTATTTTCGGCAGCTTGTGACGCTACTTGAGACAGACAATCATATACTTAACTATCACCTTGAAATTCGACATCAGTTCCAAGACACTCATCGTTTCGAAGTGATTATCTATTTCGATGAAGCGGATCGTGTGACCAATCCATCACCAATGCCTGTCTGCATCTCATGCGAACCCACAAACGAATTGAGTAAGATATCCCTAATATCCGAGCAGCAACATACTCGAGCATGGCTCGACGCGCAGGCGCGTGAAAAGCTTATTCTAACGCCCATCCGACACGTCGAACGTTTATCGGAGCTGATCGACGACGATGGAGAAATGGAAGCATTCTGGCGTGACGCTGTCGAATTAATACAGCAAGAATGTGATCAATTTCACGAATTTTATCCCATACTGGTCCTCAATCATGGAACATACCGAAATCATGCACATTTGCATCTCAAAATGACTTTCAGTAAGCAAATTTGGAAGAACACGATCGGCCATCGATATTCGAACCGAATTTCGCAAATCAAACAACTACTATCTGATCCAGCACTCTTTCAAGACTGCTTCGGACAACAAAGTAATAAGCCGAAAAGGCATTAACGTGATGATCTCGTTGTAAAAAAAATACCAGGACAACTAGCGAATGTTGAAAGGGATCATTTGTTTATTTTGTTCTTTTTCAATGGACGAAGCACAGATGGAAAAACAGGAAAATAAGAATGAATTACATTGAATTATATAGAAGATCTTTCGCATGTTGTCAAACTAGTGGAAAAGATAAGATACAGAACCGACAGGAGGGAAGAACAGAAACGATAGTACACAATAAGAAACTAGAATGGTCATTAGAACTATATATGGAGGTTGTTGTTGCTGTGCTCTTGATGTTAGAATTCTTCGCCCGTTTAATATTCTTCACCTTCGCCCTCACCTTCACCCTACAAATGAAAACAACAGGATTCTGAAAAATTATACACATGAATAAGAAACATACCTCTACGGAGTCGACACCGACTTCTTCGTAATCTTTTTCGAGTGCAGCCAAATCTTCGCGAGCTTCTGAGAATTCACCTTCTTCCATACCTTCACCGACATACCAGTGGACAAAAGCACGTTTGGCGTACATTAAATCGAATTTGTGATCAAGACGAGCCCAGGCCTCTGTAAAATAGTACGTGAACAATAGACTCCATCAGATTCAAGCAAACGAAACCTACCAGCGATGGCTGTTGTGTTGGATAACATACAGACAGCACGTTGAACTTTAGCCAAATCACCACCAGGAACAACTGTTGGTGGTTGGTAGTTGATACCGACTTTGAATCCTGTTGGACACCAGTCAACAAATTGAATTGTTCGTTTGGTTTTGATGGTAGCAATGGCTGCGTTGACATCCTTTGGTACTACATCACCACGATATAATAAACAGCAAGCCATGTATTTTCCTGAAATAGTACAAATATTATACGGTGAACAGAATCAGGAAGTCTTTTCTTGCTGACGTACCGTGACGTGGATCACATTTGACCATTTGGTTGGCTGGTTCGAAAACAGCGTTGGTGATTTCGGCAACAGTCAATTGTTCATGATAGGCTTTTTCAGCTAGAAGATGAAAGACATATCTTAGCAAGTGTCCGAAGAATAAGGTTTCAGTCTAGCATACCGCTGATAATTGGTGCGTATGTAGCAAGAGGAAAGTGGATACGTGGATATGGTACCAAATTAGTTTGAAATTCAGTAAGATCGACGTTGAGTGCACCATCAAATCGAAGTGAAGCTGTAATTGAACTAACGATTTGAGCAATGAGACGATTCAAGTTGGTGTATGTTGGTCGTTCGATATCCAAGTTACGACGGCAAATATCGTAGATGGCCTCTACAATTGCACAAAACAAGAGACCATGACCAAAGTTTCATCGAAATGCTATACTAACCATTGTCAACCATAAAAGCACAATCAGAGTGTTCGAGTGTTGTGTGTGTTGTAAGGATTGAGTTGTATGGTTCGACAACAGCTGTTGAAATTTGTGGAGCTGGATAAACAGCAAATTCGAGTTTGGATTTCTTGCCGTAGTCAACACTAAGTCGCTCCATCAATAAGGATGTGAAACCTGAACCAGTACCGCCTACAGAAGGTAATATTGCATTGAAATCTATGTCTCTTTTAATCAAACTAAATAATACGTACCACCGAAGCTGTGGAAGATGAGGAAACCTTGGAGACCGGTACATTGATCGGCCAATTTACGGATACGATCAAGTACGAGATCGACGATTTCCTTACCAATGGTGTAATGACCACGAGCGTAGTTGTTAGCTATAGATCAACACAAACAAGTCTATGGTATTAATTAATTATAATTAGTTCTTACCAGCATCTTCCTTGCCTGTGATGAGTTGTTCAGGATGGAAAAGTTGTCGGTATGTACCGGTACGAACTTCATCTAAACGAAATCAAAGCATTTTCGTCGATATGACATTGTATTAGAGATGCGATTTGTTTCTCACCGATGACAGTTGGTTCTAAGTCGACGAAAACAGCTCGTGGTACGTGTTTACCGGCACCAGTTTCGCTGAAGAATGTGTTGAATGAATCATCACCACCTCCGATTGTTTTATCTGATGGCATTTGACCATCAGGTTGAATACCATGTTCTAAGCAGTAAAGTTCCCAACAGGCATTACCAATTTGAACACCGGCTTGGCCGACATGGATCGAGATACATTCACGCATCTATTCGCACAAAGAAGAAAACGCGTCGTCAAAATCCTCTTATTCTATCTAAGTCTATTTTCTCAAAGCTTTACTTTGTTTTTCTTGCAAGTAGTTAATGTTCAGAGTGTAAAAATGTAATATTAACGGCAGCGACGACGACGACGAGCGAATATGTACGTCTACAGCGAAGAATGAGAGGCAATTTTGAACTGAGTTTCTTCTTTTAAATAGCAAGCGAGAAAAAAAGAGAAAAAGAGAAAAGATGAAGAGGATGTGAATGGAAAAGAGTGTGTTGTGTATATGCGTTGTTAGACGACGACGGCAACGAAGACTGGAACGAAAGAAAAAAAGCGAGAGAGACTATGCGCATATATCGCAACATCAGCGTAGCAACACTATAGAAGACGTCGGACGTGCCTGATGTGAGAGAAGAAAAAACGCAGAGTAACCGAGGAAACATCGATATGGCCGGCAATACAATACATAATTTGTGTTTGTTTGGTTGCTGCGCTCATGATAGCAACAAGAAGATACATCGACGTAGATTGGCTGTCTCTCCTTCTCTCAATTTCTGCCTTTTTTGCTTTACATCATCGAAAAAAAGCTAGCAACTGAACACATATTCATGAAAGGAAGTCGATGATGAGAAACAGAATTTGTTCTTCTCGAACAAATGAGATCTCTGCTGCTTAAGAAATCAGATCACATATATCATAGCGTGATTGAATGATTGATTGCATAAAACGAAAGAAGTATTTGTAGTTAACACTGCAATCACATCATGAGAACCAAAACAGTAAATCATCGATATATTCTTCAATAATAATGATTCTTTTTCAAAGACGAAAAAAAAAGAACAATAAAAGTTCTGCTTTTCACTCGTATATCAATGGTCAATATTTATTCTCCACAGTGTTTCAAATGTACTACAATGATGATTTACGGGTGAGAGCTTGGCTGACGAACAAGCTCTTTAATCAATACAAATCAAGCGAGGAAAACAGAATTGAACTACTCTTCGATTTCTTACGAGAGTAGACAAGAATTAATGAGCCTTGAAAAGGATTCTCTCCAGAGAAATCCACTCGATGTCACGATTATTCGTCAGAGAAATAAGGTTGGCATCAAAGTTGCATTTCAAGTCATATAAACTTCAGCATGGCTGATATTCATCGGTCTTCATGTTTATCTTTGAAAGGCGTTTCGAGGTTCGATTCAAAAAAGTAAATGTCGTTTCTTTTTCAAAATTTGATGCAAAAAAAATACAGACGACGTGGCAGGTTTATAGATTCGAAAATGTTTTTCGTCATTGGGCGGAAAAGAGTGAATTGGCTAATTGATGTTTTGATTACACCTAACAACATCAACTGTTCGTATTGTCAGATTAGACGATGTCAAACACTTGATAGAGGAAAGTAAACGTCGAAAATGTATGTTATATTTTTCTAAACATCCTACCTCGACATACATTTTGTCACAACTGTGATGAAATCATCGAAGAGAAGTTTTTATCAAACATGCGTATATGTTTTCAAAAGGGATAATAGTACAAGAAGGGCAAAAGTTAAAATTAAAAATAAATTGTTATAGTATCGTCTGATTGTAAGAATTATTCTGATGATAATTTTTTGTATCATTCGGTGTTGTATAGGATTAGCTGAAGTTACATTTATAGCTGATCCATGTAAAGCTGTAACCGTACTAGTTTTCGAGCCCATTATACATCCGATAGGCTCGCAAAAGATATTTATTTTGCGTTGCTCGTTGTAAGAAATCAGTGGCTTGGCGTATGTGGTCGTGGACAATGTTTACCAGCTGTTCTGGATCGGATACTTTTTTTTGTTGGCCGACAAGATGAGTAACTTCGCCGATGGTAATGTGTAAAAGTATTAAGTCTTGTTCAAGTAAATCATACTCACCCTTCATAGATTTTTCTAAGGCTGGCGTATGTTATTTCTTATCTTCATGATTCATGCGCGTATGAAACCATTCCATCCCCAGTTAGAGTCTTACCTCAACTCCCAGGCAGCTGAGATTCAACACATACTACTCTTTGACTTTTAAAATAGATGTTTGGATGGCGGGAAACTACAGTATTATGAAAAAGTGTAATATTCGTTTCATTTATATTTACGGACGATAGTATATCATCCAGCTCTTAAAGTCTACAAAAATCCCTAAAATAGGTTTGTTTGGAACTGATACTGTTAGACGTATGTCTTCACACATTATTAGTAGGGCAAACGATTGATATAGATTTGTGATTGTTTGGTTTTAAAGTCGATAAGTCTTCGATTATGATCATCGACTTGTTGTTCGTTATCTGAATGCATATGCAAAAAGATTGAATAAAACGAATTGAGTGTTACACGAACGTTCTGCTGATTTGTATAAGTTCAATCGGAGAGAAAAATTCAATGAAAAGAGCTTGGTGGTTCGCTTTATTAGATAGCTATGTGTTAAAATGAAGCAATAAACGGTAGAGAGTAACAACGAAAAATGGTCTATGAATCAACTAATGTTTAATTGCTCTTCTTGGATTTAATCGCTTTGAGACGCTCGAGTAATGTTGGATGAGAATAGTGATATTTCGCATAGAGAAAATCCGAGAATGGATACGACATATTGTCAATTTCAAGTTTCTTCAAAGCACGCCCTAATGGTTCGCCATGTTTGAGTTTAACGGCAAAATCATCGGCTTGAAATTCGAAACGACGTGATAAGACCGTCAGTGCGAACGAGAAGAGCTGGGAAGAGAAATGTACATTCTTATATAGAAAATCCATTCTAATTCATCTTACTTCCGAATAGGGCGAAAGAACAAATTGAAAGATTATAAATAAACCCATGAGAATCGGTTGTGCATCATTAAAACCGAATGCTTGGTAGAGAACTTGACGCTTGAATAGAGCCGCAAATATCGCAAATACCAAGAATAAGTTGAGCTATAATTAAAAGATACGCAAAAATTTGAGTTAGACGTGAAATTCAACTTACGAATGAAATGATCATATTGATCAGATTATGACTAAGTGACCAATGTCCGAATTCGTGACATAAAACAGCAAGAACTTCATCAGGTTCGCAACCTTTGTCCTTTTTCTTCTTAGCTTCCGATTCATCTTCGCTGGTTTTCTCCTTTTTATTCTCGCTTGTTTGACGGCGACTGGTGGTATTCTCCTCGACGGATGGCGTGTCAGATGTTTCGTCTATTTTCTTTTCCTTATCCTTCGAATTGAACGAGAAATAAATCATCTTATTCAAAAACCCACTTACATCATCTTTGGCTTTTGTCAAACTATAACCTTTGATTAGTGTATCGTAGAGAACAATACGTTTTGCTTTAAAAAATCCGTAGAAATAGGCGTTCGAGTGAGCTGATCGAGCCGAACCTAGACCAAACATTTCCCTCAATACTTTTCACCCTACTGTCACAAACTCACCTTCGACGACATAAATTTTCGCCAATGGAAAATTGATTTTGGTCGCTAGAGTTTCAATATTGGAACGTAATTCTCCTTCACGTAATGGATCATAGCGATCAAATAATGGCGCAATATAATTTGGATAAATGAATGCAATACCCTACATTTAAAAACCAAACGAGCAGATTTGCTTGTAGAAATTCAAACTTCAATTACTAATGACATGATGGTGATGAAGAGCCAGGCATAGATAAAGAAATAATCGCCGCCGATTTGAATGATTTTCAGTAAAAGTGAAGCAATTGGTAATGACAAGACCATCGACACAAGTAATTTCTTGATTGTATCTTTGATGAAGAATATCCGTGTCTAAAAATTAGCGAAGGACTTTTCGGGTGTGCTAATTTTAGATGAAAATGCACACCTGTTTATTGAATCCATGTTTCTCTTCGAGAACGAAATGATAGTAATATGACCATGGAATGCCTGAAAGTGTTGAGTAGACCATAAAGAGTAGAATAAATACGTTTGATTGTAGAATTTCGTGATGTTTGTAATTGTACGTTGCCAAGATATCACCGGATTTTCTCCATACCCACGGTAAAACACCAGCTAGAAGGAGAATCTATGGGAAAAAAGTGCATATGCTACGAAATGATCAGTGAAGAGGAAATTTGTTACGGTTGTTTCGACTTCGTTGAATATCGTATGAATTTCATTGTAACGCATCTTATCAATGGCATATGAACGAGCTTTATTAAGCTCCTCTTCGGTCATCACATCAGTTAGTTCAGGTGGAACAGTTCGATTACGTTTGTAGTTTCTATACTGTAAAAAAGACACAAAGATACGACTTCCATACGAGCTGAAATCAATGGGATGTTACTTGTCGATAGGAAAGATAATGTTCCCATAGTGACATAAGCCATGTAAATATTAAAAGCAAGTAAAATAATGTATTCGGATCGATTTTATCGAGAAATGAAAAACAGTTTTCCAGTGTGGAAATCAAGAAAACCATGTTGCACTATTTGTTCACCACCCGATATAATTGTCGACTAGAGATAAAATGAATCAATATACTGACTACCTCTAATGTCACGAGAAATACAAAAAGGACAGAGACACAGAATGAAATCAAACGAAACGACCGATGAGTCAGTTCTAAACAAGATTGGTCCAGACATTAGCCAGTGAGAAATATCGATCACTTGCCTTTTACAATTCGGTTCGATTTTCAAATATTCTTATCTTTGCCTTTCATTTATTCTGTCTTAATCCTTGCTATTTGCTAATTCTACAGGATTAATAAAAGCAAATAGAACATATTTCAATAGCGATGATGATGGCGACACTTGTTGGTAACCTCGTTCACTTCATATACATACTTGCACACATATGTTCATTATCAATTCAATCAGATCATTTTATACAACGTAAAAATTCACTCCGAGACATTCGAAAGTATTTGTCTATGTGTTCTTAGTAGTCATAGAATGAGTCAATATTTTATTTTGAAAAGAAAAATCTGAAGCGATTTACAATTCGTTTTATAATGATAATGGATTTGAAACAACATCGGGCTTGCTAAAATAAAAGAAGCATTTTCTTTTTCTTTGGTAAATCGTCGTCTCCAATGCACGTCAGGCATCTGAAAAGCCAGCACCTGCACTTTTATAACGAGCAGATTGCAAAACTAGTCAGATTCGAGACAAAGCACTGGCTGCTAATTTCGTCTGAAAGAGACGACTTTCTGGCAGCTCGATGTCCAATGCATACTTACCTCTACGTTTTTTCTTTTATTTAACACATATGTGCATCAATGTTATCCATTGTACTGTTTTTAGATACAATGATATTTGGCCGATGTGGTCGCGGTAACCGCAAATTAATTCTCTCGTTTTTTTTTCGACGCAAGTATACATGCCTGTTACGTGTCAGTCAACCGATAGTCCATACTGATTCGATTAACTTCAACTGGCGCCAAGCTATCGAACAACGCAGGACTGTTGCTCATCATCTGCTTTGTCACGACTTAATACCACTGATGGAGCGATGTCCTTCAGCAAGATGGGTACGTTCTCATCTGCTATTGTATGTATATCCATATACCATTAAAGCTTTTTACCTTCAGAAGGAATGGCGATAAAAACAAGAAAGTTACTATGCCGTTGCCTATCGAGCGAAGTGGAGAAATAATAATAATAAAAAAATAAGAGAGAAAAAAGCAAGCGAATGGAAAAAGACGACGACCAAGCTCTGCATGTCAAGCAAAAGTAAAAAAATCGAGAATCGACACGGCAACGGTGTCAGTGTAGAAGGAAGAAGCACGAAAAGAGTAACGACGAAAAGTGAATTTGATGTGATGTTGATGATGGTATGAAAAAACCTGAATGAAACAAGGCCGTCGCGGGCGCGCGCGCGTCAGCTGCAGCTTTATCTTTGCTTCTCTCCACATACTCTCGCCTTCTCACTCCCATTCCTTCTTATCGCTCTGCCATTACTACCAGGTGAACGAAGGTTGACGATAGCTACGCAGATTTATAGGATGAAAAAATACCTACAAAAGAACGAATGTAATTGCACTCCAATTTTTTTTCTTGAATATACGATAATAATACCAATGTAATAGAGATTGAGTAAACTACATATATTTATATGTATTATGATTGACTTTTCGAACAATAAACGAATGGAATGGCGCAACAAAACAGAACTGACCTTTACTTATACAATTGGTTATGACGTTCATATTTTGTTGATAATGATAACCTTTTTTTACTATTGTGTTGCGAGCAAACAAATTAATGCGAAAAGGAGCAAGAGAAAGAGGCAAAGAGAATTGACTATACAAACCCGTTTTGTTAAAACAATTGATCCATATGCAGTTCAAACATTGTTCATTTTTTCGCCTTCTTCGTTTTCATTTCGTGAACGACGCGCCGAAAGCGTGCTGCTTGATATAATATAGATGCAACAATACAGCAGTTGTCGAATAGACTGGTTTCTTCTTTCTACTACTCTCCTTTCTTTTCTTTCTCTCATTTGTTCGTACGTGTATCTACGTGTAATACACTTTTTCTCGCTGTCGCCGTTGAGTAGATGCCCAGTAACAACAGCGAGTTGCTGATGCTGCAACCACATACTCATACATGGTAGTTATAACGCAAATAGTAAAAAGAGAGGGAGAGAGGGAGAAAGAAAAAAGAGAACGAAGGAAAAGAAAACAGAGCGACTTATTCAACAAGAGAGCCGTGCACACATGCACGCACACAGAAGGCATTGCCCTATCAACGAGAACGAATGGGCCACTGACATCATACAACGACAACGTAGACACGATCGAGAAGAGAGAAGGAGGAGGAATGCATGGAGACTCATACGTTCCGCGGCTAGAACAAAGAACGCTCAGTGATGCTAAAAGAGAAAAATGTTCTTTCTCTTCTTCCTTGATGTTGTCACTACTCTGCATCTTATCCAAGTGCAAACTGACTGCTTTCTTTTACATTGTGATTGCACCATCGAATGCTGTCGCTCTATTGTTCTACATTCCGTTTACTATTGCCAATAATGACGAAGACTAATACAAGTACACATTACGTTTTGCCGATGTGTTATGAGATTAAAAAGCATGCGTACTCTTAGAAAAAAAGAAAGAAGAGAGAGAACTTTATGCGAGATGAGAATATCCAATATTATCCCAGGGACTGAGCGATACAGTTTTAAATGCGACGATTCTCTACTCGTATTCAGTTCTGAATACATTCAATCTACTAAGGTACCGATGCTGAAATCTTATCTCTGCTGTTTGGCGATGTTATTAGTGTTTCCTACTGACTAGCAGATGCATTTGTCTATCTACTTGATAAACGGAAATTTGTCAACGTTCTTTAGCATTATGTAGCTTATTGACATACTTTTTGTAAGAAAAATGGTCGACGACTTTTTGAAGAAAATCAATGGGCTTGACGTTGCGAGTTGTGCGGCAAGATTTAGAGAAACTGCAGAAATAACAGAAAGACAGATATATAGCGGGCGAATAGAACCACTATTGGAAAAAGAAAAACGACTGAAAAAGAACTGATAGAGAAGCAAAGGAAAAAAAGCGCCGAGGAAAAAAAACGCTCGAGAAAAGAAATATGCTGGGAAAGAACAAGCGCGAAGAAAAGGAATCTATTGCGGAAGCAGAGAAACAAATGAAGAAAAAGATGAAGAGAAATAAGAAGAACAAGGGAGAGCGCACGGAGAATCAAACAGAACGATATCACACCTTTCTTTCCTATGTCCAAAAAACGAGTAGCAATAACTAACAAGAGACTTTAATGTTCTTAAAATGTAACAACTAAGGAGAAAAACGACGCGTTTAATGTTTTAGTTAAACTAATTCATCAGTTCGACATAATCAAATGATTTCAATATACAATAATGAAGAACATATTCAATAAGAAGTCGATGTATACCCAATGCGATCTTCGTATTTAATCATCACGTCGTTCATCTTGCGCGCATTCTCTCAAGAATAAGGAAAATAACAGACACAAGAACTCGATCTTCTTACATGTTAGAAAATTTCAGTGAGAAAAGTTTTTTTTCTCGCAGATAGTGTCTATTCCGCTTATTCCAGTCCATTCATTTCCATTTTTACACTTCAATTTCATACGAGAGATTCCAAATGGCATTGAAAATGTGCCAATTTCTTCAAGTGGAACCAGCAAAAAGCAATTTAAATACAGTGCATGAGTCTGTGAACATCAATTTCATTTAAAACTTCTTTTTTACATCGAGAAGACGAGAGTAAAATTAGGCAACATTATGAGTTGTTGAATATATTACATAAACTAATGATAGATGAAGAAAGATAAAAAAAAAGAAGTCTATCTCGGGTATCTTAAGCAGACATTTACGATACATCGTCTTGAATATGATTGGCAAGCAAACTTCAGGGACAACTATCATTTCTCACATAGCTTCGTCGCAATTCAATGTTACAGGAACAGCAGATGAATGTCTATCATAATGCTGTCGTCAAATCCCATTGCAAGTCGGTACTTTCAGAAATAAAATGTGAAAGATATTTCTATAAATACATACGAGGAAAAGAAGAGATATGATAATTTATTACGATAGACTTGAGGAATCATCAACTCATTGATTATATCTCTTGATATTGTATATAATATCTTCAAAGAATTGGCTTATAGTTGACACATAATTAACAAGAAAGACTCGGCGATGAAACATTTTTTTATTAGTAAATAGATGAAGATTCGAACCAGTGGAAAACGGATAGGGACCATGAAGTTATCTGATGATAAATATTCGATAAGAAATTTGTAAAGAATGACGGCGATGATGATGATGATGATGGCAATGTTGAATCTATTGATGAAAATGTCGGTGATTTTGTCAGATAAACGAGAAAATATTCAAGTAAATCATTTATGAATATAATCAATACGATTGCCAAACTAATCATGACAATCATACTAGAATAATAGACAATTGATCGAAGGAAACATATGCGATGTATACATTAGTAACAAACCTGATTAGACGAACATGACCGGTCGAAGGCGAACTGACAAAGAACTCGTAATAGTGTTTCAAAGCTTGAAACCACGCAGTCTAAACAGACACGAAGGTAGACTTGGCGCCGTAAAGTTTTGCTCAAAGAGATAATTATGATACAATCTTCAATTACTAATCGTTCGTTATTACATCAATGTATGGGTACAAAACAGTTGTTCAATTTCTCAAATGTTCTGTTGATGTTAATCTGACCGATACTGATGAGATGTGTATTAACTATATATCTATCGGGAATAGCTAATTTTAAATGTTTACTTTCATCTAAACAGATTGATATCGATTATCAACGACGAATCGATGAATTGACTGCTGTTCATGTGATTAGGATCCATATTCGAATCTTTCGAAGCGAAACTCAATAGAGAATTGTCTTCGAGTACAAAGGATATTCAAGGCTATAGTCCATTATTCATCGCTCTTATCAGATGACCTTACAGCTCATTTACCCGACATTTACTTAATCTATCATCGGCAAGTCTCCGACCACGAGATAATAGCGAGAAAACTATTTCACATTCGACAATTTCTAATCAACAACTTGTCAAATTAATCATTAAAGATCAATGCCTTCGATTATACAATATCTGAGATGATTATCAATGGCATTGTCTCGAATTTGAACGAGACCGTCAACGAAAAGGATAAATTTACCTGAGGATTTGAAAGAGAATCTTGTGTTGTAAAATGGGATGAATCAGTTTGATGATCGTCGAAAGAGTATGGATACGAATCGTCGAGCAGAAAATGATGAAGGCTGTCATCGACTATTGGACAATCTGAAGAACTGAAAGAGAAATACATGAATTTTTAGTATATAAACAATGCTTTTGTACATATCCGTGCAAATCGTCGGAGTGTTATTCATCAATTGTTCAATCTCTTTAGTTGAAGAGAATTCTACATCCTACGGAAAAGATTTTCGTTTCCCAACAACAATGAATTGTCCGATAGAATACTTTGAGAAACTGAATACGTTGTTGATAGAGAAGAAGTTTACGTTTCAAAGCTTCTTTGAATTTTTTAATCTTCTCATTTTCTTCGAGTAAAGACGCTTTTACCGCTTGCAATCGTTCGGAATCCTGCTCCGGTCTTTCTTTTTCATAATAATATGTCATGATGATTTCTACGAGACAAATCAACATTCAAAATGACACCAAGACGCACTACTTCGTTGTTTCTTTCGAGCATTGCCGAGCAAATATTTCGCTTTGGAATATTTCGCCGAATATTCTTCGACATAATGCTGTCGACTTTGTGAATTATCAAGGCAATTCAATGGAATGTTCAGCCGATGAAGCAGAAAGACAGTCTCATCGGAAGAGTTCTAAAGTTCAGGATAAACAAAATCAACAACAAGTCCGGTTGAACTAGTATTCACTTCGTGTATCGAACAGTTATCGCCGCTTTCCATCGTTTCATCAATAAATAGACATATGATACCCGTTGCTTGTTGATGTGCACGCAAAGGTTAATAAATTAATATCATACAATGAAAGAAAACTCATGTTTTTCGCGCGATATTCAACTGCAGTAGAACATCTCTCTGTTAATTACAAGATTTCAACAAATTGCTTTCGTGCTCAACAATACCGACAATTTTCCTATTTCCTCGTCGTCACAGCCAGACTGAGGTTCATTAGCTTCGTCGATTGGAAAATAACAGTACAGTACATGTCATCGTTGATGCTTTCTCACAAGACTTCGGACGTATTACAAAAGAAAACCATCTCTTATTTGATATGATGATCGTTCTATTCATTCATTCATTTGTCAGTGCATGACTTTTATTTTAGTTCTCATCGAACCGTGAATAATCGATTTTCTCTCTGCACTTCGAAAATCATGAAAAGACAAATCGGATTCATCTATATCTAGAATAACGCCGACAAGCCAGCAGCTTATTGCTAATATAAACAGTCTGATCATAGATATAACACATGCTTTGCATGTAATACGTATTTATCTAAATCAATGACGAATTTATAATGCTTATGTCTTGCACATATTGTATTACACGCCATATTCAATGTGTGTTGTATAGAAAAACATTATTAGATGCATCAAAAAGAAGATGGAATGTGAAATAATCGCATTATAGGTCTCATCATCTTACAAAAAAACTAGCAAATACTTTGATTAGAATTGTTTTCTGTTGAGTCTCATTCTATTTTCGTCCTATTTAGAGCTAATATACCGTTCGATAGTGCAACATATCGCTATTAATCAAATGGTCTTTTTCATCTAGGTAAATGAGCTTCTTATGCACTCTCCAAGGCCATTGGCCTAGAAATATCAGAGGAAATTTACATTTCAGCACGACTGGATACTAATTTGATGTGAATAGAAACTAAAAAGTCGATAGCAAGCCAGACATGACGATGGTGATTTGCTCCATCGATAATGATAGGCCGCGAACAGATTTGTAAGCGCTGAGAAAGACGATCTCGCGCGAGATGCTCTAGAATCAACATTCGGAAAAAAGGAAAGAACGGCACTTCTTCATCATAATTGAATCTTAGCTTGAATGGCGAACAATCTGATTCGTTGAATAATACTGTGCAACGATAAAGACGAGAAATTTGTTTGATCTTTTCGATTTATTCAATATTTATCTCACTGTTACATGTGTACACATGAAATTGTAGCATTACTGATGCGTTCGAAATGCAGGGCGTGTTCAGCGCACACTACTTAGGTAAAATAATAGCATGCGAGGAGAAAGTAGAGGAAGGAAATAGGGTGACGATAATATTAAGAACAGAGTTGTGCTGCTTTTTCCTCCTCTTCGTTTTTTTCTCGTTAGACTCTAGTGTTGTTACTTAAACAAGTATGGAGAAAACTCGATCCCGATTGCCTGCTTCATCAGCAGGCCATGCAAGAGAGAGAGAGAACAAGAGAAACCGAAGCTGTCGAGCTCATATAGATGAGAAAAAAGAATGAGGGAGAAAAAAAATGTGAGAACGATAAGCAGCAAATGCCGTAGTTCATTTATTCATTTATGTATAGCTCATCACCTTTCTATTTCTAAAAAGAAGACGACTATTTGATGAACCAAACTTCCCTCTATTTCTGCATGACTTTCATCTGAAAATGGCACTACTTTTCCCTCGTTACTTATAAACTATAAAAACTCATGTTTACTAACGGCCTTTTCTTAGTTGAACGCAAATATGAATAGTGATCAGCAGCAAGTTTCACATCATGGATATTATCTTAACTGCTGTTGGTGAATTCGTCTGGTCAGCATCGTATGTAAACAGTCTGATTTCTCAACTCATCCCTTCAATTTTGTTTGTTCATCGTAGATGTGCTATAATTAACTTTTGTGTCAGCTCGGGATTCAGTGCTACTGCTGTATTTATCTCCTTTCTTTGTGTAATTCTCACATCCGCCTTTTATAAATACTCAACTAGTCGTGAACAAATGTCAATGGCAGACAATGCCTCGTGTCCATTCGACGAACACGACGATGGAACTCTTGATCAATTGACGTCTACACCTTCGGCGTTGAATTGTCCATTTTTAGCCGAGCACAATGACAACCATACTAATAACAATATAAACACCCTGTCCGAAATTGAAATACGCGTGGAAGAAAGTAGCAGTGAAACGGAAACAAATGATGAACAAGCGTCGAATGAGATTCTTTTGGATACAATTGAAGGCTCTGAAGAAGAAATACAAAAGCAACAAATCGCAAATATTTACCGTCTGTTAAATGATCAACATTTAATCAATAATTGGACAACAACAGATTTTCTTGAACAGCTTAAAATGTATGGTCTTGACGCATATGAAGAAGATGAACCCGCACCATCGTAGATCTCTTTTCGCCAATTCGTGACAATTCCTATCTTTGCTTTTTGAATAATTTATGATTGTTTCATTTAGAAGAAAAACCATCTGTCATGTTCATTTAATGATCGTCGAGATTTTTCATTTGTATAGAATTATTTTAGAAACTTCTCGTAAACATTGTATGTGTAGATTATATATTAAATCAGTTACATCTTTCGCGTAGTTGATGATTTACAACAATTTACTATGAGAATTAGTAAACGTAAAGAAAGAGACTTTTGCAGAAAGGACATCAGCTGAATTCAAGAAGAAAGAAGAGTATCTACATAGTCAAACAGTGAACAATTGAAATGGAGAGAACAGCTTACATGTTTTGTTTGCGACTTATGTGAAACAAGAATTAATTTATTCATAATGGAAACATACTTTCCGATATAAGGAACAATACCAAGCCATTGTCATTAGTAATATGCTTTCATTTACGTCGAGTATCGACAGCAATGAAAAAGAATCCATATGATAAACTACGCTTTAAGAACGTATAAAAGATACAGAAAAGTTTGTTGGAGAATGTTTGCGAAATGTGATTATAATTTCCTGATGATGTTCTAAGTTATGAAAATAGACTATTTCATGAGGAACATCTGTGAGTTGATTCTGTATGATTGAATATCCAAGACATTTCGTTCGAAATTAAATTAATTCATCTGAGTAGAAGATTTCTATTTGATTACATGGAATTTTTCATAAATCAAGTGGGCAGTATTATTACTATATGAAAAAAGATCAGCAAACTGGACTATAAAGAAAAGAAAAGGTGCGCATTTCAATGAATTTGTTCCTCACATGTATTGTATATAAACGTGCATATACTCCACTATCTATATCTTTTTCACATAGAACAAAACTATATAAGCAGAAAAGAGAGAAAAACCGATTAAAAGAAATAACGAGAAAAATTTAACAAAGCCACGTGTGAGGCAGATGATAAAAGTTTGGATGAAGAGAAACAAAGGAGAAAACACTACGTTCTACTATGAAAATTCAGCTTGATTCGGGTTTTTGGTTGTTTCCAAAGAAGAAAATACAAACATACACATACATAAAAACACATTGTATACACAAATATGAAAACAAAGAACAAAACGAGGCAATTATTTTCTGAACTCTAGTTATGAATCATTAGTGTTAGAGACCCGTTTTTGATACTCGTCGATCTAGAGAATACATTGACAAATTCGAAAATTCTTAGTTAATTAAATCTACCTGCAAATCCAACCATTCTAGTTTGCGTTGATGGTACTTCCGAAGATTGTATCTCCGAAGTTGTTTCATTGATAATCGGTTCAATATGCACAATGGTTGGTAATGTTCGTGAGGTGATCGGATAATTTCTTTCTCGATACCAGTGAACCGACTTTTTATCCAGTACTAACAATTCGAGATCATCACGTGCCATGTGCTGCTTGATCTTATCCAGAATCGTTTCGTATGTTAATGCCTGAACTGTTGTACCGTTTACTTCAATAATTCGATCGCCATCACGTAGACCACAAACAGCAGCTGGCGAATGTTTTGTTACATCGGAAATGAAGACTCGACTAAAGAGAATTATGTATTTTTGAGAAGTTTTGATTTGTTCTAGTTACCCGAGTTTTTTCGGATCACCGCATAGGAAAAAGCCGTAGAAAGGTGACGTCGCAAATTTTCGGACACGACAAAGACGAGCAACAGGCGCATCTTGGGAAGATATATCTGATAATTTAGTTATTGAACCTTCTATTTAAGAGAAAATCACATGGGATTTACTTGGTACTCGTTCCCTCAACCATTAACTTACTTTCAGATGAAATTGAAATACTCTTTGGATGATGAAGGACACCCGGCGAAGCGGTAATTCCTACTAATGAAGAAAAAAGTTGTCAAATCAAAAGTAGATCGGACAATTCTTACCGGTAGCTAACGCAGGAACACTTCCACTCAGAGCTCGACTGGTAAAGCCATCAATTTGTCTCAATTGGCCAGGCAAATTTGGATAACTTGTCGCTATTTTTTGTTGATTGATACTATCAAATGGACTAACCGAACTATTGATATCCGACAGATCATCCGACAACACTGCTGTTGTTCGTTGTGAGTGTATCGTTGAAGTTGGAACGATGTTATTATTGTTATTCGTATTGGTTTGCTTCTCGTTATCGACTGTTGATGGATAAGCACCTCGAGCATGGCCTTCAATAACACGTAGTTCGATTGATTCATTTGTTCGCATTGCTGAAACGACCATGTCGACGACCTGAATAGAAAAATGATTATTTTCTTGGCATCGAAGTTTCGAAAAATATACTTGTTCATGTGTCACATTTCTGACATCGACGCCATCAACTTCCAGAACTTCATCATTGACTTGTAGGCCAGCGGTATCTGCAGCTGAGTACTATTCAAAATAGATTATAGAACGTAAGCTAAGTCACATATATATTGGCAAACCTTTTCGACATCAGTGATCGTATGGTCGTAGTCACCAGTAGCGCTCAGAACAAAGCCCAAGCCTTTCTTACGATCGACTTTGATTACACATCGACGTGGGCCTCGAAGATAGTCAAACGAGCCGGTTGATACAGTTGAACGAACAGTATCTTGAATAGATGAAGCAGGTAAAACACTCGTTGTATTGCTGTTAACTGTATCAAATGATTGAGATGCATATGGATTATCCAATCGTGTGGATCCATAGCGAGATGTAGGTGGTGACGGGGCACGACCTTTGGTACTCGTTGTTGTTCGTGCAAGAACATCATTTTCTGCTAAACAAAACGAAATCCCAAATCAATGTACTGTCCATTTGTTTCCATGGTATTCAATCAGTAATCTACTTACAAGAACGATACAAATCTCGCTGTTTCGAACGCGTTCTTTCGCTATACTGAATAGTTCCATTTCTTTTCAAACGCTCAAGCTTTCTACTTTTTTCACTGGTAAAAACCGTCAACTTTTGTAACATAACTCGACTCGTCATTGCATTCTTTCTCTGTGATACATGGAACGACGCGAGATTTTATCCTGGGAACCATCTCAGATGTGCTTTTCTTGTATCGATTTTGCAATAGCAAGTGCATACCACTACATAAGAATCTACTTAACAAAGTCTACACTAAAAGTGTATCTAGGTACTAAGTACATATTTACACACAATTGCATAACCTACCGTGCGTTGTGTCGTTTCTAAAGGCTTATCAAGCTGTCGATAATATGCGTGCAATATGAATAATACATATATTTGCTTTTGATCTACAGTAGTCAAACTAAAACATGCAAGATAGTATGTGCATTTGTTGTGTGTGTGTGTGTGTCCGTACAGGGTGAAATAACAATATATAAAGAAGTTATTCTAATATCGAGGAAAACAAACTACAAAAAAGACTACGATTGTAAGTGATAACAATAATGAGAGTAGAGTATATTCAAACGGTTACATGCAAGAATAGTAAGAGGAAAATGTGTAAGGAACTATTCACGAACGTTTTGATGATTTGGAGTGTCCGAATTTGTGAAATAAATTATTGATTGCATGTGGTATAGCTTTGGTTTTTGATCCTTTCGAATCTTTTGATGAGGTTTGATTCAGTGATGTAGCTGATCGTGAGAGATTCGCTCCATTTTGACTACTCGTTGAGGTAATACTCGAGCGTTGTGCGCTAGTTTGTGCTGGATCAAGAAATTTCAACGGTGATGATTCAGGCTGATGCTGACGTTGGGAAGGCGTATTTAGCGATGACGTTGGTGTGTTCAAATCAAACTTTACTGGTGGTATTGATGGTACAGTTTTAGCTGGTGCATTTCGTCCTCTCTGATTTGGTTGTTGTTCCTCTTCTTCATTCTCCGAATCGGTCTCTCTCGATGTTGTGAGACCGAATCCAACAGGTAACCGCTGATGGGATGCGCTGTTCTCATCATGTTTCGTTATACTATTATTTAACTGTTCTAAACTATCTCGTGATGATAAGGAAGACGCTGTCGTCGTTGTTTGAAGTAGAGGTAGTTTGTGGAAACTTGCTGATGACCTACTTTTCGGAAAAATATGTTTGACTTTCAATTCGGGCTCTTTCATTGGCTTCTTTGTTCGTTTACAATAATCGAACGTTTCTTGATCAACCACAAGCATTTCCAATCGGCCATCACGTTTGGCTTTTTCGATTTCTTTCTTCACCTTTTCATAGACAAGACCTTTGGTTTTCTTGTCATTGATTTTCAGTAGAATATCCCGTGATTGTAAACCAGCGCCTTCGGCTGACGAGTGCGGTTCGACACGTAATATCAATGGATATTCATAATCGGGTTCTTCACTTAATTCAAAACCGAATGTTGCCGCTTGTGTTCCATCGCCATTTGTTGGATGTAAATGACAAAGACGCAATGAATAGGAAAGTTCTTTATTTCGCTGTTCTAAAAAAAGCAGCAAACAAAGAAAGAACAAAAAAAGGCATGCCGAACTAAATACTGAGCATCAAGCAAGTTGGAATCACGAAATAAGGCTTCAGAAAATGAAAATAAAAAGGAAACGACTTAACTAGTCAAATAGGCAAAAAATAGACACGAGTAAATTTTCAAGCCGCAGGAAAAAGATCATGATTATAATAAATCAAGCAAAACTTGCCTTCAATATAAACGTGCTTCTAGATAGTTGAAAAAGAAAATGTTCACTAGAGTTTTAGATAGATGTGGCAGTGATCATGGGAGTCTTTCTTTATTGAAGATTAACGTCTCGAATTAACATTCTTTGTCGTACTGCTGCTGCCGGCGCCGACGGAGGAGGAAGATTTGTCTCGATCTTAAATAAGAGAGAATAAACAGAAAAACAACAACGTCAACATTTTTTCAAAGAGATTATTAGAGAGTTGGTTGATGTAAGGTGAATAAGTTGGCGCTGTTCAGTGTCAAGAAGTAAGCGGGCGTTTTGTTTTAATTGTCATCAGTATCAAGCTTAAAGAAGATGTGAAAAGACAATATGGATTGACTAATCCCCTATCCATCCACAACGGCAGCAGCTTTATGCACAGTACACCCAATGGCGATAAAGAAAATGAGAGAATTTCAAATGCTCGAGTAGCTTTTTTCTATCAAACCGATCGTTGTTGATGAAATAGGGCAAAGAAAGTGATCAGTAGGCAGCTATTGAATTCGTTATTTCAATAGTCAGTTAAGACAGGGCATTCCTTGAGACATGCAAAAGTATCCGTGAGCATTGGCAAGGTGTTGATCAAAAAAGCTTCAGATGAGAAGTCGAGAGAGATGAGATTTGAAGCAAATTATTATTTTGCTTGCGCTTTTCATTTTTCTACTTACTTTGATATTCTTCAACAGCATTTGCACCGCGAGTACTGGATTCAGGTCCGACACTGCCACTATTACCTGCATTGTTGTTATCGTAACTACCCAATGATGAATTTCTTGGATCAGGCATTGATGATTGACTATTGCTTTTTGTTCGCGATTGACTTGTTGATTGTCCTCGAACGACAAGTTCCACGCTCTTTTGTTGCAACGCTTCTTTGATTAGTTTGACTGTATCTTTGTACTCGGATTCCACAACAGATTTACCATTGATCGATAGGAGCGTATCATTAAGAAGTAGACCAGCTTTTTCCGCTGGAGAGCCCTTTTCAATTTGACAGATAACGTATGGCGGAGGAGCTGTACCACTAAGCGCAAAGCCAGCTGTACGTTCGGGCGATGGAATTAGAGTACAAATACGCGTAGAAGATTCGGACGCTGACGAGGGCGGTGCTGGTGCAGATTGCTTACTCGATGAAGTTGAGCCTTGACGTGGAACGGTGACTGGATCGTTTATCGGACGTAGATTCTTAGTTTCTTGTTGGTCAACTGGAAGAGAAAAATGACAATCGTATGATTTAAGCTGATAGTGAACAGCACATTGGGCGTTATTTGAATGAAATAGATGCAATGTGTTAGTTTTATCACGTAAGAGTGACATGCAAAGTGAAACTTTTGTTTCGTGTTCTTTCTTGCTTTATGATGATAAATATACATATGTACAAAGACTAAGATATCTAGAAGTTGCTGAAGAGAAAAACATTCACACATACACATGCAAAGAGAAGATTAATGTTAGTCATGCAAAGTAGGTTAGAAATACAAATCTAGGCTGTTCATTGTGATGTGTATGGCCTACTTTTTCGAGGTTCAGCAGGTAATTCATGATCGAAGATTCCTTGCCAATTTAAAGTATTTTTTTCTTGATAGGTTTTGTATCGTTGCATATCGCTCTTGCGGATTAATATTAAGTCGATATCCGTATTCGAGAGCGATAATTTGCGAATGAGAATTTTCACATCATCATGTGTCATTTGTTCGACATTCTTTTGATCGACGAAGAGAATCACATCGTCTTCGCGTAAACCTGAATTGTAAGCAGGAGAATCTTGTTCAACTTGGTCAATCAAATGAAGACCATTCTGGTAACGCAAGAGAAGTCCGTAACCATTATAGTTTGGTTCTTTTTTCAAAAGACAATGCTTGACTTGAACGGCACCATTATTATCGGTGAATAATGTGTTTAAATTTTTCGATAAATCATCTTTTGAACGAATGTTGCTTGAACTATTGGTAGTATCATCCGACGACTTTTTTGGTGATGTTCGACTACGACTAGTGGGTTCTAATAAACAGAAGAAAAAGAAACATGTATATTTCGACTGCACGATTCATAGTGGCGAGAAAATGTGAATGATTTTACCACTCAAACTACTCGTCATCGTGCGCTTTAGTGTTTCGTAGTCGGGTGGTGGCGCATTATTCTTATCCAGTGTACCTTCTGATTTCGATTGATTTCGTTTGACACTTTCGATTAATTCCAAATATTTGGGATCATTGACAACAGTTAGTTGTAACGGCTTTTTGTTCTGCATCATTTGACGAACATCTTCATGTACAGCATTTCGAACATCGACGCCGTTGACTGTTAAGATACGATCTCCATCACGTAAACCGGCTTTATCAGCCATGGATGATGCCTGAACGTTACTAATAAAGTGTGTTTGAGTGTTGCTCTCGCCGTCTGGAATGAATGAATTAAAATCCAAGCCTATCGCTTCTTTCAAAACAATTTGACGAATTTCATTTGGATCGATGACCTCCGATGCTGAAACAAAGTTCGAAAATGAAATGAAAGAGAAGGAAAGTCGAACATACGCTGCTCAGTTAACGATGCTTTTTGTTGTCGATTAACCGGGAATTCTCGTGTTGGAGAACGACTCGGTGAACTACTGTGCGATCGTGGAGATCGTGTTGCACTTTCGTCCGATATTGGATTTGTTATGCCAACAGATAAAGGAGCACCAGGCGCATTGGAAGCATTTTCACGGCCAGGTGCCGACAAGCGTTGGGCACGAACAGTTGTTGTATTCTGAGATTGATCTGCCATGAAACGAACTTGGCTACTATCCGGCGTATCTCGCGTGATATCGGTGGTTAGTAATGATTGAGCATTTAGATCTAAAACGAACTGTTATCATAGAATTTGATGGAAAAATAACTACGAACTTTTTGGTTGACGGTAAAATGAATCGGTTTGTGGTGATGACGAGGATACAGCTGGCGATCGTTGAGTTTCGACTTGTTTGATCGCTGGCGATGATGTTGGTGATTTTTTTCTAGCTATAACTAAATTGATTAAACCAGCATTTGTTAATAATTGACGAATTTCGTGCGACACTTCCGAAAATTCGGTCAGACGAATATCTTTATCATCGATTTTAATAAGCCAGTCATCAATTCGAAGACCGGCCAGATCAGCTTTTGTTCCTTTGGCAACCGCTGTGATAATATATTGCAGTGGCTCTTGTTGTTTTGTTAGCTTTAAACCCACGGGGCTTGTTTCAGTTGGCTGCATCAGTTGAATGTTATGTAATTCATAACCTTGCTCTTTTAATTGTGATAGCGACATGGTAGCTGAAAGAGAAAAAGGAAGACCAGTTGAATAGAGGATAAAGCTAGACCAAAACAAAACTATGATATTAGACGAGAAAACACACTGAGAAGAAAAGTTATAAGCTGTTATAGGTATCAAATTCGATGATGAAAGAGGCAAAACAAGAATTACACCGCAGATACACACATAGTGTTAGTACATAAACCACAAACAACCAAGCTGTTTATATATGTATGGCTCACCGAGCGCCATGGTTCCTAATTGCATTGGTGTCTTTTGACTCTCTATTGAGCCTTCTTCTGATGAACTGGCACCATTGTCCTCATCAGATTCTTCTGCTGCTTTCACATTGTTATTCTTAGTGTCAATGCTTTGCTGTTTCGCTTGTAAATTTGCAGATTTGGTCAGCAATTCATTGAGTTTTTCATCAGCAGTTTTCTCTGGTACATTGTTATTCTTTTCCTGTTGACGCCATGACTTTCCCGGTCGTTCGTCTGCATCGGTTTCATCATCATTCGATTCAATTGGAGAGTAAAACGAATCAGCAGATGGCTTTGTGACAAGAGAATCAGCAGTAGAGATGTTTTCATCACTATCTGCTTTCTCTAAACGCCGTGCTTGAACAACTTGTCTAGTATTAATTAATTTCTCGGCATCTACTCTAGGATCGTCACTATCAGTTTTTTCTAAACGACGAGCTTGTACAGTCGTTTTCACAGGTGTAGCAGATTTCGATGGAAGGTATGAACGTTCACTTTCGGACATGGTGTCTTCACTATCCGATTTGTCCAGACGGCGAGCTTTTACGACCGTTCGTGCGGGCGTTGAAGACGCCGAAGTTTGTCGCTCCGGAATTGGATATGTTGAGTCAACTGGTAGATTGGTATTACTGAGATTGGAATTGGGATTTGTTGAATCGTATGCACTTCCAAATCCCGGCATCGACTTTTTTAAAAGATTAGCTACATTTGATTGTCCATCGTTTTTGCTAGCGATTGGTTCAGAAGTGTCTTCTTCACGCGAACGTTCTGATATGTCAGAAAGATCATCATCATCAGTATCAGTGTAGCCACCAGTTAGCGATGGGTTAGCTTTAGGCGGTTTACTCGGAATGCTCATTGCTTTCTTCGGGCCTGTATAATTCATTTACGTTTTAGTTTTTATCACGATTTTTAGGGAAAACGAGAGAAATAAAATATGTACAGTGAACTTACCGAGATGAGTATCAGCTTGACTGGACGGAGCCGGCTGCGTACTTCCTGAGGAAAATTGACATTATGAAAATCTCATGATAAGAATCAACATACCTTGTTCATAATCACGTTTGGTGGATGACGGCTGTCCAGGTGTAATAGGTACAGCAGCTGGTATGTGTTGGAGAGTTTCGTTTGCTCGTGAACCACCACGGTTTGTATTTGAACTTGGTGAGCTCTCTCGCTGTCCATCGGATGAAGTTGGCCGCGATGTACGTTGTGCACTCTCGTTAAGATTAGGCGTCGTATTTGCCGATTGTTGGGAGGCGGCTGGATTGGTAATTCCAACTTGTAAAGGTTTTAATGAACCATCCAATGAACTGTTACGACCTTTCGATTCATCAGCATCTATGAAAACGAGCAAAAATGATGGTATCTATCCAAAGGCAAAAGGCACCCAATTACCTGGTCGTCGATCACGCGATGTGGAACGAATAGATGAATCACCGCTCAATGGAACTTCATCATTTGATTTTCCGCTCGATACACCCCAAGATGGTTGATCAGCTGTCGCTGGTCCAACACCGTGCAGAATTTGACCTTGCTGTGACTTTGATAAATATCGATCATTATCAAATTGTGGTGATAGGCGATCATTTGGTGTTGACGTTGAAACTGTTTCTCTGACTTGATTAGAACTGTTGGTCTGATCATACGGTGGGTTTTGTTCATTATTATATTTGTTGAAAAGTTGTTCTAAGGCTTGAGTAGGTGGAACTGTTGATGGTATATTGGACGACGGGAGAACTTCTGCCGCGGTATTATTTTGATTTGATTTGAGTAGATAAGATTTTTTCGCAACGAGAAAATCTAGATTCGGTTCATTTCGATATCGTTTAAGTGTATTCAAGACTTCTTGATACGTAACATGGAGTAGCGGAATATCATTCAATGATATGATACAATCATCTCGTTCGATACCAGCATAATCAGCAGCTGAATTGGGCTCCACATGCTTAATAATATGACTAAAATCTTTGTCTTGTTGCAATGATATTCCAATTGAATCACCTGGTCGAAGAGTTACTGAGCACATACGTGGTCCAAGTCCTAAATTGTTATTGGTGTCTAAAGGCAAAAGAGATAATTAGTGTCAAGAAGAATATTTTGAACTTTTCTTTTCATGCATAGTCATGCACAGCAAAGAGACGCTCTAGTCAAATAAATATAAGCAATAATAGCAGCGGAACCATAACCTGAAGCATTTTGTTTTTATTGGGTGCTTTTCTCGTCTCCTACCCTGTGCTGCCTCAGATGGTGATGATGATTGCCATAAGCGATCGTATGGCTCCGATTGCTTTTCTTTTCCGGCAGTTCTCGTAGGACTGGGCGATCTTTTTAATTTATCTTTGATTTTGTCGACTAACGATGGTGATGCGGCTCGATTTGTAGAACTACCGGCTGGTTCACTGTCATTTCCACGTTTCGAATCATTCTTATCAGATTTGTGTTTCTCACTGTGAGATAACGTTGGTATGACCGATTTAATATTCTCCAAACCTGTTTTCGCAAGGTTTTTTATACCATCTTTAATATGACTACCATGATGTGTGTCTTCCGAATTATCATTGTCACCGGTGCGAGCTTGATTTGATGAATCATCTGTTGGACGTCGTGGGGTTGATTCGGACTGTGTCGCAGATTGGGGACTCTGCTCGAAGAGGATTTCGAAAAATGTCTTGCCGTTCTCGAGTGCATGATCTGTAACAGGTGGTTGTTGTTGTAGTTGTTTCTTTTTTATCAAGAGGTTATTAAGAAGGGAAAGAGGGTAGAAAAGGGCTTTTCGTCAAGAGCGAGCTTAAAACAGTCATGATAATCAATCGAATTTGGTTTTCTAATAATGGGGAAAATTGGTTTACAAAAAACCTACCTGAATATGGTAAAAACGTATAAACATCATCACCTCCTGCCCGTGGAGACGCTTCTCGATAGCGCGGAGCATTTGTTGGAGCTTGATCTGGATTCAATGATAGCGTTGGCCCAAGATTAATCGTAGTTTGTGCAGCAGCTGGATCAGCTGCATTTGTTGTTCGCCATTGATCATAGAGAAGTTTTTCTGGACTCACTGTTAACGTCGGTGTTTCCATTCGTACACAACCTCGATAGTTTTCATCAATATTTAAGTTGTGTCGACGAGCTAGATCTGCACTATGAGGATCGAGTACCAAAAATCGAATTTGATCGCCTTCGAGTTCATGTTGAATAAATGATAGAATAACAAAGAAATCGTCATTTTCTACGGAGTGACCGTTCACAGCAAGTACAACATCCTCGCGTAATAAACCACCACTTTCAGCTGGACTATTCGGTTCAACATCGCCGATTCGTAAACCAAGCCAATGTTGATTTCGAGCTAGATGAACACCATAGCCTACCAAGAGAAGAAAATCAGGATTTTACTGTTATTTGTTATTTAAACTTTGTCCCTTCTTACCATCATAATGTGGCCATTTACGTAAAACGCAAAGACGAGGACGAATGTTTGCTAATTGATCCGTATCGTACTGAGATTGTTGTGGTTGTTGACGAGAATTGGATGACGAACGGCCTGGTTGTCCACCTGCTGTAGATAAGGCTGGTTGACTATGATAAGTAGCTGATTGATTTGTTCCGACTTGCATCATATTGAAAATCGAATCGCTTAGAGATAGAAGATTTCTTCTTGTGTTCGACCGGAGGACTTTTCTTTCTGTTGCTGTTCTTTTCAATCAATAGTTGTTAGTCTAACTGACGACTAGACGAATCGGTAAATAGATGATAGCATCAACTAGAAAGAAAAAATGAGCCATGATTCTGATTGAGAAGTGAAATCAAACGATTTTCTTCTCACATATGAAAACTGAACAAGACAATAACGCGTTCATCTCGTCTCCTTTGTCAAATCACTAATGCCTATCGACTTAGTTTCTTTTATCTATCATATAAGGACTTAAAATGGTCTAAGTATGGTAAATAAGAGAAGTACATACAATCTAAGCTGTTTAACCACTTGACTTCTAATGTTTCAAAACAAAACACAAGCGATAAAGAGGGGGAAAAGGCGAAGAAAATTTTTTGCAATATATTCCTTCAATACAAGTACCAATCATCAAGAAACCGTGGACACTCTTACTTTCTTTTTTTTCCTCCTAACCCTGTCTAGCCCTGTAGCTTGAGTTTGAAATGTGATATCCTTGAAATGTGTATGTGTGTGTGTGTTCGCCTGCCTGTTTGTCTACTTGTGCGTAGGTTGATCAAAAAAATTGAAACAAACGATGAGTTATCAAATGGAACATAAACGAAAACGACTGTTGTTACCGCATCTTCTCCTGTCTATCTATTCTTACTAGCACTATTCGTCAACACACATCTATGTATATATCTAATCGCTAAACACAAAAAGCGAGACAAAAAATGCAGCAAAAATGAAAATGCTAACCGATACGCTTCGATAACTTTTCTCTAGCTTTCTTTATCTTTTTTCTTTCTTCTCGTCCATTTTGTTTTTTTTCGGTATGAAATATGTGAAGGACATTTACTCAAAATCGACCTGACGCGTCGTCATGTAGCTATTTCATTTCTCTTCCTTACCTATGCTCTCTCTCTCCTTCCTGCGCGTACACGTTCTCTCTCTATCTCTTTCTTTACGAATCGCTATTTTTTCCTACTCTTTCACACAAATTTATTGAAAGGCCATTACCTTCTAAATAATAACATCATTATAATCATCATCGTATAATATATCTCTTATTCGTTTGTTTCTTAAGGGGAAAAAAACACTCATATAGAAAATGATTGTTATGTATAGTTCTACGATGTGCGTGTGTTTTTGAAAAAAAAGAAAGAAAAAGAACAAATTCCATTCGACATATCTCTCTATCTATCAATGTGTCTTTTTATATTCGCTCGAGCAATACGAAGCACATTTCATGGCATCTAATGGAAGAGATAAAGTTTCTCCCTCGACCAATCGAATAAATGAAAGCGAAAGGAAGAGAGAGCGAGAGAGAGAGCAGAAGAAAACACGCGAAAGTCAAAATTCCATTCGGATGATTCCTTTTCACACTACTATCATTACCTACAACACATGATCAAGTGGTTAGTAGGAATAGGGTGATGCTTTCAATGGCATATTTACTATTATCATTCAAATGTCTTGTGTTTAACCTTTACTTCATTTTCTCCTCTTTGTTCTAACAGTAGAAAGAGATATGGCACGCTCCAGTATGAACATACACATACATCGACAATGAGAGATTGTGTTGATAACCTTTGAAATGGTTTACTTCTAATCTACAGTCATTCTCTCGAGTTTTTCAAATCTGTTTTTTTTTGTGTGCGTACAAATATTTTCATGTGTAAACGTGTCACTGATATGCATGATTGAATCAAACTAGAATAGAAACTAGACGATTGATAATGCTTTTCCTTACTCATAGGCGAAGAACAGTAAATTCACATTTGTATTTCGCACAGTTCATGTCATCATAACTAATGAAATACATATATCGACTGGTTGCTTCTATTTACTCCCAGGTGTCACGGACCTTTTCCTTTCGAACAAATCGTTTCAAACATGTCCCATATCACTCGTAGACGACAAATAACCGAAAAAAATATCGAACTATTTCATTTTTCATACTTTAGATAATCATCTCAGGTCGACCTGCAAATAAATATGTTTAATCATGGTCGTAAGATGAATGACTGCTCTCTGATATCTCTTTCGTATGAAACGGTCAGCTGTATCTAAGCCGTTATTAGTATCGATCGATAATAAGTAGATTTCATGTCTATGAACGAGTAAACGTTGAAAATGGCTATTAAAATCTTGTCTTTGTTCTTTTCTCGTTAAGATGAAAAATAACGCAGATATCAATTAGGGAGAAATACATCTCAATGATCATTCATATTTCAATTATTTTGTTTTTTATTGACTCATTTCGTAAGTGACATTTCTCTCCGACACGAAAAACAACAATATCATTTGTCCGCTTTTGTGAACTTTGGCGAAAAAAACATCTTATGATAATATTGTCCTTTTTCATTGGAGAAGATTCTTTCAATGACAAGCAATATAATACTATTTCAACCATCGATTGTGCTATTAAATGGATAGTTTTTTACGATATATGTAGACGAACGACAAAAAAAATCGATTACCGTACGCACTGTTTATCTCTATCCACTTGAAATAGTTGTAAAAATCGAATGAAAATGCAAATTTCTCCCTTTGTTGATTACCGCCTTTACAATTACTATCACAAGGAATGCTATTATTCCAATTTTCAGCTCATACATCAATCAGAAGATAATTTCGATACACTCGTTTCTTCCTAATTAATACAACTTGCTGTTTTTTTTTCTTTTTCGTTACTGTATTTGCTTATAGTATATGTTTAGCGAAACGGCAGACAGTCAAACTAAGTCAAACAACACATCCACTTTACTTTTCTTTTCTTTCAATCGAGTCTCTATCTTTATATGTCTAACTTCATGCACATATAAACGCGGATCAAGACAATTGTGCCACTTGCCGATATACTAACGCTTCAAGGTGTTGTCCTTTTGTGCACGTACACATATGCGCATGTTTGTATAGTGTATTGTATGGAGTTGAATTCAATCAAGCGTCTCTCTAATACTTCAAAATCGACAGTCAGATCATTATCGAGTGATTTGCGCGATATGGAAAGCGAACTTGACAGGTATTAGCATGAATTGAGAGAATGGAGACCGATAGAAGCGAATGGCAGATGTTTTCATAAGGTTTACATTTTTCTCTTTCAAAATACTTGTAAGAGTAACACCTATGTGAAGTCGCCTGATCAAATTTTATATAGAGAAGAAGGAAAAAAAGAGCGAATATGTCACAAATGAAATGCGATCGATATTGCTCAGATATAAAATGGAATTGGTCTTGAATGAATGGAGGTTATCTTTCTCAATCAATAGAGCAAAACGTAAGCGTCTTAGTCATTTAAATCGATAAGACAGCAAAGAACAGTCGATGTCTGCATTTCTCCCTCCGTGTGCCAATTCGCATGGCTAGTAGTGGTAATAAAGCATCAATCATAAATTCGTTAAAAAAAAGATAAACTTCTCTCTTTCTTTCTCACAGTAATCATGGACAAAAGGTGTTTGTTATACTCTAGTAACTCATGTCCATTGTACTCGAATATGGACAAGCTCCTTCAACACGAACAGAAAGCAAAAACGCTTGTTTTTTCACTCTACACTTGAGTTGAGAAACAAATCTTATCATTGACTTTCGTTCGATTCTTTTGGTTACTTTACACAATCACAAGTAAAATAAAAAGAAAACTGAGAACGACGAAGAATTTTCAATGTTGTTTTTACTCGATTCTTTTCGTACATATATACAAAAGTTGAGTCTGATTATCTTATTCTCTCGAAGGATATGCTGAAATATATTCATATGTTTAAAATAGTTGACAAATCGTTAAAAATATATGGAATTTCTCTTCACACATGAATGTAATAATACGCACGAACTAGTCAGATATAAAGTAGTCATAAACGACTCGAATCATAAAACAACCTCAAGTCATGGGTTCGTTATTTTAACTTACTCAATGGATTTGTCGAATTCACACGAGTTTTAAGCGCTTTGAATTTCAATGTCCGATGCCATAGACTAATGATAATCGTCGAGCATTTCAGTGATCTTTCGTGTTGTTGTTGTTCTTCTTCTTCTTCGTTTTCGTTCAATATAAACCGATCGTTTCGAAAGAGTAAAGAAAGGAAAGAATGAGCGAGGGAGAGAGAGAGAGAAGAAAAGGTGAAAGAAGGAGAGTAATAGTATGAGTTTCAATCGGTTCGTATGTGTATGTAAGTGCCGCGTGTGCACCTTGTTGGTAATTTGATCCTGTTCGAAATAATTGCAAGGAGATCTTAACGAATTTGAATTGATGTATGATGAAGAAGAAGAAGAAGAAGAAGAAGAAAAACGAAATGTAACAATAATAATAATTAGTGCAAAATATTAACCAAGTATCTGAAATGAGAAATGTATGCTTGTGGACAAGGAACTCGATGGATGTACTTTCGATTGATTTTGTCATATAATTTCTTTCAAGATGTTAATCTCAATTGTCTGTTTTTCTTTTTCTGTCGAAGAAAAGCAAACAAGGCAGATAATCGAAATACTTTCATTGTTAAGAAAATGAAACGCAAAAGAAAAGAATCTTTGTGGTATTGTGCACTTGATTAAAACAACAAAACAGTGAAGCATGTAGATGTATGGATGCATTTGCTCGATTGTCAGCCATTTATCATCGTTTATCAGATTAAAACGAAAGGAGAGAATATGTAAATATACAAAATTTGCCTTGTGTAATCTCTTTTCCGAAAAGTTGAGAGAGAGGAGATGAACTGGCATTGAGATGCATTGCTGATTGACGTTAAAAAATGAGATGAAAAGTCGGTTAATATACTTGGATTAGAAAGAAAAAGAAACGAGCAAGAGAACATATATTCGAAAGTAAAATATACGTCTTTGAGAACGATTGATCATCAAGAATAACAGCTTTTATAGAAATAGGAAGGGAAGAGAAAAAAGAGAGAAAGAATCATCGAAAGAACAAGGGAAAATGTTTTAAATATAATAGTCGGACGTAAAATAGTGGTTTGGCATATGAAAAAAAAAGGAACTACCGAACTTATTCTACACTTTCTTTTTCTTTTCGTTTGTCATTATGTCGATAACCATTGTGCGGATATATATGTGTGTGTGTATACGGAAGATAAAACAACATAGAAAACAAAACAGACTCTTTGTTTTATAGGTTTTCTTATCCGAAGTAGAAGAAGAAGATTAACTGTATCGAAGAATCCTTGAAAAAATTCAACTTACTTCAAACGAAAAGAACAAAATCTAGTTTAGGATGAAATGAAGTAATCAAAGAAAAAGTATAGAACGTTTTCAAGGAAGAATGAAGGATTTAGTAAAGTGTTCTTCCTTCATTCACTCTCTCTCTCTGCGTTCGATTTTCCTCCTCGCCTGTACATATACAGAGATATTCGATATATAAATACTCCTAGGTTGATTACGAACCGAACAGAAGCACGAATAACGATTTTACTCATTTAATCCCAAGGGCTGCTCCAGTTACAACAATTTGATAAAGCAATAGAATTCAAGCACATACATATACATGTATATCCAGGCTCAACAAGCTAAATCTCGTTTTGCTTATTATTGATGATGATCCAATCGATGTGCCAAAGATATATGAGAACTATCTGTAAGAATGAAACTGTATTTGAATTGTTATTAATGTGTATTGCGTTCTGCATCGTGTAAGAAGAGAAGAGAAAAACTTTATTTGAAGAGTTCAACTTTGACAATCTTTCGGATATGATTTCAATGTATCATCGAACATTTCTCTCTCTCTCTCTCATACGTACAATTATCAACTGAGTATGTTCGATAATAATCAACGCAATCAGCGAGTAAAACATCTGGTGACGAACATCCGTCGTTTTATTTATTTATGTTAATCGTGAAAATAGAAATAGTTATAATTAGAAAATGTATTGATGTGGACAAATGAACTGTCAATATGAACTGCTGTTCTTCAAGTGTTTTATCCTTCGTTCTTAAATCTTCTCATTGATAAATGTATCCATTAAGAATAAGTGAGATTAGTATGAAAGCTTGATTCGATCACGGATAGGAAATATCTATTTGACTGTCAAGATAAGATCTGCTGAGCGAATGAAAGAAAGAAGGAAAGAAAGCGAAAGTAGTTGTTTCATCTCGAACGATGACAATTCAATGAATTGAAATTGAGATGTACCGATTGACATTGAACTGGATTTGACAATACGTGAAGAAACTGTTTAACATTACTAATCATTTCTTATACGATGGGATATCTCGACATGGACGTTTTTCGATTGGATGACTTCGTAAGAGGAAATATTTTGAAATTTATTCAATAAAATCTCATATAAAATCAATAGTAAAAGAAAAGATTCAGTTAAATATTAATTTCTTGGATTATATTAAAATCTAAGGTTCATCTAGCCTTTAATTCACTTTCAAATGCGCGGGTTGTCAAGTACATTGACCCTCTCAATGGTATTACTATTTTCGTTGATACAATAAAATAGTTTCACCTTGTTCACAAGAATTTCAGTTCATCCTTACATCCTTGTGATTAAGTTCGATAGCTGGCTACCTGTATGTCCTTCTCATAAACATGTGCTCGACAAACATTGATCCGTTTAATTATAGGATGGCAATTCTACATAAAGGCAGTTAATAGTACGTATACAAATCGGTTATTATATGCATGTTTCAATCAAGAACATGAAATCTGTTATGTTGATTATAGTGTACAATTGTGCTACAATGAAGAACTTTGATCGTTGTATTGGTGAGTAATGCGGGTGATATGTTTGACGCAGAAAAAAAAAACAGAGCAATTGGTTTTTCGTTTCGTCTGAAGTTGAAGGAAAGTGTGTTGTTTCATTACATATACGGTTGCTGGTTTTTTTTATTTATTGTAATAAACAGAAGGAAATGAAAATCATCGTTCGATATGCGCGACGATGAAAAACGAGATAAAAGACACATTGCATGTTATTCGTGTCCAGTGCTCATCTTTTTCCCTTAGCTCATTTCTTCTTTGTTTGAGTTGCTTGGGGTTGTTGTTTTGTTGGTTGAGTTGCTTGCTGTGGTGTTGATTGCGGTTGTTGTTGTTTCTTTTCTTGTTTAACGGTCTTGGTTGATGGTTGTTTTTGTGATTGAGATGCTGGAGCAACAGGAGCTGTTTGAGCTTGTTGTTCGAGAGCTTGTTGAACAGCAACGTTAGAATCGTCATCATCAACTTTGCCCAAAAGTTCACTTCGTTTTTGAAGAATACGTTGTTCACGTCGGGTACGTTTTTCCTTGGTACGTTCACGACGAGCAACAGCTTGATCGGAAAGCATTTTCGTACGTTGAACTTCAGCTTTCTTCTTATGGATGAATTCCATTAAGACACGTTTGTTTTTGAAAACATTACCCTTGCATTTCAAGTAGAGTTCGTGGTATCTAGACGAGATTCCGTTGAACATTTTCTTCGTTTTCCTCATTTCGAACTTACAAATGACGATCGATCTTTTTAGCTGCACGGTATTTTTTCAATAAACGACGTAATACACGCATACGGCGGATCCAAAGAATCTGAAAGTTGCGTAATGAATAAAAACTAATGCGAGTTTGTGCTTGGAAGAACTAACCTTTGTTGGCATACGAGCATTAGCTGTACCTTTTCGTTTACCATGACCCATATGACGACCTTTACGGCGAGCTTCAATGTTTTTACGTGTACGAAAACGTGAATGTACTGCAACTGGTTTTCTAATAATCAAACCATCTTTAATCAGTTTACGTACACTTTGACCTAAAGAAAATAAAACATTTCGTTTTCAGAAACTGTGCACGGAAAATGTGTAATGTTCGTTTCGTTTGTTAGATACCGATTGAATTGAAAAATCGACAAAGGAGAAAACAAATCGAAAGGATAGTTTATATTTTACCCTTCCTGTGTATCGATTCATGTTATATGGGTATCAAAAATCGATGATTGTTGAAGGGAAACTCAGTGTAACTGGAAAGTCAGAAGAAAACGTTCAACTTACGGGTATTGGCATTGGAAATTTCGTTGGCTTCGTTTGGATCGAGCCAAATTTTCTTTTTACCACAGCTTAAAATTGATGAAGCGAGTCGCTTCTGAACTCGAAGAGAACTAAATGGATCGAATAGAAAAGTTGAATTCAGAAGATAAAATTACCTCATTTTATACTAAAACGATGATTCCGATGTTGTTTTTTTCAAAAAGCACTTGGTTAGTAAACTTGCATAGGGTCGTCAGACAAGTTTAGTCCATGGATTTTCATTGGTCCACCATTACGCTATTTCTTGGATATACAAATACGAGGAGGATGAATCGATATCATCTTTTTCGTCATGCTTTCGTATTTTATCATTATTCTGTCGAATATTTAGATTGATCTCCTTCGTATAGTTCATTAGCAAGAGGTAAATAATTAAAAATTCGTAGAATATGTTTCTATTGGTCTACAAATAACCTGTCAGAACGAGCGGGAACGAAAGGAAAACGAAAGAAAGAAAACTATCTAATCGCACCTCGCACTTCGAAAGAGATTTTGCGTTATATAACTGTGTCGGTTGAAGATAGACTTTTTCGAGGTCAGATTCGTTGACTCTGAATGTTTACTATTATATAAATTGTTATTGATAGAGATAATAAAACTAATATTTACGACAGATTCTTTTATCACCGCACCCCCTTTTCTTCTTTCCTCCTCGTTTTTTCTCTTTCGTACTATCGTATATAAACTTCTTCATAGGAATCTATACTCGACACACTACCGAAAATAAAACACACGTTAAATCAACATGAGTCTAGCACTTGACGAAAATATTGCACTTGTTCTACACAAGGTTGATGACCTTCGTTTGGTACGATACTGAACTGCATAAACATACCATATGTATATAATCTTCCATCTTTTTAAGGAGCCTTTTCCAGTCACCGAACCAAAAGATGGAGGTAATCATATCTATCGCTTACTGAGAAATTTGCTTTTTCGATTGAATATCCATCATGTATGTGTGTAGAAGTTCTACTTGAAATGCAAAGTGTTGGAATCTGTGGTAGCGATGTACACTATTGGGTAAATCTCATCTATCTGTTTGTCTCAATCCATTCTGTCGTGATCGTGTATTAGAAACGAGGCGCGATTGGAGATTTCATCGTTCGTGCACCGATGGTACTCGGTCATGAGAGTTCAGGCAAAATCATAAAAGTCGGACCGAATGTGAAAAATCTAAAAGAAGGTAACACTGTGTAATAAAAACGTTCTCGTGTCATGACAGTCGAGTTTATCAGGTGATCGTGTGACTATCGAACCTGGTGTACCTTGTCGTCGATGTGATTTTTGCAAAACTGGTCGTTACAACCTTTGTCCAGATGTTGTGTTTCTTGCCACACCACCTGTTCATGGAAGTATCGCACGCTACCATACGCACGCTGCTGATTTTTGCTTTAAGTATGAGCGAAGTTTTTCTACGGCATTGGACTAAAAGAGACCTATAAATAGATTACCAGATCATGTCACTTATGAAGAAGGCGCATTTTGTGAGCCGTTAAGTGTTGGTGTACATGCTTGCCGTCGTGCTGGTGTTACTATTGGCTCGAAAGTTTTGATTACTGGAGCTGGTAATATTTATATCTAAATCGACTCGATAGAATCTCTGCAAATAATATCTATAGGACCTATTGGCCTTGTCAGCATGTTAGCTGCAAAAGCCATGGGAGCTGATACGATCATCATGACCGGTAAGACGTGCGATTGATCCGTATCATGTCATGTTGTAGATTTGAATTTATAAAGATATTAGCCAAGCTCGGCTTGATTTTGCCAAGACAGTTGGAGCTACTTATATCCTACTTGCTGATAATGATGCACAGAAAACAGCACAGAAGGTAACAGAAACACTTGGATGTATGCCAAATATATCCATTGAATGTTCTGGTGCTGAATCATCCATTCAAACAACATTCTACGTAATTAATTCTTTACAGAATAAACAAGGATTAACGTCCGCTTTCTCTTCAGGGCACAGCTTCAGGAGGTGTGGTCGTTCTTGTTGGACTTGGACGTCCATTAGCATCGTTACCTATTGTCAATGCTGCTGTTCGTGAAATCGATATTCGCGGTGTCTTTCGTTATGCTAATTGTTATCCAGCTGCCTTGAGCTTGATCGCATCTGGTCGTATCGATGTTAAGCCATTGATCACGCATCGATATGATATTAAGGAATCTGTTCAAGCTTTTGAAATGGCTGAAAGTGGACAAGCCATTAAAGTTATGGTACGATGATTTCTCTCTTTTGTCCTTTTCATATCTCGTTTCTTGCTCTAGATTAAATGTGGCAAAGAAGTTCAAAACTAGTGAAGATGTTCTGAATTGTACACTTTTATTCTTATTTTATTCAGCATACCGAATGCCAGTGTACGGATTTTCTTGTATCTTAGTTAGAGATTTGCTTTTGTCTATGTAGAACAACTAAATAAATATCTTAGATAGTACAAAAACCAAGCGAATTTATATGTTATAACAGAAAACATCTCCGAAGATATAACAACAAAACTTTATTCTGATCGTTAGAATACCGATCAATCGTCTTGATCGTCGTCGACACGTCTGGTCGGCATCTGTTTCTTCTTCTTGCTTGCTATACGTTTGCGTTTCTTGCTTAAGTATGAATCGATTCGTCCTGTATTCTTCAAATCTGTATAAGTTGTTGCCAGTTTCATCACTTTGCGCACCTCTATTTGAACAGAAAAAAAAACAGATTATTTCTACGCATCACTCAATCGATCTTTACCTTTAGTTATATAAGGTGTCGATTCACCACCATTAGCAAGTGTTTCACTTTTCTTTTGGATATCTTTGGAAATCTTCTCCACACGTTCGATATCATCGACATTTTTCACTTGAGATTTCTGAAATTCAAAAGACTCCAAGCTCGACACTTGTCGCAGACAAACAAAAACATACAAGACGATTGATAACTGTTTTCAATTTCGATTTTTCCGTTGGATCTTCGCAGGTTTTCAATTGCTTTTTCAGCTCCTAACATTTAACAACGTCAAATCTTTCATTCTTAAAGTTTGTTTCTTACGGTTAATTCTTTTCGACGCATATCAGTAATGAAATGATAAGATTGTCGGAACTCCTTCGCATCGTATTCACCGAACTGTTCATTAAATCGCGGATCAATGATCTTTCGTCTACCACGTAGATGAACAGGAATTTGGTCTCGTTTCATCGGACGTCTTTTCGACGACACTTCAATCGGTCTAGAAACATAAAACATCAAGTTTACACATGATCAAATATTCGTTTACTCTGATCTTGATGCTTGTTGATTTAAAATTGGTTTTGTATTCGTCGTTGGTTTTTTTCGTTCAGTACTCGATTGTTCAACATCGTCCGCATCTTCTTCTTCTTCTTTTTCGTCTTCTGCATTTTGTAATGCTTTAGTAAAACTAAATAAACACTCGTATAAAATGGTTCCTATGCATAAGTTCACTTCACTTACTTTTTCGTGCCGAGACGCTCTTGAATTTCGAGCATGTCTCGCAAAGATACCTTGGCGACTTTATCACGGAAAAACATCGTTACCTATCTGAAAAACATTAGAATATCAATCGACAGCTATGTGTTGCTCTGTGCGTTTTGCCATTGTCCCACTGGTGATAGAAACCCTTCGGAATCGAATGTTTATTAGTAATAACAAATGATCGATTAGTAAGAACTACATTCAATTGCTTCTTCTTTGAGAGAATTTTCAAATCTTCCGGTTTAATAATTGAGGGTTTATTGATTGTCGGACTAAGTGACAAACGAGAAAATGAAGGGAAGAGATTCTGAAAAGACTTGTAATACCTTTGATCAAATTCTTCGATCAAAATTCGTTCATTATCATACAACAAATCAACATGATACCAATCAGGTAACAATGTTTTCGTTTGGCACGAATAAAATTTATGGTTATTAATTAATGACGACAGATTAGCGTTTTTCCAAACATCTTCCAGTGTGATCATATGTTGATCATCAACAATTTGCCAGAATCTTCGACATTCCTCATTTTGTCGTCGATGAATAAATTGTATTCGTTTCAATTGCTTTTTCATACATAAATTTCCAATGCGATAATCTTAAAAAGACAATATTCCGTCGATTTCATTAATTTTCAACCAAAGATACATATATATCTCTTTTTTTCCTTAGAAAAACCATAACAATACATGAAACAACAAAAGAAAAGGAGAGAACCGAGCAGAGACAACACACAGCATATTCCAATTTCTCATGAAATGACGGAAAAAGAGAAAAAAACACGTTCGCTCCTTTGTTTGACAACACACGCTTTGATAATCAGATCTACGAAAGCAAGTAATAAATAATTACACAAGAAAATCTTCTCTTGAACACAACTCAAGATCTCTGTTTTTCTCTCTCATAAGGTCGTTGTTTTCGTTCTTTTGAAATATACAAATCGAATAAAAGGAAAACGAGAAAACACATCTATCAAGACAGATAGTTCGACATCGAAGGTAGCTGCAAGTTCATGATTAATTCCATGATTGAGACATACAATGAACATTCGTCTAAAAACAACAATAACTCGAAAGATTCGTTTCGAAAAGAATGATATTCATACATTTACTAGTATTGTCACGGGATAATTTGAGAGTGTTGATAATAGTCTGATATTTATGTTCATTACCCAAGAGCATCTGCTTATGAAATCGATCCCATAGATTAGTTTGGTTTGTTGTGACATCATGCGTTAATGGGACGATGAATGGTGACATGTTAAAATTCGCAGACATTTGAAGTTCATTTCGATTTGTTCGTGGAGTGAATTGAAACTAGACGAGAAGCAACAATGAAGAAAATCAAGAGATTGGCTATGAATCGAACATACGAGAAAAACGTAGGGCTGACCAGGTTGACAAGAAATTCCTGGATGGCCCACTTGTTGAAAACCATTGCCAGAGGGAATTGTTAAACACCATCGTACACGCCATAAGTATTGATTATCAGGATTCTGAAACAATCAGATGAGTTCTCATGATAAAACATCAGTTCAGCATACCTGTTCAAGTCGAATCACTTTGACTAGATCACGTAGAACACGCGGATGAATAAATGAGAGCATTCGTTCAAATGTTGCCATGACGGAATTTCGATTAGGTGCTGTTGCTGCTAATGATAATGCGTCAAGTGTTGGTGTAATGACTTGATTCGTTGAATTGCTTAAGATTGATATGGGGAAAAAAGTTTCATTGAAAAACGTTTCCAATGTTTGAAGTTCATCATTTAACCAAACGAAATTCGGAGCTTGTTGCTGTTGCGAAGTTGAGTCTGAGATAGATGTTAATTGGATTCGAAACGTAGCTGTATTACTATCAAATACAAAGACTATTTGTATAGATAAGTGTTCTATTCGATATGTATCTTGTTCGTTTGGCACCGGTCGTATCTGAAGGAGATTTTGAAGAGAATTAAGAGAAACTTCGATGAACGTTGACTTACTGCTGGATTGTTCTGATCGTAAAGGTCAGCAACAGCTGAATGGAAATGTTTAACAAGAACAGCTGATGCAAGAAAGGATTCCAATTTCGACCATTGTCGTCCATCGGGAGTGAACACCATTCGAAAAAACGTTTGCTGACTCATATAGACCGGATATTGTTTAACCGATAAATGGCGATTATAACTGTACAATGCTGACGTCGATTTGATCGTATCTAAACATTGACAATCAAAAATAAACAACACAATAGAGAATTTCTATCACGTACTAGTCGCATTTTCATCGGATCGAATGTTTGTTGGAGTGGGTGCAGATGTAATTGTGTTATTATTAGCAGGTGTACCAGGCGATGGTCCAAGAAATGAACCGGGAAATGTTGAGCCAGATTGTCGATTTCCAGGACTGATATACGGCATATCTAAGAGAATTTAACGAAGTTATTTACTTTATACTTTTAATCATTATGTAAATGATTGATATTTACCATAGATATTTCCTGGTGATTGCGTTGGCATGCCCATAGGTGATGGTGCTGTCAGTTGAGTTGTGGAAGTATTTGTCATCGGTGAACCGATTGTATTCATCATCATTGGTGAGCCCATATTCATAAAGCCAGGACTTGGCGCGATAATTGGTTGCGAAGGTGAATTTGCTTGTACTTGTGATTGACTGCTCGGACCGACACTACCAGGTGTCAAGGGATTTATTGATGATGCGGGTGTACCAACAGGTGGAAGTAAATGTGGAGTTGGCGCGTTTCCTGATGTTGCTGGCCGATTCGATGGAGGATTTGTGATTGTTGCAGTTGATGTAGGGGGTGCTAGTGGGGGTAGCTGCAATTCAGGTAAAAGAAAGTCTCGATCACGAAATCGATCAGTAATATGCATAAATTCAAATGTTAAACCTCGATCATCGGCATATTTCGATAAGAAATCCTAGAAAGCAGAAGATTGCATTTATCTGAAGAAGTCATTTCATCTGTACCTTTAATCGCGGTATGGGTGAAACATCAGGTAATGTATGGTTCAATTGTACACTGTAGGCTCCATCGCGTATAAGGATAAGATTAGGTCCACAGATTTGGATGTCTAATGCAAAAATTTGACCGAAAAGTAAACGCCATCGGACTTCTGTATAAGGAACTAGTGTGAGTATCGATTGAATGCATGTACCCTATATAGAAATTCTATACAATGAAGACGCAGATGGATCTGAGAAAACGAACTTGATTTGTGAGAACAATTGGACGATTGAAACAATTCAATCGACCGATGGAAGCCATCGGAATTGCAGTCATATGTAGTAACTAAATAAATAAACAAAAAAAAGCTTCCTAATAGAGAATGCACTATTAGATTTGGCTTTACTCGAATGAACTGCTTCAACGAGCGTGTTCGATTCAAAAATTGAAGTAGCTTAGCATTCAGTAGCTGATGGGTTGTGTACAAGAATTTATTATTTGTTGTCGTAAAACGCAAATCAAACATCGCTCCAATATTCGTAGAATTTCCATCTTGTTGTTGATTTGGATTGATTACATGCGTCAACGCAATCTAAAATGCAGAGAAAAAAAAACGCTCATTCGAACAGCGGATTCAACATTTTCGCTAAATACGAACGGCAAAAGCAAAATTGGGTCCATAATGTATCATACACTTGAAGAAATTGAACTGACTAACTTCTGCGATTGCACGTAGATCGGCTGATTCTAAACATGAAATTCTCTACGCATATTGACTTTAGTTTTCAACAGTACATACCTGATAGTGATAACACATAATTCTCAAATAAATGCGTTAATTCAAATGCAGCTCGAAGTTCGATATGAATAAAATCGACGACTTTCGGATAGAATTTAGATGCAATTTGAGTACAAACCAGTGTGGAGTTGTATGGCGCTAGGAATACGAAATTTCTTCGAGCTCAAAACAAATTTGCTCAGCTTACTTTTAATAATCGAATTATGAAAATAATTACCATCTACGAGATTCAACTAAAACAAGAAAAAAAGTGCAACATTTTAGTCACATAATCTCAGTAACAAGAAAAAGATCCACAATAATATCAAAATTACTTGTAAAGTCCATTGTCTCTCAGTATATTTGTTTGCATGAGCTGTATCACGTAGAGTATAGACCATTCGAATCGTACAGGAAGAAATTCGCGGCCAAAAGCATTCATTAATATAACTCGAAAGTTCAGTATTCGATGAAAATGCATCATCGCCCGTCGATGTCCTATCCGAAGATAAACGATGAACACTTTCGGCGCTCTTTCAAAAGTGCACTCACCGAATGATGTCAAGATATGGAATGCCCGTCCATGGGGTGTAGATAATACCTTTACAGATGGTTTTCTTACGTTGAAACTAAACGAGCATACGTCAATATGAAACGTCTTCACAAAAACTTACTTCTTCTTTTAGAAAAGTGAATGTTAACATCTCATCGTAATAATTAACCAATTTTAATAGCAGTTTCAACGACAGAATTGACGTCTAGAAATGCAATGTTATTCCCAAATTCGTACCGAACATATTTCTTACCGATCGAGCCTGTCGTGTTCTACTTTCATCCGCGATGGTGTCCCTCATTTTATCGAATTGAAATGAATCTTTTATCTAAAACAGTCCCAATCTTTCCATGAGAAAAAACAACGAGTCTATCATTCGCCTTACTTCGATTGATTCTTTTCGTAAGAAAGCCGTTGGATCCAAAGGACATAGCACCAGCGGTTCTATTGTCCATTTTGCGTACTCGTCGCTGGCTAGCATCGCCTGCTGATTATATGGTGAATTCTGTTGCTGAATCACTAACGGATCATGAGCGGATGTGCGCTTTTCAACAATTAGTAAATAATATTGAATCAACAGTTGTTTTACATCCGAGATATGAATCAGCTGCAAGAGAGCATAGATTTCAAAAGAGAAATATACACGAAGTATGCCTTACAATGTAATATCCTTCGTTATGAGCAAGTTCAATGAAAACGCTATTGTGGAGAAAGGGAATGATGAGTTCGTGTCGCGGATTTAATGACGGTAAACGTGTGAATACACGACAATTGAGGTGAGCGACTAATGGTGGAATACGTTGTTGAATTAACCGAATTCTAAACAAATACATTGGATATACTTGTCACAATCGAAGGAATAGTTGTCATACTTGAATAAATTGATTGATTCGAGTAGACTATTCTGATCACGATTGAGTGCATGTTCAATTTGTTGTAGATATTGAGAGTCTGAAATAAAAAAAAAACGTGTTTTTTAATGAATGAGGCGAGATTTTACTTACCTATATAGGAGACGACTTTGTATAAACCCGAAAATGGACTTATGGAAATAAATAACATCTCTTCCGATGTGCTTTCAAGTAATAATTCACATTTTAGTACAGGAACTGTCGGATCGATTTCAACTAAACGAACAATATGATAAATTTTTTATCAATGAAGCTATTTCACGTACTACTCTCGCAAGTTGTTGCTAAGATTGTTTCTTTCAATTCCTAGAACAAGTATTTTCGTAAAATGAATTTCAAAGGACGAATTACAAACTTCAAATCGACGTTGACATCGTGCAGACAACGTTCGATTGAGAATTTCCTCGATTGTAAACGTTGGCTTCTAAAAACCGATATATTAATCAAAATATCATTCTCTTTACTCTGTTTTACTTCTAAGAGTTGTAGGATAGCAACACTATCTTCGATAGGTAACGGTGGCCAATGAATAATTTGAAATTTACCCTCATCATCACAAACAATTGTCATACCGAAATCTAAAATCTCGTCTTAAATTCATTACTTAAGTACTAATGAGATTTACCACGGAATTTCTCATTCGTCATGTTTTTCTTATGTGGATTATTGAAACCATTGAGGTGATATTCCTTCCAATATTCAATATTGAAACTTTTACATGGAATATAATTTGATAAATATAAATATTTCTGCTTGCTACTTCGATTGCGTATTCGATAAGCCTAAAATATGCGAATAATATCAAATACTTCCCACACGCAGTTATCTACTTGTTCGTATAAGATTTGCAAACGTAACGATTGACAATAATAATCTAAATGAGAATAATGTGAAGATCTCATTTTGAAGAACAGAATGAATTATTTACGTAAATATCGATACAATTCCACGAGTGGATTTTCTGATTCGATTAGCCAACTTTGTATGTAGTTCGTTAAAGTTTGCATCTAAAAATATAATGTTCAAGTTTATCTTGTGCTGCAAAGTAAAACAAACTTACTTGTGCAGGATGGACAAGTTCTTGTTCTATGAGGAGAAAAAAAAAGAGTTTATATCGAACAGATACAGTTGTATCTATCTCACCTGGTTCTTCCGGATCACGTAAGAATAATTTCGTTTTGTAGACATGCCAAGGTGCAAAGAGATTATCACTTGTTATACCTAGTTTCACTTCGAATTCTCCTTCAACAGCCAATGTTACAATACCATTTTCTACAATTACATGTCTGAACCGATGAAATGAATCAGATCTACAACATACTAATTGTAACATTGGTGAACTGAAGAGGCAATTCCGCAATAGCTAATCTAGCGGTGAGAATTTGTTGAAGACGTGGTAAAATTTCTTGACGTTCAGCTTCGGTTGCAGCTATAAAGGGAGTTGTTGCTTCCTAGATAAAACAGCTTTCGTTTTAAGGCTAACATCAAGCTTTCACAAACCGATATTCTTTCAGGTAAGAAAGTCACTGAACCAAGTGACAAGGCATCCACAGCATCTGTGATAGGATAATTTGGTAATCTAGAAGAAAGACACCAGGCTATTCGAGGTGAGAGTGCGTTTTTGTTGCTTACCTTGCATCAAGAAGTTTTTCCCGTGCGATATGAGCTAAAGCGTCCGACGTTTCACGCACAACACGAGCTCGTCCTTCCAAAAAGTTTTGAATATTCTTTGAGAAGAAAAAAGTTAGAAGATTAGTTTCTTCAACATTGAATATTTACTTCGCATGCATTCACTTTTCCGGCTGTTCCAGCCCATTTGACGACAGCTAAAATTCGTATAAATAATTGGCGAGTGCGGCAAGCGAATTTGACTAATTCTTCTTTTCTAATTAGATAGAAACGAAATAAAGTTGAATCAATTCAGAGTTTTATTCAGAAATTTCTACCGTTCCAGATTTGTTTTACTGGGCAAACTAAAATTTCAGAAAAGAGTCATTAGAAACGATAGAGAATATGAGAGAAAGATGCATACATATCAGCCATTGTGTAGAGCTCATGGTAAGTTTTGTGTACAGCTGTTTCGAGCAGATACGAAAGAGGAGTTTTATCATACGTTGGTAGGAAGGGAGGATTACTGCCGTTTGCTGACGAACCAGCAGCCATTCTTCTACTCGTTAAGATAAATTTGTCTGAAAAATGTTGGCAGGTTTTTTCGTAAAATATTGAGTAGAACAAATGAAATGGATTGACTTGAGTTGAATAAGAAAAAAAAAGAAAGGAAACGATTTAATTCGTTTAAAACCTGTCCAATCAGATAAACGTTCGTCTATTATCTGTTATCTACTGTTGTTTAGTGACATCTACTGTATTATACTGTATACAATCGATCTTCTTATCTCATAGTAATTCATTTGCTATCTACAGCAAGAGCGTAACGTTGAACTTAGCTTTGTCCTAGTTGAATTTGTTTAAATATCTTTCTAATTTTTCAATTCTAGCCAACAATGTTTCTTCAGGAACTTGAAGTAATACGATACAATCATAATGTTTCGTCTGAAGCTATTAGTACTTAGATTATGATACAAGCCAGATGCCCAAATTACATAGATGTAATATCAAAATAAAGTACTCATTCAACGGAAATCTATATTTAGAATTGTAATGATAAAGTGTCAGACATTGTAAAGACTCCCGGATAGGGAAATATCCAAGGTATGACTATTTTTTCCCTTTCTTGTTGTGGTTGCATATCTGTTTTAGCTACCGATTGCTTGAAACTTGTGTAATAACCAACAAATAGTATATATATTAAGCACACAAGGCGTCGACGACAAAATGAGAGAAAAAGAAAAGAATTGAAAAAGAGAATGTATAGTGTCCAAAGTATCATCGCATTATTTCTCTCGTTTTCTCTTTTTTTCCCATCCTGTCCCTATATATAATGAGCAGCGAACATAGTTCTCACTAGTCATTCGTGATTCAGCACAGTCCAACTCACCGGTAAATTTATCGTTGAGTTAAACGTGAGTGACTTCGTTCGGTGATGGCTCGTGGATACGAAGAAATCGTCATTATTGACGCATCAACCGCCGATGTTCTCACAAGCGATGAAGGCAAAGCGCCGCAGTTAATTCAATCTTGTACATATGGTTCCTTATGTGCATAGTTTGGTTATTGGTGTGCAAATGTGACAATGTGTCACATAAAAACTTAGGAAAGTTCAACCAAAAAAATAGTGAAAAACGACATTCATTAAAAACATTTCGAATTTATGTGATATTTATTGGAATCAATATGACTCAAACAAACAAAAAAACTTAACAAGCAAAAAAACGACGGTAACGAATGTTATCGTCGACAAAAAAACCGCAAAATCTTAAAAAAACTTAAAAAAACTCAAACAACAACCTGCAACCGTGTGGTCGCCAAAAAAAAGCAAGAAAATGGCAAAACTTAACAAAAAAAACAAGTTAAACAAAAACGATTTTATGTCGACAAAAAAATTGTAAAATTTTTAAAAAAACCCAAAAAAATATCCACCTGCTTCGTTGAAATCCTGTCACCTCTACGCGGTGAAGCAGACTAGTACTTGTTCGTTTGATTTTTCAAACGTTCAAGGAAGCTAAGCACAGGATGACGTCATTTGAATGATCATGATTCATATTCATTTTGTCCCCTAACAATGAATGTAACCGATTCGGATGAGATTTATAACATCGAAATCTACAACGGCAAACGTCAACGACAGTGCGTGAGAAAAAAAAGAGAAATTAAATGAAAAAAATTTCCAAGTTTTTCGCTTGTCGAGACAGATGGCAGTAGTCCATTGTTCGAAAAATGCTTTCTCATGTTCGGTGGAAGTAATTGCGAAAGATGTCTGTAAAAAATAATCTGTGTATCAAAGAGAAGTTGTCGCGTCTGACACAAATCAGTACGTTTTTTATTATAAGCATTTAATTGAATGCAATGTCGAATAGACGCGTTCGTCTTTCGCGGAAAAGTAACGGATGACGTTGCATTCACCAAGCACATAAATGAAGTATGTCGTGGCTTTATCAGCGCACTTAGAGCATGAATGGAAAAAATGTAGTATCATCGTGAAGATAAAAATAACATATCAAGTGATCGTATGTGGTTAAGATCTTTACTCAAGATAATACATTGAAATGACTTATATAATATATAAGTCAAACTATTATTGGTTTTGTTCCAGAAAAAGTATTCTAAGATAATATGCAATACGTCCGGATGAATTTTGATTATCTGCATCATTCTTTATGCATTCATTTCATATGGTGAGAGTAAATGCCATCTGGATTTTGATCACTTTTTCGGTATAAATACGTGGTGTGTGTTTGTTTTTATTGGTCTTTATCTCCAACACAATGCTGCACGTTATTTCGTTTGTGATTTTCACTTTTCTTGTTTCTTGTACAGTTGGTCAATTGCCTCGTATCCAAGTTGACCCAGCAACTCAACATTTCGTTGATGAATACGGTCGTGTACGAATCTTTCACGGTGTAAATGTTGTCTACAAACTTCCACCATTTCTTCCAAATTTAACACATTTCGATCCGCAAAAGTCTTTGACAGAGGACGACTTAACCAATCTCCATCAATGGGGCTTCAATGTAGTTCGATTCTACACAGCGTGGATGGGCGTAAATCCAACATCGGAAGCTGAAATTAATCAACAGTACCTTTCGCAATTATCAAAATCTGTGCAAATGATGGAAGATAAAGGCATCTATGCTTTATTAGATTGCCATCAAGATGTTCTTTCACGATACTTTTGCGGCGAAGGAGTACCCGATTGGGTAGCGCAAAAGTTAGGCAATTCTACACTGTATGGCTTTCCATTTCCGTTAGCAACGAATATAACACGAGAACCCGATACAGGCTATCCAACTCTGGATGCATGTTTAAAACGGCCGTTTTTTCAATATTATCTGACGGAAGCCGTGATGACTACATTCAAAATGATGTATGTATCTTAGCACACTGTCCATTCATCATAGAATATCGTTTCTTTCTAGATACACAAATGAGCAAGGCGTACTTGATTCGTTCGCGTCGTTCTGGCGTACTATTGCCAGTACTTTTGCTAACCGTTCGTCTGTTCTTGGCTATGAACTATTGAATGAACCATCATTTTCCAAACTTATTGATGCGGTGCGAATCGGTCAGGTCGATCGAACATATCTTGCTCCGATGTATAAAAAACTACACGAAACTATCCGTCAAGTTGATGATAAACGTATCATTTTCTATGAACCGTGCGTTGCTGATTTACTCCAGACAGGACTTGAACAAGGACCTGGTGGTGTGAAATACAACGATCGTCAAGCATTTAGTTATCATATCTATTGCATTGATGTTACGAAACAGGGCGATCCGAAATCAGATTTGGTTTGTGATGTTGATGATGTATTTGCAATCAGTTCAAGATATGAAGAAGCGAAGAAGAAGAAGTTCGGCGGAATGATGTTAACTGAATTCGGTGCGATTAGCAATTCTACTGAAGGTGTGACAGAAATCACTCGCATAACCGGAATTGCAGATGACTATCTTCAAAGTAAATGAGAAAAAAATCGGAGCTATCGTTTGATTATCAACTTTGATAAACTTAGGTTGGTCTTATTGGCAGTTCAAAAAGTACGAAGATTTAACCACGGCAGCGAGTCCAGCAACGACCGAATCGTTCTATACCGAAGATGGTAAACTAGAAGTCAATAAAGTACGTGCACTTTCACGCTCTTATGCACAAGCAATCGCAGGTAACTCGACTATTAAGTCAATCCGTCATTATTCGTAAATGTCTCCTATCGATTAGGTCTTCCGGTTAGTATGATGTTTGATCCGAAGACAGCAGTATTTCAACTAACATTCATTATCAACACAGATATTCATCAACCAACAGTCGTTTATATTAATGAAGATTTGAATTACCCTCAGGGTAATAATATCGATGTTTCTCCAGCCAGTTCGTTAACCTGGACGTCACCTACTCGAAACTATTATGAATTTTTGCCGGCAACGTCAACGAAGAACGGTACATCAATCGTCATTAAAATCGTACCAAAAACATTCAACTGGTACGATAGACTACAGATTTGGATTCAAAAACAAATTGCACTAGTTCGTTCGTTCGTTGTTTATTTACGCCAGGTCGACTAGAGGTTCCAGTCAAAATACAAAACAGGAATAAAATATTCAAACAGAATAGGACTACAAATACGAATTAAGCTTGATTACTTTCGAGACTAGATTATGTAACATGACAATAAACCTAACAAAAAAAATATTTTTATCACTCATCTTTTTTACTCGCATTTGTGTATAGACGAACAAGCTTTCGATACCAAGTTTTACCGATTTGATCCGCAGGAAGACATTCCACCAATTGTTTCGGATCTTGGTCGCGTTTATATGTAAAGCGATAGTCATATAACGATGCGCGTAACATTTTCGGTGGCCTTTTCCGAAATGGTTCCGGCGATGGGCCGAGCAATGATAGAACTGCTTGATTATGCTCTAGAATACGCTGTAAGAATACATTGAACCAGGCTGGAGGCGGTGAACCTCGCGCAGCTTCATTCGGCAAAAACCTGAATAGAAAAACCTTATGGTCGCATTCTCTATATCGAAAGCTTCTTCACTTACCAAAGGCGCCAGTCCAAATTGGGCATATGACAAAATGGAACAATTGGCAAAGGCTTGTTGATATTCGACGGTTTATACTTGAAATCATACTCGTGCCAAATGCTTCCATCATCGCTGCCTTCGATGATGATTTCCCAACGACGTTTGGTCATATGTGCAAATTTGACATAACGACCGGCGAGTCGAATCGGTGAAATTAGATCGTGCCCATTTTCCGACCAATTCATGATGTAATTCCATGGTCGTAGGAAAAATCTTTGAAAGGACGTATGTCGGTAGATAAATTGTGTGACTTTCAACGGATGAGATGAATAACGAGTAAAGATTGGCCACGAAAAGGGATTTTCATCATGAAATGTTGCCAGTAACGGTACAAGTGAAATGAAAAAGTAAGGCAGACCGATAAATGCCCATGGTATCAATTTAAATGGCCACGCGACCACATATGGCGGAGTAGATGTGTATTCCAGAAATGAAATAATGCATTGAAATGGAATTAGCGAACGCCAAACATTATCATTCAAAAGTAAAATCATTTCCGTGATTGTCAGCGGCGCCAAATGTGCATAGTTTCCCGTGAAATTGATCCCCAGTAAAATCATCAGGAAGAATACAAATGCAAGCCATCGAGTTGTTTGCGGCGTATAGCAAAGTAATGCTCCAATGCCTTCACTAACGTACGTAAAGTAAGTTTCGACTTTATGAACAGAAGCGGGCATACGATAAAAAATAGGTGACAGTGGATTTGGTAACGGTCTACAAATCAATCATATTCAGATAGTTTTACAGGAAAAGAAATATTTACTGGGTCCAATAATGCCACGACATGGCTGTACCATCCTTCCAACTAGGATCTCCACCTGTATACTAAAATGCAAAGAAATGTAATGGTTAGATTTCTATATTGACGAGTAAACTTACTTTGCCCACAGCACCACCGAGCATGATTCGAAATAGTAGTGACCATTGGATGAAAACTAACACTTCTGGTTGTATGGCAAGAAACGGTGAGCAGAGAATATAGAGTAGATCTGTTTCCAATAGATTTGAGTGCATCTGTAAGCTCATAAAGGTTGTCGAGACAGTGACCAATGACGAGTAACAAAGCCAGCAACCGATCAGACAAATACCTGTTGGAATCAACGCGAAGAAAGCCAGAATTGAACAGATAATGCCTATCCAATGCAATGCCAATAGGAAATCATCGGAATCGGAAATCAGTAAGCAAAGTGTCGGACGTTGAAAAAACGTGATTTTCCTTTCTTTCCAATGGCGAACGATATGGCGAGCAGGTAGAATCCCTGTGCTACCGATTTGACCGCGCCACTGAACTAGCGATGAGAGAAATGCAGCCAAATTAATACAAGCTAAGGCACGTTCGAAAAGTGATACAGATAGAGACCACGGTTCATTGAACAGCATGTCTTTTTTTCTGCAAAAAAGCAAATTTTCTTATTAGAAACTGCGACGTGTATGCGTGAGTAAACATTTATTGATGTTCAATGACGCACTGGTCAGAAAAACAATCACCTGTTTAAAAAGAAAGAGGAGATGATGATATCAGATAGAATCGAAGGCGAAACTAATGAAAAAATCAGTAACAAAAGCAAGTTAAAAGGTTGGAAAAATACGACAAGAAAACTAAATGATGGAAATCTGCATGTTCACTGTGAAGTTGCATGACTGTTCAAAATACGATTCAGTTCACTGCGTTGTTCACCGCTGACAGCTGTTAATATGTCCGACAGAAGATCAGGATATGTTTGAAGTAATCTGAAAAGGAAAAGAAATCAAAAGATTTTGCATCAAACACGGAAAACAAACCGCTGAACATCTTGTCGAGCATTTTCTCTTTGTAATGTCATCATACGGCTATGAAAGGACGAGGATGATGACGTTTGAAATTGTTCGAACCATTCGGTAACAAGCTTGTCTTGTGCCCATTGTGTATTCTAAACACGCCATTGGATGGAATGTATGGTAACGAAAGGAAATGTTCGCTTACATCATTTTGATGATCTTCATTAAACCACTGTTGAATGTAAATTGACGCTGATTGGTAATTCATAGTTGGTTCGAGTAAAAGCATTGTTTTGATAATGTTATTTTCAGCTAAACGACGTTTTAATCTCCAGTAAAAGAACTCGCGACTTGTACGCCATTCCAAAATTTCCTTATGGAAAACGAAAGAGTTGATTGTATTCAATTGACCATGAATATACTTACACGAATGACACCTTTTTCTAACATACGACCGGGAGTATCGTGTAGATCACAGAACATTACAGCAGCTTGTTGATACACCGGTAGTAAGAATTTTTCTCGTTCAGCTACTTGTCTTTCAAGATCTTCTTTCACCGTAGTCTGTCCTATCGTGCACGACGAAATTTCTTTCATCAAATCTCGACAAATCGGATCGAGTCGATGAATTGTACGTGTTAAATCTTTCATACGATATTTGATTTCCACAGTACCTTCTGGTTCGAGTACACCTCCACGACTCAATTGATCAGCGTACATTTCCATGTAACGTAAGTTGATCGTTGGATCAATAACAACCCAAGCGCCGCCACGTAATTCACCAAATGGTGGAATATAACTGAAAACTGGTTGTTCATATTCTCGAAGCGCATCGACAATATAAGCACCAAATTTCATGATTTGATCGAACATGTCTTTCATTCCACCACTGAAACCTCGCCAATTAGCGAAAATCATTAATGGTAAGTTTTCGCGTTTGAAATCATTGATTGCTTGAGCTGTTTTAAATGCAGAATCAGGAAACCAAACTTGACCGGCTTGTTGAATGGTACGAGCATCGGAGTCGAAATTTGCGGGATCAGCAGGTTGTTCCATTTCAACTGTTCGTGTTTCAACAGCAATGACACCCATCGCTTGAAGATGAGAGAAAGAGATAGTTAATTACAAAATGACACTCTCTAATAGCAACTTACGAATTCCGCCCAGACGCGCGCGACCACAAACAACTGTCTTAGCCCAACCTTTCATAATTTCAACAAATGAATCTTTGTCAAAGAAACCTGATTGAAACGAAGCAGCCATTGATATATTCGAATCCAAATGACCTAGATTCGATTGCGACGATGCTAACTGTCGCCCTTGAATCATGTGTCTCGGATCGTAAGGTGTCGACGTTGGAATGAAATCAATTGGACGATCGATTGGATCGTGTAAAATAGGCTGTGTCGGTGGTAGATGTAACATCGTCTTCGGCATGTAGGAAAGCCAACGTAATATAAGTAAACATCCATCAAAGTCATCTTTAACCACATCATGCGTTACACCATTATTGAACATAATTTGTGTTCCGCCTAATTGGTTATTACTATTGTAAACTTCTCGACCGAGAACTTTATTTAATGCTCCTGCACCAGTGAGAATAATGTGAGAATTTTCTACTTGTATAACACGCGAGCCGAGTCGAACGAGGTACGCACCAATACCAACGGCGCGGCACGTGACCAAACTGATCGTTGGCTAGTAGAAAAAGAAATGAGTATGACAAGAACTTCACTGTTTTATCTATTTAACATACGATGACATTGTAAGCAAGTGAAGTTTCTCCAGCAATCATTCCTGAGCCACGGAGATTTTCCACACCTAAACTATTCTCTTTGCCGATAATATCGACAATCTTATATCGTGTCTCTCCATCTTCATTGACAACTTCTGTTCGTACACAATTCAATGTCGATACACGTGCGTAATCTTGCGGTGTCAAATATAAATATCGTATACCTTTATCAATGTCTTTTGCATCATTCCAGGCAATATGGTAGAGAAATTTTAATTCTTCAGCAAGACCAATACGTGCACCACTGTTTGCGGAAACATAGATGCGTGGCACACGTTCTAACCGTGCTAATTCCGATGCGCGTTGAAATAATAAATCTTCATCTATACCGAATGACCCGATTTTGTATGTGATATCATTGGCAATGACAATAATCGTTCGTCCTTCTGGACATTCAGGTGTTTTCATATGGACTCGCCAAGCAACAATACCGCAATCATTTTCTGCCGGTGAACGAGTGCGAGTAACTAAACCGCATTGTTTCAATTTCTTATTGATTTCATCGGAGTTCAGTGAAGTTGCTTCTAATGATATTGGTGTCGAACTTGTCGGTGTGGATGGTGAATGTTCACTGTCTATAGTAGGAGTTGAGATTGTTGTGATGGTTGGTGTACTAGTTGCCGAGATCGAACCTGGAGAAAGTATCGACGATGAATTATTCTCATCTTGTTTGAAATTATCAAGAATAAGTTCTTGGCAAATAAAATTATCTTTTGGTATCGCTTGATCTTTTAACTTATTCAGTTCAAAATATTGTTTCCATGAATGTAGTAATGCGCGACGGAACATTTCAGGTAAATCGTAAACGTAAGTCGTACTATTTGATTGAGCGGTGAAACGTTTGTATTGTAGTTGATCTTTTGTTAGATAAGGATCATGTAATGCGCGACCATCCAACGGGCCGGTTTTACCAATGTTGTATGTTTGAAAAATAGTTTGTCCTGTTGATTGATTGGTTACCTCTCGGTATAAGGAAATATCCAGATGGTAGCCACTTTCGTAGGTCATGAATACACGGAAAGGCGTAGGTTCGGAATCCTGAGCTAAGCGAATATTCATTTTTAATTCAGCTTGAAGAATACGTAATTTCCATAAACGGATACCTACAGGAAGAGGGAGTGCATATTTTTGTGTTTAAAATAAGGAATTTTGCTTACCATAACGGAGGACCATTCCACGAACACTTTCTTCTAATTTAGTTGGTTCAATGCAAACTGTTGGAACAAAACACATGAACACGTGATTACAATCGGTTTTGTTTGCTAATGGATGTGAGAAGGCAATTTCTAGTTCATCCATAGCTTCGAGCAGACGTCGTTCTGCTTCATTTTGTAGATATTCATAACTTGTCTCTTTGGTGACTAAATCCGAGTGACGAATAATTGTTCGTGCGAATAAACGATAATCAGCGGTTTCACTTTGTTTATTGTGAACATTTGCTTTGCCGAGGTAAATGTGCATATTGTGATTCGATGTCGGCACGAATTCTAAGTCAAATGAACGTAAACGATAGAGTTCGAGTTGGTAAGCGAGAGCTGGTTCGAGATTTCGAAAGATTTTATCTTCTTCAAACTAAAGTAAACAGTAGATTATAGTTTAGTGAACCTGCTTTTTGATATAAGAAGAGAAATTACATCTAATCGTTTGCGGTAGGTGTAATAGATTGGAAATTGTCGCTAGAAAGACACAAGTGCTTTCGTTGTATTTTGATTTGAAAATCTTTACTTTCGTAGCCAGAGAAAATGTAATTCGACGAATGTTTTTCGAATTGCAGATTTGTTTCTATGCATATCGAAAATAGAATTCATTGAAAGGAAATCTTTCGACGTACTTTCGATTGTACAAATTCCAAGAAGATATCTTCTAATTTCAGATTCTGTTGAAGATTAGCATCATCTTTGATGAAGACGTATATGAGATTAGTTGCTTGATCAATCTAGAAATGCAATTGAGATGAATTAGTCTGAAGAACACGGTGTTTTGCGTTCGTACGTCTGATGTGGATTTTTGAGCAGTTTTGTTATCGAATGAACCTTGTCGATTATGTGTACGTATTGCTCGTCGTCCTGTTTTTGAAGAACGAGTGATGGGAGATGTCTCCGTGAATGGAATTAACAATTCATCAAAGCAACTAAATTTTTTCAGCAAAATATAATCTAGTTAGGGCTTTTTACGAATAGTACTCACTTTTTTGCTCGTTCCAAACTATCAAATGCAGCAATGATACCTTTACGTCGGAATAATTGTGGATCATCACCGTCCAGCATCATCATTTCATCGCTGAAACTTCCTCGCCGCACTGTATGTTCTTGTACGTACAATCTACAATGAAACCTCATTTGACAATACCAAACGAGAGCAAAGTCACACGGTACCGATTAGGATGATTCAATGGTAAATACAAAGAAAACTGAACGGTCGATGTTCCATCAGAAAGTAGTCCATGTTTGATACTATGAAGATCATAGGAGATATACGATCGACGAACATAGACCTGAGGAGTTCATTTCAAAATGTGCCGAAATTCAATAGCAAGGTTTAACTTACTTCAAGTGCCGATTGTCGTACTTGTAAATTTGAATGGTAGTAAAAAGTGTGTAAGACATCGAAGATACTTGTTTCGGAAAGGATTAGTTTCTAAATTGAATGCATAACAAACAAATTTCGTTATAGTTCGATGATTTACTTGTAGATTATCTTGACACAATTTATGTCCATACATATCCAGTGCACTTAGAAAGATCGATTCAACTTGATTCAATCGTAGTTCATATGGCGGTTGTTGAAATTCGATTAAAACTTGACGAGATTTCAATGCAACCTTAGCATTATTCGTATGTGTTAACATTGTTAATTCGCTTAATAAAGTGGTTAGTTCATCAGTTAATCGTGGATCGCGTTCGAATAGAAGATCAATCAACATAATGACTAAAGCGTTCTTGGAATTGTAATTCGCATGTGAGAAGACAATTTCGACAACTTTGTGCATCTCAATCTTATGTTTATCGCGTAAATGTGTTAAACATTTGTCATATTGTCCGTATTGAAATAATGTTTCGACATTTAAGTAATTTCTGATTAAATCTGTAATCACCGTTTTCATATGTCCTTTAATACCGGTGCGATATCGTTGTACTAGTTGTACAAGACTTTGAACTGTAGTGAAGAAGACCTCTCGATCAGTACGACGTTCTAATTTTGCTGCGTAATTGTCCAAACACGTGGCGATGGACTGGGATGGAAATTGAATGAGAACGGATGTTAAGTTACTCAGATAGCTTTTCATTAATTTTTTGATTTCTTTATCGACTTCTTTCGGAATACGTTCAGATATATTGGAAAGTATTTCTTCAACTTCAAGTAGAGGCAAAGATGGATCACGAAGAATAGAGAACAGCTTTTCCACAGTTAATCTGAGTCGTTCGCGAAAATACGGTTCAGGATACGTATAACCACGAAGAATATTTTCCAAAGTTTCCTTGGTTTTTTGAAATACTTGATTCACTTTTGTACTGATCGAACGATTGGTTATTTCAAAGCTGAATTTACCCTCGTACGATATCGCCTGTTGTACAGCACGAGGATCATCGAATATAATACGTGCGAGAATACACGAAGCATCAAGAATGGCGCCTGGACGTTTATGCCATTGAAGACTAAAGATGAACGGACATGTAATTTCAAAGATAAATCGTTTCCTTACTGTCCTTTCGACGGACATCGCAATTCAGTAACCATTTTCATCACTTCGATCTCAGCATACACTTGACCAGCTTCAACCGATCCACCATCTTCGATCGTATAGTGCAGAAGTTTTCCTGCAGATGGTGATCTAAAATGCAAAAAGATAGGAAATGTTCACCAAAAGTTAAGTTTTCATCTACCTCAATACGGATGGGTCATTTTCTTTTTGGAAAACACATGATTTGTTATTGATTATGATTCGATAACTGTCCACTTCTTCTTTCATAAATGTTGTATAACTAGATCCATCTAGATTTATCAACATTCCACCATCTTTCATTCTAAAATATATCTTCGCTCAGAAAAAATATTTCCATCTTTTCACACTTACCGATGGGCTTCCACTTCAACATAAGAATCGTTCATCGCAATGAAAAAACTGCTTGGACCGCATTGAGTTACCTAAAGATCGACAGAGAATCTCATTTTATATTCACAATAAGTCATTCGAAAAACTAACTTGTAATCGATATTTGAATTGTTCGTAGATTAAGTCTACATACGCAGAAATCGATAGAGTATTCATTGATAATATCTGACCACTAGAAAATCGAATCGATTGAGAATAGGAAGAAGAGCGAAGTGCGGGTTTTTACCGCTCGAGTGACGATTGAAAATTTTGATAATTGCTTCGAAATTTTTCGTCAGCAACATGTAGAGCACCACAGACAATTGATATCATGATATCAGGCTTTTCGGTTTGAAAACGTTCAGCAATGAGACCATCGAGCCAACTTGTTTTCACTGTATTGTTAATAAATACGTCTGTCTCTAGTAAACGGATTAGAATCTCCACTGCAAAACAATGAAAATGAATTGGTGAATGGAAATACCAAAAATAGCTTGACGTTACCAGTCGAGTGAAAACTTCCTCGAATTGATAATTCTTTCAATGCAACAACAAGATTTCTGAAAAAAGAAAGAAAATGTAAAAGAAATGAACAATAATCAAAGCTTCGTTCGAACGAACTCTCGAGCATCTTCTCGTGTATCGCCATGTGAGAAAATGTGTCCAAATTGAGAATCAGCGAATTCATGTAGACCACCAGCTGATGATATACTAAAATATCCCCAAACATTTTGTCGGCTGCGAAAATTCAACTCTTCAACTGTTCCAGAACTTGGTTTGAATCCCTAAAAAATATTTCCTCCATAATCCTTGTGCGCATTTCCATCACTTACTTCATCCGGATTTTCACTGGTAATACGAGCAGCGATGGCATGACCATGCGGTAAAGGTTTATTCGGTGGTTCATTGAAATCAATAGGTGAAATGCCAAATGGTTCCTCGCCATACAGAAGTCGAATGTCTTTGATTCGATGCAAACTCACACCCATAGCGATCTTTTGAAGGAAAAATGTAAATATATAGGATAATGGTTGATCATTACTTGTAATTGACATGCAGGTAAATTGACGTCAGTAACCATTTCTGTACAAGGATGTTCAACTTGTAATCGAGGATTAAGTTCAAGGAAGAAGAATGATTGATCATTTGGATTATACAAATATTCGATTGTTCCAGCACTAGAAGAATATTCGTATTTTTGTGATATTTCAATAGATAAATTCGAAGAAAAACAAACCTGACATAGCCGACTAGCATTGCAAGACGTACAGCCGCTTTTTCCATTTGTTCAAGAATATCCGGTGGTGCTATGATTGCGGGCGCTTCTTCGATAATTTTCTGATGTCGTCGCTGAATTGAACAATCTCGACCAAACAACGATATCGCCTGGCCACGTTGATCAGCAAGAATTTGTACTTCCAAATGCCGACAGCTGTCAGCGTATTTCATGAGAAATATGGGCGAGCCAGGAACCTCGGTTTGTACCTAAAGCGGTAACAAGCGATGAAAGTTGTTTTACGAACGAAAGTATTTTCTTACTTGTCGGAAAAGATTTTCAAAATCATCTCGACTAGTCGACTTGCGAATTCCTTTACCACCACCGCCTTCGGATGCTTTGATCATAACGGGAAAACCAATTTTAGCTGCAATCTAACATGAAAAAGAAAACAATGATGGATGTCGCTTCTTCGTCGAATGAAGAATTAAACACTTACTTCAACACCTTGTTTTGCATCAGTAACGCAAGCTTTTTCATATAAATCCATGGGTACGTTAACACAATCCCGATCCTGATCACTAGTATCGAGTTTGAGATCTAACAGAGACAGTCATTTAAACTAATCGACAAGTTCTCGAAAACCGTCCTTCTTTCTTCATTTAGACATCTATTCATGAAACTTACGTGATCCACTCCAAGGCAATGTCGGTACATCTGCACTCTGAGCAATAATACTCGATGCAATCTTGTCGCCTAATGCCCACATAGCCTGTTCAGGTGGGCCGATAAAAGCGATTCCATGACGATGGAGTAATTCGGGTAATTTTGGGTTTTCTGATGCATGGCCCCATCCAGCCCAAACAGCTGAAATGAACATTAATTTCACTCGAATCTAATTCATTCGAATGGCATAAAACAAACCTTCTACAGGAAATCGTTTTGCAATATCAAGAATGAGCTCACAATTAGAGTAGTTCATATGCGACGGACCACCTTGAACGTTCACATAATGATCAGCATATCGAATATACTCTAGGAAAATCGAAATAACCAATAGGAGAAATGCTAAAACTCTAGACACGAACCAGCATTTGCTTTCATATCTTCCGGTGTCACCATAGCAACAAATTTAATAGCGTTCTCCTGACGAAACATTTCATAGGACCAACGTCGGATCGATCGCATACACTTGACAGCCGCAATACCATTGTTGGCAATAAGAATCTAAAGGGAAAAGCGTCCATAAATCAATCGAAAAAAACCGTGTTATCGATTACTTTATTGATTACGCGCCCACCACCCAGAAAATCGCAAAGTTCTTTGGGAGTCGATACGGAGAACGATTGTCGGAAAGATGTCATCGATGAAAATGAAATTCCTGACATATTCCTACAAGAAAAAAAGAAAATTTCTTCTAAATCAATCAATTACGTGATGCAAAAAAATCGTCATTTGTCCTTCAGTTGCAAATATCGATCGTGTTTTTTCATTCTGTGCTTGTTAGAAAACGTGAAGAGAGGGGAAGGAAGAGCACATTGTTTGGCACGTACCGTTTACAGGCTTTCAGTTTTGATTTATTTTCAACGGCTGAGCTATGAAATGTTGATTTAGTATTAGCTCCATCGCTATTCAGATTTGTCGCTGAGTCCATTGATGACATAGATTGAGCAGTGGAATTCGTCGAAAGTTCAAGAAATTCATCGATTTCTTCTAAGGATTCTTCGAAACCATCGCGATGTTGAGCAGGATCAAGATCAAATGAGACTCTGGTCGACTGAGGATTCGTTTTATCTTCCACATTCGATTGGTAATCATTCTCGCTACTATCTCTATCCATTGATAGCTAAAATAAGCAGGAACAATAGGAATTGTCTACAAAAAGAAAAAAACAACAAGATAATATCAAAATTAAAGAAAAAATAAAGTAACAATCGAATATCAACATGAATATCTGGTACCTATAGGTGTACTACTTGAATCAAGTCAACTAATATGTATTTACTTATCTTTCTTTTATCTTGAAAGCGCCATTTTCTTTTTCTCCTCGTCATATAGATAGACAGATAGACGTCCAGGTTTATATATCGAAGAAACGAAAACACGCCGCGAATTGATGATCATCTGGATACATCAAATAAACAAATAAAGTGAATATTTCTATCGAGGAGAAATAAGTACATGTTTTAGCTAGTGTCTTGCGTTGTCTAGATACAACTGTTCTGTATTTAACAAAAAACAAAACGTAATAAGACAATAATCATGCGTATCGCGTGATACAATCAACGATAGATTTGAGAAAAATATCACAAAAATTCAGTAGAAAAATCAAGTCGTGTTGTTGTGCATACGCTGTGGAGATAAGAAAAACAAAAGGTTAAAAGTAAAACGTCTCGAGTGATCACGAAGATGACTTTCTTGGCGTACATTCGAGATCAAGATAAAAACTGTGACACATGTTAATTTTGTTTAGAAAAAATGTGTTGTTTTTCTTAAAACTACGCTTTATCACATTACTCAATGGTTTGTATCGTCTTGCATATCTGATTCTTCACCATCACTTTCATCTAAAATAATCGCTGATCGCTGGAGAGACGTCTGAATGATCGCCCAATCTTCAACTATATTCATATCAGATAATTGATAAAAAATCGCCAAGTTATCTTTATCGGCTGTTCGGGCTTTTTTTCGGTTGGTAGCTTTCGTAGGATCAGTTGCATCTCGACGTTTCATTGAATGTTGATGTTCACTTGGATGAATTTCTTGTAAAATATTTGCACTTAATTCACTTTTCATCTTTAAATTTTCAATTTCGTCGATCTGTTCCTGGAGGTTTTCTTGCATGTGATGATATAAGAGAACTTTATCATTTTCTAGCGTTTGGTTTAAACTTAACAGTTCCGATTGGGTCGCATTTTCTAGTGCTTGAAGTTCGATTTCGTGCCGCCGTTTGGCAACATCCAAATGTACCTTCATTTCATCGTATAATTTAGTTAATTCGTGTTGATATTCAGGTGCTTCTTCGTTTTCTATTGCAAGTAGTTTTCTGTCAATAAAAAGAATACTTTCCTCGTAGAGAATCGTTTTTAGTTCATCGAATTGCTTTTCAACGTTCATCATTTCGTACATAATTTCATAGCGACGCGAATCATAGTAATCTGGCGATGAGATTGAACAATCATTTCGGCCGACTGTCTGAAGAATATGTTGAATGTCTTGATCAGATTCGTCTTCACTATCATCACAGTCTGGATTGGAATTATCTGTTTGCGGTGAGCAAGATCGATGGGTAAGGCTTATATGATTATCGTTTAGATTCATCGCTTTCGTCTTATCAACATAACACAAACATGCGTAAAAAGTTTGCTTTTTTTCTTGCGTTTCTATTGTATTAGAGTGGCAGCCAACTAGGGAACAGTGAGACAAAGTGACACCTATCATTGACGAAAAAAAGTCAAGTTCAGCTAGTCTGCCTAAGCACGTCGTACTGTATGACCTGCCCAATAAAATTCAGTTGACGCATAAGATCTTACGTATTCAGTCGAGAAGTATCGAGAAAAAAAAGAAGTTCCGGTGCCGGGGATCGAACCCGGGCCTAGACGGTGAGAGCGTCCAATCCTAACCACTAGACCACACCGGATGGTAAATCTATCTCCGAAAATATCTATACATATGTACTCTTTTCTTCACATTTGTTTATCTGACTGTATCATCGAGAGAGAGAGAGAAAAGATTATTGATTGGTTTGTCACCGATGATGCATATACATATGTGTCTATCTCCATATTGTTTGTCACATGGGGTGAAAAGAAAATAGCGAACCTTTCGATTCGATGAGAAAGATAGGCGAGATAATGATTTATCGACATGTTTTTCTTATATTTTTTTTGTTTTAGAAAATCATTTCTCATGTCGTCGTTACCAATGTTGCTAACCGATGAAAATATTCTTCCAACAGTAGCTAATGTTACGTATTCTCGTGTCGCAATGAAACCTGGTGGTCAAAAGTCAGCACAAGTTCGTTGAACTATGAATAATCTAACGATGATTGTTTTATTTCTATGTTTCTAGTTAGTCTACTTCAATCACGAAGAAGACCTTTGCCATGCCATTCAAACGGTGTTTCAGAACAAAGCTTTTGATTTACCATCACCCAAAATAATTATCGTCCTCAAAGGAGGAATTAGCAATTCAAGTGACCGATTGAATGATTTCAATGAAAAGCTATTTTCAGCGTCAGTTGCACGACTACTACTTGACATAGGTAATTAATATCGATCATCGAGAAGTATTACTCACATTTGATTTTCTTAGGAAGAAACAAACTAAGTAATGATCAAGGCGCCCCATGGTTGTTCAGTAATGTCCGTCACGTAAGAAAGATTTTCACGCTAAGAAAATGTTAAGAATGCGGATCTGTATTCATCTAGGATTCAGTTGCTGGACGTATTATTCAAATAACCAAACAGCAATATCTTGCAAATGATATTCCTCTTTCACGTTTCGTCACAATTGGTTACGATGTCTGTCCTTCAGTACCTGTAAGAATTTATTTGAGAGAGTAAACATGTTTTTTAAAGTAGTTTTGTCATTGCAGCTAGAAGATGCACCACATGATTATCAATCACTAGCCAATGCAATTACAAATGGTTTTGGAGATAAAGCGAAAACTGAAACAAGTTCATGTGGCTATGCAAATTATCGAGTGTTGAATAAACGCTTATCACGTGTTATTCTATATGGTAGAAAACAAGAAGATTTAGTCGATCGAACGACGATTTTACAACGCTGTGTGGAAGAAATTGGACGAGTACGAGATAGTGATAAGAGCGAATGTGGTACGTTGCGAAACATTTCGATTGCCATAGTTTTATCAATAAAAATATGTTTGTAGTTAGCGTGCCGAAGATTATATTACTCTATGGTGGCGATGTAGAGAACGTTGAACCGATTCATCGATTGTTAAGCGCGGAAATTGACCGTAAAAAGTTCGGATTAGTCATTATTCGAGTAAGACGGGGTGTTAAATGGAAAGAAGCCAAAAGAAAAGTTTCAATATATCCTAGGGCTCAGGTGGATTAGCTGATGTACTCACTTGGGTTTGTGATAAAATTCGAAGTGGCGGAACATGTGTCCATGGCTCAGAAATGAAGTAGATCATATTAGTTGAACATCCGATTGAATTCTGTGAATGATCATTGCTTTCAGAGTATTGACAAGCACTTTTCTTCGAGAATTGAAAGTTTTGGTCAATCAATTACTTGGCAGTGATTTAACTGAAGATTTAATCACATTAGTAACATATCTAGCTGTCACTCGATGTAAAAAAATACGTGTTTGTGATGAAGATGATGATCTTTCTTTGTACCTGCTCGAAGCATTGGTTACAGGTAAATCTTCATCGTTGTTGTTCGGAAACGAGATTCTAAGTTTAATTGCATATTTAGCTAATCAAAACCAACGTTTATCATCGTTGAAATTACACTTATCGTTGGCTTTCGATTTGAATCAACCGAAGTTTGCTAGTCGAATGCTACGTTCTAATCCAGACATGCCAGAAGAGGTAATACAGTTGTTTGTCGTGTTGAAATTCATAAATTTGCCTTTTCAAGGATCTAATCCAATTAGCAAAAATGGCAATCATACGTGATCAAGTTCAGTTTCTTCATGTTCTGGAGGACACATGTGGTATTACATCGGACAATCTTGGGGAAAAGTTCGAATGTGAGTTAAGTGTAAAGATGGTAAGAAATGCTGATGATTAGTTAGAAGCAATCGATGAAAATACTTTGTAGAATTATAATCATGATTTGTTTCTCGAATGCATTCAACAAGATTTCGGTTGTAGTCTTGATAATGTATACCATTCAGTAAGTTGATTTGGAGATCAATGATAATTATTGCGACTTGGTCGAATTTTAGCCGGATGAAAATATTGAAACAGCAGAGGATGAAATACAATCAATCAATGTGAAATTATTTCTCTGGGCAGTATTTTTTGATCATTATAATCTATCATTACATTTTTGGAGACGGTTAAATGTAAGTTACAATTTAGCTGAAATTCAATATATGCTTTTGCTCCTTAGGATCGTCTATGCGGTGCTCTTATCGCTGCGCATGTGTATCGTCATACAGCTGAACTGTGCGTCAAACGAAGTTCGACAGAAATTGTTACCGTTCAAAAACTGAGAGATCATGCCGAGTAGGGGAGAAAGGCGATGATGATTTTTAAATATTACTGATTTGTTTTAGTGAATATGAAAATCTTGCTATGCGCCTTCTTCAATGTTTATATCTATCTAATCCCAACATGGCACGTTTAGCGTTAAAACGCGAGAATTTCGAGTTCAATAAACTATCATCATTAGAAGTTGCCAGTATGTAGACAATGATTCATCAAATTTCATCTTCTACTCTGTTATTTAGTCATGTCGCATAGCGAGGATTTCGTTGGACATACAGCTGTTCAAGAAGTGTTCGATTTTATCTGGAGTGGAGAAACTACACAAAAGGTACATATGCTGTTTATTACGCTTAACTTTAATTCTTTGAGACGTTTTCAGATAAAAGGCAAACATTTCGATCGTATGCTGGCGAGTACGGCATCCTCGTTCGGCCATGCAACAACAGGCATTCAGTAAGAAAATTTCTGTTCGATCAAAAGACATTCATTCTATCGCATGTGAATTTTAGAGCAAAAGATCAACAGAATGTGATCAAACATGTCTTAACAATGAAGAATAAATTATCGCGACCACGAGTTAAATACCAAGTTCACTTTCTCTTCTACATAATCTTCCTATGTCTCTTATCGTATCTTGTCCTGTTTGTTAAACCGTCACTCATAGAATTGAACGAAGAAATAATATTTCTATCGCAAAATGGCACCTGTGCAGCCGATGACATGTTTTGTGCGCGACCAAAATCGTCCAAATGTTCATGGTCATTGTTGCAGTTAATCATAAACATCTGGGTGTTTATGTTTGCATTGGAGGAATTCCGACAGGTAAGACGACTTCTCTGCGATCTCAATAGAAAATGTTTTCTTTTCCATGCAGGCGAAATTATTCAAAACGAAAGAGAACAGCATCGTACAAACTGTTCTACTCTATTTGGATGAATCGTGGAATAAACTGGACACACTCTGCGTCATCATGTACGTCGCTTCGATTATTTTGGAATCTTACAATACAAAAACAACATTGAATGCAGCAAGGTTTGATATTATTCTGAGAATATTCCATGGTTTATCGATATCTCTTTCGCCGAAAATAGAGCGTTTCTTGCTGTTGATGTTGTTCTGTGGTTTATTCGTTTACTAATTCTATTGATGATCGACCGAACAGTTGGACCAATGCTTTTGATGATACAAGCTATGGTAGGAGTGGTCCGTGCTTCGAACGGTTTGACAAACGAACATGTCTTATGTTTATTTGCATGCCTTGCTATTCACTTGATACTATGTTCGAGTGAAAGTTTCATTCATTTTCTTTTTTCATTTAGCTCAACGACATGATGACTTTCTTCTCGATATTCTTTGTTTTTACATCGGCGTACGGTGTGGCGTCATTCTCATTACTGAAGAGTGGTCAGCCACCATTTGATCTTGCGATATTTCGTAAAATATTTCATGCGGCTTACTGGTAAAAGTTTGTTTGCTATTGAAATAAGTTTTCCATTCAGTCGCCGTTTCTAGGCATGTGTTTGGTCAAATTAACGATCTGGATGACGTTAAAGGTGAGAAGAGGATGTCGAAATGAATACTCTCGTCAAATGATCCCCTCTTTAGATAATTTCGAATTAACTGGCTGGGCAGCATTTGTACTATTAGCATTTTACATGGCTATTAGCAATATTCTTTTAGTTAATCTTCTTGTTGCAATGTTTTCGTACGTATTCCATAGAGGTTTCTCTTGAAATATTCAACATGTACATTTTTGTAGTAATACATTCGATCGAATGTATTCCAAAATGGATACACTATGGAAATTTCATCGGTGAGTTCATTTTCCACTTTTTCGCATATAGATATTGTTTCCACTTTCATGATTTAGTTATCACATTATTAAGGAATACACAATTCTCGCCCCATTACCTCCACCATTGAATCTTTTGAGTACAGGAAATTACGAATCGAAACCTTTCAATCGTAAGTTCACGAAGTTTCTACCTTGCCGTTCTTTCAAAGTCCTTTCATTTTCGTCATTCAATTCGACTATCCTTCTTCTGTGTTATCTTCTATATTCTAGGACAGACATCATTCTTCGGTGAGTGTGTGTCTTCCTTCGACTATATGTTCACTGAGGATTTTGTAAAGGTGGTAAATGTGCTTTTATTCCCAATTTTGACCTTCTTTTGATGTTGTCTGTCTACATATTCACATATAGTATGGTTTATTTTTCTAGCTGAGTTATCATCTGATCAAATCTTAAATTTACGACGACGTGAAGCACTTGCCTATGAAAGTGATGTGTTCGAACAAGCTGCGAAAGACAAACAATCAGAAGCGAATTGGCAAGAAAAAGTGGATTCTCAATTACGTCAACTTCGTAAAACAGTTTCGCATGTCAAAATTACATGTGAAGCGTCAACAATGGCCGAATGAAGCTTAGCAAAATTATGTAAATAATTCCATTTCTTGAGCTGTCTTTCACCCGTACCAATACATCATATGTATTCTTCTTCCTATGTGAATAGTATTCCTGTTTTATACGAATATGCATCTTAATCTGGCATCATTTTTCTGTGCAAAAGTTTTCAATAGTTATACAATGGAGAAAATAAAGATATTTTGTCGATAGGCGACAAAAGAAGTGTATCTCCGGCTGCGGGGATCGACTGAGCTATTCAGCTATGTTACACAAAAGAACAAGAAAGGGTATTATGATCGAATATGAGAGCAGATGGTAAACCGGGCCGAGAGACGATGGGAGCGTCCAGTCCTGACCACACCGTAACGCGTTAGATGTCGTTTTCGCGTTCGTTTCAGTATTGATCCTACCAACCGTAGGCGTGCCCTATACCTCATATGACGTTCACATCCTATTTATAAAGCAGTCCATACTACATCGTCATTTACAATTTTGAATAGAAAAGTATGGCAACAAATATGTTGTGTTTAGCAGGTGACTGTCTCCTCATAATAAGTTATTTATATTTAAATACTTTTGTCGTTCATGATAATAACATTTAAAAGAAAAGTATACTCTTGATGGAATGACTTTCACTTCAGTAAAATGAAACTTGTCGTTCATTTCTTTCCAAACTGAGAACAGTGTCATATCTGCTAGAACATAAAATGCCATGGCCACGGAAAACTGATAACAGACCATTCCAAACCGTTGAATTGGTTTTTGCTGGAGTCATTCCAATTATTCTGATTATCATTGGTACAATGGGTAATTTTCTTTGTATTTTTTGTATTCTTTGCCGGCAACGTCGTCGAGGCCGTTCAACATACATTTATTTCATATTTCTATTTCTATCCGATACTCTTTCACTCTATCAATGGAATTTGAATTATATAATTATGGAATTCAATGACAGAATACAATTATCTGATCAGTCCTTATTTCTTTGTCGTAGTATTGCTTTTCTTAGTTTTTATACTTTACACTTATCAGCTCTATTTCTGACTCTCATAGCAATCGATCGAACTTTAATCCTTCGGTCAAAATTCTATCGAACACACATGACGAAACGTCATCATGCATTGATCATATCGATTGTAATTATTCTTTTATTATTTCTCCTGGATGGATTTCTCCTATCATTGGGTGTTCGAGACGAACGTACAGATCAAATCGTATGCTATCAGTCATTCAATACAAACATCATGTTTTTCTACGACAAAATTTATCCATGGATACATCTAGTTGTCATGTATATCACTCCATTTGTGATCATGACACTCGGCATTGTTTTAATCATAATTAAGCTGTACAATCGTCGAATTAATCTTCAATCAAATCACCAAAAGCAACGACTGTGCTTTATGTTGATCGGCATGTGTGCTGTATACATGATGTTAACATTACCAAATCGATTATGTTTTTCGGTATTTTTCTCACGCATTTCAAATCAAGAGTACGGTGATATCATTCTGCTTGGAAGCAATACTTTATTATATACGCGCAATGCGACCAACGTCTTCTTTCTTTACTTAGGCAGTTCAACATTTCGTAAACAATTGGCAAAATTCTATTCGTGTTTTCATTGCTCAATGCCACAGTGTTCGAATCGTATTATACCCGTTCAACTTTTTCATTGTGAAACAAAAAGTGACCTTTCATGAATAAAATACATTCATGTTCACTCTTCTACATCATTATCAAGACATTACTAATCCTATTAGTGTTGTGTTTGATTTCCTCAGGGATGAGTCGGACATTTTCATAAGATCGTCGCTCGATTGAGTTCACTCGAATCGATGTTGAAATTCGCTTATGCAAACAAATTTGCCTCGTTTTTATTGATATTGCGCATGCATGTATAGTTGATGAGTTGAAGTGAAATAAAAAGTTCGACATTTTTATTACCCATGATCCCTTCCCAAAGAAACGAAAAAGAAAGAAGAAGCGTTTAGTTGTTGCTTTTTTTTCCTTCGATTGTTATCACGCAAAGCACCGCATAGAAAGAATAATAATGATAGATATGAAATGAACAGTACAAACAGAACACTTCACTATTGTTGTTATCGTTTACATTCACAATGTATCGTAGACTTCATCTTCTTTACGACGGTAGAGAAGTACAGCAAAAACAAGAGCGAGCACTTCGATAACGAGAACAACAACACCTCCAATGATCACACCAGTTTTATACGAAGATAAGATATCAGCTAAACGATCGTAGCAGCCTTGAACATAAGCAGTTTCTCCCGTTGTTGCACATTGAGTTGCCGAAGAATAGTTTGTGGGTAATTGTGTCCAACTTTTTGTTGCATTTAATGGACAACATGTGAATGGGACAACTAATTGCTTCGATGTATCGTATGGATTTTGTCGTGTCCAATTACCGGCACGTATAAAGTCATTTTTATTCACAGCTCCACAACATTGTAAATTGAACTGAGCAAAATCCCATGAAAGCGATGCTGAGTTGGCCACGGTTTTATTGTTAAGAGGAATGCCAACGTAATTAACAGCGATGGAATCTTGAAGTTTAGCAACAAGTTGTGTGCGAAATCGACTTTGATAGAGAAAAAATATGACAACAATGGCAATTTCAGCAAGAATGACAAGACCAACGACTGCAGCATAAAGAAGATGTAAGAATCGAAAGCCTTTGATAGCTCCGCAACAGCCTAAAAGAGAATCAATTTGACATTTCAAATTTCAATGAATCACTGTTTTCCTACCAAGAAATCCGATCAATAATAAGACACCACCCACTGCAATTAACCCAATAGCAAATATTTCGATATTTGAGAGACCTTGCGAATATTGCGCGGCTATATCTGGATTTAATAATGGACGGAGTTGTTGCATTTTAGGATCTCTGACAACAAATACTCCGATTGCAAGTAAAATTAAGCCCACCATAATAAAAGCCAGATTAAGAAGAACAATAAGGAAGCGAATGAGCTTCATGCCCAATGACATACTACCGCGACCACGTCCTGACGCCATTGTAAATTATGAAGACGAAAATGCGATGGATCACGTTCTAGAAAAAAAGAAAAAGACAGACCGTCTGACCGTATGTGATATGACTAATGTGTATAGTTCTAAAGAAGTGCTTGTGCCGTCCTATGAGTATGTGCCTGTTTGATCGAATGAAGATTATATTATGAATTGAAAACGAGAACAATATATATATATGTTTTCTCTTCTCTCTTCTTTCTTCTCTGTTTCTTTACAAAAACTTCTCAATGCTCTCGTCAATTACATTAAACGCGCTGAAATATAATGGCCAATATGTTGACATCGGTCATAGGCATTAATTCACATGTTTCGCTTTGTCTCTTTCTCATTTTCTTCTTGTATACGCTCGATAGCAACGACATTTTTTGCATCTGATGCCATGTAGATCTACGAATGCGTGGGTATGGATATCGGTAATGAGTATGGAGAAGAACAGAACAAAAAAATGACTGTGACGTGTTGATACTCATTCTAAACGTTGATGATGATTAAGAAAATGCGAATTTCGCTGACATTTGAGAATTCATATAAAATATGCTAATTATATAACTATTTATTTGTGTATGTGCCTCTAAAACGTATCATTGTCTTTTTATGTTAAAATAAGATTATGTACTATTGAACTTTAAGCTGAGTTACATCAGAGAATATTTTGAAAAAAAAAATCTTTTTCTTCTCTCCTAGCATAGCGCAATAATCACATGTACAATTGATTATTGTCAATAGGATACTTATTCGAGTATATCTTTATCCACCCAGAAAATTGACGTATGTCACGTCATAGATTAGAGAGATTTAATCAAACATACTTATCAAACACAACGAGCGCATTTTATCGATAAATTTGATAATATTGATACTTCATTATTATTTGTTTCGATATGTATTGAATAGATACACGCAAGGTCTGTTTGAATAGTTGGTAATATCGATGTACGTACATTCAATTATTTACAATTCATCTTTTGTTCTGCAGACAAGAGTCATGTCCTTTCATGTATACATTTATTCGAAAGAAAACAAAAGCAATTAGAAGCAGTATTTCACAAATAAAGACAAGTTTCGTATCATTGCTTAGACTATGTTGAGCATTGCAAGTAATTGATCATTGACATTTTCATTCTCATAATACAAGACAATTGTTGGACGATTCGATGCATCAATTCGTGTAACAATTGCTTCATATCGATCTTTATCTATAGAATTCAAAGTGAGTAAATCAAAACAAATAGTAACTGAACATACATAGAAGCTCAAAACATTCCGTATGAATTGTATTCGACAGCGAGGGTAAGCCAGAGAGTGAACATTCGATACAGCATGGCGGCGATGTCCGAAATCAAAAGTTAATGAAAAAAGAAAATAAAGTAAATAGATCGTGTTCATTTAGAACTTACATATCCGGTAAACGACGAACATCTATATTGAAAAGAAAGAAAATTGTATGTGTAAAGATATAAATTCGAAGTACTTTACCATTTTTTGAACAGGTGATTGTCGCACCTGAATCAATACAGAAAACATCGACATGTGTACTAGTAGAGTTTAAACAGCAGCCACGAAACCAATTATTTTCATGACGTAAAGCAACAAGATCTTTTTCTTTCGTTCTAACGTTGAATTCCATACAAATATTTGTCAGCCATGAGGCTCAAATTCACTTACTCAAAATTCGTATTTAGCGGTCGAATCAATTCCTCACAGGCATTCATTTCTTGGAATAATTTCGTTGCTCGATTGTAATCATCACCAAACATGATGTATATATTTGAACACGATTCAACATGACAGACAAAAACGTTTAAAAGATGTTGGCCAACAAATAGATTGGTGATACGTATTGATAACGGCGTATCTCGAATAGATTGCAAACGATTTGATATGCGCACTGGTTTAGGAATAGACGAAACTTTAGAATATTCAACTCGCGTCGCCTGCTTTTTATATTTTCGATCAATAGCTACTTCTTCAGCATCTACACAAATTCAAAAATAACGACAAAATTAACAGACAACTATGTCTAGTTTATTACTTGTCAACATAAAATTACCAACGAATTCTTCCATACGCATTTCACCAACGCCAGTTTTAGGTTTCCACGCTGATTTGGTTGCAGCTGGTAAACTTGTCTCTTGTTCATCATCCGCCGATACCGTATTGGTTGATAAGGGAGAAGCAGATGCAGTAAATTGATGTTGTTTTTCAATTGCTTTATCCGAAATATGTACTTCTATATTCGACCAATTCAATCTACCACAACGGGAACTCATCGTGTTAGAAAATATTTTCGTATCCAATCAGTCAAAGAACTATGTATGTACACTCGATACGTATGTGTGAGTGGAAAGAAAAGATAAGTTATAAAACGGGTATTTTTGTGTAAAGTCATTAATTATGATAAGATTCTTTTAATTTAAAAAAATGATATTTCGGAGAATTTTTCTTGAAAATGAAATTTACTTGAACTCAACGTGAATCTGAAGAATTTTTCCAATTCCACTGATGATGGCGACATCTAATATATATAATTTGTATATTGTACATGTATCGCGCATTCTACTGACCATTGATCCTCTTCTGGAAGCAAATTCAAAATGATTTTTATTAGAAAAAGAATGATTACCAAAGTTTCTGTTACAAAAAAATTGTTATCTAGACAATTTCCTCCTTTCACATTCAAATTGTTATCACTACACAGCATCGGTCTTATAAGTAATTTCCTAAGAACTTCAGGACCAGACAAATAATTACATATTTATATTTTCTAATCCTATTACTCCCATAAAAATTCCACATCTTTAGGGTACGAGGGTGAGGATGGAGATTTGCACGTTAATAAAGATGAAGATGTAGATCCGTCTTCTTTGTTAACACTCACACTTTCACGCTCACGATTGATTGACGTTTTTTTTGCTTAATTGACCTTTAGCCTTGTGATTGTATATTCTCTTACTCTTTCTTTTGACTATACTGTACACACTTCTGAAGAACCATATGTGATAAAGCTCTGCAGAAGCATATCACACATATGAATTTAGATGAAACTTCACATTCTAATTAAGATAAAATAGGAAAAAGCTTGATAATTCGCAGCCGAAGAAGCGATATGCAGGTACATTATTACACAAGTGTTTTGTACTCAGTTCTATGTACTCAGTATCAATACTATTGCAAAATGCTTTTTACTTGAATTTTTGAGTAAAAAAATGCAAAAATACTCAGCATTATGCTCAATGTCTAGTCATTGGTCAACAATCACAAGTTATAGAGAACGAGCTGAAAGTCGCCAGTTCTATTTAATCGGATTGGATCCACTAGACAGAAAGCAACTATAACGATAATGTGTTGTTTTTCTCTTTCGAACGACGTGCGTACGAAAATACACCTACGTCTTGTTTTTATTGACTCGAATACAAGAAACCTCGACTAAGATAAAGGAAAAAAAAGAACGCGAGTTACATTTTCTTTATTGTCAGTAGGGACATTCGTACGAGTGCGAAAGTTTAACATGGCAAGTGATCGTATACGAGTCGGAGGACTGTACATTTCGAAAGTTCTTTTTAACTTCGTCAATCAAGAAGCTGTACCTGGTACAAACATTAATGCTTTCGCTTTTTGGGCGGGTGTACAAGCAATTGTGAATGATTTCGCGCCTGAAAATCGTGCTCTTTTACAGAAACGCGATGATTTACAAGCCAAAATCGATCAATGGCATCGAACACATCAAGGCCAGCGCACTGATGTGGCTACTTACAAATCATTTCTATATGACATTGGATATTTGTGTCCACGAACTGGTGCTGACAATTTTCAAATTAGAACAAGTAATGTTGATGAAGAAGTTGCAATTCGAGCTGGTCCACAATTAGTTGTACCATTGATGAATGCTCGATTTACATTGAACGCTGCCAATGCTCGTTGGGGCTCGCTCTACGATGCTTTATATGGAACAGATGCCATACCAGAACTGGATGGTTGTGAGAAAACAACGAAATATAACAAAAAACGTGGTGATAAAGTCATTGCGTTCACGCGTAAATTTCTTGATGAAGCTGTTCCATTATCCGACGGTTTATCACATGCTAATGCTCAAAAATATAGCGTCGAAAACGGAGAATTAAAAGTAAGCAAGAGTTCTGTGTTTTTTGTTTGATCTCAATATTCATATGTATTAGATTACTCTTTTGAATGGAACAGTTGCTAAATTACAATCATCAGGTCAATTTGCTGGTTACCAAGGTCAGGCTGATAAGCCCAGTGCTATTCTTCTTGTTCATCACGGTCTTCACATTGAAATCCAAATCGATCCGCCGCGTAGCCGAAACGATCCAGCTGGCGTCAAGGATGTGATAATTGAATCGGCATTGACAACGATTGTCGATTGTGAAGATTCAGTAGCAGCAGTGGATGCTGATGACAAAGTTGAAATATACCGAAATTGGTTGGGATTAATGAAAGGCACTCTGGAAGCACGATTTAGTAAAGGCAAAGAAACAATTACAAGAAAGTTAAATCCTGATCGAGTTTATACGTCCAAAACTGGCAGTACTTTGACATTACCTGGCCGATCTTTACTTTTCATCCGTCATGTTGGTCATCTATTGTATACGAATGCAGTTCTCGATAAAGATCATCAGGAAATTCCTGAAGGTATTCTTGATGTCGTCATAACAAGTTTAATTGCTTTACATGATCTTAAAAATACGTCGACACAGACGATTAAAAATAGTCGTACGGGTTCGATGTATATCGTCAAACCAAAACAACACGGTCCAGAAGAAGTAGCATTTACATCGCGATTGTTTTCACGCGTGGAAGATCTTCTTCAATTGCCGCAGCATACTTTGAAAATGGGCGTCATGGATGAAGAGCGGCGAACAACATTGAATCTTAGTGCTTGCATTCGTGAAGCAAAAGATCGATTAGTTTTCATAAACACGGGATTTCTTGATCGAACTGGCGATGAAATTCATACATCAATGGAAGCTGGTCCAGTCCTACCGAAAGGGCAATTGAAAGACACGAAGTGGCTATCGGCCTATGAGAAAAATAACGTCGACGTCGGTTTAAGACATAGTCTACCAGGCAAAGCACAAATTGGTAAAGGCATGTGGGCCATGCCTGACATGATGTCAGCAATGATTCAACAGAAAATCGCTCATCTGAAAGCAGGAGCAACATGTGCATGGGTCCCCTCGCCAACTGCAGCTACTCTTCATGCTTTACATTATCATCAAGTGGATGCTTTTGCTCGTCAAGCTGATATTGCAGCTTCATCATCGTTACTCAATGATTATCTCGATGATTTACTAACTATTCCAGTTTTAACGAAAAAACTTACATCCGAAGAAATTCAACGAGAATTAGACAACAATGCTCAAAGTATTCTTGGTTACGTTGTTCGTTGGATTGATCAAGGTATCGGCTGCTCAAAAGTACCCGACATTGATAATGTTGGATTAATGGAAGATCGAGCAACGTTACGTATTTCAAGTCAATTACTTGCTAATTGGTTACGACATGGATTAATCAACAGACAACAGACCGTCGAAACATTTCAACGAATGGCCAAGATTGTTGATCAACAAAATGCGGACAGTTCTGATTATCGACCGATGTCAGTTGATTTTGATGGCAGTATTGCGTTTCAAGCTGCGCTCGATCTTGTTCTCGATGGTGCTCAACAACCGAATGGTTATACAGAACCGATTCTTCATCGTCGACGACGCGAATTCAAAGCAAAACAACAGAAAACAACAGCAGAAATTCGCAGTTCACTCTAATTATGATAAAAGATTTCTATATGATAACAGAAATATGCTAGTTAGTTTTGGCGATTTATTTTCAGCAAACAACTATGTTAACGCCGTGATAGATTTTCCCTTTTTTTTTATTGAAAACAAAAGAAATACTTTCGAATATTAATAAACGGACTTTGATAACGCTGCTTGAAGATCTCGCATCACCTTCTACGGATGTTTTGTCATTGCTGATACTGAATCATTCTTATCTTCGCTTACCTATCTTTTCTGATTGTTAGAAATAAATAAAAATTCGTCAAAACGGACTAATGACGTTATTGTCAACTAGAATTTTCTTGTTCTCTCCATGTTTCTTATCGTTTCTTCGGTCTGTTTTCGAAAGATTAGCTTTATATAAAAAAACTACACACTTTTTTCTCATCTTAGTCGTTACCTATTTCTTCGTTTCTACAATACATTTCTCGACAATGGCACGGGAACTATCTTGCGGAGTTGCCTTTTCTCGAGGCATGCTACTTCTCCTGAACATAATATTTCTATTGATTGGCCTAGTGATTTGTGGCATAGGCATTTACATCAAGGTCGATACACATTTTAACGATGTCCTCACCAAACTTTCACACGTGAGCGACTTCAAAAGTCAATCGTTGGGATTTTTAGCCTTTATTCTAATTGGTGGCGGACTGTTCGCTGTTCTTATATCTTTACTCGGTTGCCTTGGTATGTATTGAAATAGAAATAATTTGGTTAATTTTGAATAAAATATTTGTTTTTTCAAAGGAACTCTACGTCACAACAGATGCTTACTGTACTCCTATGCTGTGATTTTAATCGTTCTAGTCATTCTTCAGTTAGCTGGCTTTATCACAGCCATTGTTTTCAAAGATAAACTCGAATCGGTATACAAGGATGGTTTAACGCAAGTTTTCACCACTGCTCTCGATAACAATGACACTGTAGTCATAGACGCTTTCCATGATCTTGAGAAGTCTCTGACGTGCTGCGGAGTAAATGGCATCCAAGATTACATCAATCACAATGTCAAGCCGCCAACACTATGTTTTGAAAACCCTGTTAAAGGCTGTCCTAAGACCATCATTGATTTATTAGAAAAGAATTTACCGATTGTTGCTGCATGTGCAAGCATTTTGCTACTTTTCGAATTACTTGGTTTAATATTTGCATTTGTATTAGCTCGTGCACTGAAAAATGCCGATGTTGAAATATATTCATCCAAACCAGGCGAAGTGATCAGTGGAATTATACCAGGACGACGTCGTAATTATCGAAATATTTGAATGCGATGCATCTAACTCGATAGTTTTTTCTAAATATTGTTTTATTTCCGTTTATTCATGTCTTACACTTGTATAAATAAATAATAACAAGAACAAAGATAAACTGTTAGTAAGTACAAGCAAAATCACGGCAGATATGAAGAGAGTGAGAGAATAAATAACAAAGTTTAGAATGATAAGTTGAATCAGTATGACAACAACTATGAGAAGAATAAAAATCAGGACGGATAAGAATATTAGTCGAAAACAATGTTATTGAGACGATTAGAACTTGAATTACGATCTTAGACGTTTGTTAATACCGTCTTGTAACTGTTGATAGAGAATGTAACGATCTTTGCCGATTACTGAGCTCTAGAATAGCCGCAAAGAGCGAAACAAAACGTTTTTCCTATAAGAAAATTCGATACTTACCGTGTACAGATCAAGTCCATTCATATCCGATCGTAGATTTGTCACAGGATTGCGAAAGAGAAGACGACATACAACTGGCATTTCATGATTAGTTAAAGCTGATTCATTCTAAAAGGAAGAAAGAAATTCTGAAATACATTCGAGCACGATGTTTAGTCTTACCATTGGTGGTAAATACATTCCCAAACTGAAACTGTATTCATTGAGATCATCGACAAAAGCTAAATGAAGAATTACTACATATTAATTTTCAATCAATCTTTCACCGTACTTCGAAAAAGTAAATGTAAAGCTTTGTAGAAATCTCGGTCAAGCTTTTCGTCAATAATCATCACTTCAAGATCTTTAATCGGTGTCTGGAAATAAAAACAACATCAGAAAATCTCTCTCTATCTCTCTTATTCCAATGCAACGCACCAGATGAACGACAATCTGTGCTCGTCCGATTGGAATTGTTAAACCCAACACTTGATGAATATAAACATAATCGGAGAAGTAATTCCTTAGATCATTCATTTGACCGTATAGTCTTGCACCTTGCCTTGTACGTTCAATATTTCCATAATAAATTTCATATCCTAGACTAGCTTGAAGATGTGTATGCATTTGTGACGCGCCACTTTTAGGCATGGCATCCCAGATCATTTCCGGACAAGTGTATATTGGTTCAGTTTTGTATGCTTTCTCGAACCATTCTTTGGTTAATTCGAACATATCGGCGATTTCTTCTTCTGTTAAATGCAGTGTATCATGGTTACGCGAAACGATCAATGTGTGCCAGCGATCGTATTTGAAGGTATTTGCAGCTGTATACGATAGACGGTGTTCGAGACGACCGAAACTATCTTCAGCGGTTGAACTAACGAAGAAATCGCGGTTTACTAGTTGGTCATGAGCGTTAATTTCGTCGAACTTACTTCAAATAATTTCTCCCACAGAAATCACAGCTTTTCTTGCTGTCTTCCAATAATTTTGAAGTACTAAATAGAAATAGTAAAAGTCATGATAAAATCTCGGATTCTCGAAAGCGAATCTGGAGAAGTAATCAGATGCATATCATACAACAAAAGCATTCATTTCTAAGACAATCAGACAATGCCTACTAGCTTTCCGAGGAGACTTCGCTCTTAGTTTGCGGTCGACGACTACGCATATAATTGTATAACATTTCTTCGTGTGTATATCGATTGTATACTTTGATGATGCGCTTGAAAAGAATACATTTGAGATCGTTGACAAGTTCGAGAGTTTTTCATTGAAATTATTCTATCAAAGTACTCGTACTTCAGTTTTAATTACCTGCTGTCGTATTTGTTCCAGAAGTGACTCGTCATTGTGTAACCACTGATTGATTTTTTCTAAATAAACTGATGATACTTTCAGTGCGCCAACAATTTCGTCTAAACGAAATAGAGCGTCGAATATCGTTACGAATCGTCTGAAAGTAAACGGCACTTAGATCGATCGAACAAAGCATTCATTTGAATTACTTACTGACAATTTTTATCATTGGATAATCGAGCAGTTTTCAAATATTTCGGCAGTTTATCTACTGCTAAAATTTGTGTTGGTTTGAGTCGAAAACAATACTTTCGATACCATGACTAAACGAATTCAAAGCAAAATTATTCAATCAAATGTCGATTTATGATACGAACAGATGGATATTCATCGTTCAATATTTCAAAATGTTGGTTTTTCGATAAATTCGAGGATGTGAATCGTTTGGTTGGATCGACGGTATAATGCAATTGATAGAGCAAAATGACGAGAAAGCCAAGAGTGAGAAGAAGGAAGAATATCGATACTTCTCGTCGAAGTTGCACGATCATTCTTGATGGAAGTGATATCCATACATGAATAATTTGGGTAAGGATGTGCATAGAAAACTGAAAGAAAACAAAGAAATACGAAATCAATTCGTCAAAGTTGTTCTAATTAACGGAGAAATATAATCTCTGATCATTCATACTTTATTCCATGATTTGTCCTTGCGTTCGGTTTATTTCATTCAAGAAGAAGCAGAAAGGAAAGCAAAACATGCGAAAATATCAGTTGATAAGCAAACGTCAACATTGAAATACTCGACTTTACTTTGGTGATAAAACGAATAGGATCATAGTTTTACTCGTCTAGAAAAGAAATTATTGTGCCAAAAATTATTGTTTTCTTGTAACTATAGTGTGTTTTTTTCATAAATCCCCAAGGAATTTCTATGGCATGACGATAAACGAAGAGGTCAGACGATTGAGAAGCGACCTCAAGATTTGAGTAGTCACTTGGATAACCAATTGATAACTGTTCCGTTTTTCTCTTTCTTTCGTCTTTCCTTTGCAATTCATTCAATTCTTTTTTCATCTCTGATAAGCAGAGAAAAGAAAAGAAGAAGAAGAAGGAGAAGAAGAGGAAAAGACGGTCAAGATAATGACCGGTAGGAGGAAGGAAAAGCATCGTGCTATTGATTACGATCTGTATTCTTATTTCCTTCGTCTTGTTATTCTAAGATGAATATGTATCTCAACAATCCAGAGTACTGTTGTCGACTATGCACTTATTCATCTTGCCTTTTTTCCTTGCGTTCGGAGTTTTTTGTCTCGGTGACAGAAGAAAATATAAGATAAATGCCACAACAATTTTGAGTGGGCGTTCCTTTTTTCAATGAAGATACACATATTTATACCATACAGTACTTTTGTTTTTCTCCTCTCTTTGCATGTGGGCGGTGGTTTAGACATTGTGTATATGTACATATATATTTCTATTTCTAGAAATTATCTTGCTGAAAACAACGTTATCGCGTCGACGTAATAGTCCTTTTGATCAAGTGTGTCGTTGAAAGATAAATTTACTTCAGACACAGATGGCTTCACAATCGAATGATCATTTACCTGCTTTGAAAGATTACAATGCGATCTTGGAAAATACATTGGCACCATTTGCGACGGCTTCACGCAAACTTGGCGGCGAATTGCCGGCTATGATCGATCATGTTACGCGTTTATTCAGTGCTCAACAGCAATTTCTGCGAAGTGCTTTGCAAAATAAAAAGCCAACTAATGATCAACAGATACAAGAATTAATTAAACCGCAATCGACAGAAATTGAAGCGATTTGCGGTAAGTATTAATCATCAAAACATTCGTTCTTACAAATCTTCTTATGTAGCATATACGAACAAGAATCGCAAATCTCCTTTTTTCAATCATCTCTCTGCCATTTCGGAAGGTATTCCGGCACTGGGGTGGATCCTCGTTTCGCCTACGCCTGCTCCACATATCAAGGAAATGTCTGACGCCGCACAATTCTATGCTAATCGTGTTTTGAAAGAGTTCAAAGAAAAAGATCCAACTCACGTTGAATGGGTGAAAGACTGGATGAAGGTTTTGAATGATTTGCATGCATACGTGAAACAACATCATACGACTGGTTTAACTTGGGGTGCTCATGGCAGTCAACACGGTTCAAGCGCTGCGTCCGCACCCCCACCTCCCCCGCCTCCACCGACTTCTGATTTGTTATCATCAACAACGCACGCTGATGACGGTCAGTCACGAACAGAATTAATGAACTCAATCAACGCATTGGGCATGGGTGTAACAGCGCATTTGAAGAAAGTACCGGACGAACTTAAACTTCATAAAAATACTCAGCTGAGAGAGAAATTAGTCGATCAACCAGTCGAACGATCGAACAAATGTCATGTGAGTACTTTTTGTTTCCGTATCATTCATATCTACTAATTATTATGTCTCTGCAGGCATCAAGTTCGAACACTTCGTCATCAGCAGCAGCAACATCAACTACAGGTTCACCTAAATTAGCATTAGAAGGTAACAAATGGATGGTAGAATACTTTTCCAATCGAGCTGATCTCAAAATTTCTGAAACAAATATGAAACAAACAGTTTACATCTACAAATGCGCCAACTGTACGATTCAAATTGAAGGAAAAGTCAATTCCATTGTTCTCGATCAATGCACGAAAGTTGGACTTCAATTTACATCAGTTGTCTCATTAGTTGAATTCATCAACTGTCGTAGCATGAAAATCCAAGTCATCGATCGTGTACCGACGATTCAAATCGAGAAAACCGATGGCTGCCATGTATATCTATCGAAAACATCACTCGACACTGAATTCATCACATCGAAATCATCCGAAATGACAGTCAATGTTCCATTTGGTGATGGTGAATACAAAGAACATCCAATCCCCGAACAATTCAAAACGCATTTAAAAGCCGGCAAACAGTTGATCACTGTTCCGAATGAATCTGCTGGTGTTTAAAAGTTCAAAACTGACTCTTTGTGACGAAATATCTCAATCTCTCTCATCTAACTCTGCTATGATTTTCACTATGCATTTGTTCAGTGTTTTTCAGAATCTCGAATCTTTTTGATCTTTAGCTTCTTATACGTCATATGTACGTTATATTCGATGAAATATTCAAGTACACTTGAAAAATGAGCTTCACATAAAATATACAGCGCAAACATTCGTTTGTTATGGATTACAAAAGTTTAAATTACTACAAGTCTTTTTGTTTTGTGTTTCTTATCAAATAACATTTCACTTGGTAAAGAAGAAATCATTTGATTTGATAGATCGATCAGATAGGTAAGACAACAAACATTAATAATTGATCAAAAGAAAGAGAAGCACTGTCGACTATTACTCTTTTCAAACGTCTGATTTATCTTAAATTACAACACGTTTTAATATTTGATTTGCTTTCTTCTTCATGGTCGAACATGCAAATCAAGTATCTTACTTGAGATTTCATTAACATCTTCAAGTTCTATAAAACACCTTGAAGTGCTGTTCTATTGATAACTATCAAATTGAAACACTCGTCGGTAGATTACATAAAAATCTGTTGTAAGACATCGTCATGAATTTCATCATAGAGAGCAACAGATGAAAGCGAGTGTGTCAATAAATATCATAAACGACTATTTTCGCTAGTGATTTTCGACGATTCTCTTTGTCATTAACATTTGTCTTCTTCGTATTTATTCGCATTTTTTATTATGGTCTTTTTTTTTCAGTCTAATACGAATTGTATTCTTAATGATATGAAGTATACGAAAGATAAGAATTAAAAAATAGAAAATAGGAGACAAGGTCAATACTACGGAGTCGTTTCGAATCAGTATAATTCAAAAAAGAATGAAAAAAAAGAGCGCGCTGGAGAGGTGTCAGAAGACAAATACGATCATCGAGAAAAAAGCTCCGAGCCGTGATTCGACATAGCTATTTTTTCAACATTTCTCTTTACAACAATCCGTATGCACATATATCAAATGAATAGTTGACAAACGAAAATTACAATAAAATCTTTTCAAGGCTTTCTTCTTGCCGTTGTTGTTTTTGACTTTCTTCCTCATTTTCCCTCTCGATCGATTTGAATTTTATGAATTCTGCTTCTAGTTGATCATGGCGAGTAAATTATTCGGTGCTGCTCAAGGACTTCCATGGATTAAATCAATCAAATCGTCGAATGATGATGAACATTCTGACCGAATAAATCATCGTTATACCGCAGCATTCTTACTCGTATGTGCAGTCGTTGCATCAGGCAGTCCATTCGTTTTCAATAGAATTACTTGTTGGGTACCAGCTCAATTTGTCGGTGCTTACACAAAATATACAGATAATTATTGTTGGATATCAAATACGTATTATGTACCAACGAATAGTACGGTACCGCATAGTAAAGAAGTGCGTGAACGAGCAGAGATCGGTTATTACCAGTGGGTTCCATTTATTTTTCTTCTCTCTGCATTTTTCTTCTATTTACCACGAATGCTGTGGCGATCGATGAATACACGTTCTGGTATTGATTTACAATATTTAGTATCGAAACAGCAAGTGAAAACGATAACTTGCGCTATTGAAAACTATTGTGAACCGAATGACGACGATGATGGTTTCGGTAATCGATGTTGTCGAATATTATTATGTACAAGTGGTAAACGTCTAGGAAATTATCTCAGTACAATGTATTTAATAGTTAAACTGTTCTATTTACTCAATTCGTTCATCCAATTGATCTTTATTCACGTAGTCTTAGGTTTACCAGGTTGGTTCTATGGATACGATGTATGGTACAGTATATTTGTTCGAAATTCGGTGTTAACGGATTCACCGTACTTTCCTCGGATAACATTATGTGATCTACGTATTCGTGAAGTTGGCAATTTACACCGCTATACTGTTCAATGTGTTTTGCCGATCAATATGTTGAATGAAAAGTTGTTTTCTCTTGCTTGGTTCTGGCTGATCTATGTATTTATTTCCAATTTGATCGCGTTTGCTTTCACACTCTATTACACATGTGTACTGCAAAGTCGAGTGAATTTCATTCGTGATCTCTATCGTAAAAGCGTATCGAAACCAAACATGGACGAAATTGTACTCCAGGCATTCACACGCGAGTTTCTTATGCAAGATGGCGTTTTAATCTTAAGAATTCTCGAGCGAAATGCTCAAGCTTTTATTTCAACGGATGTCGTAAATAATTTGTTAAGAAATTATACAACTAAACAACAACCCGATCAACAACATATATCATCACCATCTCCGCCACCGCCACTGCCACTGCCACCAAGCGAGATACCATTAAAAAGCAGTGATGTTTAAATTTCCCATTTGACTTCTGCAGAAGATTAATCTATACTCTTTTTGTTAACAATATGTTACTCTCACTAGGTTTACACAGTATATTAGATTTATTGTTCGTGATATTAAAAAATGCCTGAATTGGACAAACTTAGTCATCCTATATTAATCTTCACTTTGTCCGACGGCGAGAGAAAAGCATGTTTTCGTACCTTTTCTATGTTTAATTGCGTCTTGTAAAATAAGCACATGATTGTTATAGATGAATGATGATAGGAAGGTAAATGACGTACAAATATTATCAACCTGTAAATGTCAGGCGGAAAAATTGGACAGCTAAATCACATGTTCCTTTATGCAAGCCAACAACTGAAAGGGATTGAGCATCGATTTCAAAATCGGTATTTCGGATACAGTTAACAATGAAGCGAGTACTCGGATCCAGTTGAATGGGTCAGAAAGATAAAGGAATAAGATAATATATATTCACATGAGTTAAAGGCCATCTAATTATATCTCAATAAGTTGCTCCTTTTTTATCTCTCTCTCTCTCTCTCCCTTCATAATTATCTTTTTTCATCATACAAAAATATGACTCAGGTAATGACGTCGTTTCTCATTGTCGAATGCGATCATTCCATGCATTACTTTCATACTAGCTAGTCCTTTTCTATTCATCGAAAGAATGCGAGCAATGCATCTGTTCACAATCATTACCTGTGACATAGCTTGATATAAATATACGCTTACGCATTTTGTAGAGGTATATATACCCACCTGTGAATGTGTATAACTATTCTGAAAGTTAACAGTCAGTTAACGCGAAATTACAAACAATCGGACTGATCAATATTATTGGTCGTACGTATATATTTTTTCTCCGTTTAGATATATCAATACATCATAATTTCGCCCGAAAAAGTTCTGAAGGTTATCCACAGACCGTTTCAGTTGCCCGTTTTTTGTATGTGTCCATTGGTGAGAAATATGTTGCTTGTAAAGTAAGGCGACAGGTATCGTCATCAGTTGGTGCACATGTGTAACAGAACGTCTTGTTGACACAGAATATACCATCGTAGTTTTGTATGGGACTTGTTTGATCCTCGATCATCGAGATACTTCGTTTTTTACCATGATATGTCGTGCAAAATCCACGTGCACAGTACATCCAGCCACGACCGTGTACCCAATCGCATATCCAATAACCAGCATTGATTTGTAGAACAAGAAATAATAGAACGGTAGTAATAGTGAAAATATGAATAGAATGAGTCATTAGTTATTTGAAAATCTGAAAGAATGGGTGCGTGCTCAGATGAAGAATATAAATCAATCAGAACTAACCTGGTCGAAGCGTACGTCAAGAATGTTTGGGGAATATGTTTTTATCTGCTGGATTTTTAATATATGAATAGTCAGCGTAGAATAAGTAAGAAAACATAGAGGGAAAAGAGAGAAAAGAGCTCATGAAAATACTCTGAATTCGTTAGTTCTACACGCACATTTACTGCTTTCCCTACATGCTTACCATCAGCCTCTAATATTTCGATTAGAAAACACACAGTGGCTCATCAATACATAACCAATAAGGTCAGAACAAAACTAATGTTAGTTCAATCAAAACATGCACTAATATAAGCACTCTGATTGACCTTCATAATGGTATTGTTGACTTTCGCCAATCGTCGTTTTGATCACAAATAGGAAGTTTCTATTAAGAAATATCGCTAATTTCATTCCGAATACGTGCTCTACATATCGAGTCATTCATAACATGTTCTCTATTTATATTCTAGATAACCTCGTTTGTTTTTGCTCATTCACAATGGCTATGCGAAGATTGCAACAAGATTTTCGACAATTATTGAAAAATAAAGTCGAAGGTATCGATGCTAGTCCCTCTGCAGATAATCTTTTCATCTGGAATGCGATTATTTGTGGACCAGAAGATAGTATCTATGAATCGGGTGTGTTTCAACTTCAATTAATCTTCCCAGAAGATTATCCCCTTCGTCCACCACAAGCTCGTTTCGTGACAAAGGTCTTTCATCCGAATGTTTGGTGGGAAGATGGTCGTATTTGTGTTGATATACTCAAAGATGGCTGGACACCGTCCTATGATATTTTAGCTATTCTTCATTCCATTCGTCTTCTCCTAATCGATCCAAATCCACTCAGTCCTGCTAATTTAGAAGCCGCACTTTTATTTCGAGATAATCGAGCAGAATACAATCGTCGTGTAACAGAACTGATACAGGATGCACTTGATGCCGATGAGGATGAAGAAGAAGACAAAGACGAAGAAGCTGTTGCTGATGATGTTGAAAATGATCGCGATGACGATAACACAAATGAGGTTGCTGCTGGACTTTCTCAAACTGATGACGGTGATCTTCTTCGCGAAAAAGCAATCATTCATCGTCAGAGTATCACTGAATGAAAACAGACAACTCAATAGTGGCTTTCATCAGAGTTCTTTTTCCGAAAAAGGAAATCGTACATTCATTTGTACATACAAAGCGTTTTGTTTCATGTAATTAATCGAGTTTTTCTTTTGTATTACTATGTATATAGTACATATCATATCGTTGCATTTTGTATTTGCTGATTTTTATAAAAAATTTCAAATAAAAACTTATACTATCGATCCATGTGCTTTTCGATTCACACAATATGTACTATAAATAGTGTGTTTAGTGACTCGTACAATTATTGAGTAGATAGAATACGTAAGCAAAACGAATAGACGTCACCCAGTGTATAGTCGACCTACCTGCAAAAAAAATTTTTCGTCAGATGATCTACAGAGTGATTAATACATGTACAGGACAGATGTCAGTCATTGATGGTCGAAGGTTCTTCTCGAAGTGAAATGAAGTTTTTATTCAAGTATCGATTCGTATCGGTCGTTTTTTGTTTTGAAGGAAAAAATGGTAAATTCAAAAAGGTTTTTCTCAAACCTTTGTTGAGATGTTCATTAAACAAGAATCCGTGTTTTACTCGATTCTATCCAATCAAATCCATTCGGTATTTCAATAAACAAAATTGCTAGTTTAATGATAAATACTTTTGCTTAAAATTTCTCGCGATGAAAGTTTTTTCTTCACCGGAATTCCCTCGTCTGTTTTTTTCAGATCTCGGTAGATATCAGAAGAAAAAACCGGAAACATGTTGATGCCCAAGAAACATCGTACACTCATCTACGAATATTTGATGAAGGAAGGTGTTGTCGTTGCTGAAAAAGACTTCGCTCTTGATAAACATCCAGCTATACCAGTGCCAAATATTCATGTCATTAAAGCACTTCAAGTACCTTCGAATTCAATCGTGTCTTTCAAAATTTCCCCTCTTATTTTCATATATTTTAGTCACTTAAATCGCGCGATTTGGTTAAAGAACAATTTGCATGGCGTCACTATTATTGGTATTTGAACAATGCTGGTACCAATTACTTACGTGAATATCTTAATTTACCACCTGAAATTGTACCAGCTACACTTAAACGACCAACAAGACCAGAAGGAGCAAAAACAGCCAAACGAGGTACAGTTTCACGTTACAGCATTTCTCGATTTCGACGTCGTTTCGGTTTTCTTAGTTGATAACGTTCGACCAGCATCACCAACCGACCAAAGTCGTCAAGAATACCGTCGTGGCGGTTACGATAAACAAGGAGAAGTTGGCGCTGGAAGTGCTCGACCAGAATTCGTAAGTGTACCGTAGGAAGAAGAACATGATCAGTACTTTGATGATTTGCTTGTTTAGCGTGGTGGTTATGGTCGAGGCCGTGGATTTAATGATAGTAATCGTGGTGGTCCCGGTAACGCTGATCAACAATAAAGAAAAAAATCTCTACTAACATCAATCTTGTTATCGTCAGTTTTTGTTTGTTTTTGTGAAAGAAACTTCTGAGCAAAAAAAGAAGAACTTGTTTTGATGGTAACAATGGATTCTGTTCGGCTCAAATAAAACACACTTCAAATAGGCCGAAAATCTGATTTTCGAACTCCTTATTTTTTATTTCGATAACAAAAGAATCATTACGTATGAACATTGAATACTTTCAGATCATTAAGTTTTAAACGATGGCATCGACATCGACGAAATTACGTCCGTTAGTCAAAGGCAAGATTGTGAAAAAACGCACGAAGAAATTCATTCGCCATCAAAGCGACCGATATGATCGTCTTCGTGTATGTTAGCAGTTTCTCTTTTTTAAGACTTTGATTATGCAAAGTTCATTTATAGCCAAACTGGCGTAAACCAAGAGGTATTGACAATCGTGTTCGTCGACGCTTCAAGGGTGTGTTTTTGATGCCATCGATTGGGTATGGTTCAGATAAACGCACACGTCACATGCGTCCAGATGGTTTTCGTCCATTTCTTGTTAACAACGTTAAGGTAATGCTTGTTAAATTCTTCGAAATTCATCTAATGCGACTTGTTTAGGAACTCGAAATGTTATTGATGCAAAACCGTAAGTTTGCTGCTGAAATCTCTCACGCTGTTTCAGCACCAAACCGTAAGAAGATCATTGAACGTGCTCAACAGTTAGCCATTAAGGTTACCAATCCACACGCACGTCTACGTGCCGAAGAAAAAGAATAAATCGCAACAATGTAACAAAAGCAAACAAGCCGAACATCAGTTACAAGGAGAAATCTGATTACAACAAACAAAAATATGTCAAACACATTGTTTTTGTGTCTTTGCTTTGTTGGTTACTCTACTATCATTTGAATAAAACGATTGATGAGAACTATATGATTGCTCAAGTTGGGTTTTTTTTAGCTTATAGGATCATGTCAAGAGTTAGCTGAGTAATTTGAAGATGAGTTCGTCATTATGATTAATTAGATCTACTTTGAGACTGACGATCACACACGACTTGAGAAAGAACTCTTTCTAATCACAACTACGTCAGCATCACTGCTCAATTCGTACAGGTTTCATTTCAAATATTCCAGTGTGTTTTGTCTTTTCTAGATATAGAAATCTAATTTCTATTCTTCGATCTTCTAGCAATGCTTGTATGTTATACGAAATGTAATGAAAACGATTTTCGATAATTTTGTTTCTTTTTTAAAGACAGCTGAGCATAATGTGGATATTAATGATGGAAAGGTAAGATGCAAAGCAAATTACCACAGCAAGAGCTGCATTGAAAATTATCTTTAGCAACAACATAGTGATACGGTGAACCTGAATGAAAGTGATATTAGTATTGATATATCGGATGCGCTTAGTGAAAAAGAAAAAGTGAAATTTACTGTGCATACAAAGGTACATCCATTGTGAATGACAATTTGTTTGGAAAATAGGACTTTCTTTTGTTTTTCATAGTCGAAACTATCGATTTTTCAAGAATCGGAATTTAGTGTGACACGACAACACGAAGAATTCATTTGGTTGCATGATCGTTACAACGAAAACGAAGAATATGCTGGCTTAATTGTACGTTTTCCTCTTTCGTCGTTAGTTTTGCTCTGAAAATGAAGCTGATGCTTAAATTTAGATTCCACCAGTTCCACCTCGTCCGGATTTCGATTCATCTCGTGCAAAATTACAAAAACTAAGTGACAGTGAAGGTTCATTAACGCGAGAAGAATACGAGAAAATGAAACAGGAACTCGAAGCGTGCGTTGAGATCTTCTATCACTTCACGATTGTCTTTATTGCCTCCTTTTAGCGAATATTTGGCTATGTTTAAAAAAACCGTTTCAATGCATGAAGTTTTCCTACAACGACTCGCAGCACATCCCATTTTTCGTAATGATAATAATTTTCGTGTATTTCTCGAATACAAAGAAGATGTAAAGATTTCTCCAAAATGCATATCGACAATCTTTTCATGCTATGTTTAGTTGAGTGTTCGAGGTAAAAATGCTAAAGAACAAATCACTGGCTTCTTCAAAACATTAACCAAAACAGCGGATGAAGTTCTTCTTGCAAATCAAAAGGTTTGCATATCAAATGAAGCTGCTCAAGAAGATTAATAATCATTTCTTTAGGAAACTGATGAATTTTTCGAGCGCCAGAAACAATTCTTATTAACGTACAATACGAAAATCAAAGAAGCAACAGCTGCTGCTGACAAAGCAACTCGTACCCAAAAAAGTGAGTCTACCGTTCGTCCATTTACAGTCCTTGATGACCAATTTGTTCTAGATATGATCGATACATACATTAAACTATCTAGTGGTTTGAATACTCTATCAACAACGGATAAAAGTGATTTAACTAAGTAAGTCTAAACTCCCTCCCATCTTTTTTTTATTGATTTTTTTCCTTCTAGATACTTTCTTCTCCTAGCGGATTTCTTTGAAAAAGCCCGAGTAAGATGCCATTCTAAGTTTTCATGTTTCTATTCTGTTTGATTTTGTAAAAAGAAATTAGAATCGCGTATCCAATCAGATACCGATCTAAAACTATCCGATACATTACGTTACTATATGCGAGATTCGAAGGCTGCATTGGATTTGATGTATCGTCGATCGCGTTGTTTAGCTGATTTCGAAACGGCGAATAAGAATCTAGATCGTGCGCGACAAAAGAATAAAGACGTTCAACAAGCAGAAACAACTCAACAACATATCAAAACAAAATTCGAAACAATTTCGGGCAAAGCAAAAGAAGGTGATTTATTTTCTTTCAGTGTCTATTTTATATGGAAATATTCGAAATTCTGTTTAGAATTAAACGATTTTAAAACACGTCGGGTACAAATGTTCCGAAAGAATCTGATTGAATTCACTGAATTGCAAGTCAAACACACGAAAGTAAGTTTTCCTTGCGAATCTCAACAGTTTTTTGAAGAAATGCTTTTCATTTAGGCTCAGATTCAAACCATCAAGAGTTTCATTCAACAATCGGAAACTCTCGCATAGATAATTTTCAATATTCAAATGTAAATCATCATTAGTATCAAGAGAAAACAACCGAGCCTGTGATTTAAGCAAATACTCTTCGTCTTTTCTTCTAAATCAAAATCAAAACAGAAATAGACTTTTCGTAATTTTTCCTATTGGTAATTTCGCCTTTTATTCATTTTTCTCGTCTAATTGTTAAAACAGCATTTTATGAATTATTTATTGTATAAACGAAAATCTTCAAAAGCAAAAGATCTGTGCATTTTTTGCCATACACACGATAAGATAGGTCGTCGATAGATGTCACGCATCGTCAATACAGATAATTTTCTATTGGATTAATCTGTATATCCATTGAAAGCGACGGTTTGCAGTTTTTTTTGTCTTGTTGTTTATTCATATTTGTCAATGAGCAATTGAAAATAAGTTGGTGGGATGAATCGATCTTCGGTAGTTCATTCGAATACAACATTATCATCCGACTTACCACTCCATTCACTCAATAGCAACACGATGCAGCACCAACGACAACAACGTCGTCAAAATTATCGTGTCGCACCATCAGCATCATCAGTAATTGATAATCGTCTAGTTAATTTGTATGCTGATCTAGCCGCACTCGAACAGCGACATGTCAATTCGTCGACACCGTCAATCGATCTGAATCGTTTGAATGCTTTGCTTGATGCATATCGTTACAGTTGCTTACAATTAAAAGCACGCTATAAGATCGAAGAAGAACGAATCAGCCGTCGTTTTGATTTAGAAACGCGCTGCACTCAACAACATTTCCAGGCAAAAAAAAGCGAATTGAAAGAACTTTTACTCGATCGTCTTCGACGTAAACGTAAACTCGTTGTCGAAGAGATGCGCTCGGCTATTGATATTCATTCACGTTCGTTTGACGCGGACCCATTACTCGTCACAATGCAACCACCGCATCCATTGCAAGCTAAAGCGTATAATTTCCGACAACGACCCGACATCGGTCAGCAAACAACAGCGTCTTCTTCGACGGCGAACGATGATGAATTTTCAAGCTTGTTAACTATGAATGTCATGGGCAGCAGCGGCATTCTATCACCGATTCCGCCACAGCAAGCCGCTCGAAAACGTCTCGTTGGAGCTTTCAGCATCTTTCAACTGCCGAAATGGACAATAAAAGATGACGAGTGTGAAGACGATTTAAGAATAATAACAAACAGTCGAAAATAACTTATTTTCTTTTCGATATGTGTATATATGATTTAGAATGGCAGAAGACTGCGTTCGATGTGTTGTTTTTCTTCTTGTAATAAAACATTTCTTGTATTTTTCCTTGTTTAGTGATTTGATAGTATTTTGGTTTATTCTAGATACTAAGTTTTCTTGACTGTCTTCTAAGAGAAAAGATCATATTTAAGTACTTTCGAATGTGTCCAGTTGAATCAGTTAGACAGACGACGTGTTCGTCGAGAAGAACATCAAATGGTAAAGTATCGCTGAAGATGATAGAGAAACGCTTGAGTCATTTGAGACAACAGTTACGAAATTTAACTAAACGGCAAATACCTCATACAATCAGTAACCTCCTCGCAGAACAAGACAGTGATGATCATGACGAACATCAAAGGCAATACAAACAACGTTTACATCAATTGTTAAGATTATACGACAAACAAGTATGAGGAAGGATTTTGGGGTATAGACGTTCTTCATAAATGGATATTTTAGGTGAAAAGTTTGAATCATTGGCATAATTATCGCTCGGATATTATTGATCACATGTATCGCTATGAAATCCAATTGTCGAAAGAAACATTTCAAACGCAAAAACTCGATTGTAAATTGAAACTACTTGCGACATGGCACGATCAACGACGTTTTCTCGATTTCAAATATCAAAATATTAGTATTCATTCTTATAACTTTCCAGACCATGATCCACGTCTACGCAATCAATCGACTGATGGCAACGACGGGCTTCCACTCGATGGGCACATCTCCAACGAATCGACACAACGTTCAACGTACAATCTCAGACGAGCGATAGGCAGTGATTGTTCTTCGGAGACTTCCTCACTAACATCGACATCGTTGAAAGACTTGTCAATCTTCAGTCGAAGCAATTCTCTTTTACCACCCTTCGGTGGAATTGAACTGCAACGTTGTTTATCAACAACAGTCATCGAGCAGGATATTCAAGACATTCAAAGGAATCTTTTTCATACTGAAAGGCATCTATTCACTCATCAAGTTGATGAGCCGACAAGAAGGTCGTCTTCAATTGACGTACGAATTGAAGATGGTCGTTTGTGGTACCAGAACGCCTGGTTTGCTCGTAATGCGCATATCTTTCTCGTCTTTGATGGTCTAGAAATCGTCCCCGCACTTGTTTTGTCTATCGGCCGAAACGATTTGCTTGTACGCCGTTTAGGAGCGAATGTTAAACATCGTATTAGTCTTTCACTTCTACACGACGGCCATGTGACTATTCGTAAACGAAATTGTAACACATAGACTCCGACATTTTACATAGCATAGAAAATTGTTGATAAGTAATTTTTATAATGAGAAGAATTTTGATTTTTCAAGATGACTTCATCGAATCAATTGTCTCAAGATTTTGCCTTTTTTATCCATCATTCAGCTGATTCACGAACATTAACAACGCCAGATAATCTCGAACGGACGTGTTCGATTTGTTTGAATCTGCTAACAACATTTCCATCGGCACGCGATGCAATCTTCGATTATTTCAACTCACTAATCCGTGTCGGTGTACATTGTTTTATTCAAAATGTTTCCTTAGTTGCGAGTAATCCATCAACGAGCTCCTTTGCGTAAACTTTCTCTCAACTCGATTTCTGTCTAGACGTAAGCGATTTGCTAACAACGATTGAATCAAAACTAATTTCCTTGGCAACGCAGTCGCAGAGTTGGGCAGACATCCTTGCACAAGTGAGCTAGAAATTAATTATTAAGATTATTTATTCAATTCGATCATTAGTGGTCAATCGATCAATTATTTGATCTCACTGTTCGATATGCCAATGAAGCAAACATTAAAAAATGTGAAACATTGGACGATCGAATTCATTTATGGACACAATGTCAAGCAGCTATGGTATTAATTAAGATATGTTCCGCCTGCATTACACATGAGTAAGTTGTATAAATCATTGATTGTCCTAGCCATCCATTCGTATTGTCTTTTCAGCTCGACAACTGCAAATAATGCACTGAATAAATATCTCGAAGCGTCGATACGTAGTCGGCCAGTTTTTGATTGGGTTACTGTCTCTTTAAGGTAACAAGTTCTGATTCTTGTTCCAAATTCTACTGAACTGTTCTCTTAGTTTACGATGTGGTCAAACTCTTATCTCACATTTGATCCAACTAAGTTTACAAGAAGCCAGTCAATTTCAGATTGTTCATGGTGTGCGAAGTATCTATGCTGTTTGGTCGTCACTTGAGATCATTGCTGAACAAGAGCCTCAAGTATTTCATCAAGTTCTTACACAACAAATTCAATCGTTATTAGCAAGTGATGATATTCAAAAGCATGTTTCTATTCTTCCATTGATACAAATGATATTTGTGGTGACGACGGGACCTTTGTGTGATATCGTCTATTATTCTCTCTATCGATCCTTAAACGCTCTCAATCTGCGTCGTTTGTGTTCATCAATAAGACAAACGAAAAGCATCGACATTCCACAGTAAATTCGCCTAATTTTTCCTCCGTTCTTCGCATCTAAACTGATTTTTCATTCGAAGGTTAACCAATGAATTTCTATCAGGCTTACTGCGAGTTCGCACTGATGCATTTCAAATCATTCAGTTCATTCTTAGTTTCATTCACGAGGAAATTCCTGCAGGTACTCACCATCTTATCTCTTTCAACAAGTACTTCATTTCGAATTTGTAGATCAAGATGAAATTGAACTTACATTACACCACAGTTGTCAACACATTCTGCAACAACTATGTCATGAATGTCATTATAAATTTCGTTTACAAAAAGATAACCAAAAACCAGCCATACCGATCTTGTCAACATTACGCTTGTCATTCGATTATCTTCTCGATCTTTTAAACTATACAAAACATCCGCAAAAGATTCAACTCGTCAACGATCTGTGCTTCAACATTGCGCTTTACAATGGCGATGAAACAATGATAAAATACGTTCAGTATATATTTACAAGGTCAACTGCGGTAAACTTTTGTTGAGATACGAATACAGTTCGATGGAGTTTCATTCATTTGATTTTAGATTGATATTTTACAAGATGTCTATCTAGAATTTGAATATTACCATTCCAATTGTGTACGTGATAGTTTGAATCTGATATTTGAACAAGATGATTCATCAAAAATCGCAATATGTCTCGAAAATCTTCTAAAACTGTTGTCAATTGATGAACGAACATTCTCGAATAGGTTTGTCATTAGAATATCCTCGTCTATTAGACATTTCTTGATCTTTCTCTCTAGTCGTTCAATCCATTCAATCATCTGGTCATTAATCACTCATTTCAGTCGATTTTTAAGTGAAAATGCCGCTGATTATCATCTTATCTGTCAAATCTTTCTTCAATTACATTGCTACAACACGTTACCATCATATGAGCATATTCTTCAACTTGCTTGTTCATTCACTGATCTACATATGAAAATCATCGAAGATAACGATGAGAATCTAATGGACAATCTGCTTCTCTGGCGCGATACTCTCTGGAATTTCCTAAGTTTTAACAACCATGATTTTCGTTTATTCACAATGATTACATTAATCGATGTAATCGTACCTAAACTAAGTGTAAATGATTTCCTCCTTGAATGCAAAGCGCTCATCCGTGCTTGTCGTTTGATTTAGCCTTTTGATAAAATTGATGATACGAGCACAACACGTCGCACGATGGATGTATCAAGTTCACTTCTAGAGCAGAATCTTAGCGTGAACAACATGATTTCCAATCGAGTACCATCGCGGTCATTCAAAAAGAATTTCATGACTGATCGATGGATTAAAATACCCATTCAGGTAAGAAATAAGGACGACGAATAGAATCTACGACTGCATTTTGACTCTTATCTTTAGCATCTGGATCAATATAACATATTGATGACCGATGTGTTCAATGAATTGATATCGAATGAAAATTCGCAGAAATCACAATTAATTCTGAGTTTAGCAACATCACTAATTGATAATATCCTCCCAGATTCGACGATCGATTCTCAGTTTGATGATGATCAGTATAAAACACCGAATGAAAGGTAAATCGAAATGATAGTATCGATGATTTTGAATAAATTCTTTCCTATTTTAGAAATTTAGCATTAATTCGTCGACTTGACGATCAACCATTTGTATGGATACTATTCGAAATGATTGCAACAGGTTAACTCACTCATACCTCAGCAAATTGACTCTATTTTTCTTTATAGATAGTACTGCCTTTCATCTGTGCATGCCAATCGTTCGTTGTTTATTGTGCGCTTTGATTGTTCAATGGGAGAACTTTCGTGGTGAAGATCGAGCAAAAACTTTTGTCAAACAACTAATGCTCTCCACAAATTTAATCATTCTTCTGAAAAAAGTACGAAATTGCGTGGAATGTTTTCTCTCATTGAATTCTTGTCTTTCTTCTAGGCTCGTTTTCTTCCGCCCCCGTTGAATGAGATCTACGAACTATTTCCATTCATCACAGCCTACGATTGTTTTACACTTTTGTTAAACATCTGGAGTTATTTGAAGCAAAATCAACAGATGTCTCAAACAAGATTATTACCCACCTCGCAACCAATGATCGCTCGCGATTCGATTTACTTCGATCCTATTCGATATGTCATACAAAAGAATATTGCAGATGTTGGACCTATCGCTGAACATTTTCTTCATTTACAATTACAAAACACTGTCTCGATTTCGTGATAGCAAAATCTTTTTTTTTCCTCTTCTTTCCTGTGTGTTTCGTATCAATCCGGTGACGAGTTCAATATAAATACAAATAACTCCATGTCAGATAGAATAAAGCTCTTCTTCGAATTGTCTAGTCACTTACTTTGACTGAGAGGAGTCCTTTGCTAACTTAAGTTTTGATTAAAAGACTCACGTATGGCAAAATGAGATTGATGAAGAGATATAAAATATTAAGAAGGTCACGTCTGTCGAAGTAAATGCATCATATTGAATGAAAAACCTTTAATCAAGTGTGACAATTTCGACAGCTCATCAAAAGCTAGTTCAGTTATCTTCTATCTACCGCTCGGGAGATCGATTTTCTGGATTATTTGTACAATCAACAAGTATTTAGCACAGTTCGGCGTAATGGCAGAACAACTGTTACGTCCGAGCATCGTTTACATGTCATTAAGATGCAGATGTATTTCGAGGTCGACCAGCAGACGAATTGAGAAATGATGATATGAAACAAATTGAAGGACTTCGAAATGTTCGGTGTGAATAGACTCTTCTGAATACTTTGGTATATTAACCAAGGACAATATGAGTTTTTCTCACCTTGGGTTACACAAATAATTGCTATCAATACCACACGAGGAAATTGTGTTATGAAAATTCATTTATTTACCGTCTGCTTTGTTCGACGACGACGCGACGTGATTCGTAATTCGTGTCATCGAAAGCAACTGCAAATCACGGGTGAAACTTTGTCAACAATGTTCAAGTAAGTAGTGATGTAGTCGGAAGCATTTGACTCACTTCGCTTAATTTGCATAACAAAACTAATGACATCTGTATAGGATTCCTCTCGATTGGCTATTATTTCTATCTAGTAGAACGATGTCTCATATTACACATCAATCAATCAGCCGCACGCACTCATTGCCTTCGACCGCAAACATCTCAATGTTAGATAAATAAGGTTTCTAGGCAATTAGAACTTTAAACCAAGTCCTTTTTTTTGAACAAGAGATGCCGATTGGATAGATAGAAATCGTTCATCCTGCTTTTCCTTCTGTTCATAATGACAGACATGGCGCTGTCAGCCATCTGTCAACATTTATTGACTATCTTCTTCTCGTCTAATCTTTTTTTTCACCCGACTCGTACTGTCACTAAAGTACATAAATACACCAAAGAAAAACATGTTTCGTCATCAGCAATCAATGTACGTAAGTAACATAAAGGCTTTCTTGATGTTCTTATTCATACTGTTTAAACCAAAGCTTGCTGTTGTTGTTGTTGTTGTTGTTCTTTTTCTTCGTGAGAGCGTGAGTTTTGCTTGTTAAACAAGGCGATCTAGTCAAAAGCAGTGCTATGTTAATCTCAATTCCGTCCAAATTCGTTTTACGCTCGAAAATAGAAGCTCTGTTAATCAATTCCCTAATGTCTCAAACTTCCTTCCTACGCGAAAGAAATTTTCCAATCACATAGTCGCTTATTGATCAAAAATTATCATAAATATTGCATTCTTTTAATTTCGCCAATTATATAACTGCGGAGAGAATTGAAAAAAATGAATTTCTATAGTATCCATCCCTCGATGCCTTTTCTTTTGTCTTCACTTATCGATACGTTTAATTGAATATTTTTAGATCATGCTCATGTTTCGATCATTGCCCAGATATTCATCTATTTCTACTCGATTGATACACTCTGTAAGACGACAAGAGAACCTAGGCAAGAAGAAGGTGATTGTCCTAGGTGCTGGATGGTACATATTGAGAAGTTTCGTACTTTTCCGGAGATTCGAACTCTTCCTTTCTTTCATAGGGGTGGATTTCAATTCGTTCGTTATTTGAACCGAAGTAAATACGACGTTACTTTAGTAAGTATTTTTGCTTCTGTTGATGTTCTTGGTCGGAGATAGAGAATCTAGGGAAAGGAAAACTTCGAAGATCTCTTATCTTATATAATACCGTTTAAGGCAAGGTCGACCATTGAAATTTAGTAATGATGAAAAGAAAAAAATTCTCACCCTAATGAACACATATCTTCCTCATGACTGATTTCATTCGGAAATTTTCTTCTTCCTTTTCTCTCGTTCTTTCTACTGTGCGTACATGCGTCGAACATCAAAAGACGAATTGATTAATCTTTGAAGATGGTCTTTGTATTGATAGGTTTCACCGCGTAATCATTTTCTGTTCACACCATTACTACCATCGACAACAGTTGGAACATTAGAATTTCGTTGTATTATCGAACCCGTCCGAACACTATCAAATCTACACTATTATCAAGCACATTGCGATGAAATCGATTCGCAAAAGCATCAAATCCATTGTCGAGACTTTTTCAATAATAGCAAAGAATTTACACTTGATTACGATTATTTAGTCTGTTGTCACGGAGCGAAATCGAACACATTTCATGTTCCGGGTGTTGAGCAACATGCGTTTTTTCTTAAACAACTTTCCGATGCACGTGCAATACGTAATCGTCTTATGGAATTGTTCGAACGTGCATCAAATCGGTTCATCTCAGACGAAGAACGAAAGGCGTTGACAACATTTGTTATTGTCGGCGGTGGACCAACATCGATTGAATTCAGTGGAGAGCTACATGATTTTATCGTCGAAGACGTTGCAAAATGGTTTCCCGATGTCAAAACGCATGTCATTGTCGTCGAGAGTACCGATCATATCTTGGGAACATTTGATTCGAAATTAACAGACTATGCGATGAACATTTTAAAATCACGGTCAGAAATTACATTAAAAACAAATACACACGTGAAGCGAGTAGGAGAAAATGAAGTTTTACTGAGTAATGGTGAAATAATTCCATGTGGAATCACAGTATGGAGTACGGGTAAGTAAAGGAGAGTTTCAATGTCATTAGTGTTCTCTTAAAAGGATAAATAAAATCGAAAGAGAATGTCTAGACACCTCTTTCAATGAACATATAAAAAACCAGGGTAGATTGCTGTTTAATAATGTTCTAATTTTGCTCGACACGAAGCGATACAGCCTTTCAAGAGGACTATCTCATCAGTGTAATTTAACCTGCGATGTATTCGATTTTCTAGGTCTTTCTCCTAATGAATTAACGTCGACATTACCGTTCTCGAAAGAAAAACGTTCAGGACGAGTTTATACTAATGATTATCTTCAAGTTCTGCAAGATGGCCAAATACCGGTGAATAACATCTTCGCTCTAGGCGATTGCGCCACACCGGTGAACCGCGCGATCCCAGCTACTGCTCAAGCAGCAGTACAACAAGCGAAATATCTTGCTAAACGATTCAATCAAAAGGAATTTTATTCGAAAAATTCGAATGAAATCAGCAATGAAAATTACGCGGCGTTCAATTTTAATAATTTAGGTATGTTGGCTTACCTGGGCGGTTACGGTGGTTTAGCTGATTTAAAACAAACCAAAAGAGCCGGTTTCTTATCATGGTTACTATGGCGATCAGTTTACATGACGCGTTTGGTTAGTTTTAAGAATCGATTACTCGTGTAAGTAAATTTTCCACTTGAATGTATTGCATCGATGTAAAATTTCCTTTACTCTAGAGCTATGTTTTGGTTTAAATCATTTGTATGTACACAATTGTATTTGAAACTAATATTCATATGCTTTGTTCTAGGTATTCGGTCGTGATATTAGTCGATTTTAGAAGCCATAATCTCCTCATTTTCATTAGATCCTTTATAATCGAGCACGCTGAATTTTTCTGTTCTTTTCAGATTATTTAATCTCGGTAGTATTATGTTACTTGAACGATGTGTATCCGTAGCTTAACCCTAGTATTAACTCTTGCTCTTTTCCAAAGTATTATTGGCAGTCGGATTGAGGTTGATATTCCATCAATATCCCCGTCACACATATTCGAACTGTCATCAAACACATCGCAATTTCTCCATCGTGATGTACTTTACGGTCTTGTTGACGGTGCATCGGGCGCCATTCCATCGGCCATTCAAATTAGAGCGTCTTATGAACAGTTGCAAATCGAACGATTATTCAATTTGTTTGAACCGAGTAATAAACAAGAACAACAACAACAAAAGATAAACAAAGAGCCGATTTTTCGAAGTTATTTACTTACACCAACATTTAATCGATCTCATCCATTCGTTCGAGTATTGATTGCTTCTGCTCTCGGCTCCTATGAGAAAAATTCCACGTTGCCCATGTGCGCAATTGTTACCGCCGTTAACGATCAGAATCTATATGAGACTCAAGCTTGTGTAGTATCACCCAGCACTGGTTATTGTTTAGTGACATTACCTGTATTAAAAATGGTGGAATATTCGACGAAAAACCAAACATCAAATAAAATCGAACTCTACCTCAAAGTAAGATCGATGAAAGCATCTCTCGTCTCACATTTTGATAACGCTACTCCTTTTCTTCATTCAGCTTCATCATGTTGCAACAGCGAACGATTGTCTAGCTGATCACACACCTCGGCAAGATCACATTCATCAGGAAACACGTATTGGTCATTCGGAATATCTCGAGAATGATAATATTATGTTTACTACTATCACTCGTTCATCCGTCGCGGTTGACTATCCGTATGGTGTTCATTATGCGAATTGGCATTTTCCATTGAAATTAAAACTTTTCCTTTCGTCAACCGTTCCATCATCATTTATTATACGTTGTCGTCTACTATCACATTTTTCTATCCTATCCATTCGGAAACATCATTTCAAACTTGCAAATTATGATATTCGATTGAACCAAACGATCTCGAATCGATCGGCATCGACCACAGATATCGATTTTCATGTAATTATCAATCGAACGAACAAAATCGAGCAAAAGTCGTCAGTAGAAATCGATTTAGCATCGTTAACCTTACTTATTAATTCTACTAAGCAATTAAAGCCGAGTTCAATTTTCTACATCGACTGGTTTCTCCTATCGAACAACTCTTTCGATACGAAGGAAGCAATTTTTCGCGTGCCTATTCAAGTTCAATACGATGATATTCAAACAATCGTCGCGCTCACTGATTTTACTAGTCTGATCAACATCGCGATGTTAACAATGCAGATCCAACAATTTCCGTTGAAAATTCTTGCCGTTAATCATTCGGGGTACGCGAATATTTGATCTTTTTTCCAAAGAAATCTCGTTTATTTTTTCTGTCAGTTCTATTCAGCCGGTTTCTCAAGCGGTGTGTCATTCGGAGAATATCTATCTTATTCAAGTCGACTCCAATTGCAATCATATCTATTTTTCCGGTCACGAACGTGATGATTTTTTCGATCATATCAATAGTCCAACGTCGATTGTTATTCGCCATGAAAAATACCTTCAACGTGTGCATTTCACTATCTATATTCCTGAACGACCACTGCGTATCGAATTGAGTGACATGAAATTATCGCGGATCAATGGCTGGTTCATCATGAATCGTGAAGAGGATCAACAGAAATCCGGATCATCGACGAACGTATCTGAAAATGAAGAAGAAGACGACGAAGAAGATGACGATGACGACGACGACGAGGATGAAGATATCAAATGTTATCCTGTATACCAGATATCACTCGTTGACGTTTATACGAAATTTTATCGAACGACGCAAAGTAAACTGCCGCGATGAAATATTTTTCTTTATTTCGAAGTTTCGTTTCTAGATGGCGATCGTATTTATCTTTTCAACAAATTAAATGTTCTCATTACACCATTTGTTCGTAATCATCTCGAAACCGATGATAAACGTGTGGCCGTCATTCGCAACGGTCGAGTCATGGGTGTCGGACCAGGCAAAACAAATGTTCGAGTAAATCAAATCCAAATCTTCTCCTTGGAAACTATTCTCACTTGTTTGTTTTCCATTTTAGATCTATTCATTTACAAATAAACTTCCAATAGGTTCGAAAACACTCTATGTTGACGATCAAGAACTGACTCGGGTGCAAAACATTTCATTCAATCTCATCACAAATATCGACTTACAAACACATTTCATCGAACATGTCGATCCAATCTACAAAATCCAATTATTCATGAAACCGATTTTCAATCGATTCAATCTCGACCATCGAAATCAAGTAATATCACCTACATTCTCTGTATTAATCTTCCATATTGTTATTTTTCATCTATAGTTCGGTCAAATCAACATTATACTAACATATTCAGATAACACATCCATATCCTTAGATGAAATTCCATCCGATTATTATCAACTCGACTTCGACTTTTCGCGTACAAATCCTTCGCTGATCCGTTTCGATGCGATGACCTCGTGGAAGAACTTGCTTATCTCTCCGTTAGCTATCGGTCAAACCTCATTACATGCTCGTCTCAAGTTAGGTCAACAACAATGTACAGACGATCGAAGTTTTTCCCAAACAGATCTTGTTTGTGACCTAATCATCGATTCGAATAACACGCAACGAAATTCGAATCATCCACATTCATCATCACAGCAGTCAACAGATCATTATGTTATATTAAACAATCACAATGACCAACGAACAAGAACTTCGCCATTTCTCATAGCAGTATCGATTCTTCTAGGTGCATGTATTGTTTTATTCCTCGCTTTTCTTATTCATTGGTTTGTACATTTTTACTATCAAAGAAAATCAGCAGATCCGCTACGACGACGAAGACATTCAACTCAAAGCGGTGCTGAAGAAGCCAATCATGATTGGATATTTCTCGATCGAAACTCGCTTGAAATGCCAATCAAACAACAACAACAGCAACAAACGAGTTCCCCGTCGATACACAGTTCCACGTTTCATATCACATCGAATCCGTTGATTAACGCATCTACCTTACAACGACAAAAAGAATTATCTGAACTTTCCCATTCCCAGATGATCGCCTATTTTGATAATTTAAAAGAATCTCACGCTTAAAACTCGCTTCACTCGTTTTCTTTTTGACATCAACACCGGTGTCAACTCTAGTCATATGAAGATTACACAGTGAACACGGTTTTTATTCAAACGACAGTGGACATATTCTTGTTCGTCTACGATGTTTTTGCAATGCTCAATTTGTCAAATATACCTTCGAAATTTATTCGACTATTTCAAATTTCATTTTGCCAAATCATGACATAATTAAAGATTGACAAAGTTTCTTTTTATATGTTGTGCATTTTCATACAATTTGTATTTATGTATTGAGTTGTTTTTTTTTCTTTCTTTTATGTGTGATTATTAGTATTTTTTTTTATTTAGAAAAGAACTAAAGTATTCTATTAATAAACAAACGTACACAAGACAATATCGATTCAGATAGGGTTCATTGAGCCGGCGTTGCCTGTCGTTCGGGTAGTTGCTCTTTATCTGGTGTTGGAGGAGGCTGCTCTGTTGGCGGATCATATTGAGTACTAACCGAACGGTTCTGTGGATAAGAATATGAAAGATATTGTTCGGCTGTAGAAATAACGACAGGTTGTTGTTGCGGAGAATAGGATGTTTGTTGATGGGAATGCGGACTGTATTGAGAATTGATTTGTTGGATTTTGTCAGCAGGTGCCATTCGACCAACTAATCGGATCAGGCCTAAGTTTTTGATTCCGAAACAACTTAACGGTGCATTGATATGTGGATGTAATTCTTGGCCATGAAAGGCCAGATTCTGTAAGATTCGTGGAACGCGAAAGTCTCGTTCGATGATGTTCATCAAATCGTTGACGGTAGGTTCGGCACCATCATATGCCGGTACAGATATCTCATGAATATCTCCACCGAAATGCAATTGAAGTTTGACACAAAACACTCGCGGTTGGTACATGACGTCGTGTTAAAATGGAAGTATAATTCGATTCTTCTTTGTTTGCAAACATACAAGCAGAAGTGTTACTTGATCGTGTTGCTATTGGCGTTACGAAGTGAAAAAAGAACTCCAAGAAGAAGAACGAGGAAAGGAATATTTGCGATCGTTTTCTTTTTTTTCTTCCATATTGGTAGTTATAACAAATAGGAATAATCGGAACATTTTATTTGTAAAAAACAACAAATAACAATAATAACAATGAAAAGAAATGATTTACTCCATATCGGATAACTGCTCATCTTCACTTAATTCAAGATCGTTGCGTTTATTCCTTTTCGATTTTTGTATTTTCTAAAAGGTAAAAAAGAATCTTTTAGGAAATGATTGTCGCACGAAGTTCAGTTACATTGAATCTTTGTGTTCTTCTCAAACGTTTTAGTTTGCTGTATTCTTTGGCGATGTCATCGATGTTTTTTTCATTTTCAGCGCGTTCGACTTCCGCACCCATGATTCGTTCGTTTTCTGCTTGTTCACGACGTAGACGTTTCAAACGCTTTTTAAGATTTTTTTCTTTTTGAATCGAAAAAGCGACAGTCTATTCAACACACAGGGCAAATCTACAATCGCTTTTGAAAAAAGTCTTTCTTTCCTACTTTGACACGTTTTTGCGGCTTTAAAGTTGGATCTTCTTTTTCCATTTGTCGTTTCTTTGCTAAACTCTTGTCCCTGTTAACAAAAAATCATCGTTCTGCAATTCAAAATTTCGTAAAACTTGCTTGTAGGGAATCGCATCAGCATTAACAGTTTGGCCTTGATTAAAATTAGATATAACCCGATTTTTCAGCTCAGGCATTCTCGGTAGATGAACAAGTGCGAATGCGCCTTCGGCCACTCCACCTAGATCTAGTTCTTTCAAACGTAACAGCAGTGAGCATTCATGTTTAGCATATGCTTGAACGTAGGAAACAAATGCTTGCTTTGATCGATCATAAATGGCTCTAATCATATGAAATTTTAGTAAAAATCAAGCCTTCTCCGCGTTGCAAATTCCTACTTATCACTGGTAGCTAATTGTCGTACAGTAGGTATGACATTTTCGATCGTGTTGATATCCGGTGTCGTCATTTCAGTCAACGGAACTTTTTGGCTGTTGAGAAGGAAATTTACATAAGCAGCTTCATTTGGTAGAAGCATTAGCAATGCGTTACCAAGTCTTCCGAGACGAGCTGTTCGACCACAACTAAAACACAGCTCAAGAATCAATCAGACAAAGCAACAATAAAATCTTGAGATGTACCGATGGACGAATTGCACAACTGTAGTTGGTGGATCGTATTGAATGACCCAATCGACATCAGGCAAATCTATACCACGCGCAACAATATCTGTACACAGAAGAATTGCCGTTGTTGTCGTCGACGTTTCTGCACGAAATTGTTCAATAACTGTCGTACGTTTATTTCGCAATTTTCGATGCATAGCATAAATTGTTGTCGATGTTGATGACTGATAGAGATGTTTCAATACACTAGCAAAATACTGCACACAGGCACATGTTGAAAGAAAGATCATTATCTTTGCTGGACGTTGTTCATTGATGAAGTGTACTAGTTGACTAAGTTTTTCGTTCGGTTCACAAATCTATTTGAGAAGAAGGTTTCCTTTGTAGAATGTTGAAAAAAAAACGAGCGACAAACCATGTAGAAATTCTTCAATGTTGATGGAGTACGTTGATTAGCAGCTGAACCCGTTTGTTTAACAGTGATTCGAACAGGATTTCGAAGGCCAGCACGAATGAGTTTTTCTAATTCATCAGTTTGTGTGGCTGAAAACAGTCCAGTTCGTCGTTGTTTCGGTAGAGAATCGAAAATGGTATTAAGACTACAAAACAATAGAAGAAATTCGTTCTCCTATTCTGAATTCTTACCTTGTGAGAAATCCTAAGTCCAATAGACGATCAGCTTCATCCAAGATTAACATTTCCTAAACAACGATTATAATCAAGACGACTTTCCAACTAGAATAGTACACGTACAAGACTTTTCAGATTGGCGATAAGATTGAATGAACTAGTTTTAATTTTTAATAATTCTTCGATTCGACCGGGTGTGGCAATAACAATCGTTCCTCCATGTTGTCGAAATTCTTCGACGTCCGCTTCATGTTTAGTTCCCCCAACAAATTTGATACATGAAAAGCGTTGCTGGTCATCGAACGATTGAATAAATTCATTTGTTATGTCATACGTTTGTTGTGCTAATTCTCGTGTAGGTGAGATAATCAACGAATGAATATGATATTTATCGAATCGACTTTCGTTCGTGTATTTCTTTAGGAGCATTTCAAGAATTGGCACAACGAATGCAAGAGTTTTTCCACTACCGGTCACCGCTTCGACACAAACATCTTTATGTTGAAGAAATAATGGAATTGTAATAGCCTAGATTGAAGAAAACTCATCTGAAAAATCTTTCGTGTTATTTCATACGACCTACTTGAACAGGTGTCATTTTATTGAACTTTTTTACTTTCAAGAATTTCAATATCTTGGAATTCAATGTTGTCGACCATTGATCTGTAAATGTTTCGTTCGTTTTACTCATCGTAGTGAAAGAATCTAAAATAGGGCTATGACATATGAGGAGACGATGTTTTTGCCGTGTTTTTGTTTTATTCAACGGTTGCTAATAAGTATGTATGTGTTTTGCTCGGCAAGGACAAAAGAAGATTTTAATTTTTTACACAAGAAAAAGAGAAAACGTATGTTTATAGAACCCATTCTATCGGTAGAGATAATCAGCTTGAATATTTGCAGCGAGTTCAGCTTCCCATTTATCGCCATTTTGAAGTAATTTTTCTTTGTTGTAGAGTAATTCTTCGCGTGTTTCAGTTGAATATTCAAAATTAGGTCCCTAGAAGGCACATGATCGTTTGGATCAAGTGAACTGAAATGCTCTTACTTCAACAATCGCATCGACAGGACATGCTTCTTGACAAAAACCACAGTAGATACATTTGGTCATGTCGATGTCATAACGTGTAGTTCGACGACTGCCGTCTGCTCGTTCCTCAGCTTCAATTGTAATAGCCTAGGAAATAAATTTGATTTCTATTGTTCAAAGTTCGTTTCTACAGTAAGATTTACTTGAGCTGGACAAATAGCTTCGCAAAGTTTGCATGCGATGCATCTTTCTTCTCCGGATTCATACCGACGTAGTGCGTGTTCACCACGAAATCTCTACAAGCAAAAGAGAGGGCAATAATCACTTGATTTTCTTACCTAAATTCAGCTTACCGGAGAAAGAGGTCCTTTTTCGAATGGATAGTTGATAGTAGTCGGCTCTCGCAAAAGCCAACCAAGAGCAATCATAAAACCTAAGAGAATATCGATTAACATCGAAAATCAAAAGTACTGAAACAAACCTTTCAGTAAATCAGTCCAGATAAGCACTTGCAAACCACGTTGGGCGACTTGATACATTCCTAATGATGGTAAAGGGTCGCTAATATTAACTAAATCAATGGAACAGGAGCAATTATAAGGTCGTGATAAGAAAATGATTTGTTACCGTAGCATTGAAGCGATGGATCTTCATTAGCTTTGTATTCTTCAAGTGCTTTTTGTTGTTGTTTCTCCAAATGTGGTGGTACGGAGCTTTTGAATGGTTCCGGAGGATGAAGTTCATTTTTCTTATCACGAAAGAAGGCAGTTCGAGTGAAAATCAATCGTGGAATACCTTGATACATATAAATAATCATCGAAAAGTGAATTTGTCCGCTTACCAACACGTGAAAGATTTGTAAAACTTGACAACATGATTTCTTTGAATAAAACCAACAAACAAACTCAATCAAATATCAATCGTAATCATACACAATATACGTTTGTGGCGCCCTCTTATATTAAAATCTAGATTTACAATTAAAACCAACAAAATCACTTGTTAAAAGGAAATCTTCATCAGATAAATAATTTCCGAGGAAATTTTCGTTTTTATTCGAAGAAATTTTCCCATTGGCGGAATTTTTCAAAGCAGAAACAGAAGGAAAAAACAACAGATCGGTGACGTCACGTATACAACGCTTTGCATTGCTTATTCTATCGCAAAAGACGTTCCCTCGCATTGATATAGGTACAAAACTCACTAACTCAATCAAGGCGTGCAGTAGAAATTCTTCTAATTAGTAGAAAAGGCTAAGAATTAGATCAAACATCGAGTTCCATAACGAATTCTTGTGAGAAAAAAACAAATTGATCACTGACTGACCTTTTCATAAAATAACAAATGAAAATATAGTTTGAAGAAGTTTACACGAAATGAAAGCCTCGAATGATGACTCATCGAATTCACTAATATACTTAGTAGTTCTATATCGGTCAGCTGTAGTCATGACTCACACAACGATGTTTTTTTTAGAAGTAAACAACAACAACAACAACAAGGGTCATGTCATCCGAATGGCCCGACGCACAATTGTCGAACATACAGAAAAGTAAGCCGATTTCTACCCAATGGCGTTTATTTATTTCTCGCTTGTTTAGCTCTGCAAAATAGTTGGCAGATTCCGTACATAACACTGTATGCACGAATCTTTTGTGATGCTTTTCAACTCTTCGATTTTCATCAAGAGGTAAGAGAGAAGTCAGATCAATACGCAGACTTATGTTTGTTCTTCAAGGAACTGGAAGATGCATTACTATCTGATAATCCTGAAGAAATCCATCCTTTTCTTCAAGAACTTCTCATATCATTGCTTACCGGATTGACACGTTTACATGTGAAGTAAGATATTGATCTGATTTGAATTCAGCATGAAATAATTTGCTTTTCCTAGTTCGGGCAATATGTTCATGATGTTAAGTAGTGTCCTCAAACGATGTGATCTGACCATTGACTCGTCTTGTTCATCATTTGTGATGAAAATATCAGATGATACAATATCAACAACTGAATGGAAGGAAATGGGCATTTTCGAAAAAGTGACCGTTTTGCGTGCGTTGTGCGATGCCAAACTCAATCGACCTGACATTGAACAAGTTACCGAAGTAATACCAACAAAAAAAGATCAACGAATGAAAGTCAATTTTATTTTTCAGAACATACCAGCTGATTCACTTCGCTTTGAGCCGTTTGGCGAAGATTCCCGTGGAAATAAACTATGGTACTTTGGTGATACACGTCTCTATTCCGACTCGCCGAGTAAAGATTCTGAGTAAGTAGATTCGATGCACAGGACAAGTGATACTTTGCTTAGGCACATACTTCCGGTATTGCTAGAAAGTGTTCCACTCGTGTGTTAAGTACTGCAATTAGTTCTAACTCGAAGATATTCATCAAAAAAAGACTATCGAGAATCATTTCGGAAATCTAAAACGGTGATTAATATTCGACTTCTTGTTTTTAGAACATCCACATGGCAATGTATGTGTCGTACATTGGATGAATGGAATACATTTATCGAAAATTTTCGTAAAACATGTTCAAGAAAGAATTCAAGTTTAAAAGATCGTAAACTGTTAGAACGTTTGATTGAATTGAACGCAGAATTGCCCGAGATCTATGCGCGTAAAGAACGTGAAAGACATCGGCGTTGGACGTCTTATGAACCAAAGCGTAGTTCGACACGTCTCGAGGCTAAACGACAACAGCGCTTGGAATTGGAAGAGATAACTCAAGAACAAAAAGCACGATATGAGAAATTTCTTGAATTCAAACGACGACAAGAGGAAACGATTGCAAAGGAGAAAGAACGTTTAGAACGCAATGAACGTGTTAAACGTCGAGAAGGTTTGACCGACACATTTATTTTTCAAGTATTCGAACTTTGATACGCTTTTCAGAACGTGCAGATCGTATACGACGTCGAGCAGCAGCTGGATCATCTACAGGTTTGGTCGATGGCTCCGAAATGTCCGATAACAGCAATGCATCATCAGCATTAAACGATGAATCCAGTAACCCAATCGACACCAGTGATATACATCAAAAAGGTAAATTAAAGATTCCTCATCGATGAAAACATTCTATTCGTTTTCAGTATTAACTCTATTACGAACAAATGAGAACAGTTGGCCGTTTCTGGAACCTGTCACCGAAGAACTAGCACCGAAGTATTTTTCGATTATCGAAGTAAGTTTCAAATGAAAACTGTTTTCGTATGTCATGTTCATCGGTATTTAGAACCCAATGGATCTTGCAACTATTCAAAAGAAGATCAATGCTAAAGCATATGTCAACAATTCCGCAGAATTTGTTCGAGATGTCGAACTGATGGTTGCAAATTGTGAGCAATACAACGGCAAACGCAGTAGTAAGAAAAAGATCATTGTGTTGTTTTTGGTTCTAATTTTCACACTCGTCTAGTTCTGGGTCGATTGGCCAATCGCTTACTTCGATATTTCAAAGATTGTTGGTCAGAGTATCAACCTGTGACTCCACAATGCGACGACGATATCGACGAATTTAATCCACTTAAACGACGTTTACATGAGTCGACATCGACTACGATCACCCGCGACAAAAATAATAATACCAGACCAAGAAAAAACTATCGACAACTAGCTGGTCTAAGCGATGATGAAGACGACGACGAAGCTGAATACGTACCAGTACCAAGTTCCAAACGTGTAAGTAGTTATGATTGTTTTCCTCAAAAGAATAGACATAGAATTTGATCTTCTTCCCCAGGCTCGTCATTCAACGCCATCAGTACCAATTTATATCACGATTGATCCTAATTCTCCAGCATCAATCGTCTATCACGATCACTCATACTTTATTCGTCATGAATCTACAGATACGAATCGACGAAAGACGGCGATACCAATTTCGAAACCCTCATTACCAACTATTCAACCACAAACTCATCCTCAACCTCAAACTTCTCTACCTACAGTTCAAGTTCTCAATCGTTTACTTCTTGAACGTCAACAAAAGTTAAGAAATTCGACTACAGATCCATCAACATCATCGTCAACAACAGCTACAACAACAACAACAGCAATCGAATTCAGTGCGATTCTTCGTGCGCTTCTCGGCAAACAGGGTCAACACATAACAATTGAAAATAAACTAGATCAAAATACCGAAACGACTCTCCCTTCGTCAACCCCACCGCCCCAACCTATTGTTGCCTCTCAGGCACAATCTGACTCGTCAACCTAATTATTCATTCGAAGAAATTTTAATTCTCACGCGTCTTTTCTTTTAATTCTTCTTAAAATGTACAAAAAACCAGCTCGTTATGATTAGTTGAGAAAGCCAATCCCATGAGCATGTGTCTTCGTCGAACGTTCCTCTCTTTTTCTGTCTCTTTCTCTTGTCGTTTTTGTTTCATTGTCTATGTCCGTCTCTGTATTTGTATGTATTCGTTTTGATGCTAGCGAAACAAAACAGAACACCGTATAACAAGCGAATATAGATGAAATTCCTAAATGCAATAAGATTTCAATGGAATATTACCAAATAAATGTCTTTTCTTTTCTTTGTTCAACGATAAAAGTAATGACAGAAAGAGTATAAAAAAGAATCAAGCATGAGTAACTACAAAATACAAATCAAGCAGAAAAAATGTTGGAGTTCTGGTTACTTCAATCCTCGAAATCGTCGTAGTCATCATTTCGACGACGAGCGTTCGGAAGCAAAGCGCCTAAAGCTGAAAATTGACTGCCTGTTGAAGATCCGCTTGGTGCGATATTCGTTTTTGATATAAACTCTTCAAGACCGGACATTGGCCGAGTGTCATTGATTGGAGATGGCGGACGTCGTTCACTCGAATTTGTTGATGTTTGTGTCTATTCAACGAAAACAAGAACACATCAGTTCATTCTTCTATGCACAAATAGGAAATAATCAAACTTACATTCAGATAGTCATGCTGTGGTACGTAACCTGATGTTGAACCTCTTGAACTATCAACCGTTCGTTGAGTGCGCGTGGTTGCAGTTGACGATGACGAGATATATCCACCGATGGGTGATGAATCACGTGAGCGTTGTTCACGTTCATAGTTATTGTTCGTATTCGAGTCTGAACTGCGATATTTTGTTTCGTAGGATGATGTTGACGACGAATGATAACTATAATTTCGAGTGGAGAGCGGATTGTCAGTTGTAATCGCGTTCAATGGTCTATCAGTGGGAATTTTTCGATTGCTTACATCTTCAGTAATGTGTAAACGGGAGTAATCATCTATACAATAAGGAATTGTAGGAATTGACACTCAACAGACGAGTCTATTACCTGCAAGGTTGCTTTGTCGTTGATAGGAGTCGTTCGATGTTATTGATGGGCTTCGACTTCGTTGACGATCTAGCGTCGGGTTAGCCGGCAGTTCTATACGATCAATGACTGAGTCCGATCGCTTCGATTGGACAACAACAGGTATATCCACCAGAGCCGATGTGCTAGTTTTACCATATGACAATCTTTCACCTTCAAAGGAATAATTTTTCCGGTCGGTTTCATCTTTTGAGTTTGATCGCTGCGGTTGATTGGTTTTGTATTCCACAGGTATTTGAACTGCCGTTGGACTCGGCGATCGTCGATATTTGGAATCGGCAAGATTTTCAACTGAATTCTTTCGTTGATTCGTTCGTGTAGAATTAAAATCACCTTGGAATACATTTTCACTTGAATTGCTTCTTTGTCGCAATTGTTGAAATGTTTCTGTTGATCGATCAAGATCATTACCATAGGATGGACGACGGCCATAGCTTGATGTCTGCTCTGTCGACATCGTTACACCACTGATTAAACCATGTGCACCAAATTGTTTTGTATAACATGATTTACAATAAATTTCACCTTTATGCTCGGACAAATGTGCAGTATCTAACTTTCTTTTACATGAATAACAATTAAAACAGCTCGTATGGAACGACTACAAGAGAATATCTTCGAATTCCATATAAATGTCAAACTGTAAGACATACTCGACCAGCTCCGACTTTCTTCTCCGCTAAATAAACACTTTTGGAACATCGCGCACATTTCTCTGCGCCACCACCATAATGAGGCATTGCTGTACCTGTTTGCTGTTGTTGTGCAGATTGATTCGAACGAGTTGGATGAGGATTATGTATTGGACTGATATGATGGCCAATACCTCCTGTTGGTAGTTTACGTAGTGCTTTTGGGCTACCCGTTATACTAAAATATGAGACGAAAAAAATTGTAAAAAGCAACTCATAAAAAGCTTTCGCTCTGTTGATTCAAGAATTCGATCGTATACTCTGTATGTTCCAGGCGCATTCATAAAGTATGCATTAATGAAAAAAAACTCCTCTTCTCGATCGATCAGAATGGTATATTTATAACTATTAACCTATTCTGTCGATTTCAATGGAATAAAATCAAGAGAGAACGAATTATTGACACTTACTCAGCCACATATTCCGAATAGTTCACACGATATGTCGATGATGAAGCGTTGTCATTTGCAGATGCTCTTGTAGTAGTAGAGGACATTGTTGAAGATTTTGTTTTCCTCAATGAGTGTATATCTCTTTTAAAACTTAACGTGTTTTCGGTTTTTATATATACGACACACTTAAGTATTCACTCCTACACAATTCGCTCTTTCTTTCTCTTCTTCTTACAATATGATATTTTGTTCGTTCTCATCAAAACATGCTGTTTGTTAGCAAACAACGATGATAATAGAGGTGTAGAGAGAAAACGAAACAGAGAACGCGTTGTAATGTTGGCGAAATATTCATTCATCATGAATGTATGACTCGTTCGTCTCTTCTCTTTTACCTTTTTTGGCATCTTACATTGTCATCCGATGGAAAAATTATGCTTCATTTCAAAATAGAAAAAATTACGATCGAACGATTCATAAGTTCGCCGTGAGTCACATCTATGAATAGGTATGGAGGTGGATTAGATTCAATCAGATGAAAATCTGTCAGTCGAACACAGACAGTTGTTGTTGCTTTCAAAGTTTATCTTTGAAGGCAAACCTGTTTTGTTGTTGTCGATAATAATGACTGCGTCGATAACATGCGAAAACGAAAGATGTGTTAGACAAGGTTCGCTTGAAATCAAGACAGTAGGCTTGTTAGTGATGTGTAGGGCTCCATTCATTTAGTAACACATGTATCATTCGCAACAGAAAATGTTTTTCTATTGCCAATGTAAAACGAGAATGGTGAACAAATATTTTCCTCAGAAAATCAACCGTATAAAACATTACATTTATGTTCTTTGATTCAACAAGTCAAATATTTGAATATGATACTGTTAAATTAAAAATAAAGTTTAACTGAAGGTAATCAATCAGTATGAAATCGTTTCTTCTATCTGACTCAAATACGAATGATTCATCGGCGTGGTATGAGCAAGAGTGTCGAAGTATTGATGGTTATGTTCTGTTTCTCATTTTCTCGACGCGATGAGAACGCAAAAAGAAAAGAAATCCTTGCCGATTGGCCGTGCGTAGGCTTTCTATTTCCATTATGACTAACGAACAGGAATTGTTCGTCGTATGAGAAATATAATACTTGTATAAAATGAAAAATACATAACGTCGTTTTTCATCATTCGCTCGCCAAAAAAGAACAAGAGAAAAAGAGTACCACGATTAAAACCTACATTCGAAAGGTGAGTCCATATAATCGATAGAAATACAAGACTAACAAACGGTACTTGTTTTCATTTAGGAACATTGAAAACAACGATCTATTCTCCAATGGAAGCATTAGCTGGCGCTGGTCTTGTGCCACTACCATCAAAACCAATGATGAGAAGTAAATTCTATATTCCACCTGTTGCACAACCACAGGATCTTTATCCGGTACTGGACGAAGTGGCTAATGAAGCTAAAGAAGAAGAAAAACGAACAGACGATGCGCTAGTCAAACTAACACCGTATCCAACACTTGTGGAATTACAATCGATTATTGAAGAACAGAAGCCTGACTCGGCTTTAGTGATTCAACCACCATCGATCGAACCGCTGAAAGACTTCATTGAAAAACGTGCCGCGACTATCGAAGGACTAAGAGATCTTCGAGCTCGTATGGCAAAACATGTTTTGAATTGTAAAATATCCAACACAGTCGGTAATTCTGCGTCAATTATTGGCGGTATTCTATGTTTTGTCTTTCCACCAGTCGGTGTTCCAGTACTTCTGGCTGGCAGTGCTACAAGTCTTGGTAAATACCCACTCGTCATCATCATCATCTTCTTTGTAATGTAATTCTTTCCATATTTAGGTACGGCAATTACTGAGAGTGTCATTGAAAAGCGACTTCGAACAAAATATGTCACATTATTAAAAGATGATTCATTGGCAATGCAAATTTGTGAATCAAATCTAAAAGATATTACTGCATGGCTAGTAACTGTTTATTCACTTGGTTATTCAGTATCAAAAGCTGGTGTGAATTTCTTACAACTTGCCGAAGCTATTCAAGCTGCAGCGACCTTAGGCTCATGGGCGGAATTAGTTGGACAATTGCCCTCGCTAGCTGGAGCTTTGGCTACTGGTGCTAAAACTGCTGGAACGATTAGTGGAAAGATTCTTGGCGTGTCAGTCATTATTTCCGTGGCTGATCTGATTCATACATGGATATCGAAAAGTGCGACATTGAAATCAATCGACAAAGACATTGAATTACTTGAGCAACAATTAAAAGAATTGAAACGAATTGTGGAAGCTTATCATCCGTAGTCAGATTTATTATGATAACTATTCATAATTATTTTTAAATAGAAATAAAATAGTCTATTTTTCTCATTATTTGAGACTATTTCGAATATTCTTGAGGAATTGTTGATCTTGTTGCTAACCGTCAACGAGATTTTGTTTCACCACATCAGCGTTTGTCAAAACCATGATCCATTGCGAAATGGGCGATTGCGAACTGCCACTCTGAGCAAGAAATTTCTCATTGTATTCTTCAAAGATTTTCAAGTTTAGTCAAGAATTCGTTATCTTGTACTAATTTTCTGAAATAAACTGCATTCATAATCTCTTGTCCAAGTCTATCGATCGATGACTTATGATCCATCATCGGAAACAAACACGAAAACGAGTCTTCTCTGTGTTGCTATACATTCAATCGGATCGTTTACTTTTTACGAATGAAAATCTCTCTGTATACTATATATGTTCTTTTATTGATGTATTTACAATGTTATTCGTGTTTTTTCTACATAGAGAGAAAAGAGACAAAACAACAATAATAACAAAGAAGAATATAAGATCGAAATACAAATCACCGTGAGGCTTCTCATAAACAAATTCCCGTTTTATAAGTTAGCTCTTTGACCGTTTTCTGTTTGTTTTGCTGGTTTATTCGCAGCTGCCGTTACTGAATTGGGAGGGATGATCACTTCATTAGAATGTCGTAGTTTCCAATTAGTAAAAACAACAATACAAGCAATACCCGATATAAGTCGTGTAGAAAAACCCGATAAAGCCATCGACATGCCCATACGACGATTGTTATAGACTTTACACGTTCGTCGCGAATAACAGTCGGTCAACCAAAATAAACACGACTCATCGAAAACAAAACCGAATAGCAGTGGACCTGTTGTTTGACCTAAGACGCGAACGATTGTTTGTCGAACGCCAAGTGCCATACTTTGATAGTGAAGTGGAACACTGTAGAGAAGCACTTGTAAGAGTGGAACTTGAATAAATGCTGTAAAAAATACGACGAATGCAGCACCCGTCATCGTCAAACCGAAAATCCATGCGCCTGAATGGCAATTCTTTTGATAGGAAAAGGAGAATGGAAGTTTGTACTCACAAGGTATTCGTCGAAAGCGACAAGCTGTCTCAGTCAATGTAATTGCGTCATCGCCTGCACAATTGCATGTATTGTACACACTGGTATTGTTGGTTGAAAATACCGTTTGGTTAGTGCAACCGAAATGACAAGGTGATAAGAACATTCGATGAGGGTTAGTTTCCATACAGACTAAATCAATGGATGAATGTGACGAAGTTGACTGTAGTGCTAAAGACTTACCTGGATAGTAGATATTACGACAACAAGCTGAGTTTACATTTGAGCAAGTTGAATATTCAAATTTTAATTCCGGACAGGAGAGTATCAAGAATAGAAATAGGAATGCTGATACGCTAAAGACTATGCCACAAACACGAGCACATCGCATCGGCGTCCAAGAGAATTTATTCATGCAATAGGCACCTATTGGACAGCCGATGACTACTGATAGTAATGCGATGGCACCGGTTAGCAATGTAGCAGTAGATGTATCTAGTTGATGTTGATATTCGAAATACTTGGTTATAAATGGTACAAATCCTAAAGTAAGACACTTGTGTCAATAGGATAACGATTCGAACTGTAAGTTTACCCTTAATTAAAATTCCTTCGAATAAACTGGCGATAATGATTGCAACATAACGAGTATTTGTCAACAAGTCACGAATAACGGAACACATCCGTCGACAATTCTCCGCGAGAGTTCGTTCGACAGTTGATGTCGATGATTCAGTGACCGTCGATAGTGTTGGTGTCAGTGTTGATGGTGTCATATCAGCGGGTGACATCTGAATAGGTAAAGATTCTGTGGAATATCCATGATTTATAACACCTCCGTTGGTAGTATTAATCGCTAACGACGACGCACTTGTTGGCCTAGGCTCGAGGGGACTCAACTGATGTACTCTTCGATTTGACAGAATATATTCGGATGTTAATGGTTTCAATGCAGGTAAACTAGTTTCAGATGGATGGATGTCATTCGAAAGTGAATTTGAAGACGTGGTATAATTAGCAGGAGTGGGTGGACATGAGCTAAGCATAGAAATACTTGTCGGACTGTCTTGACGCTGAATAGCTAGATCTAAACAAACGAAATTCATTATTTCTATTCTAAAATAGTTCAGTCAGTTTACTTGTAGGATTGGGATTGGTTTCTACCGTTCCACCTGCTAGGTGTTTTTCACCTGGCTTTTCAAAGTTCGGCAGGCCAGATACAAATAAGCCGATAAGTAAAGAACATCCACCGTAAATAAAATATGGCAACCACCAACATCCGACCCATAATGGATGATTTGGCGTTAGCCAGTGCGGCAATCGTGATACCATAGATAATTTCGTATAAATTAATAAAAACCGACCGGTTGCTACAATGCCAAGCGCACCTCCAACAGTGCCTACAGCAAAATAAATTCCTTGACAATAAGCCGCTTTTCCTCGTGGAAAAATCCTTTCAATATATGCAACACCAATGGTAAACAATGCCACACTACCGATTCCATTCACAAAATTTCCCAAATACAACAGTAATTTTGCTGTTTTCGCTGTATTCGCTAAACGCTCCTGTCGTAAACATGAAATATCTGTAATATTGAATTCATTAAATGGATCTTTAGTGCATTGAAAGAGAACGTTGTTATACGATGATATTGTTTGACCACTGGTAGTCGTATAGTGAGTAGTTTCTCGCTGAACGAAATTGCTCGATGCAATTAACATATTCCCCACACCAACGATGATCATATTTAATGAGAAAAATATTGGCGATGAATATCGGCCACCCAAGTAGCCGACTAATGGAGAAGAAAATACTGTTGCCACATCATACAAAGCTAAGAAAAGACCCGATTGAACACTGTCGAGATAAAACACACGCTCCAACGTTGATATGACAGCATTGTTTGCACCATTGACAGTAAAATTTTGAATAAAATTACAAATGCACAGGATAATATAAGCAAACAACGGTTGACTTAGTATACCATGAAATCGACGGTTTCGCCAACCAAAAAGATGGTATTTAGTTGATACGTCACCTTCGAGAGGTTTGGGCGTCGGCTGAACAACTATTTTCGGCGTCATCTGATGTTCAATACGACTGAATCGATCTACTCATTGCCCTTTCTTTTCTTTTCAAGGGACGAAAATCTGAAAACGATGAATTCTTATTGCAATCACTAACAACTGGATAAGGACGATGAGCTCTATTTAACCTTAACATCAAACCTTCTTACCAATGAAATCATACTGCACACAACAACGGACTGATTTAAAGCAAACATTAATTTCGTCCTTACCTTCGTGTAAAGATGTAAAATTTACAAAGCACATTCAAACGTACGCTCTATATATTAGTCAACGACTAGGCACATCATTTTCGTCGAATGTCAATATGTAGTGTTACATGTCCTAAACAACTCATTTTTTCAAAGAAAAAAAAAAGAACCGATGAATACTCTTCGTACGCAGTATGCTCAAAGAAATGTAACTGACAACGGATTAATAACGAGAGTCTTTCGCAAAAGAAGGTTGCCATGACTTTCAACCTGTAGTGAAACATGTTTTTCTTCTTTTTTTCCTCACATTAGTAACATATGGAAAAGAAAATGTAGACGAGCAAATGAGATTGATCTTGAAGCTATTCGAAAAAGGAAAACAAAAGGAGGAAGTCAATAGCTTTAATAGGGGAATGTAGGCGGTCAAATAGCTTCTTTATTTTTTAGTTTTTGTTCGAAGACAAAAACGTGTTTTTTTTGCCTACAAGTTGTTTCCCATGCAGACATATGTCGACAATGTTTAAACAAGTTCAGTGCGATATCTCTGTTTGTTCTTTGCTTCGGTAGACTTAAATATTCAACTTACCAAGGTTTTCTTTACAATTTAACTTCAACACTTTCTTCCTCCTATTGCATCGTTTCTTTCTTGTCTTAGACTAAATAAGAAAAAAAAGTTTTCCGTCTCTTTTTCTCTTCCCGGTGTTCATCAAATAAAAAAAGAAACATTATAATAATGCAATACGATGCGCCTTCCTATCCGTTGACGAACTGTTTTCTCATCTCGAATGGCACAGTTGATTTCATAGTAAATTCTAATCTAAAATATCTACATGTCAAACACGATTATTTCCACGATGATCAATACTCAAAGGCACAAACGCAGTCGTTGATGTATTCTTTCCCAATATTCTAATTCTTACAGCGAAGGCGCGACTCGAGCAGATATCTTTCAGCGTTAGAAGTAAAATATAAAGAGCACAACCGACGATGAATATTAAAAGAAAATGTGTTACCGGTCTTTTCTTTTTCTACGTCTTCCTTCAATTAGACTACATCATAATCAGTGCGTGTCCTCTTTCATGACAAGATTACATTGGCAAAAGTGATATTTGTTAGCGCTGAAATTTCTGTTATTGTATTCAATCAACGCTATTCTAGACAAACATCACTCCTCATGTTGATTTTGTGTCTATTTGAAAAAGAACAGTGAAGACATGACGAGAAGGCTGTCAATGGCACCACCGACTACGACATTTTATTAGTGTCAAGATGATCAATGTTGAGTTTTACGATACGTAGTTTCAAATTAACGAGAAACTTTTCTTTTCCGAGCAAAACATCTTGATGGAATTTAGTGTAATAGACATTCATCGACTAATAAGAAATCTCATTCAACATACAATTTATTTCATCCTTAAAAAACCATACACACAAGCAAAACTCTGACTAAGCTTCGAAATTCGCTACAAATGCTACAATTGCCACTGTGCTAACTATGATAGTCATGTAATTGTAATGTCTATCGTCGATAACATGTTGACATTCTTCTTGTTCAATTTCCGACCGAGGCGATGAACAATGTTGCGGAACTGAACGGCGCTCACGTGAGGAAGCTAAACGAACGTCTGGTCGCTGGGGTTGATCTTGAGCAAGAAGAAAGTATTCGCTATCACATGAGGACAATGTAGTTGGCGCAGCTTCAGCTAAACCACGGCGAACTAACTCTTTGTTTACATTTAAATCATTCTTTGCCAGATTGTAAACTTCACCAAAAACATAAGCGCTGGGAGATTGAATGGAACGTTCAATAACATGCACACGAACAGGATCATCGCGTTTGATAAATGCTTCCAAAGGTCTAAAGAACAGAAATTAAACATGGTTTCTACACACTTTAGATTCAACGAACTTATATGTTAATGGTTCAAGTGGATGTTTGCGAAGAAAAGCGGCTTTCCACATATTTGTTGTATAAATACATGCTAATTTGATACGTATTGTACCGTTGTATCGTGTTCGCACAGTGATTGTATCAATACTAATGTGACTAATATGTCCAACTAGAAGACAAAGAATTATTATGAATAATTGTGAAGCTTTTTTCTTACCTAAATCGAACGGAAACTCAAGTACACTTGATTTACTAACGTTGTGGTATTCTTGTTGCCGTTGAAGAACGGTAAGTAAACGAGTGGAATTCGTATTATTATTTCCATTGCATTCAGCAATGGTCAAAATAATGAATACAATCCAGAGACACATTCATTCAATGTCAATCTGCTTTTCGATCATTTCAAATAGTTTTCAATAGACGATAATAAAGAGCCTTGAACATCAGATACGATTACTTGCTTGCTGTTGGCTACGAGATATATCAAGTGTTCCGTAGTGCTCATATGCAGTCATGAGAATCAGAGATGGAGTCACCAATAATACGAATTCGACATTGACTGTGGCATTGATTACCAATGACTCAAGAAAATCGGTTTCATTGGAAAAAAGATTTAATTTTATTTGTTTTTTTAAACTCTTATTCTTTTCAAAGAATTTTCCCTTCGAATATAAAACCTGAACTAGATGTCGCTAAAATCCAATGTAGTGTTTATTCACTCTCAGATACTCATTTTATTGTAATGTGATACAAAGTAATATACAAAACAACGTTAATCTTGTGTTAATAAAAGTGTATTCGCAGATTGTTTAAATGTATTGATAAACCAGTCACGAAGTTGTACATCATTTGTTTGTGCGCCGAATTTGGGATTGAGAAATCGCTCTAGTTCAACATACGCGTTCGAGTCAGTCAGACGAGGCGTTATCTACACATAGATTGAGAAGACATCACAGGTGAATAGATTCTGATGGAAAACGTACTTTTGACAAAGCTTCGTCATCGTCGACAATTTTAACAGTTTGCTCTCCGGTTAAAAGTATGAATAACTCTCGTAGAATTGATTGTATTTGATTCTAAAGAATAAGGAATAATGGAGACCTTTTTTCGCAAGATATTTTTCTTACATGGCTGATTTGTTTAGGATCAGTTTCAGCGATTTGAGCCAACGGTAAGTACCTACAGAACAGTTGGAATAATCTTCGAAATAATCAGATGAAAACATACTTTTTATGCAGATAAAGTAATTGTTCCAATGGTACAGATACTACATTGATCAAATCGTCATTTCCAGTCGTGTAAAAACCAAAAACAGGCAACTGAGGTTGATTATGTGCTTGTGATGTGTAAACACGTATTGTGTTCGATGAATACCATGATAGACTGAATTCTGTTTTTAGTTGCTCATCAGAGAGTTCTTTCTTGACCATTTGAAGATGAATATTGGGACAATGTTCGAGATTTTCATCGTTTATCTCATTGGCATTTGATTGGACACTACGCATAGTCCGCGCAGATGAAACCGATGCTCGATGTGGGAAGTTATTCGTTGATGACGAAGTCATCTGTAAAACACTGTCATTATAGATATCTGATGGATATATCGACATGCATTGCGATGAATAATGATGAAGTGATTGCAGAGCTTGGGTAACGCCAACAAAACGTGGAAAGATGTGTAAAAAGAAGAGATTCGATCGACCCACAGCATCACAGTCCAAGGAAAGTAATTGACGATTATCAAGACGTTTCGCCACGTTATTTTGGTAGTCTAAAACAAGATCCGATTCAAGAAATGGAAAATAAAGAAGATAATCGTACTGAGAAGATGTAACCAAGTCAAATCTTGTGTGGCCGCTAGGTTGAGACGGTCAAGTTTGGTGTCAAAAGGCTCCGGTAATAGTTTTGCTTCGAAATGTGGTGCTAATGTTAACACTTCTTTTTCGGCTGCACCTATTGGAGACAAAAGATCTTCGAAAGTTACAAGAAGAGCCGATATAACTAACTTTTAAAGACTCGTCGACGTTCCGGAAAGATAAAATATCCGATGATATCGGCTGCTAAATACGTTGGCCAATGAATTTCATCTGTTTCAGAAAATTCTTCAGCTAGACCAGGTAGTTGTACACTAAATAAGGTAAAAAGCAACTTGTAAAAAGCGGTTCGAATCTTCCGTTTCGAATTACCGTTGTTTCTGATTCACGGCCATTTGGGTTGCCGCATGTACAGCAACGGATGCCGCTTGCTTGATCTGCTGCTGCTGCTTTTGTTGTTGTTGCTGTTCCGTAGTATTAATGTTATTCGAAACCGCAACACTTGCGCGCAATTTCACTTGCTGTGGTTTCGAAGGAGCCGACAGATCTTGTGATTTGGCTAGTGGTAAAGACTTCACCGACAGTTTTCTCGCTCCATCGATTGGCGCGCGTGTATATTCAAGTAAAACGATCGCTAATTCAAAATAACACGTCTGAATAAATTCTCCGTCATTCGTACTAAAGTAACATAGACGAATAGCATCTAAGAGGTATTTGACAACAGTTCTCAATGGAATTGTCATGGTTGACGTTAAACTAATTCGTTTTTGTAAACGACCAATACGAGCTAAATGTAGAAGACATTCGCAGTCGATATTCACATAACGTTCGACTAATGTTTGATTTAACGTTAAACATTGACGAAACAATGTTTGAGCATTTTCGAAGAGATTGTTCATGGTTAAATCTTCACTTAACGAACGGTACGCATGATCGACTATGATTGTTGCTGTACGTAATTTAGCAAATACTAAGGGAAGAAGTAAGGGAGAATAGAGATTTGCCAATGGAATAACTGGTATGGAGAACCAATCACGAGGATGGCTCGAACTGGTCGTTTGGATACGTTCACGCATTTGAACAAGCTAAATAGACAATTAGTGTTCACTTCTGCTTAGTTGCAAAACGGATACATACGAAATCTAGGATGGATGATTGTAATTTATCATTTTCTTTCTCTTCGATCAGTTTCGTGACAGTTCCGTTAAAATCTTGAACGCAATGATGTTCCCAAAGAAGTATCTGTGTCAATGATCGATTCATTAGAATCTCTACAGACAAAAGATTATTCTGTTGAGTCAACGCTGATTGAAACAATTGACAAGCCGTATTCAACCGTTGGATATTCTCTTTGATATTCACTAGTTCACTCAAGTTATTCAATGCTTTATATAACAAGAACGTTGCTTGCATCGATTCGCATTGATACTGCTCAGATTCGTTGAAACCGTCGTCAATATAAACTTGAACATTCGCTAATTCTTCACGTGTATGCTCATCAATACCCTTCACTTTCCCCAACGAATTAATTTGTTGTAAAATAATATAACAAAGATAGGCACGTTGCTTCAACCATGTATAAACGTTGAGATTATGCGAATAGCGACTGTTGAAAAGAATATTCAATGCATTGAGTGTTTTCTGTGGATGTCGAGTGCTGACACTTGCGCGTGGCAAAGATGATTTACGCTTTGATGATCTAAATGAATGAATCAAGAGATGATTTGAACGAAGTTCTGTTTTCGAGATTTACCCATTTGCAATCTTCTTTTCGGCAATGTTATCTTCTCCAACCGTTGATAGGACTTTCAATGATTCCAAAGCATATCTTGCTGCTAATTGATCTAGATGACATTGATGAGCACATTCAGCTAATATAGTTAAACAATCAATGAGTAATTGATGTTCGAATGATTCGAGATTCGATGGATGATCGCGTGATAATTCATCAGTTTGTTGCAAAACGTTTAGACACTTCTCGGCAAATAATTTTCCAGTACCAATAAGGTAAGATTTCACATGAACAAACGAACGTGATGATTCGTCGGGAAAAACTGTTGATTTGACTTTTGCTATTGAAGAATACATGAGCAAAGGCGAGATGTCGGAAATGAACTTACTTCCGTCACCGACATTGGCAGCTGTTCGCCGGTATGTACGTGAAATTGGCCCATTCAGCATTTCTTTCAATTCACTATTTCTGAAATGAAGGAATGGAAAATGGATGAAGTAGGTGGCGAAACTCACTGAAATAAATCTAGGTCGGCTATGACTGGAATACGTGCTGCCAGACGAATGAAAAACAGTGAAAGGAGATAATGAAATTCGATGGTTAGATGACTTCTATAAAGTTGCGACAAGGTTGGAGAAAGTTTCGATGTGAGAAGGCCTTCCAATACCTAACACAAATGGAAAGACATATTCACTTTCTTGTCTCTTTTTTTGTACAATAACCAACTTACAGCAATATTATGATCGGAGATAACACTTTTAGTATTGTCAAAATATTTCGGCTAGAAAAAGAAGACCAATGGCAAGAAGATGAATTCCTAGCTAAAGAATGCATGCTATCCTACTTTGTAATGTTTAGATGAATTTGCTTCTGAAATACTCAACCGATAGTGACCAGGTAATTGTGTATGAGGTAGTTTGTGCCCATCGATCAATATATAAATAATCTGATGTGCTTCATGAAACAAATTCAACTGAATCAAAGCACGTAAACGTAGAAGTCGCGCTTGTACTGTATGTTGAACATTCCGACAATGTAAGGCAAAAACATCGTAGAGAGCAATAACCGGAAGAACCTTAAGAACAATTCACATCTTAGCACAGAAATCTCCTTCTGCTTCGCTTACTTGAAGACAAATATCATGGCGAATGAGTGCTTCGCTTGTGTAGGCTAGCGCGTCCATCAATGCCGATGGATTCAAACGAAATTCATCACTAGTCAATTGTACACCAGGCCAGACATGGACAGAATGATCAATGAATAATGTTGCATAATCCAGATCATGTTCCGAATGTGGTAAAGTGTAGAAGAAAATTGAACGAAGAAAGTATGCACTTAACAAACATGTTTGAAGATGTTGATCACAATTCAAATGGATATGGTATCTGAAAGAGATCAATCAAGAAAATCATCGAATACTAAGCAGAACCTTTACTTGGCTAATTTCGATGTGACAATTGCTAGTAATAGACATCCCCAAATACCACATTTCTGAATGAGTTGTACACGATTTGATATGAGATTTCTTAATGAATCTTTTTTGAACCATGTAGTTATGACATCGGTGCTTTCGAGAAGTAGATCAATAACATCACACCAGACCGATTTCGATTCTCTAAACAGCTTGAAATACGTTTCCGAAGAGTGTGCTATGAATGTAACTCACAATAGTTTATCACAATGAAAGTATAAATCTCCAAGTTCACTTTGTATCTGACAGTATAGATCACGACGATTTTGACCCAGCAATAATTCTATCAGTAAGATACAGTTGTATTAGTTCTATTTATTTGAAAATTTGATCTTACTTGCTAATGTTTGATACGTTTCGATCACTGATTCTTTCGTGATCCGTGTCGATGGTGGCGTCTCGATTTTATTAGTCTCTAATGGAGAAAATTCTAAAGATTCTCCCGGTGTTAGTGGCCGATATTGATATGTCAATGTTGCCTCTTTCTTCCCAGAGATTTGCTTTTCCTGTTGAGAAATATTTTCTGTAATCGGTGTAAAAATGAGAAAATCTTTCGCTAATTCTTGTTCTTGTTTGAATATATAGAATGCAAACATTTTTCGACACTCGATGATCGATCGAGATGAATAATGAGTCTTTTCTAGGCCTTGTCGTAGAAGTTTACGACTAAACTCCACATCAAGTGGTATGCTAATGAGTTCCAGCGCGTGATTGGTTTCTACATAAGAACACGGATGAATGCAGTTTTTAGAAATCAAGAAAACATACGAGCATAGAAGTCGAATCCTTTCGGATCGAGTCGATCATCAAGGCTGAGTGGTAGAACAGAGCTTTCATACATATCATTGGAGATTTGAAAGAGTTTTTCAGGTCGAAGTGTATAAAAATCATCGGGATGTATCGGTCGTCCTAATGTAGCAACAGCTGCCTTGAAATGTGGCTGATCAGTTGAGTTCTGTCGATCACGCAATTGTTGCAGTAACGCAGTTTGAGCAGCGATCAACAACGGACTAACTAAGTCTGCAAAATAATGACTAAAACAAGCAGACAAACAAACGAATATACTCTTCTCTGACAAACTTTCACTCACTCAGATAAAGCATTGAATCTCATTGCTATCGTTCCTAGTTTTTCCCATTTCGCTGCGACATACAAAGAATGTAATGCGCGTAAAATAAACTTCTTGATGAATCTCAGATCCATTAGTATTGTTCGATCTTGTGGTTGTTCGAAATTGAACGTCGTTCCTGTCCATGAACATTCCAAGTTTGTAAACCATTGGTTCAATCGATTCGAATTCGTATTTCTCAATTTGTCATTTTGATTGTCATAGAATGGCTTTGTACGATAGAGCATATCGAGAAGTAACTCACTGGCAATGAACATCGTTTGGTAGCTATGCGAAAGTAGAGCATTGATTGAGAATATCTTCTTCAATGTTGTGGTGGAAAGGTATTGAATGAGTTGTTCCAGAGAATTGTAAAACGATTTGGCAACGTTTTGTAATAACGTCCAATTGGTTGAACGATGAGCGAGAACGATCGCTCGACGATAATGAGCAAGAAAACGATCGATGTAAGCACGAATGTGTTTAAACCCATAAGCATCTGATTGGGCTTGATGCTCAATCGACTCGTTGTGTGGAGAATCAGAGCGGTCTATGTTCTTCGGATGAGGTATGGAGCTTGTTTGTTGTCCTTTTCGATCGCGAAAGGAGTTCAGACCATCGTTTTTCAAATAGACATTTGGATCTGAGATTTGTCCTAGAAGTATTTCAGATATTTTTTAGAAAAAATAGAAAACAACGACGTGAAATCTTACCAATGACGAGTTCACTGATGACTTCGACTCGATCTTTTACATCCGATTGCAGAAATTGGAATTCGAATTTTTGGTCGAGCGTCGGATCATCGAGAATTTCATCATCGATTACTTTGCGTAGAATCAAATTGGTCTGATCATATGTAAATAAATTTGGATTAATTCGATCAAATCGATAACGTCCGTCTTCCAATAAAACGTAAAGTTTCTCATTAAACTCTTTGATGACATATGGGATTCGATCAAGGCAATAAAGTCCGTTCAACAGTTCATATTGCGATCGCCATGCTAATTCTTCGTTGATAAATCGCCGAAATTTCTTTCTTGCTTGACTTTGTCGATAGAGATCAGGTAAGATATTGAATAGTTTATCAATTGCCTATTAAAATCAAAAATAAACATATCCTTGATTCGTAAGTCTCTTCGTGACATTCACCAACGTTCTTTTTTTCTTCACTAACAATCTAAGGCTTAACAAAAAAGATTCATGACAAGCGCCTCCTTCGCATTATTCATCGTGTTATTTCTATATGAAACATAAATACCGTACGTAGAACAAAGATAACTCCATTGTCGTCGACAATGACACTGATTTCTTATCTCCTAACAACTATTTTTCTGGGAAGTTCTCTCATTCAAGCATCGAATGTCACAGATTATGGCATTCATATTCGCATTTACGATAATATTGCAGAAATTCTTCAACCGATATCCCCATTCGATTTGCCGGTTAATTACTCTCAACAAGAATGGACCGACATTCGAACCGATTCATTTCGACTAATCGGCAAGCATGTGAATATCTACGCCCAAAGTCTTTACTACAATGAAACGACTACCAACGGACAAAAGATTCTCATTCAACGTAGTACACACAATGAAACGTATACACCAGCGATTATGATAGACGAAACACGAAATTTAGTACACGATCTTGTCGATAATACATATTATGTACTCACTCCTGATCGAATTCGGTACTTGTCGACTCCATTCGTTCGTCGATATTTCGTTGATTTCATATTTGACCTCAAACATGATGAACAACTCTATCTACGGTATTTACAAAACAACATCAAATGGCAAGTACGGTATGATCTGCAGTTAGAAATGAACGATACTGATTCGATTCTACAAGCATACGCGGATATACGGAATGATGGAAGTTCGTTGCTGATGATCGATTCAGCTGAATTGATTGCCGGCGATGTGAATATTCGTTCATCATCGTACTCGTCCGCTTCGTATAATGACTACAGTGGTTTTGGCAGCGCCGGAGTTGCTAGCGACCAACAGATCATTGCTACGACAACATATCCGACACCAATAATATCTCAAAGTGAAGAATTGGCTGGTCTTTATATATTCACGATCAACGATACATTTATTCTCGATCCTCACTCGAATTATATCCTTCCGATGTTTCGTCCGACCATTGATATCGAACGTTACGGTTTAATCGATAAATATTTTCAACGAATGGATCGTCAAGGCAATGCTCAACGTGCCTATCGTCTTCGCGTACCGGATAAATATCTCCCCAAAGGACATGTGTTTGTTCGCGAATCCGATCGATTAGTGGGCGAGACCACCTGGTCGGATTATTCAGCGAATGAGACCAATGAATTCTATTTAGGTGAAGATCCTGATTTACAATTCATAGAATCGATTCAATTAATATCACGTCGGCAAGCATATGAAGCGAATGGTTATCGATTTATCCTCTCGACTTATTCGATGAATTTACGTTTGATTAACAGTAAAAAACGTCCGATGGATCTGGAATATCGCCTAAGATTTTCCTCGCAAGATAACTTAACGTTGAAGGAGAACACAAATGATACTCTATTACAAGTCGATGGTTCAGTCATCGTTGGTCTATTTCAGTTGAATGCCAATGACGAACAAGAATTCAAGTTTACTTTCGAAACACAATAACTAAGTAGTTTTCTCGTCTTGTTATTGTATCTTTTGAAGCCTCTTGTCAATAAATAAGACAAATGCTTAAGATTAAGCTTCAGCGTGTAGGTTAGGAGATGATTTGTGATACTTACAGGCTTTTGTCGTTGTTCGAGCTCTTTACGTTGTACATCGGAAGTTTTCGTCGGTATTAGAAAATGATATTTCGTCGGTTTAGCACGGAGCATCTTCTTTGTCAAAGCCGCTTGTTTTTTCTTTCCAGTCAACTGTTGTTGTTGTTGTTGTTTATCTTTTTGTTCCGGACTGAATTCTGTTACTGCCGCAGCTAGAAAGTTCTCAAACGAATGTTTCAGAAAGTGTTGTCCACCGTGATCTTACCGTATTTATTTTCATTATTGCCAAGTAGAGCTATGATATCTTCGCCTTTGGTAATGAGCATTCGCCAAGGACCAAGAATGAGTTCGTTTCTTTTGCCGATAAACTCTTGATTATCATCGTACCAATTAAGAATTTCATCGCCGGACGATTCGAGCAAAGATTTTGTCAGAATTTGAGCGAGATACTCCATGTATACTGGACGTTTTCGGAACTTTTGAACTAAACATATATCCTTAATAGTTCTCTCCTCTAACTTAACATTGACACTTACCTTCTTTATAACTATGTAGAACAGACGTTGAATTGATAAAACTATAGACTGCTGTTGATTCTTCGTTGCCATTCAGTGCTGCTTGAGTATTCCGCTCTTTCGCGACAAATCGTTCTAACGCTTTAAGTTCTTCATTATGCAATGAGATATAATACGATTTCGGCATTATCGATTCTGCGACTTCGTCCGATAGGATTGTTTGGCCCTGTGTACCTACTGCTGAAGTTTGATGCGCTCGGCTGGTGTCATTTGTTGGCGTGGTTATCATTGTTGAGAGGATTCTCTTTCCGATCTGATTGACTAAGCTCGACATTTTAACTTCATTGTTCTCTTGTAAATATTCACTGAGATACGAGGTCATACAGGCAACCATGTGGTAGAGATTCTCTTGTGTTAAACGCGAACGTTGTTTTGTTATTTGTTGCGAAATTTCTTCGAGTACGGCGAGTGATTTGTCAAAGATATGATTGAGAGACGGATAGAAGATTTTATGAAAGATCAATGGTGTTAATAAGCCATAGAGATAAATTATTGATTGTAGAGTATACTGAGGATCATTGAGCCAACAGGAAAGCTCTAACGCGATCAGAATTTGACTACAAGCATGAATACGATTGATCTACAACGATAGTCTCGAAAAAGGATAAGACAAAGTGGGAAGATGAGCAATACTTGATTAGTACGAGTGGAGGATGTTGGTGTAATCATATCGCAGTAATAGTGATTCTCCTTGATAAATATTTCCAAATTGATAAAGATCGAGTTGATAAACTTTTGCAATAAAGAAATGGAACTTTCCGCTACGCATGAGTATCGCAGTCTGCAAAAAGAGGACACATAGAATGAGTCGATTCTCATTGCTTGGCATAGTTACTCATAGAGGACTAATGGATTCTCGGTGATCAATTCACGTATTGAACTTTCGATCTTAGCTGGTGTTCTAACGAAGTACGTCCAAATGGCATGAAATGCTTTCTTAGCAACCGCATATTGTTTGATTTCATACGACACCTACAACCATATTCTCATAGATTGAAATTGAAATCTGTGTAGAAAACGCACTTGAGACAGAAGACATCGAATGAATAGTAATGATATTGGATTGGCTGCTAGGATAGGTTCAGTTGATTCACTAACGCTTTCCCCAATCAATTGTCCTTGTACATCGTAGATAGCTAATGAAAAGACATATTTTAAATCTGGATCAAGACCAGAGATCTTCACGGGTTTGATAAAACTAGCTGGAATCTAGAATAACGAATACAAATGAAGATAAATACTATGAAAAATATGACACCAACCTGTTGACCGCTGCCAGGATAATTTGTATCAGCCATTCGAGCTTTTGCATTTGGGCGATCAGCTGCGCGACAAAAGATTCGATAGGTTGCGACCTTCAACACAATTTTAAAAAACCATTTAGGGAGCAATTTCGATAAGATTTACCTTAGCAGATAGTGAACTAAAGTCCGGTGCCATCACGTAGACAAAATTTGGTGCTCGGGCAACAATACATGGTCGGGGAACTGTCTCATTCGAGAGCTTTTCTGCTTTTTGATTTTGATGATGCCAAAAATACAAGCGATCCTCTTCTTCAGCAGCCAACAGATGTTTATAGGCTTTCTAAACGGAATCCTTTCGTAAAACACGGTCTACAAAACAATGTTCAAACTAACTTGCATGTATTCAGCGGCAAGATGTTCATCGTGCCGTGTACTTGCATAGGCTGCACATAGCAATGCTTTTTTATGTGAATTGCCTCGTGCATCAGTGAGATATTGTTCAATTGAGCCCTTTTTGATCGACTCTGTAAAGCAATCTTTTGATAAATCCGATGAAAGAAAATCAATTCTTACTAGCGTCGCTTGTTTGTTCGAGAAGTGCAGCAATTCGACAGTAGATAAAGTGTAATTCAGCATCGAGATCTTTCACAAGATTATCCATTAGCTTGCTGGTTTGTCCTTTCTCCATATGGAAAGGTTGAGTCGCAAAAAATCGCACTTGATTGAATGAATCCGTTTCGTCATCGTCGTCATTAGCGTTTGCCGACTAATTCGAAAAGAAAAGTCAGATAAGATAAGACGAAAGAAAGTATCTGTACCCAATTCCGATCAAACAATGATGAGCCATCGGATCGAACCAGATTCGATCGTGCTTGAGCTAGTACATTCAATGATCGTGAAAGAAATTGTTCGGCAAAGAAGATCAATGGAAATTGTCGAGACAGTGTTAATGTATTGTTTTCTAATGATGAATGAGGATCCGCACTGTGCGATTGTTGCTTTCGAGATTTTTCATCTTTCAATGTAGAATTATCAAGTAATGTTTGTTGGCGCTTCAGTTCATCGATATAGTTTTGTAGAGTTGCTTTCGCACAGTGAGCAGTGAGGGACTCGCGTAATTCATTTAAACGTTGCTTGTAAGAACTCGTGCGAGTGGTGGCTAAAAAGTATTATTTTGTGAAGATCGATCACGAATAGGATCATTCAATTACCTTCAATGGTTGGACTTGGCTGAATCAAAGCAACTAGTATTTGGCCCAGACGAAGTGAACATTCAGCGTAGGCACTTGCATCAACAACAGCAAAGTTAAAGCGAGACATGATTTCGTGAGTTTGAAAACATAGATGAACCCACTAGAAAAAGAGTACAAATGACGATGTTCAACCGAGAATGAAAAGAACACTCACTTTGACATGGTCATGATCAAGTCGTGTCAACCAACGATGATTATCGTTTGGTTCATTGTAGAATCGTCGTAGAACAGGTCGACACTTGTTCCAGAGTAATAGACTGACATCAATTAGAACATCTCGTTCAAATTTTTCATGCTAAAAACAAGTAATTGTATCATACGTATAAATATCGATGGAAAGACTTACAATTTGTGGATCCATCAATAGTAAAAAGCAAAGATCTTCTAATAGATCTTCGACAGATCGTTCTTGATTGGGTTTATCTGGAACAACTGTTTCCGATTCAGCACGAACATCTTTAGCAGCATCAATTAGGTCTCGGACAGGTCTTGGTGTTTTCAATTTTCCTTTTGCACGTTCAGGACTCTTCTTTCGTGATCTTTCTTTACTTTTCGGTGGACTCTTTCCACGTGCTTTCTTTACGTCAGTCTCTTTCGCGCCTTTGATAGCCCGTGCATTCTTTGCATTTGCTGCTGCTTTACGATCTTTTTCACATTGATCAATTTCATAAAGAATTTGCAATAAAGCAAGAACTGAAGTTTGACTGCCACCTGCTCGGTCAACTAATTCACTTATAGGTTCCATCATTGATTCAAACACATCGTTAACTTGATAATTAAATGCCAATTTAACTAATTGTAAGACATACGATAGAGGCACAACATATTGTCCTAGGGGAAGCATGAAATTGAATACAATTTTGAACTGATTGTTCCATACTCACCATTGATCGCTAAATCGAGAAGATTAACATCTTCTTTCAATGTTATATTCGGATAGACACTATTTGCATTGGCTCCAGCAATTTGATCCACATTGGCATGTTTAACTACAAGAGATAATCGTCTTTTTTTAAAATCTATATTATTCTTCGTAGTTACCTTGTAAGATGTATTGAGCTGCATAGAATAACTCATTCGTCACGTCGAGCAATTCTGTTTCGTGTTCGTTAGCTGGCCCAGCTAGTACCAATCGTCGGTTACTATCTGACAACGCTTGAATAATGGCTAAGAATTGTGCGCAACGACAATCGAACATATCGCTCAGTAGTTTCTCTGTTAATGTTCGTGGCCATGGACCTGTGAGTTCTTTAGCAGCTTGACGAACTTTCGGTCGAAGAACGCCTTTCGCCTTTCGACGACTCTCGAATACCATGCGTTTGAAAATCATCGTGGCGATTTTTATTGTCGCATAACGAAAGGAATTCTCTACTTGACATTTATCTCCTTCGACACTCAGCGCTTGCAATTCATGAAGATTTTTGAACTGTTCCAATGCCCGACGAGCGAAATTCTAGAAAGAAACAAGTATTACAACGTTTTGATTGCCTAGACATACCTCGCCAGCAATTGCTTTCTGAAAAAAAACGGAGAAGATTTTACTTCGAAGTGTCAATTTCAATTCAGTTCTCTTACTTCACCATCGGACGGCGTTCGGCTATCATAAAATGCTTCACATGCTGCGCAATACAACGTTGATCGCCATGGTAAATACGTGATGGATAGCAATGGTAAACACATTTCAGTACTCACAGCACCCCATACAAGATACTCAACAACCTATCCGAAATATAACACGTTCGAGTTAAAAAGACAAGAAAATTATTTCGAGACCTGTAGAGAGTAACCTAATGCCATCAGATAACGGCTCATTTTGTATAAGTAAATTGTTCCATTGTAAACAAGCCATGACCATCGGTCATCTTTCAGTGCTAAATTCATCAGCAACCGAGTAAATGACAATGCGATGATGCATCGATCGAGTGTTTCGTCGAGTTGTACTTTTGGATCTTGTTCAACAGATAGAAAAAATAAACAAAGAGCACAGCCCATCAAAGCTTGAAACTACAAATAGAAGAATATCTCTTCTGAAAAAAAGACTCCTTTTCAGCAAAATAACATACGGATACGTCCGCTGTAGCATCCGATAATCCATTTGGAAAAAATCGCTGTTCAATTTGATCTATTGTTTGAAAATCTTGCATATGAAATGTTCCGAAATCATTCAAATACCGCTGATAGCATTGAAACAGACCCAAACTATATTTCTACAAAAGTACGAAATCACAAGTGTTCTCTTTCGTATTTATTCTAACTTACTTCATGTGCAACAAGAAATTCACCAAGATGCATCAACTTTTCGCAGTACAGTCGTACTGATACCCTCGACTGGAATGTTCCCCATAATTGAAACAACGTTTCAGATCTACAAATATATGTTTTTATTGATTCATTTTGTATTTTATAAAAACATACAATCGGCCGTCAATTTGTTGATTCGATTTCGATTGTTTAATCACATAGTTTTTAAAATCCGATATTTGATTTTCAAAACTTTGCAACACAGGATTTTTGCTTTCATCGATATAGGAATAATAAGCAGCTGTATTGGATTTAATCGACCGTTCAACAGCTTTTGTACGTAAACTGGCTGCCATCGTTTTTCGCCTAACAAAAGAATCTCATCTCACGTATGCGTGAAGCGAAGAAGCCATTTGAGGTTGATGAAACTAAGGAAGAACCTCTCGTTGTTCACGACGAGAAGTCGATGTGTCGCTAGATGTCGTATAGTTTTTGTTTAACTATTATATTTATATTATTAAACTGAGCCGATCTGATTCTCTTTTACCACGACAACAAGTTGATTCTTTAACTGTGCGATGGTTGACATTGCTCGTGTTTTTTCTCCCGTAGTCGTCTTAGACAGTGGTGAAGCCCGACCGAAATCATCCGATCGAATTCGTAGTGCTTCCGTTAAACGCATATCAAGTGCTGGAACACGGCGAACACCACCTCGCGTCTCTTCTGCTGTCTCAACTGTTGAAATCAACAATCAAGTAGTGAGCAGATATGCGACCAATGTAGTTACCAGTGAAAAGGATTTTGAAAATGAGCTTAAAAAAGAATTAACCACTCGTAAATGCGAAATATCCCGGTTTTTCTTACAACAAATCTTTTGGATTGTTTTAGCGTTGACTGGGATTAATCTACGTGGGTTAATTAATGAGAAGATTTCGAAACTCGATCGAGCGCTGCGAGAAGTCGGTGCGTCGTATGATGTTAATCAAAAGAAACAATCATTGATTTCACAAAAACTTCGAGAAAATGCGATACAAAATGGTTGAGTGTTTATCTTTTTGAGAGAATCTATGCATACGTTATGTCCCATTCCTTCCAGGACAATCCAGACAACAGATGCAAGAATTCGTTGGTCTCTTGGCCGCGAAAGCCGCTTCGGAAAATCCTGTTAATGCCACTGCCCACTTAGATGTGATTACATTCTGTTTGGAAAATCGACTCGACGTTTGATGAATTTTGCTTCGCTAGGAGGACGAAGACGATGAATTCGAACAAGATAGATCCACTTTACTAGAGATCTTCAAATATCCGGGCTTTCACGAAGATCATGTCACTCCATTGCCATTTCACGTGGTTCTCGAAACAGAAGTGATGAGACACATACTCTCGAAACAATACACATTAGGAAAACAAGTAAGTAAATAAACAACTCTTCATTTGTCAAAATGTATTTTTTTGTTTTTCTATGCAACTAGGCACCTTACATCAAACCATTGATTCAACTCTATCATTCTCCTCAAACAAAAGCACTAATTCTAGTAATTATTCTTTATCGTGTTTTCAAATATGATCATCTTCGAATTGTGTATATAGGACATCTTTTGGTGGATATTTCTGGATAGTTATCACAAGCAACCTGAAATTCAAAAGAAACTACTCGCTCGAGCATCGAATAATTACATATCTCTTCTCATGATAAATATCGATCTACGTTATCGTGACAAATGCTTTCAAGTTTGTAATTGCTTTGCACATTTTCTGCTTGATTTGTTACTTTTCCTTAGGTTTATCCCTCACTTTTAGCGGAAACCGTTTTCGCGTGTTTCAAAGTTTGCTTCCCCACGTCGATCAAACGACTGCCTGCTGATGCGGACGCTGCGAACAAAGCCAAGAAAGAAAGTGAAAATCGTGTATCGGATCTTCCCAATTCACCCGATACGTCTGGCCAATCAACGAAAGAATTAGTCAACTTAGATCAATTCAAGAACTCCATTGCAAATATTTGTCAACTGTGGTTAGGCGGAATTCCAGCACCGCCTCGCCGCTATGAACAATGGCGATCGAAACTCGTTCAACAGGAGAAAATCTCGTTTGTCGAACCGACACCCGTAGCAAATTCAACGATCAATTATCACAATTTGCATGACAACACGGAAAATATGCCTCAAATCTCCTCCGAACGAAGCAAAGGCAAAGAACCTCACGAACGTCTGAGAGAACTTTATAGAACCACCAAAGATCCATTACCTGAGTAAGAAAACTCTCGAATGCCATCTTGATCAGCTGATCAACTGTGCTTTAGTCGACGCGTACTCTTTGAAGATTACCGATTTAACATGAATGGAAATTCTCCCTTGACGGAGAAGTATCTACGCTCGAGACATATGCTCAGAAAAGCTGGTACACAATTTTTCATTTCACATCCGCAGATAAGTCAAGTACCAACGGTAGAAGCAGAAACTTATGAGAAAGAAATCAAACGCACAGCACAATTCTGTCGCATCGTTCGAGCACAAAAGCATAAGTTTGTTCGATAGCTGATCGGAAGTGTACAAATGATTTTAAAAAATGATTTTCTTCTAGGAAACGTGATGAAGACGATCATCAGCGAAAGCTAATCAGAGAACATGTAGTAAAACTGAGAGCACAGGACGAGTGGAAGAAGCAAGAAAAACAAGTATCTCTTTGTCGACGGAAATTGATGGTAAGCATGGTTATCTTCAGCGAAAATATGTACAAATTCTTTTCATTTTGATCAGAATCAGCTCAACGATGACTTAGAGATCAGATCTCAAAGTTCTGTCAAATCCTACGAATAAAACCCGTTGAATTCTTTCCCTTGATCACTCAATGCTCCTTCTTATTTATTGCACCACACTTTTATTTTCTAATTTTTCACAAATAAACATGGTTATTTACATTCTCGAATTAAATATTCATCGACGAAACGTGCTTCTAAACTCGAACACTCTCTTACTAAGCAATCTAAATATTATTTTCTGTTTATGAGTTGTATTCAATTTTTTAAATGAAACGCACTTCACTTGATCTCAAAAGAATGTACTTTAATACACGACATATTGAAATCAATGTCATTTCTTTTTCTCTTTGACATACTTCAATCAACAACTGTCACAAGTGAATTATTGCAGTTTAACTTCGTGTTTATAAAGAAAATTCAAATGAAATATTCAGGAAAAATTACAGACAGAAGCTTCTCTTGATTCCTAATTCGACGCTTCGACTAATTGCCGATTAAGTTCCACTAATTTCGGACTGTCGATATACGATTCACAGCCGTAGCAATAAACAGAATGATCGGATAAACTCAAACAGATATTATGTCCAGTGTTTTGATGGTGTGCTAACATGTGCTTTTGTTGATAACGTGAACAACCGACCTAATCAGACGAATCTTGTTAGATACAAAACATTTATTCAATGGCGTACCTGTGAACAATTTGGTTCTAAGCAAACCCAGTTTTCACGAATAGCGTCGCAATCGGTGCATGGTGGCTGATGACCATCGACGCGTCTAGCTGATCCCGGTAATGTATAAACGTGATCAGCTAAATGAGTACAATCCTGTTTTGGTACGATTGCGAACGGCTAAACGATCGAAAATGAATTGAAGAGACTAATTTGATTATTATGACCTACTCCGATTAAATGTGGATCATCAGCTTGATCGGATGTTGTTGTTGCCATAGTCTATTAGGTTTACTCTGTATCTTTAAAAAGAAAGAAAAAGTAAGATATACTACTTGCGATATATTTCTTTATGGAGAAAACTGTTGCGTTTTGATGGCGAAAGGACAGGAAAAAGCCAAGTGCGTCTTATATGTATTTTTCTTTCCTGCGTTTTTATTCATGATGGAGGCAAACACACAAAAATAACAAACCAAATTTGAAAGAAACATGCATGCTGTTTTTTTTTACTCTGAACAAAAAAAACTAATTTACCAAATATCAGAACATGTGAAGCTGAAATTCAAGTTCTAGAAATAAGACTTCTTCTTTCGGGAAATAACACAGATAATTCAAGTTAACGAATTCCATAACCAGACATAGCACATCTTGACTTGAATGAAGTTATTTACAGCTAAATTCGATATTTTCTAATCCATTGAATCACCTAGATTGAATTCAAACTGAAAATTTCAGCTTCATTCGCGAAAAATTAACGTACTTCTCGAGCGACTACGCCGGTTGTATCTTGATCTCGACGGCGAACGAGATGAACGACGAGGATTTCCGTCAGGTTTCTTTCGGCGGTTGGTTAGCGTTGCATAGCGTGGTGAATCAAAATAAAGTTCAACATAACGACTTCCTGCGTAGAAACCATACGTTCGTAACTTTGTCGTTAAAATTCATTCGAAAGATTCTCTCACCCATATATTTCCGATCACATTTCATTGCTTCGTCGACTTCTTCGATTGTATTGAAGTATACATACCCATCTCCGTTGGGTCGTTTCATACGACGGTCTTGAACGATCTCAACTCGCGATGGTCGACATGTTGATGGAAAGAACTAGCGAAGAAAACGTTATAGTTTTAATGATGAAAATGAGAAATCTTACTTTGAGAACATCTTCCTCAACAACAGTATAAGGCATTCCACGAATTTTCACAACGAATTCTTCGTTACGAGACGATGAACGACGGGCTGGACTACGACTTCGACTACGGCGATAACGATGATTGCTGTTGCTATTATACGATCCTATTCAATCAAATCCGTAATAAGTTGAAAAAAGCTTTTGTCATTGATCTTACGTTGATTACCACTTCTTGGTGCATCTAAATACAATGAGTAGTTTAAGGAGATCTCACATTTCGGTATTTTCACTTACGACGTGAACGTAATGAAGGCGAAGCTGAAGGTGAACGACGCCGTTTTTCGTCCCGTTGGCGATAATCTAAAATGGCTCGAAGTTTCGAACGCAAATAAGTTGGCTTCTGCGATCCTACTTCCTCGACTTGTCGATCGCGAACGTTGTCGACTGCGACTTCTTGAATGACGTTTATCAACATGGTTATTGGTTTCTACTTTCATATCTTTGTCAACATCATCATCACCGACAAACTGTTTAGCGTTAATACGAGCATCGCTCATAATGCGAAGTCTCGCCTCATCGTACGTCGATGGAAACAATTCGATGCACCTAATCGAAATACAAATATATTTTATCACCAATATCGACTTGAGAGCAAATCCATTTCTTTTTTTTTGTTACGATAGATGGAACACAGAATTAATGGATTCTTTCTACCTGACATAACACTGGTAACACCATTGATCAGTACACCTCACCTCTCACCTAAATCTCCCTTTCTTTTCGTTTTATACTCCATTAATTCAATCTGCTAATATTTCTTCTATCGAAAGACCATGTCCAACCGAACCTGTCTTCAATACATTTTTGACCATGCATGTCAATTGCTTTGTAGGCGCTGTCCATGTTAACAAAAGCAACAAATCCATTGCCCAATGCTTGATCAGCCATATCACGCGTTATGTAAATACCATTTCTTGCTATTTCAATGTCTAAATGCATGAATGATAACAAACAGTCCAGTGCAAAACTGTGATTCCTCGTTCAACTTACTTTTGAAGAAATTCTGAACGTTACCCATCGTACAACTAATTGGAAGACCGCTCATACGAACAACAGGTTCATGCCAAGATACCGAACCTTTGTATTTCGTGCAAACATTGTATTCATGGATAGTTGCCGATCGAACTGCATAGAAAATAGTGACTTTGTTCGGTAAAGTTTTTCATTTTATTCATACCTTCGATTTCTTTTCGATCAATACATTCACCCGATCGTTTCAGAGCGTCTTTAACATCACTTTCGAATTCTAATTCGACCAAACATTCGTGCGACGATATGTTATTGTGATTTACATCAAATAGATGAACGACCGTTACGTGACAGGCTAAAACAGCATGTATGTTACATTTTTCACATGGCACAATCGAATCAACTTACGAGAAAGGAATTTTTTAACATCCTCTTTGCTTGCTGAAGACGACAGGCCGTACAATCTAACGAAATATTCGCCTTGCCGTGGCGATCTGCTATCCTGTCGCTCTTCTGATTCATCTCGTTCAAGACTCATAGTTTCACAAGAGGATCTGGATAAGAAACGAAGAATCTGAAAAGAGGACTATTTCCAAGATCGATATAATCAAACACAGAATCTAGATATTAATCGAGTTATTACACTGTAATATATAACATAATCTTTAACATTTACATTTAGCCTCTTTTCTCATCGCTGATAAAAATCAATCCAATCATTAAATAGCGCTACTGGTTCTTTCTTCCACTAGCGACTTTTCATCTTTCGTTTTCTTTGTTTTCGATTACATGGTATGAAGATAATGACACTAATATCATTTCAATAAGTTCGTTTTACTTTAAAACTCGACAAACATGATCAATAAAAAGAAATAATTACAAAATAATTCGAATAACAAACGAACAATTCGCATAAGCACGCACACACACATATGAATTCTTAGTACAAAAAGAGATTGCCACGTTGTCGTTTTCTTGGATATCAAGATTCACCCACACGGAACTTCTTATGCGTATTGCACCGAGATAAAAATGAGATGGATATCGAATATGAACAAAACAAAGTACAAACAAGAACCGGTTGAAAGATTTTTCTTTCCTATGGAATGAATTCGAGAGTTAAACGAACTTTATGGCGAGAGACCTTCGTATGTTTCGCGATGAACGTCAGGCAAAGAATTGAAAATCTGTGGTTCGTGTCGTTTGATGTATTGAACAGCGTTCAAGTGAATTTGATTCACTTCTTGAATCGAGGGAATCAATTGAAGAATATCGAGAAACATATTTGGCTCATCTAGAGAAAGAAGATTTTCGAAGGAATGCACAGCAAAATGTTAACTTACTTGGATGGTGGCAACGTAAATGTCTGTAGAGCACTTGCATCAATTTCGCTTCGATTTGACCAACAAGTTGTTTATCACACAGATCTGGTCGTTCTGTGTAGAAAAAGATTCGTCACTCCGAAAACTAGATCAATAAATTTCGTCATACCTGGATTCATCAATAACAATGCATTGAATAGCGCAATATCACTATCCGTCCATCGGAGATGGCTGGCCTTCATTCCTAAGTCAAAGATTTCTAACATAATAATTCCTAACGTTTTGATTGTCTTAATAAAGTCTCGATCCATATAAGCGGAAAAATCTGGTGTGAGCATTAGTTTTTGTTCAGCATCGAATAGAGTAAACCAGCTAACAAGAATTGTTTCAAAAGCTCCTAAACACAAAAATCGAATTCAAACATACGGTAGTCTGAAAACGAACTTTTCAACTTACCATGTCGAAACAAACAAATTTGATCATCCTGTGAGATTTGTTGAAAAAATGTGTAATATTTAAATGTTCGCAAGATGCTTTCGAATGGGAAACTCAATTGCCAATTTGCCCATACTAATGCGGGATCACAATTGAGATCATCACTCTGAAAGAAAAGTTTCAAATCTATGTTGTCAGTAATGGAAAATCTGGCTTTTCTACCACAGAATCTGCCCATATGGGTGGATTTTCTTCGATTTTGGCTTGAATTTTCTCGAATGTACAAATACAAAATTGTAGATGAGCACCGATGATAACTTGAGCAATATGATCCATTTCTTTAACTTCGATATCAGTCAGCAATTTCTCTTGATAGAGCAACATCGAGGTCAACTTTCGAGCAACTTCACGATGAATATCGAGTGAAATTGGCTGACGATGTTGAAAAAGACACTCCGGAAATGTTGAAGATGACGATGTTGAAGAATTCGGTGTTTCAACTGTAACTGATGGTGCGCGGTACGGTGAAGATAGCAGATTCGATGTAGTAGAACTAACGGAATCCGTTCGATTTGTTGGTGAAGATTGTTTATCTCGTTCTTCGGGTGGCGTTTGTTGTTTGTGGAAAACTTCGTTCGTATTTAGAGAATGTTTCGGCTGTTGCCGTTGTATCTCCTGTAGACGAACGAGGGTGGACGTTTTCGTCGGCGACATCATCGGGATCGAACTGAATTCTTTTTCATTTTTGATCAAATTTACTGTATCTGATCGTGGGCGTTTAGGCCGCCGGCCGAGTCGCGATGCTTCACGGCTCATACCAACGTCAAAACACTTTTTCAATCGACAGTATTGACATGAATTTCGACTAAATGGTGTTATGTCACAATTACCCGTATTGTTACAACGATGAGACATTCCCTGAGTGATACATCGACGAAAGAAGCCCTAGAACAAAAAATACTCGATGGGATTTGGTTTTCATGAGGAAAAACACTTTACCTTGCAACCTTCACAAGAATTGACACCGTAATGAAAACCACTCGCTTCGTCGCCACATACTAAGCATGGAACATGTACAGTTATTGATCCCGGAATTTTTCCGCAGTTGGCTTTGATTAACGATGCAATGGTGTTAGCATTATTATTTTGATGCTCCACTAGTTGTTTTGGCTCGAGATTCGGTTCAGTTTTGACAGGCGTTAGTGGTGGAGATGGTTTCGATCGCATTAGATCATGCGATTGTGCTAGAGGAATAATCGATGTTGTTGGCGTTGATGACAATCGGAAATCTTCTTTTGCATTATGTGGATGTGCTGTTTCCGTTATAGTTGGAGTAGATTGTTGTGAAAGATAATGATGATGATGGATGACGGCTGTCGGAGTCGGTTGGTCGATTTCCACATTTCGACACGTTGTTTCGATATCTGGGCATAGATTTTGTAAATCTGGTGTTTTGATATAATGCGAAAAGCGCTGTTTGGGTTTGTATGGATGATGGTAGGAATGCGGCGTTTCAATCATTGGATGATGAAGATTGAAATCGTCGTAGACACTCTGCTGTTGAGAATGATGATATTGTTGTTGTTGTGGATAACCTAGTTGTTTGATATGAAAAGAGTGCGATATGATTGCAAATGTGAAAATGAAGGCAAGTAGAGCGAGAGAGAAACAGAGCGATCGAATTTTTCTCTCTTTTCTACAATCTATATACATATTTTCTCAACGGTTTGCTGACCTTGAAGTTCAACATAATTTCTTGCTTGTGTTCTCTTTTCCTCTTATTCGTGATTGAGTAATCATTCAGTCGATCCGATCAATGACCTCTAGCACTCGAATAATTAGAACGTGCGTGAGAGTCAGCGGTCATCTAATGATGTAACACATCTTCTCACATTGGTTTCCGTTCGATACAGGCGCTAATATTGACTCAATAGCACTGATCAAGTTTCGCAACGATCTTCTTGATAAACCTACCGTTGTTTCCAGTATTCGTCCAGCAATCGAACCACATTTCGTTCATCATTGTTCTCCGTGTGCATATGTGTCACCGAAGTGGTCTACTCCTCTTAATGGTCAAACACTCTTTGGTGTTGCCTCTATATTCTTATTCGGGTTGGTTTATTTGACCAGTGTACTTCCTTCCTTCCTTCCTCATCTTTCGGATATAGTGCGATTGACCAACACCATCAATTGCTGTCCTTTCGTCGTCGTGTCCTTGAGAGTGAGGTCAAATAACGAACACGAAAACGAGAGAAGAGGCAAAGAGAGTAATCATGTATGCGAGCGAACAAATGAGTGAGTTATTTAATGAGTGTGCCCTATATCAGTTTTGTTAATATGAATGTAAATGAATTGAAAACGACGGTGATCGACAGAATGAGTCGACGACCTTGATGTGATCCGAAAAATAATAGATGATTAGTTGTGCGATAAGACATATGTAAGCGAAAGAGAGAAAGAAGAAAAGAAAACATCGAACTATTATTTCCACACAATTTCACACTTCACTTTCTGATCAGAAACGATCAAATCATATTTCCTAAACGAAATGCTATTGTAATATTTATTTGCGAAACTTTTGATGTTGTAATCGGTGATTCGTTTGGAAATATGGATGATAATGCGTTCGATCAATCATTTTCACAACCGAGCGGTCGAGTGTCTCGTCTTTCTTTGAAAAAAAAAATGTTCGCACGTATACAATCAAAACGATTATGAAAACAAGTATTTCGAAAGCGAAATGGTTCATTATCTATTTGCACCCGTGAGATCGACATTAAAATCTCATCACCAATAATTATACAATTTTACTAGAGTGATAATTATGCGTAAACAGGAGGTGCTTGCCGTTTTTGAATTTGATGTGTATTACCACTACCACCACCGTTATCTTGCACACGATTAATTGTTCCAACGTAGGAAGCTGATGACGATGTTGTTTGCTTGTCCGTAGTTGTCTGTTTACCGAACCATGGATGTTTTTGAATCAATTCTATAGGCCATCGTTGAGTAACTTCAGGTTGAAGCATACGTAAAATAAGATCTTGCGCTTCTGTGGATCCTTCACTACCTAAGCGGAGACCACCTTTGCTCATTTGCGCTTCGATCATTTTCTTCATATCGGAATCATCGAATGGCATTTTCGAATAAATCTATAATGTATTGCATAGATATCATGAGGAAATTATGAATTATTTGTACCATAATGTAAAGAATACATCCAGCTGACCAAATATCATACAATTTCGGGTTACTAAATTGAAATTAGAATGAACAATGAAGTTTCTACTTGTTATTCGATTTACTATTCTTGACCACGAAGAATTTCCGGCGCCGCGTATGCAGCTGAACCACAGAAAGTTCGGCTTAGAATCTTCTTCTCTATCACACTTTTTCTGTTGTTCTCCGAAGGCGCAGGTTCGACTAAGAACAGCAGAAAATCAACTTAGCGCTTGAAACTATTCAAACCAACCACAATATCGTGAAAATCCAAAGTCCGCTAGTTCTAAACACCGACGAGATCGTTCAATTCAGTTTCGATTTATTCACACTTACTAATCCTCAGATGCTGATCGAGTAACAGATTCTCACATCTATATAATACGGTAAAAACATTCTTCTTTTACACAAGTTTTACTTTAGATCTCGATGACATATATTTCGAAAATCTAAATCAAATCTCTTTTCTTTCGAATTCCAAAAGGTTCTTCTTACGGATATAATAGATAGCATCACACAATTCTCGAAACATACGTTTTGCCATTGTTTCTTGCAAGCGCGTGTTTTTCTACAAGCTAAACAACGTCTAAGACAACACTCTTTTGATTGATTAAACACGCATACGAAATCCCAACCATCCCGAACAGTTTCCACTTACATTGATATAATCAAGTAAATCGCCGCTTGGCGCATACTCCATGACAATCAATGTTAGTGACTTCGTTTGAAGTATATGTGCTACCTATTCACTCATAGAAATGATCGAGTCGAATGAGATGTTACTTTGACAATATTCGGATGATCTAACATTCGAATGATATCGAGTTCACGGGGTAAAAACTTCGACACAAAGTCCGATGGTGCTTTGTCACGATCGATAATCTTCACAGCGAATTCTTTATTATCAAGTTCACGTATACATCGTCTAAAGTACAGAATGGATAAACGTTTGCTTCGATGCGTCGCAAAACTTTACTTGACTTTTGCATAGGAACCAGTTCCGATTAATTTTTCGTTGATGCGAAATCCTAGCTGAAGCAATGATTGCTGCGCATCACTAGTTAGTGGGGAATTTTTTGTTCCATTCGACGTGAATAGTTTCGATTTGGTTTGCGTACTCAACTTGACATTCTTCAATCCTTTCGGATCTTGTTTCGTGTTAACTAACACAAGTGAATTGCTCATACTACCAGACATTAACACATTCGATTTGCCAAAATCATAATAGATTTCGAAAAGAAATTGTAGACGATCAATTCCGACGAATGTTCTTCGAAATTTTTTCAAGAAATCGAAATTCGTAACTTATCGAACCGAAAAGCATGCACGAGCATACTAGCACATACTTTTCGTTTTAAGACAAATATTACAGTTGACATGGAAACAAGTGAAATCTTTTCGTTTCTTATCATTTCGTGTATTGAATATGAATATACATGAATCGTTTCTTGTAGTCACACTTATTTATCGATGCTCCAAAGATCGTTTGAAAAAAACAACAATCATTGACGTATAGCTGATTGTACATTGATTCTTTTGCGTCTTTCTTATTCTTTTACAACAATATGTGACCGCGATAAAATGGAAATTCATTACTTTTCGTATTTTTCTATTGACTCACGAACAATCATCCATATATGTATCCTTGAATGAATGTCGCCGACAAAGAAAGGAACTCGTTTCGTTCGATGTAAAGAACGAACGAAACGAATGACTAATCGTGGCTATACGAATATAAAAGTAGGGAGAGTTTATTTGGTTTACTTCAGTATACATATTCACTTTTACACAGCTCCTACTGTTCTTATTCTACATTTCAAAGACACCGGATCAATATGTCTCACGGAACTCTCCAAGTCACTGTTATTGAAGGCCGTAACTTAAAAGACAAAGATGCATTCGGCCAGAATGATGCCTACATTGAATTATACATGGACAAAGATTACAAACAACGTACATCTACCATTAAGGATACCAATTCGCCAACCTGGAATGAAACATTCAATTTGTAAGTGTAGAACTATATCTAAAATTGTACATGACTAGCTTTTACCTTGATGATTAGTAATCTACTCAAAGGACAAGATACCCTACATCTGAAAGTTTATGATGAAGATCTCGTTGGCAAAGATTCGATCGGTTCAGCAAAAATTAGTTTGAAGAAAGTACAACAAGCTGGCGGACATTTAGACGAATGGGTGAAATTACCAGCACATCTTGGTCTTGGCTCGCACGGAGAAATTCATTTAATTTTACGTCTTTCTTAATGTACACTCGTACTTTTATATGTCAGAAGACATGACTCTATTTTAACTTTTTTTTTTGTCGTAATAAAGTGCTTCATATGAGACGTGCGTACTTTTTACTTCTTAATTTGTTCTCGGAGAACGTCTATGTTAAAGACATTTATTGGTACAAAGCGGGTAAAATCCGTATAGGAAAACAAAAACACGAAAAAAGAGAAGGGTGAATACAACAGAACAGACAAAACCCGCCAGTATATTTAGTAAATAAAGAAAGAGAATAGGAGGGGCAAGGGGGTGTATCGCATGTTTTTTTCTTCTTCTTTTCTGTCGAGCGGCACATCACGAGCTAGCAAACGTTAGATAAGTCGTACAAGTCAAAACTGATTAAAATTTTTAGTGGAGATGCTATCCAAACTTCTTTCTAAACAAGTCCTCAACCAGGGACTTCGTTTAACTACACGAACTTTGTCAACAGCTTCGCAACAGAAACTCGTTGACCGAAAACCAGATGTGAAATATCAAAAGGTTTGACGACTATCGATATTCGAGTTATTATTACAAAGATTTTCCTTCGTTTAGCTTTTCATTAATAATGAGTTTGTGGATTCACTCGGCGGAAGCACATTCGAAGTTCTTAATCCAGCAACCGGTGACGTTATCACCGAGGTTGCTGATGCTTCTGAAGTAAAATAGACTTGAAGCCATTTCTCATCCAACTGAGTGATACTTTTCCTCTGAATAGAAAGACATTGATCGTGCTGTAAAGGCAGCTAAAGATGCTTTTCGTCTTGGCTCAGAATGGCGTCGTATGGTTCGTAGAAAATCAAATTCTGTTAACGATGTACTTACAAAGAAAGCTTCCATCTAGGATCCTGCTGGTCGTGGTGTATTACTCAATAGACTTGCTGATCTTATCGAACGTGATCGTGCTTATCTCGCAGCCCTAGAAACTCTCAACAACGGTAAACCGTTCAAAGATTCATATAATATCGATATTCCACACTGTATTTCGGTTCTTCGGTAAATATTTAGCTGATCATTTCGATTAGGTTTTATTGTGAGTGTTTGTTTCTGTTTATCAGATACTATGCTGGTTGGCCGGATAAAATGAATGGAAAAGTTTTACCTGTTGCTGGTGACTTCTTTTCGTACACTCGTCGTGAACCAGTTGGTGTCGTTGGTCAAATTATCCCAGTAAGTGAAGAATTTTTGTATTATTTATGATCAAGATCAATAACTTTGTCGATTGATTCCAGTGGAACTTTCCAATGATATTACTTTGTTGGAAAATTGGTCCCTCGGTAGCAACTGGCTGTACATCAATCATTAAACTTGACGAACACACACCATTGACTGGACTATATACAGCCAAATTAATTGAAGAAGCTGGTTTTCCCCCCGTTCGTATTCTTCTTTTGAAAAGAAAATAAGTTCTCAAATTGAGAGATCGATTTTCTTACAGGGTGTTATAAACATTGTTTCTGGCGATGGACCACACTGTGGAGCATCGCTTGTCAAACATCCTGATGTTCATAAAATTGCTTTCACTGGTTCCACGCAAGTTGGTAAAATTATCGGAGTGGAATGTGCCAAACAGGTTAAACGCGCGACACTTGAACTTGGTGGAAAATCGCCAAATATTGTTTTTGCTGATTGCGATCGTGAGTGTTCAATATCTTCTCCGATCAATACATCTAATCTATCTCCTTGGTTTTCTAGTTGACTTAGCTGTTGAAATGTCACACTTTGCCTTGTTTTTCAATCAAGGTCAATGCTGTTGTGGTATGTTGACATTTGCTTTGTCTTTGGCCGGTAAATATGCGTATTTCATTTAGCCGGATCACGTACTTATGTGGATGAAAAGATTTATGACGAGTTCGTCCAACGAAGTATCGAACGCACGAAACGACGAAAAGTCGGCGATCCATTTGACGACAGTACCGAACAAGGTCCACAGGTATATTAACAGACAATGGATTCGGAAAAGTTCATCCGTTTTTTTTGCTCAATTTACAGATTAGTCATGAACAAATGGACAAAATTTTGGATTTAATTGAATCCGGACGAAGAAATGGTGCGAAATTACTTACTGGTGGTGAACGCCATGGTGACAAGGGATTCTTCGTTCAACCAACTCTCTTCGCTGATGTTCAAGACAATCATCGCATTGCTCGTGAAGAAGTAAGTGTTTAGAATCTTCGAAATATCTCATCTCAAACGTTGAATAAATAGATTTTTGGACCTGTCATGCAAATCTTGAAATTCAAATCAATCGAAGAAGTTGTCGAACGTGCCAATGATAGCGAATATGGTCTAGCTGCCAGTGTTTTTACCAAAGATTTAGACAAAGCCATCGTTGTCAGCAACGCCCTCCGAGCTGGTTCAGTCTGGGTCAATACTTATGACAACTTCGATCCCGTTGCACCATTCGGAGGATTCAAACACAGTGGTCTCGGTCGCGAAAAGAGTGAATACTCTCTTGATTCATACAGTGAAACTAAATGCGTATGTATTCTTTGAATGACAATACAAATGGATATATTACACCCTTCATTTCATTTAGGTTACAATGAAAATTTCCGAAAGAAATTCATAAACGTATTTTCATGGAAATAACAGTATTGTCATCGATGAAATTGTTCAACAAAGCCATATTTCTTTGCCCTCTCATGATCGTTTTATGTATATCATCACAGTCCGTAGTGTGTATTTTGGATTTTAATCATAGCATACCTCTTTTTCTGATTTTCAACAAAAAGAAAACATTTTTTGAAAAGATCAATAAAACGAGCCACGTCTCATTCGCACAATCTTTGAGAGAAATCGCTCGAAAACACGTGGCATTCTTTGCAACAGAAATAAAGAATGTCGTCTGACAGAACAGCACAGTGTAAAAGTACGATTTGATTAAAACAAACGCCTCTCATTAATTGAATAATACTGTCCTTGAGATCATTTCATTTCACCTTAACATTGAAGGTTATGAGCTGCATCACCGTACGCAACAACAATAATAATAGCAACGATACAGGCCACTTATGCGATTTAATGAATCAATTAGAAGAAAAATAATATTCCCCTAAACAATGAAAATTGAAAGATAAATGCCTATTTATCTTCATGAAATATCCATCAAGTCAAGACGATGAAAACAAAATCGATTCAAAACGAGATTTTTCTCTTCTTTCTATGTGTAGAACTATGATTCAATTATCATTCGTATCGAATGGCTTGATCTATCATTGAAATTTCTTTTTTGTCTGGTAACCTTATTCGAATATGTCATTCCATACAACAAATTTGCATGTTTTCGGAATGATCAACGTTTAATAAGACGGAAATTCTCGCCCACGAAATAATATTTACTACAAACAAATCAACGAAGCGAAAATATAAAGAAAAAAGAAAATAACACGTCTATTTCATAAAGAATCTCATTTATTCACAAATGACATATGAGGAAAAAAGATAAATTGAAGAGATTACCTCGACAAACTATTTTCACTATAAATTACACAATATTTCATCCTTTTTTCACTGAAAAATGAAATATTGCAGATATTTGCGACTAATTTTCATGCGAAATAGTACAATCAATCGGTAGAATTGCTTTGCAATTGGTAGAGCGATGTATATTTGTGACTTCTTTTCGTTTATATTTGTACAGACAACGGGAAGTCTTTCTAATTAACCGCGCGTATACAATCATTCTATCCGGATGAGATTATATTGAAGATGACAAAGAGTACAGTCTCGCACACTTCATTCGACTTCTAATCCTTCGTGAGTAGAAAGAAGTACACGTATAACCACGTAACTATTCTTTGTCAAATGAGAGTATATGTTGAAACACCTTTTCCCCACTCTCGTCTTTACTCGCTGTTCACTCGCCTCTCATTCTCTCTTTTTTTTACTTGTTTGTAAGCATGACTTAATCACTCGTTCATAGTTCGCCTCGTTCAAATATATATATATATACATATATCGAGTAAAAAACCTTGTCCTCAACCCTTCGACATCATCCAATACATTGATCAGTTATTACATATTAAACCAGCAATATGAGTAAAAACGAACGACGTAAAAGAACAAGAAGGAATGAGATGGATGAGTGAGCGAGAACGAAGAAGAAATAGATAGAAACGAAATGAGAAGTAAAATACGCATACAACAGAAGGTTAAAATCAATCGTTGATTTTTCTTGAGATTATACCAGTCCATTTCGCATTGACATGCTTTCCTGCCATCAATATGCCTAAACTACAAGCTACATTATCAACAATGTCACGTGCTTCGACTCCTGCTGTTACCACTGCTCATAGTGAACGTAAGTTTTATCTTTTCCTTTGTTGTATTGAATTGTTGGATGGGATAAAGAAAGAAAGAAGATCATAAAACTGAAGGCATACTTGTGCACCAGGTTTATTGTCTGTTTGCTCGTGATAGCATTCATTCAACGTTCTTTTATACGAATGACAATGTCTCCTATTTATTCGTTGACAATGTTGGGTAATCTAATTTTGATATGATGTACAAAAAATAGAAAATGACGACCACAGCATCGCATCGTTCAGGTAGCTCTCAAGGAAATGTAGACAAACACAAATGAGAAAAATGACAGACAGAGAAAAAAAACTAACAAATCTCTATTGGTTGATTTGCTTCATTGATCACTTTTCTATTGAAGAGACATATATATATATATATATATACATTTAGAATCATTGGGACCTAATTTAAAGTCGCGTCTCGAGGCACTCGAAGCAGCTATGGGTGTTCGATTGAATGTAGCCAAACGACAAGGACGCCAGTCATTGTCAAATAGTAAGTGTAATTATTGATAGACGAAACAGATTTCTCGATATACATATTTTTCTTCTATTCAAATCTATTTACAGCAGCAAGTTCGTCGCCTATGCAAATATCGCCTACGTCGACATCATCGTCGTCCACAGCAATGAGTACTACAACAACTACATCACTTTCGACATCATCTCGGCATAACGTTCCGACACGATCTGGTCAAGGTGTGCAACGATCAGCTTCTTCGTGCGACACAGAAAATCGTCCCGGTCCAATTAAACGTCTTAAACCTTCACTACCTGTCGAAAGCTCGTCAGCATCAACAGCCACAGCTATTGCTACGATAAAAAAATATACCCCACCTGCTCGCCGACCCATATCAACATTAATCACTTCTATAAGTTCAACACCGCCAAAACCTGCTCCACTAACCAAACAACGTTCATCACCAATGGAATCAACTTCGCTACGTTTGTCACGTTCGTCAACAACTAATAATAATACGAACTCGAATTATCAAACATTGGCTAGTGCCTCATCGAAAATCACGCATTCATCTTCGTCAACAAAACAAGTTTTGGTTAAGACAGTATCCTCATCACCACCATTACCAGCACGGCCTGCAACATTTCCTCGTACACAACGCGTACCAATATTCGGTGAACAATTTTCCGATGACATCTTGAAAACCAATCTTCTCTGGATTAATTTGAGTGAACTTGATGACGAGGGTCATACGGAAGTTCTTATCCAATTCGGTTCGATTGAAAATTTTCTCCGCGAACAACAATCGTTTTCTGCTAGACAACGACAATCAAAGCTATCAACAAGAATAAAAACAACTCGTAATCGACCACGACTATCATCTTCTTTATCAAAAAAGGATCGCTTAGAACTTTTGTAAATACAATTCGATTTTGCTTCTCCGGTGTTCCGCATTTTCATCTTCTTGTCGTCAAATAAATGTTCATGTGTTTCGTTTTAGCTGTAAATAAACTGTATCATAAATCTTACCAGCAAATGTTCACCAAATATAGCTTATCAAATCGATAATCATGGATAGAGCATCTAACACATAGGGAGCACAAATCTCTGTGCGTACAATAATGAAAAAAACCACATCTTGTCATAGACTATCTTCGAATCATCATTTGTGACCATAAGAGACTAATGGATTCGTAAGAAAGACAATTCGTGAAAAAGTACGATCAATTTTCGCGCGAAATACTTATTTACTTGTTCTATGGAGAATACTCTTGTAATAAATTTATTAGGTAAACGATTTCCAATCCCATCACAGTTAGTTTTTCGATATCCACACACTTTACTTGGTAATCAAGAATTGCTGGCGAGATATTATCGTACTGATCGAAATGATTATTATTTCGAACGAAATTCACTATTATTTCCGTATATTTTCACGTATTATACATTAGACAAAAAAATCTTCTGTCCACGCCATATTCCGTTGGAATTGATAAGGAAAGAATGCGAGTTTTTTCAATTGTCTCACTCGAAAATCTATCGTGAACTGACTCGCCTAGAAACCTATCAATATTTTCCACGAAATCTTCGCCGAACGTATGATTCCTTCCTAGAAATTGTTCCTTTCGTCTCTGGTCTAGCATTTCTACTGACTACGAGTATGGAACGTCTAGATAATTTATCTTCATATTCATCCTGGTCATTTATCTATTTCATGGAACTGTTTAGCACGTTATTTTTATCGAGTACAGTGGTTTATCAAATGATCTTTCTTGAAGAAGTTTTCCAAAGAAAATCGTTTTTCATTGATCTCTTTTCCGTAATAATGAGTATTGCTTCCATTACATTACAGACTGTCATAACTATTACTACTCAACGTTGGATGTATATTATCATGCTCATATGCAGAATCTTCCGTTTAAGTATTGTCATTGTTCATTTACAAATATTGAGATTGATCGGTCAAACATTTATCCAAAAGTACGAAGATTTCATAGTTCAAGACTAACGGTGAAACTGTGTTGTTTAGATTCGAGACGATTTCTATCTTAGTTTTCCTCAATTTGATTCTTATCAGTTCATTTAGTGAAATAGCATTTGCATTTGAACGACGGCAAGTCGAAGATCAGATGAATCATGCAACGATGAAAACGCATTTTGATGCTTTTTGGTGGGCAACGTCTCTTAGGTAAAGAAGATATGATTGATTGCTTCATTTCATAATCAGATTGTATCTCCATAGTTTTTCTATCGGTTTCGGGCACACAGACGCGCATTCAACATTGACAACGATCGGAAGATTTTGTAGTTATATGTTGACATTCTTCGGTCTACTCTTCAATGGTCTCATCTTACAAGAATTAATTAAAGGATTTCTAAAACTGTATCGAGACGACAGACGAGATCAATGGATTGAATAATCTCGTAAGTATCGAATCAGATATGAAGCGCAGCGTCGTCAGAAGATATTCAATATGATTTATTGAAAATCGTTCATCTTGAAATGTGTATACATTTCTACGCACGTCATCATTCGATTAGAAATCAAATTTCAACTAATGACGACGTTCATTTTCTTCGGTATGTCAAAATTGATTTATTTGTTCTTCAGATCAACTTACACGAGCGTAGAGAGAAAGAAGTAAACAAAACTATTAGTCAAAAATGCCCTTTTCCCGCTAATGTCCATTAAGATTCATTCCCATTCTCATCATGGCTGGACTTCATCAATAAGCTTACCGTCCTGACTAAATGACACGACAGTTTTCTATTATCTCCTTCTATCAGCCGGGGTCAGTTGTCGAGCAGGACAAAAGAAGAATTCATTTCCTGTATGGAGTGCTGTCTTTCTTTCTTTCTATATATTTCTTCTGTCCACTGCAATTATCTATTTGTCTTCATGCCGTCGGAAATCCTCTCAAATGGCCGACGCGCATCTGTAGAATCAATTGTGTCTCGTGCAGACATCGACTATGCATTTTTAATTTCTCCCTCTCTCTCTCTTAGTACATATGTATTCTCTTGAACAGATGTGTCTCGATTTCTCACAATGCTAGTGATGATGGTCATCGCGTTCTCGTTATCTCTTCAGGGACGACGTTGAGAAGGAAGAAATTGAACGTTGATAGCATTTGTTCACCATCATCTCTCTTTCTCGGCTTGTTGTTTGTCAGAGCAAAAGAATATGAATGGTACAATTAGAACATTATTGTGAAAAAAATGACGGTCTCCTCTCTCTCTCTTCTCTCGCTCTCTTCGTCTCATAAATTGTAGTGAATAGGAAAAGAAAAGAATATACGAACGAGTACAGCAACAGAGAAAGAGAAAGACGTAGAGGAGTTGTCTTGTTACAGATTCTTCTCTTTTTCTTCTCTATTTCACATTACATTGCCCATTCGCTTACAAACATCGACTTCTAGTTCTTTTTTTATGTCATACTTAGTCCAATTTCTCATGTCATCAATCTGATGCCATTTGATGAAGAAACGGTCAGAGGGAATAGTTTGTCTTCACATTTGACAAATCTTTTTTCTTGTGTCGGAATGTCGAGAGTAAGAGGGTTCTTTAAAGTTAATATGCAACCATTCGACATTGTTCCATTTTGATGATTAGAAATGAATTACTTTTCATCTTGTTCGACGCGTCCTTCATTTACTTTTTTTTAGATTTCTAACTATCGTCGTCTATACGTCTACATCGACCTCCCGACGATTACTTTTTTTCGACACAATGCCAGGTCTGGCACGACGATTACTGGGCAAAAGTAAGTGATTGTATATTGAATTAGGCTGTTGAAAACAAAGAAAAAAAGTTATTAGTGGACATAATGTGCAGAAATTAGTTAGACTTCACTTGTTCGTTTCAATTCTCTAATTCAGATAATTTGCTTATGCTCGAATTAAACGAGCAGGGAAAATGAAGAATGACCAAAGTTAATCATTATGCTAGTCGGTGAACAGATGCATGCACATGTACTCCATCGCTGAGTTTAATCTTCATCTAAGAATAACAAAAAAAAACGACGAGCAGGCGATAGTTTAGCTATGTATATCCATGTGTGACATGAAAGATGCTTACGATAAACAAGAGTCGTCGAATATATCGAGTAGGAGATTCATAGGAGAATTATAAATAGAGATCAAAGATCACAGTTCAGACTTCCGTGCGACAAGAGTCAACGCGAGAGAACGACCAGTAATTAATTTTTATCGAAAAAAAAACTCCTTTCCTTTTCTTTCGAACAGGAAATGAAAACAATTATTAGGAAGTATTTATGTCATTTGCAATAAATGAGCATTTGCGAACCGATGCGTATATAAATATATATTTGTACGTATGTGCGCAGTACATGTAACAATACAGAAGCAGCGATGCACGTACATATATATAGTTCGATGTACTTGCATTCTTCAGTTGATGTAACATCGAAAACGACAGAAATTAGACCTTCATTTGACATATATATACACTTTCTCTTACTACTCTAGCCAAGCGAATGACTGACGTAACTATCCTACGCATGCTCGTACGCCTACTCATGTATACATATATGTATACATTCATATTGCTCGCTTTCGACGACAGTTGCTCATGATGATAATGATGTTGGTCCGAGTACTAGTAATAATGATTGCATAGACGTATATATGTATGTATGTGCCATCAGCAAGTACTTCATCGAGTGAAGTGAGATGATGCATATGTACGCAGGCGTCAGGCCATCATCGAAGTGCTGTTGGGCAAAGAAAGTAGTTGGTAACAAATTGATTCTGTTTCTCACGAGAGTCTGTATATCTTTTGACAACTCCATTGACTCATCACGTCTTTGATTGTTTTCGAGGTCAACGGATGGCTCGATGTCTGGTGTCGAATTTAATTGTGATCAAAGATTTATCAAGACTATTAGATATCTAAACATGATTTTTCATCTGTCATTTATGTTAACACTTAGTCAGGCACTCGTCAACCTTGTATTTATTTAGATATGATCTTTCATTCATTATGTTTCGAGAAAAAAAAAGAGGGGAACTTCTGTCGGATGTTCTATGAAGTTTCAACAATTAGAAAAGGGTTGAGATCACGTTAAGTAGTAACACACACACACATGTTCATGCTTCTTTGAAAAATTAGATTTTTCCTTTCTCATCTTGTCCGATCGAGTGGGAGAGAGAAAGAGGGCAAATTTAAATATATTTCTTTCTTCTTCGCCAGTTGCTACTGCTGCTACATCTCCTAATCATCATTATATACGATTGACCTCGATCTAACTCGTATTAGAACGAACGAAAATGTGTAGACAAGCGTCTGAGTGAGAAATAATTTCATTCGACAACATTTATTGAATATTAAATGTGTGAATTCTTCGTCGAGGTTTGTGTTAGATGATGAAAAGAAAGCAGAGCATGGAAAAAGTTTTTTCTCTTGAATATAATTGCATGTTGGTAATAATAGAAGGCTCGAGCTAACAAGGCTCTCAGCAGCATGTCGACAAGGAAAAGTCGATGTCTCGAGAAGAGCAGACAAACTTGATTATCTGCTCATCTGTTCGTTTCTATTGTATATTGGATGATGATAATTATCGAGATTTTCCTCTGTTTTTCACACTTCTCGAGATAATCGATACGGCGGCGTCATAGCGATTGTTTTCTTTTATTATCGTGTTCTTTGTATTTCTCATCGATGAATGTTCAAGGTGACGCGTATATGGGTGTAAGATACATGGTATTTACTTGCCGTTTGTATTTCACGATAGAATGAAAAGAGAGAGAGAGAGAGAAAAGAGAAACGTTGTTCGACGCGTGACGGTGAAGCCTTATGATTTTCTTTCTATCCTTTTTCTCTTCTTGCGGCAGATATTTTGAAGAGCAGCAGCAGCAGTAGTAGTATTATCATCATCATGTTGTTAAGACGATTTTTTCAACGAGCACGTACTCGTTCGTCCACTGATACAAATAAACGTGAGAATCAGTTTCACCTGTCTTCACAAATTC